GGTATACAGGTTAATAGTAATAGAAGGGGTAGAGCAGTGCAGTTAGTAGTTATTATTATTATTAAGACTGTTATAATTGCTATTTTAAAATAGGGCTAGCTAATAGTTATAATAGAGGTGTTATATTTATATTTATAAGGGCGCCCTAGTTTCTAAATTAGGCTTTAAATTAAAGTTACTAAAAACTTAGCTAAAAATAATACTAGGGTATTTTATTTTCTTATAGAGTAAATTAGTTATATAGGCGGTAAACGGCCTGTCTAATAGTAAGTTTTCTAGTTATTTTCTACTATAATAAAAAAACTCCTAATTAGCTAGAATAGGCTGTTCGCTAAATTAAGCAAGACCTTAGTAAAGGGGATAAAGCTAGGCGCGCAGGCTATTATTTATTTTATTTATAATACTAGGCGTATAGGCTATTATTAATACTATTATACGCGGACTATAGTTTCTATATAATATAATAGTAAAATAGGGTTAACGCTAGGTATATAGGCTATTATTAATACTATATACGTAGACTATAGTCTTTATACTTATAATAGTAAAGGTATAATACTAGGCGCGTAGGCTGTTATTAATACTATATACGCAGACTATAGTCTCTATACTTATAATAGTAAAGGTATAATACTAAGCGTGTAGGCTGTTATTAATACTATATATACAGACTATAGTTTCTATACTTATAATAGTAAAAGTATAATACTAGGCGTATAGGCTGTTATTAATACTATATATATAGACTATAGTTTCTATACTTATAATAGTAAAGGTATAATACTAGGCGTATAGGCTGTTATTAATACTATATACGCAGATTATAGTTTCTATACTTTTAATAGTAAATAGTAGAAGGTAAAAACTTCGCGTGTAGGTAAAGCTATTAAATTAGTAAGGACTTTCTAGAGTACTGTTACTACTTTTCTATTATAAAAGCCCTCCGGACGCTGGTATAGTTAAAAGGTTTATTACTTAGCTCTGCGTAGGGAGTTAAATTACTTTATTAGGGGCTATACTTATAGTACTGCTAATAGGTTTTTCCGTTATATAGGTAATAGCTTAACTATATAGGCAATAGTTAATTATAAAAGCGCGCTCTATTATAAAGAAAAAATTTCTAGGTTGCTTCTATTACTCCCGGAAGCTAAAAGGGTATTTATCTTATATTAGGGCTTAAGGTTAGAATCGAAATAAGTTGTATTAATATTAATAAAAAATAAATATAAAAAAGGAAAAGGTTTCTAGGTTTAACGCTGTTATAAACTAAAGGTTAGAGCAATATTAATCCGTTCCGCGGAGCCCTAATTATATAACTATCGGGCACGTGTTATATAAATAAACGTATAGCTATAATATAAAGAGTTCCTTTATACTAGAAAAAATATAAAAATCTATTATATAGAACTTTATAGTTAAGCTACTATAGTCTACTAAACCTATAATAGGTATAAAGTATAATATAATACTAGTAATTATAGACTAATTAACTAAGTATACCTACTTTATCCCTTACTAAAAAGTATTAATAGCAAAAGATCTAGCCTATATATTTTTAAAGTATATTATTAGCAACTATAGGCTACTTTAGGAGATAATTTTAGACTAAAATAAGCTTTTTATATTAAAATTCTGGCAGACCCTTACTATATAACTAGGAATAAAGTATAAGCTTTCTATAGTATTTTACCCCTAAATAGACAGGTAAATAGAAAAACTTAATTAGACTTTAGAATAGTACCTATAATACTATATTAATTATAGGCAGGATAATTAGGTATTACTACTACTAATAGCCTAGTTTGCCTATAATAGCGTATCTATAGAAATAATAAAGGTATTACCCTTTTTTACAAATTATAGTTTTAATTTAAAGGCGTATTAAAAACCCTAACTTAATAGTATAAGAGCCTAAAAAGCACTACTATTAGTTAAAAATATTAAAAAGCTATAAAGGCAGCTTTTAATAAATATCTAATTCCTAAAGCTAAGGTTAGTAAGATATTATAACTAATACCGGAGTATTACACTAACCTTTAAAAGGGGGGATAAAGTCTACCTACTCTGCAAAAATATTAAAATAAAATAACTAAGTATAAAGTTAGACTATATTAAAATTAGACTATTTAAAATATAGAATATTATTAGCCTAGTAAACTATAAGCTTAGGCTACCTAATAGGATAAAAATACACCCGGTTTTCTATATATTGCTACTAAAACCCGCACTACCTAATACTAAGCTAGAAAATAATACTAAGCTAGAAAATAATATTAAGGTCGATAATAATAATAAATATAAAGTTAAGCAAATCCTAGATTTCTAATAGTATAGTTAGTAAAAGAAGTACCTAATTAAGTGGAAAAAATATAGCACCTTAGAAAATATATAGAAACCGGTTAAAAGTTTAGTAAACTATTAGGAACTCCTGCAGTAGTTTTACCGCCAGAATCCGGAATAGCCTAGAATAATAGTAATATTACACTAGCTAGCTAGGAAAAATCTAATAGATTAAAGAACTAGATATTTTAAAGAAAGGCGAGGCTTTCCTTTTAATATACTCTTATTCTTTCTACTTAGCCTTTTTCTAGTTATTTTTTTTAAGCTTTTCTAGAGTTTTAAAGCTATAATATATTATCTTTTTCCTATACTTATACAGTAATTTCTTTTCGGAATCTAGGTAATTAAGCTTTACTATAGCCGCCTTTAAAACTATATAAGTTTTTAACTTTTTATAATAAAGTTTATTTTTTTTACAGGATAGTTTTTACCCTATAAAGGTTAGCAGAAAAATAGATATATATAATAGTAGACTATACTAACTTATAGGCAGACGCTAAGATACCGGTAATATTATAGTTTAATTATTGCGCCTGTATACAGGCTATATAACAATTAGAGTTAAATATAAAAACTATATATAATAAACCCTAAAACTTACACCAGGAATAAGGTATAACTTTTAAACTAGACGTGTTAATATAATCTATAAGTATAAAACAGCTTTCTTATTTCTTAGCTTTTATATTAAATATTATAAAAGAAAAAATAGAATAGTATAATAACAGCCTAATAAATAGGGTATTACTAGCTATTTATCTAAGACCCTACTATAGAAGTACTTTCGGGCTAAAAGCCTTAAAAAGGAAAGTAAGTATTATAACCTATAATATAAACCACCTAAGCGTAAAGGCACTTATAAAACTAAGTAAATAAATTAAACTAATTATAAAGGACTAGGTTATAAAACTAAAAAGGTTATATATTAAATATATAAATATCCTAGATTCCCCTATAGACTGCTAGTAAATAGGAATAATCTAAGAATAAAATATTATAAGAATAAGGCTATATAATAGCTTAAGGGGCTTAAGGCTATAAGCTAGAAAAGCGCTTAAAAAGCTTAAGGCTATAAGCTAGAAAAACGCTTAAAGGGCTTAAGGTAGTAAGCTAGATAAGTAAATAGGTTTCTTAGAATAAAACTTTTATATATAAAAACGCTTTTTTATATAAATAGGAACTTTATATTTAACTTAAGACTTTAATACTACTTATTAGAAGTAATAACCCTGTTTTATACCTAAGATTAATTTTACCTTACCTTTTAAAGACTATTACACCCTAATAATAACTTAACCTATACCCTGCCTTAGTATATAATACTTAGAAGGTATAGAAAAAACAACCTATTATATTATAATAGAAGTTTTAATATATAATAACTTTAGTGCTATATATAGCACCTATCTAGAAGCCGGTTTTATCTATATTTTATATATTCTTATTATCTATATTATATAAAGTCTTAGCCTTTATATAGTTATTAAAAAAGTATTATACCCGGTTAGGATTATTATTAGTAAGTACGCGCTTAAGCTTAAAAAACTATATATAGCAGGACTATAGCTTATTATTACGTATAAGGAATTAATATATTTATTACTAGCTAAAAAGATTAAGGTATATATATTAAAAAAGTAGTCCGGTCTTTTAATATAGTACTATTATTACTATTATACGGATAACTCGGTACCTATATAGGAATCCAGCCTCTATAAGGTATATATAATATTAAATATTTAAAGCCTTACTTACTAGAAAGACTTTATATTAATTAGTATACGCAATTTTATAAAAATTTATTTTTCCGAAAAGGCGATTCCGAAATATATTTAGGTTAATATTATAGGATTTTACGTAGTCCGCACGCGATCTATATAGCCCGTTGCGCTAAGTAATAATACCCTACTATAGGCGCTTTTTAAAGCCAGGCGCCTAAGGCTAGTAAAGTATATTAGTAGTTAGTTTTAAATTATTTAAAACTAGCAGTAATATATATTTTTATAAAGTTAATATTTATAGGCCGGCAGAACTTTAGTTCGCAGCGTGCTAAACTATATATAGCTAGTACACGCGAAAAAATCTTTTAATATTTAAAAACGTAATAACTAGGTTAAATATAATAACCTAATTACCTATATTAGTCCCTAAAATATAAGGGAAAATATAAGTAATATAATACTCGTGCGTAAGAAGCGGCGCTCGGACCCTGCCCGGAAGATAGAAGTATCTGCGCCTTGATTTTCGTCCTCTCTACTATATTGGCCATCTACAAGCTTTTTCGGCGTTTGATTAATAACCGACCGCACAAATCTGCTATAGGATTAACGTCGATATTCGCGCCGACGACCTAGACTTCACCTACGGCTTCGTTTTCCCGCTGGCTCTGGAGTAGATGCCTAGCTCGGGATTTGCTTCCATGCCGATGCGGCGATGGCGAGGCGCTCCATACAGCCGGCTATGGCAGTATGCTGCGAACATTTGCGAAAGCAACCAGTTCCGGGGAACCAGGTCCCTGGAAGCCTACACCGAGCCTGCTAGAAATATGCACGAGCGGCCGAAACCAGCCAAGTGGTCGCTGGGTGCGGGAATTAAGCGTATGATGACGGAGAGCTCGAAGCAAGGAGGATTACGGAGGGGCTATAAGACGCCCATAAGGATGTACGAATCTTCTCTCATATTTAAGCTAGGCCCATACGTATTGGGTCCGCGGGAATGTGTTATGTACGCAGGAGCCAACTTGCTCCAGGAACCAAACAGCGACCTCACGCAACCTCTATCACCTCCTCCCTCTTCGTCCCGTCAGCCCCGATAAACGACGTATACTTCATCTTCTTAACCGCCGTGCTCGCTTTCCGCGGGTTCTTGGATTCAAATATATCATCCATCTCCTCAAGCGTAAGCCCTTTCGTTTCGACGAAGAAGAAGTACATGAAGGCGAACTCGAAGAGGTCCCAGAACACGAAGAAGACGTAAAACCAGTATCCGATCTGCGCATATTAGCATCTACGTTGAAAAGGAGTGGGGGAGGAGAAGTGGTGCTCACATTCGACAACGCAATCGGCGCGACGAAAGTATTCAGGAAGCCAGCGGCACCGCCCATGAGCTTGTACGTCCCCATCCCCTTCGCACGCATATCGTTGCTCATCACCTCGGCGGGATAAATCGGCTGCATTGACGTCCAAGCCCACGCAAAGACAGCTCCGAAGATGTAGATGAATGCAATCGAGGCAGAGGAAGATGCGTCGCTACCCGTTTTGACATATCCAGCAGCTGTTCCAGCCGTGATAGCGAGAGCAATGATCATACCAGCGCAGCTCCCAAGCAACATCTTACGCCGGCCGATGATGTCGTGGAAGCGGGTGCCGGCAGTCGAGAAGATCCAGCCAACGAGAGCGTAGATGATGTTCATGAGGAGCTTCGTGTCGGTGTCGTGGATGCCGACGTTGGCGATCAGGTAGGGAAGGTAGTATGAAATGACGCTGGGAATCATGGTTAGATCGATGGACGCATATTCTCTGCCAGGGAAATGCTTACTTGTTCCCTGAGAACTGCCCAAACCAGGCGAAGGTAAGATTGAGCATGGTCCGGTATCTCCGGGCGGGAGTCTTGAAGAGGACGCGGAGGTCGAAGAAATTCTTCCACTCCGTGACGCCGTCGTCTCGCAGGGACTCAATCATCTCTTGCATCTCAAGCTTTACGATTGGGTGATCTGGGTCGCCGTTGGCGTGGTATTTTACTAGGAAAGCTCTTGCTTCTTCGTGTCGGTCTTTTGCTACAAGCCTACTTCGTGTCAGCCATCGCTAAGCAGCTAGATGCTTAAAGCACTAACCATCGCGGAGACTCGGGGAAGAACAAGATTGCGATTGATACCAGGCCTGGGCACGCCATTTGAAGCCAAAGCGGAAGTCTCCAGTCCAAATTGCCATTGTGGGACAGGTGCTTATGTGCCCCGTATACGGAGGAGGTTGCGAGAATTGAGCCCTGTGGTCTCGTTCAGCGGAGTTCAGTCTCCTTAAGTTCCCCAAAAGACATGCGAATATACATACGATAAAGTAGAAGGTGTTATAAAGCCCAGCTAATGTCCCTCTGTATTGCGCTGGGGCGACTTCAACCAAGTACAGCGGACTCGCTGAGCAAGCACATGTGGCAAAGAAAGAGAGCAAGAACCGGCCACCAATGAAAGTCGGAAGGTTCTTTGCAGTCGCAGTGATACAGGTTCCCACGATGACGCCGATGGTTCCGATGAAGATGAAGCGTTTGCGGCCTTGCCAATCTGCGACCCAAACAAAGAGTGCTGCACACATCTGACCGACGGAGAAGATTGCAAAAACGATCCCAGTGCTAGCAGTGCCATTTGAGGGGAGACCGTAGTAGTTCGTGTAGTTGGGTAGAGTGTTGATAGAGCCCATGAGAGAGCTGTCGAAGCCTGAATACAAGGATCAATACCTATCGAGTCTATGGAGAATAATCCGCAATACTTACCACTCATTGTGGAATTCAAGAAGCAGATTCCGCAGAGCAGGTAGAGTCGTAGATGGCCATACCCCCAAGCACTAATCTTGTGCTTCGACATTATGGCTGCATACGTTCCATTAGGATTGCCACTGATCTCAACCTCCTCCACCACGGCTTTGAGGTCCTCATGGTCGCTCCCAGTGGATGCCATCCGTGCTGAGTCTGCCATGATGCTTTTCAGATCTGGATGTGGGAGTTCAAGAATGGGGTGAAGTCGAAAGGAAGATGCGTTTCTCCCGCGCACTACAGGCAGTATATCTACACGCGCCCAGCCACCTTAACTGACTCTGTAGCGCCATCAGAGTCGTATCCTGTCGTCGCAGCCGTCCCCTTCCCCTAGCCATCGGCCAACTCTCTCCCGACGAAAATGTTGGCATTGTGTTGATGATCGTTGCTCCACGAAGAGCACCCCGCCCTTTGCGGGTACCCCATCTTCGGCATACCGTATCCGAACCCTGCTAAAGGAACGCTACCCCGGATGTCACCCTTCAGACGCCGATATCACTCGCCGCGGCCCGATATTTCAAGTATCGGCGTTTGATTTCTCCACGCCTGATTCATGTCGGCTATTCTATTCTGTCCTGACTCCATGCTTCAAAAAGCGGTGATATATCCCGTCTAACCTCCCACTTCATTATCGGTTATCGAATTCCAGTAAAATCACATGATGGGGTCACCAATCTCAGCTCAGACCCTCTCCAGCGGATGGACTTTCAAACAAGGGGCTCGAGACTCCACCGAAGAATGGCTCTCCGCGGCGGCCATCCCATCAGAAGTCCACACCGACCTACTTCACCACAAAAAGATTCCTGATCCATATATTAACCTCAATGAGCTTTCTGTACGCTGGGTCGGAGATCAAACATGGACTTACCGGACCGAATTTCCTACGCCTCAAAATTTTGGGTTACCCGGGTTTACTACTGACCTCGTGTTCCAAGGCCTGGATACTTTCGCGACCGTGTACCTTAACGGCCTCGAGCTTTTAGTATCAGACAACATGTTCGTCGAGCACCGGATTAATGTAGCGAGTCTGCTTGCTTGGAGCGATAAGAAGAAGACGAACACGCTCGAGATCGTCTTCGAACCCGCACGCGCAAAAGGCCTGGAACTCGTGAAGCAGCATCCTGAACACCGCTTCATCGTGCATCAGACCGAAGTCAGCCGAGGGCCGGTCCGGAAAGCACAGTACCAATGGGGCTGGGACTGGGGTCCGATTTTGATGACATGTGGCATATGGAAACCCATCACCGTGGAGACGTATGAAGTGCGGATCGAGGATCTATGGCTGAAATACGATCTCAGCGATGATCTTAAGAAAGTGAAGGGTGAGTTCTTTGGTACCGTACCGGATTGTGAGAACTACACCGCGAAAGTCACGTTCGAGCTATCTTTCGATGGTAATCAGGTCGTGAAAGTCGACGGCGTGCAAAAGAGCAAAGACGGCCTCTATACTGCCCCATTCTCACTTTCGGATCCCTCGCTATGGTGGCCTCGCAACTACGGGGCTCAGAATCTCTATACTATTCGCATGCATGTCTCATCCCAGAAGCACACCATCCCCAGCACCCACCAGAAGCGTGTCGGCTTCCGCAGCGCGGCACTCATTCAAGAAAAAGACGCCATTGGCACCTCATTCTACTTCCGCATAAACAACGTCGACATCTTCTGCGGTGGCTCCTGCTGGATCCCGGCCGACAACTTTCTCTCCCAGATCACGCCCGATCGGTATCGCCAATGGCTTGAACTCACTGCCGACGGGAACCAAACTATGATCCGGGTCTGGGGCGGCGGAATCTACGAAACTGACGCCTTCTACGACGCGTGCGACGAGTTGGGAGTGCTCGTTTGGCAAGACTTTGCATTTGCATGCGCCTTATACCCGACCTACGATTCTTACCTCAAATCCATAGAGCTCGAAGCTCGTCAGAATGCTCGCCGGCTGCGGAACCACCCTGCTCTTGTTATTTGGGCGGGTAATAATGAAGACTACCAGCTCATCGAGCGGTATGGGTTGGAGTACAACTTCGAAGACGACAAAGATCCTGAATCCTGGCTCTGTTCCACCTTTCCCGCGCGCTACATCTACGAGCACCTTCTCCCAAAAGTCGTGAGTGAGGAAACGAAGGGCTTGCTATACCACCCCTCTTCTCCCTGGGGCAATGGCGTATCCACCACCCTAAAAGTCGACCAGACAGTTGGCGACGTGCATCAGTGGAACGTATGGCACGGAGAAATGCGGCCATATCAGCACCTCCCTCAAATGGGGGGACGGTTCGTGAGCGAGTTTGGCATGGAAGCGTACCCGCATCTCGAGACGCTGAAGAGCTGCGTCACAGATCCGAGCCAGCAGTATCCCGGAAGTCGAATGATGGATTTCAGAAACAAGGCTATTGGGCATGAGAGACGCATGGTAATATACGTGGCAGAGAACTTCAGGATTACCGACGGCAGCATTGAGACTTTTACGCACTTGACGCAGGTCATGCAGGCAGATGCGATGGGCTGGGCGTACAGCGGGTGGCGGCGGCAATGGAGGAAGCATGGTGATAGGAAATGCGGAGGCGTGTTGGTATGGCAGTTGAACGATTCGTGGCCCACGGTCTCTTGGGGCGTGGTTGATTACTGGTTGGTGAAGAAGCCGGCGTGGTATGCGATCAAGAGAGCCATGGAGCCGGTGGCGATTGGAGTTGAAAGGAAGTTCCGCGATTGGACGATGAGGAAGGCCGATGAGCTGTGGCAGAGAGATACGGGACATGTGGATCCTGTCGCCGCCGTGAAGGTCTCGTTCGATCTGTGGGTTGCGAGTAGTCGGCTTGAGCCTATTGAGGGTCTTTTCAATATCAGCTACCTCTCGGTGGCTACTGGTAAGCCGCTCTACAAAGTCATAACGAGAAGGATAACGATCACGCCAAATGGAACGACGGAGGTCTTGACGGACTACACACCCGAGGATCCTTTGACGGAAGAATCCGCAGAGGAGCTTGATCCCTACCTCATCCACGTCACTCTCTCCGTCGGAGATAGGGTACTCGCAACGCATGTCTCTTGGCCTGATCCAATCAAGTACTTAAACTTCGACAACCGAGACGTAAAGGGCGAGTACTCTGATGACAAGCGTTCTGTCACGATCACAGCCGGCAATCCCGTCAAGGGCTTTGTGTTCAGTGAGCGGAGAGGAGTAAAGTTGAGTGACAATGGGTTCGACATCATGCCTGGCGAAAAGAAAGTCGTCTTCGTGGAAGGAATCGAGGCGGAGAAGTTGCACTGGCGGTATATTGGAGCGTAGACAGTCGATATACACCCTTAAAAGAGTGTGACTATTTGAAGCAATGCCATTTTGATACAGGAACTTGTGGTAAAGGGAATCCTTGAATCCACTAGGTCATGCCTGATCCCATATACTAGTCATAACCATAACATTGACCGATGACAGATCGAAAACTAGACCGATCCCGTTTTGATCACCTTCTCTAACAGCGCTTTGACATCGTGTCTCTCCAATGCATCCACTGTCGTTCGCACCTGTCTCTCAACAGTCTCCGGATCATGCCCATAACCCCCATTCGTGAGAGTCGCAATGATGGCATCTAAAGGGTCCAGAATGAAGAGACAATAATCCCTCCACGCGTGCTCGCGATCATCGACTTTCACCCCATTCTGCTCCAGCGTGTCAGTATACAGGTCAAAGATCTCCCTCTCATGCGCTTTCAGATCCGCGCTCTGCAGGGCCGTCATAAGGAAATACGCCAGGTCCCGATACCCATACCCACGGAACAAACACTGCCAGTCATAGAGTCCCGCGGTCCCATCCGCATACGCAAGCGTGTTTCCGAGATGAGAGTCGCCATGCAGCAGCGTTTGTGGCTTTGTCTCCCAGTAATTGTACACGGTGGCATAGCTCTTTGTCCACTCTTGTAAAAGAGCCCTCGCATACTCTGTCATTCCCTTCGCAGCGTCCGTCTCAAGGAATCTCTCCCGATTCCCTTCGAAAAATTTCGACACCCAATCCCCCCCGAACCGCCGAGGCCGCGGCCGCACCCATACCATGTCTCCCGTGAAGCGCTCAGTATCCCAGTACCGCGAATGTATTTTTGCGAGTGCAACCGCTACTTCCCGTGCGTGGGATAGTGAGCAATCATCCTTGATCCAGTATGGCTTGATCCCGCGCGATTCCAAATCCTCTAAGATGATGACGAAGCGGCCGCCGGGGTAGCTGCGGGCGTGATACGATTTAGGAATGACATCGTTCAACTCCTCTTGCAGGACTGTATACACGGCCGCCTCCAGCTCGGCCATGTGCAGCACCGCTAGCATCTCGCGTAGATGAGGGTTCTCCGGCGTGATTTTGATGAAGATTTTGCTGGGTAGTTCGGCTGCAGTACCCTCACTCCAAGTCAGCTCCAATTTGTGGCGGCTCGTCATGCCTTCGTGTGCTCCGACCGTAGTCACGTCTTCTACCTTGGCGCCAGGGACACCGAGGACTGTCGTGAGCCATTCTGCAGTGACTTTATCGATGGTGTGGACTTCGTCGAGCTTCAGTTGGGGGGCGTGAGCGAGCATTATGTCAGCGGCCATGAGCGTCTCGAGAGCGTGCTGGTGCGCGGATGAATGATCTACAGACTCCATGATGTTGAAGTTGTGCAGCTGTTGCAGCTCTGACTTGAGGGTGGTTAAGAACAGGAGCGCTGAAGGTCTGCGAGCCTGTGAATTGTGGAGGATCTGCCCAGGGATCTATCTGCCCTCAGCATGTCAGCGTGGGATGAGCTTAGTGTAACCCGAGATGGACCAACGTCACGATGGTGAGTCTCGAACTTCACGGGAGTGAAGGTGGGCAAAGTTTCCCGCTTTCGAGGGGGCAACTCGACGAATAGAGCGTGGAAACCGTTGAAAAAAGGCAAACCGATTTGAAGGTATTTAGTAGAAAGTAGCTGTCAACTTATATCATGAAAAGAGTAAGCGATCTCCGCAAGGAATACTCTGGCTGAATCAGATCTTGTGACTGCCCCTCTTGAGTTTACTATTAAGACTCATACAAAAAGTAGTAACAATGTCTCGCTGAACCGATCGATACGAGTAACAATGGTCCGGTAGTGTACCAGATGTAATAAGCCTCAAACTTGGTGTGCTTTCCTCGGCCAGAATAGAGTCCCCAGACCCCATGAATAGATAAGCGAAATCGCGGTCAGAGCGTTAGGAGTCGAAATCGTCTAACATAAAGTATAGTACAGTATATTCCCAGATCCGGTCTTCTTCGTTTGATATGTTTTTCTCGAAAGAGAAGACTTTTAGCTCGTCTATGTTGTCGCCACTGTTTTCATCATATGGTATCACGGCTCGAATTCCGATTCCGGATCTGCATCACGGGAAAGAACGAGCTGCTCGCTCACTTTGCTTGTGGTTGTAACGAATCTTCTCTTGATGCTTGAAAGCTCTGTGGTTTTCTTTTTTTATGAATCATGAAGATGGTGTTCAGTCTCGACCCCGCGTCCAACCAAGAATATTGGCGGGGGGGAAGGGAGGCTGATGTATTCCGGGGTCCGAATTGTGGGGAATGCGGAGAAGCTGGTGTCCCCGCGACGACGCGCCTTTCGCCCTCCACCAACATCTTTGCCTCCTACTAATTCTTCTATAATGAGCAGCCTGAGAACACTCAAATCCACAGGGAGTGGGCGCGTCGAGAAGGAGGACCCTATCGCAAAGCAGAGGCGTGAGAAGAAGCGCATCCAGAACCGCAATGCCCAGAGGAGCCACCGGGAGAAACAGGCAGCGTACATCCGCACGCTGGAGAAGATGGTGAGCGACGCTGTACCCTCGGGTGGCCAGATGCCAGGTGTAGCACCACAGATTGCGCAGACGCAGGCCAACTGGATCGAAGAGATCCGGGAGCTGCAGGATGCCTTGTTGCGCATGCGGAAGAAATTCCAAAGCCTGAGCTTCGCCGCTGCCTCAAACGCAGGTACGACTGCGGTCTCATGTGAACTTCAGCAGAGATTTGACGATATATGTACTGACCGACATTTCTGTGCCAGAGGACCTGATCTTTAAAAGGATTTTGAACCTCCAGTCACTTTCCCGTGCTGAAACACCACGTAGCCCGAGAAAATCTCAACAAGAAACACCTTTTGACATTTCCCAGTCCGTTGAATCGGTGCTTGATCCCTCTGGTAACCTGATAGAATGGGGTCAGGATGCCGATCTCGCAACGCTTTTTGCAGATGACTATCTTCACAGCGATGCTACGCCGTCTGGCATCCCTTGCTCTCATTCCGATCCCAGTCAAGCACTGGTACTACAGCCGAACGTATCCAACTCTCCACCCGGAAGTGTCTCATCGGCGTCTTCGAAATCTTCGCTCGCCGAAACATTACGCGTCGAGGACGTGTACCCTTCCACCGACATACTGGGAGTAGAAAGAACGCTCAAGACGGTACTCGAGCAATCAGAAAGTAGCGCCGATATCGACAGATCCGTTGGTCTGGCCGTACGTATCATGTTGAAACGAAGCCCCCTCATCGACGGTATCTTCAGCATAATGGTACGTCTCCGTTACTTTCATTAACAAGATAGCCTTGGTGGAGGAAATGCATCTAAACAGTCTCAGGGAGGTGCCGAAGCAGTCGAGAGAATTATCCACTGGAGAATCGCGCCAACGGCAGCAAACCGAGACAAAATCCCCGCCCCTTTCCGACCGACGGTACTGCAACAGCATTTCCCCGATCACAACTACGGCATCGATTTCCTTTACTGGGCGGAACTCCGGGATCAGCTGATGCTCCAAAGCGACATCGACATACGCCAACTTGTAGAAGACTGCCTGCGAAATTTAGTCCAAGAGGTACCGCAGCTGAATCTCTCGCTTCCATTGGTGGAGACGTACTTCCATCTCATCGAGCTCGTTCAAACAAATAGCGAGCAGCAGTTGCCGAGTCCGGTGGAGCGGTTCCTCGATTTGACGTACTCTGATGACGATCGGGAACCTCTTCGCCTTCATAATCCGCATTACAAGGTATTTCGCGCGGTAGAGAAGTACGAGCTGGACAAACTATCGAATAGAAAGATGTCGCCGAAGTTTGCAGAAAAGTATCCCTCTTTGGATGTTACACATAGTAAGTCTGAATGTCTCCATTTGAAGCCATCTCTCGATGCTTGCGCCATCGAAAACGGACTCGTTTGCTGACGGGGTGTGTACAGTCATCACTAGCTTTCCAGTGGCCAGTTTCGGGTGACCGATTAATCAAGTGGAGGTGAAGATTTGAGAAAGATGGGTGCACGACGCACACCATGATGTAGCGTGGAGGGGCAAAGAATCGGAGATATGGCGTAGGGAAGCGGAGAATCTGCGTTCAGCGGAGGAGAACTGTATGTTCTTTGGAAAGGCTGGTCGGTTCGGAGTGGCCAAGCTATGATGAAGAAGCCTCGTCATGTGTATTTCTACCCACCTTCGCCGCTATTCTAAGCGAGGTGGTGTAGCGAATCGGCCAGTTCGTAGTGAGGGGATAGCAGATACGAGCTGAGCAGGAGCACTGGGATGGCTGCACATGAAGATAGAGAGATCTAAGGCACCCCTCGATATATGCGAGCGTTGTACTCAGCGATGCTGTAAGCAACAGCTCTTGATTCGGAAGAGGAGAAAAATAATATTGAAATCCAAGGACATCGAGTACATACCCAAGTTCAAGCGCATTTGATAACATAGCTGTTAACGAAAAGCTGTAAAGCTTCGCAAAGAGACTGGGAACCCGAATCTCCGATCCACGAGGCTGTGGTTTCATATACCACTAGATGTGTACAGATAGATCGTGTAAACAATATCCAGGTCCGCCCGCTTCAGGAATTTGCAAGGATACGTGAAAGGAGCGCTACAAGGTTCTAATTCCTCGAGATACTGCTGTGCAGCGATGCCTGTAGCGCCTTCGCCTTCCACGCCCTTTTCTGAAACACGGTATCTTCGACGTAGATTGAGTATTGTTAGAGTACACAGAGTCCCATGAGGCTTCCACCTTCCCTTAGGAGGGTTCTTCGTTACTATCGACGAGGCTTTTTGTAAAGGCTTCATTTATTCTAATAGGGAAGCGGCGAGGCTGAATGCTAATCAGGCAAAGTGGAGCGCTGCGGTGGTGTTCCGGCCCCTAGTCAGCACTAGACTATTCTGTTCTAGAGATGGCCTGCGAGTTTCTCCCAAAGAGGCTGAGCGTATACCTACCTAGGCGGATAGCGTATAGATAGCGTTTAGAGCTTTAGTGCTTATAGAGGTGACGTGTGGCTATGTATCTGCTTTGCTATAAGAAGTAGCGAGGAGCTCGATTTTCGTTCTTCAACCCTCTCTGTCGCCATCTCCTTCAAGCACTTTCTTTCTCCGTCTTGAGCGATTTCCACAACTGCAAAATGCAACGCTCCAATTTCGCCATCCCGGAGGAGTTCGCCTCGAAACTTCGATTCGTTGATGCTCTTGACAAACGGTCTGACGAGGAGATTCTCGACTCGCTCGCAAAGCACACTCCCATCACTTCCGAAAAGAATGTATGGACATACTGGCATTCTGGTCTGCGTTCAATGCCCCCTTGGTGCCAGCGCAACATAATCAACTGGGTCCGCCTTCTCGGCCCGTCTTGGACGGTCCGCGTCCTCGACACCGTTCCCAGCTCTCCTAACCATGCCTTGACATGGCTAGACTCCGATATGCTCCCGGAAAGCTTCGTGAAAGGCACGATGCAGGGCCCGTATACCGGCCCCCACAGTGCTGATTTCCAGCGTGGCGCTGCACTGTACAAGTACGGAGGAGTTTGGATGGATGTCGGCATCGTTCTTATCCGCCACCTTGACAAGATATGCTGGGATCAGCTTGCGGATCCGAGTTCGCCGTTTGAAGTGTCGGTGCCGTGGATGTATGGCCAAGTCATGGCGAATCATTTCGTGGCGAGTCGGAAAGGGGATCCTTTCATTAAGCGCTGGTCAGTGGACATGTTCCTTTTCCATCAGTTTGGTGCTGACGTATTCTGTGAAGGCACGATCTTTTTATCCACTTCTGGAAGGGTCAAAACGACCACAGCGGCATCGTGCAAAGCCCGCTCATTGGATTTGTCAAAGACGTACGATTCGAAGACTCCGTTGCGCGTGGCTTCAAGTGGGATTTCAAGGTTGATGAGTTGACGGTCATGGGCTACATCGGCCAATGCGTCGCATGGCTGCGCTTGTGCATGCTCGAAGAGCCAAATGGCGGCTTCAACGGCGTGGAGTACTGGGCGAACAAGATCCTCCTCTTCGATTCCCTGACGGAGGACTGGGCTGCCGAACAGCAATTGGGATTCACCGGTCAAGCTATCTTTGATGCGCTGGTGACCAAACGGGATGCAGATCCAAAGTCGGAGGAGTATCAAAAGGCGTATAAGGCTATTTGGAGGCTTTTGACGAAGTCGAGCATGCAAAAGATTACCCATGGAAAGCATCTTACCGAGACTCCTGCCCTCGGTATTTTCTTGGATGCGAAGGAGAACCAGGGAGCTGATATTGCGTCAGGGACATTTGCAGAACTGCTGAGGTTTGGAAGCGTACATCTAGAGCAGACTCGTGAGAGCATTGACTACATCAAGGCTGAACGACCTGACCCAGAGAAGATCATGAAGAAGGGCTTGCTCGAACCCTGAATAATGTTCATCAGCCTTGTTCATTCCGGAGGAAAGTCATGCAGAATACGTGGTAGCGCAGCTAAAGCGGAATGAGAGAAGAAATAGAAAGAGTCGTAGAAATAGAGATGATTGAAAATACCCTTGCTTCAAGGCACTGTTGACCATTTCTTAGGCTCCGCGCACTTGAGGCATCTAACAAAGATTCATTTTCTAGTAGCAGCTATGCGGAGAAGTCCTAAAACCGTCGCGGGGGGTTCTCAAAACCATTCCCAAGGACTTCATCAATCTTCTTCAGATGGTCGCCATTCAGCTTCTTCGCAACTTCCAGAGCCGCCACGTTCTCATCAACCTGAGCTGGACTCGAAGCGCCAATGATTACGGACGAAACATTCTCATTCTTCAACACCCAAGCCAACGCCAACTGCGCCAGCGAAACGCCCAACTCCTGCGCCACCGGCTTCAGCTTCTCCACCAACTCCAACTCGCGCTGCCACGTCTCGTTCCCAAACGTCTTGCTGTACGCCACCGAGTACTTGTCTTTTGCTGTAGCTAGCCGACTGTCCGCTGGAGGCTGACTCTGCCCATTGTACTTGCCCGTCAGGATACCTTGCTTCAACGGTGAGAACACGGTGAGGCCGAGTCCGTACTTCTCGTACAGCCAGCGGAACTCGTTCTCAACCTTCTCACGCACGAGGAGGTTGTACTGCGGTTGCTCGACCGCGGGTCCGATCAGGTTGAGCTTGTCAGCGACGCGCCATGCGTCCGCGATTTCGACTGCGCTCCATTCGGAAGTGCCCCAGTAGAAGGCCTTGCCGGAATTGATGAGGTAGTTGAAGCCCCGGACGATCTCTTCGATGGGAGTGTCGCGGTCGGGACGGTGGGCGTAGACGATGTCGACATAAGGCAAGTCGAGGCGTTTGAGGGAGAGGTTGAGGCCTTCGATGATGTGCTTGCGGGAGAGTCCGACGTTGTTGATGGGATTGGAAGGGTCCGCGGAGTTGTTGAGGCCGAAGTATACTTTTGTTGAAATCACGAGGTCGTTCTGCTTCCAGCCAAATTTCTTGATGGCTTCCCCGAGCACGATCTCGGCTTTCCCGGCGGAGTAGTTCTCTGCTGTGTCAAAGAAGTTGATGCCGGCATCGTACGCTTTCTTGAAGATGTCAAACGCGTGTTCTACGAAGAAAAGATTAGTATGTACATCTTAAAGCCGGAGTGCTTCTTGCTTCGGGATTTCAATACCGTTATTGACATGTCCTCCGTACGTGATCCAGCTGCCAAGAGAGATAGCGGAAACCTTGAGGCCAGTTCGGCCGAGATGCCGGTATTCCATCTTCATGGGAGCAGATATCCTAGACTTGGCTTGGGTACTCGAGTGGGACGAGGGATGAGAAATCGGGTTGAAGGTGGTTCCGTGGTCTTTTATGTCTACTTGCTGTGGAGACCTCGCGAAGGCGTCATCACTGCACGGATGTCGATCTTCAGCTTTGATGTGGGCATAGGGTCCATAGATGCATTGCTGTGGGTCCTTCACGGTATCTAAAAGCTGATTACCAACTGCTGATCCCCAACTCAGTCGCTGCAACCGCCTCCGAGAATAACTACATATCTATTTCATTCGGGAATCCACTTCAATACCATCAAGCTACCGCCTTTACGCCCGCCCTAGCAGACTTGGAATCGTCATAAACTAACCCATCGGTATTGACGCTGGAACGAATCTCTAAGTCTGAGCCTTGAGAGTCGTCGTTTGAACCAGCCTTACCGCTAGTCAAAGACTGCCGATGCTGCAGGTACGCAAGCGCAACGGCGGTGATTGCAAGCAGAAAGCAGAATCCAGCCGCTGTGTAGTTTCCAGCAACAACAGCGGGCTGATCGGTGGTCTTGAAAACGGCGAGCGGCACAGTAGCAATGAATGTCCAAGCCCAGACATTGAGCCCAGCGGACGCCCAGGCACGGGTTCCAGGATCGCCAGATAGAGTATCCTGTGTCCATGCCCAGAACATACTGTTGCTAGCCTGCGCCCAGCCGGTTTGGTAGTAGAGAAACCAGCGAAAGGCGCGATTCTTGGGGAAAACGGGCGTAGAACCCAAGAGGACGCAGACGATGCCATTCACCACACCGCCCAGTACCAGCATTGGCCAGCGCCGGCCTCCTAGCCAGGTATCGCTCGACCATGCCATGAAGAGGGTCACCACAACCGTGACGGCTTGGATCGGGGTCGTGTAGTTGTTGATTTGTGGGACGGTGAAGGATTTGGGATGCTTTTTATTCCAGGCTTTGAGCCAGAAAGCCATTGAACCCGATGGCTGATTGCCGATGGAGTTGCAGATCGAAATGACCCAGAGAAGCCAGATATCCGGGGTCAGGAGCCAACGCTTCATTTGCTTTCTGGTAAATCTACCCTGCTTTACTCTTCCTTCGCGAGGGTTTCTGTCTCGAGCTATCTCAATTTCCTGTTCCCATGTTAGAAGGTCATCACATCCGTGTCTTGGGGAAACTTGCCTTCTCAGTGAAAACCCAGTCAGGCTTTTGACGCGAGGGAACGTCGGGGTAAAACAGACACTGCGGGATGATGATCCCAATGGAGATGACGCCGTCAACGATGAAGAGCCATTGCCAGCCAGCCATGCCGTGTCTACCATTCAGTCCGGTGTACGCGGCAGCTTGCAAGTAAGAGCTAAACATGGGTCCGATGGCGGTAGCACAATTGATGATGGCAAGTCTTCTTGACAGCTCCGATTTCTGATACCAGGCACCGCAGAGGTACACAATGGCAGAGTAGTGACCAGTCTCAAACAAGCCCGTCAGAGTCCGCAAGACGTACATTTGAAGCGGTGTTTTCATCGCCGCCTGCGCAAACGTGCAGATCGTCCACCCGGCCTCCAGGAGTGGGATGAACCATTTCGGATTAGATCTGGTGAGCATGAGATTGCATGGCCATACGCCGATAATGTTCGCAATAGAGAAGGCAGTATTTGCGTAGTTGAGTTGGTTGCCATAGAGCTTAAGGTCCTCTTTCATTCCCGAAACAAATGCGGAGTTGATGTTGGATCTAGTGGGAAGGTGTCAGCGGAGCTCTATAAGATTGGGAGGAGCATCGTACCTATCGATGTACTTAATAAACGTCCCAAGGCAGCCAAAAGTCATGAGGGTCAAGTCGAGCTTGAAGATCAACCTTCGTTCCTGGACTTTGGGTTAGCGCTGCCATTTGAGTGTCTTTCGTTGCGAAGAGAAGATGGTATTACCTCCGGCGACTTGTCCCAAGAATCCCAGAAGTAGCTCTTCCAGGACTGGTTCTTGGTGGAGACATCAACATTCCCCTCGATACCAGCAGGTGAGACGTGGGCAATATTCTTGCGAGCAACATTCTCCTCAAGTGGAGAAACGTGAGCGTTTACCATGGTCCCGAATGTCTGGGAAGCACGACGATCTTGGATTGAAGGTGTCTGCAGGGTGGGCATTTAAAGGCTGCAGCTTCAGAGTGCTGTGCATCTAGATCCGCGCTGGATCTGAACTATCGAAGCCCGTCATCAATGCCATCGAGCACGAATATCCTGTGGTCTTGGAAGAGGTGAATGAAGTGCCCAGCCTTCCTGCATTATGACTCGAGATAGGCTCCCAGATGGTCTAGTAGATGTCAGTCATGTTGGGAATGGTTCGTGGTGTTGTGAATAGGTTGACTGAAGAGTGGGTAGTTTAGGGACCGCGCGAAGCTACGCGGATGACAACATTATTCCTGGTCCATACGTGCCTCGCTAATCATATTTACACGACGGGAATCGGCCATAGACCCTGCATTTGATAACGTACCATGCGTGCCACGCGTAACAAGCTGCGGATAGAAGGCCGATGTTCGCAAAGAAGTGTTCGAAGAACCCCCGCGAAGCAGGTCACCTCAATGCTCTTGTTAAGAAGGCATGCAACTACTGACTCATTGTGTTGAGCATTGCTTGCGCTCATAGTCCTGCAATTGCAGAGTGATATAGTGATTGCTGAGTCTTGATTTGTGTCTCCGTCGGCTGACGATACTGAGCATGGCGACAATAACCTCCACGACCACGCTTCAAGACAGCGACCTCACCCTCGAAGTATTTGACATACCTAGCAGTCGAGTTGTCCACGGGAAAGCCTTTCCTCTTGGGCTTCACCCTAAAGATGGAGCAGTTCCTGGAGATATCAACTCCGCCGTTCGCTATCTCGAGAACATTGCAAAGACTGGAGCGTTTCGGTCTCTCCTATCGCAGCGTAAGTACTTGTGAGCATTGGGATCCTCTCCGTCTTACTTATGGGAATGCAGATGGTGCTATCCTCTTCCGCGGCCTCCCCATCAAGAACGCTCAAGACTTCTCCAAATTCGTCACCGCATTTCAGCTCCCACAACCACATCGCGAGGTTGGGCTGGCTGGAAAGAGAACGACTGTGACAACAAATATCAAGACCGCGAACGAGGAACCTCCGGATGTGAAGTTTTATTACCATTCCGAGTACGGTCGAAGCGCGTACTTTCCGGGAGTTCTCTTCTTCTTTTCTGAGATTGTTCCGGAGCAAGGGGGCCAAACTCCGCTACTTTCATCTCTCGAGCTCTACGATAGACTAGCGGCAGATCTTCCAGAGTTCTTGAAAGACTTGAGCGAGAAAGGTGGGAACGTCATTCTGATCAGTCGGACATCGCTAACGATGAAGTCAAGGAATCATTGGAAGACAATACTTCCCTGCGAAAGACGACCCAGAGGCTGAGCACATCGGCTGGAATTGGAAGGCAAGTCCCTCGAAGAGTTGCTTCAACGCATATTGACTGGAGGAGCAGGACTCCTACGGATTCGAGATCAAAGATGGAGACTCGCTCGAAGTTCAACGCGAGAAGGTCGAGACTGTGCTCCGCGATACGCTGCAAGCAAAAGCCGAATGGCAGCCAAATGGATCGCTCCATGTTTTACAGCATCTCCCTGCCATCCGTCGCATTGGTTCTACCGGAAAGCCAACATTCTTCAACGGATTCGCTGGCGTGTATGGACGAGGAAGAGACAACAACGCCCTTGAACCTCCATATCGCGGAATTGATGAGAAGTATCATCTACCTACAACGTATGGGGATGGTACCGCTATCCCGGTCGAATATCAGGAGCGATTACTCGAGATTTCGGACGAGATTGGCTTCTTGACTCCGTGGCAGCCGGGCGACGTTGCGCTGATTGATAACTATACAGTCCAGCATGCTCGAACCCCTTGGAAAGGAGATCGTTCGCTGCTTGTTAGCTTATGGGATGGCCATGAGAAATTCGTTCCGTTGTAGAATCCCCCGGGCGTTCGCTAGTGAAGCGATAGAATGCTCAAATCGAGCCATGAATAATATTGCATCCTAGAAAATTATGATTCGAATATTCTATCCACAATTTGACCTAGTCTCTGAACTCTGTAAATTATCTGCTATATTCTGCGTGCAACGTTAGCTTGATCTAAGGTAGTAGCGGGGTACTTCTGTACACGACCGTGTGCCGTATCTCTTGGCCCGCCCCACGAGTCATTCTTTTCCCATCACGCAATTCACTGCCACGGTCACAACATCTTATTAGTCTTTCGGCTTTCTCTAGGTTTTAGAGTGTAAAATCGGAGAAAGCATGGAGTACGGCTGAATGATTTAGCTATGCTCCACAGCTTCATGACTCTCGGCCTACTGAGACGACCCACAAGTTAAAGTGGGATTCCAATACTCACGTTCATAGCGGCTACTGGAAATCGGATGATATTGATAGCGTCGAGCAACCTCGGAGTGGCCGCGCTCAAGAGACCTCGGAAGCATGGTCCGTCAAACAGCGATAGACATTCGAATTTGGCGCGAGGCAAAAAGCTGCGATACCTCGAGTTCGCCTGGGTATTCACCGGTCAAAGGATACGCTGCTTCGCACGGTAACCATGTCATCATCATTTTCTTCCATCCCTACCATTGATTATGGTCGACTCAAGAATCCGACAACGAAAGCCGCAGAACTCATCAAACTACGTGATGCCATCTTCGTTGTTGGCTTTCTCTACCTCGTGGATTCGGGGCTGGAGCCATTAATAAAGAGAACTCATGACGCGTTGCCATGGGTATTTTCATTACCCGCCGAAGTGAAGGAGAAGTCCAATATGCGCAACTCGCCGGCATTCCTGGGATACACTCAGCTGGGATCCGAGACGACAGCAGCGCAGACTGATCTCAGAGAGGTAAGCCGACAACTTTTTCGCTGATGCATGTCAATGAGGCCAACTCCTTCGACCTTTGACTCGAGGTTTCGTTTATAGTTGGATTTTTTGCAGCCTAACGCATTGTTGCAGCAATTTGATTTCGGAACCTCCGTTGAAGCAAAAACGACAGCCGACGAACCGCGGTGGACAGGGTTAGAAGGGCCTAGCCAGTTTCCAGCCAATCCCGAGGTAAAAGCCTTCGTAACGCGATATCTAATGGCAATGCATTCACTCTCTAGATCTTTCTTGAGGCTGGTGGGAGAATCGTTATCACTCCCGCCAACCACGTTTGACGGGTTCCTGGGTGATATGGATAGGCTCAAGTTTGTAAAGTACCCGCCCGCGGCTCCAGGATTGCAAGGGGTGGGCCCTCATAAAGATTCGACGGGGCTCTTTACATTTCTTTCGCAAGATAATGTCGGGGGTCTCGAGGTGCTCAATAAAGATGGCGACTGGATTCCAGTGCCGCCCGTGGAAGGAAGTCTAGTCGTCAACATTCAACAGGGCTTTGAAGCGATTACTGGTGGTATTTGCGGAGCGACAACGCATCGGGTGATTGTGCGTTGGCTGTACCTGCGTTTGATCCAAGGGCTAATCTTTGCTAGGCTCCGACAGACGTGACTCGCTATAGCATTCCGTTCTTCCTTGGTGTCCGGTTGGATCTAACCTTAGATCAATTGAAGGAGTCAGCAGCTCATATTACTGCGAAGATTCCTGTGACGGATGATCGGAAGAAAAGGGCAGTGGACGTGCCCAGCGAGTTCCTTTCCCCGCAATATTCTTGTGTAAGTTTTCATGTCTGAACGGGTGGATAAAAGATGGTTGGCTGATTCGTCTGAATAGTTCGGAGAGGCTCAGTTAAGAAACAGGGTGCTTAGCCATCCAGACGTGGGGAAGAGATGGTATCCGGATCTTTATGAAAGGTATTCAAATGAGGTACTGGGTTGAACATCGATGTGTCAATGGTATCTTCGCGTCCAGTATAGGCATAATCTTCGGCTTGTGCCGGCTGGCATCCTAGGGTAATTGAAAATTTGCGCCTCTCTGAAGGATTCTGTAAATAACATTGGTAGTACTCTTCAGGTAGCCGAATAGGAAATTGAGTCTTCGGAAAGTGCGTGTCCTGTGAGCCAGCAGCTGTGCTAGTTAGTCTCTTAGCCTTCGTCGTGTCGTCTTGGGAAATTATTTTGATATCCTCATCAGAAAGTTCCGATCTGTCGGCGTATTTGAGTCGCGGTGCCCCTTTCGTGAGTCCTGCATCCCGATGACAAAGAGGGAGCTGAGGGGACTGGACTTCTTCGCTTGCTGATCACGGAGCTTGCACGTAGGAGCACTTAGCTGAGCTTAGTCTCAGCAGGCTATGTTTCAAGAACGTAAGAGAGGAGAACCGGAGAAGAGGATGCGGAGATATTGGTATGCCGCGGGCAGATGATTTTCCGCACCGCGAAACCTCGGCATCCAGCATCGCGACCTGACTTCGACCAAGGCCCAACTCTTAAACCGCAACAGCTTCCCATCCTACTGCAATTGTACCTGGCTTCGAGCTCAACGTCCACACGACTGCCGCCATCAGATTCTGTGGCACAGTGTGCATCCGGGGTTAAAGATGGGGGTGAGGTGACGGCGAGTCTCGCGACGTTAATACCTTGGAAGGACTCTTTTTTTGCGGGTTCGAATCGCGCTTGGTTCATTCTTATTTTGTTCTTCTTGAGCAAGCAAGTACTAGGTGTGCAACCCCTTTTTACCACCTATGCGACATTTTCTACATAATTGAACTACGAGAGAACTCTACCGATTCCATGGTCACGTGATATTCAAAGGACTAGCTCCCCACCGCCTATCCAAAGACCGTAAAACCCACAGCAGGGTTCGAGAAGAGATGGTTTTGAATGGCTCAACTTATTGGCCCGACGCCTATACTTGCGTCGGCCTTCTCACGGCTCTCAACCGACCTCAAGCTGGAAGTCTTCGATTTCGTGCGGTCGAAGATCGACCAAGGCAATGCACGCCTTGTGAGTTGGGTACGTGAGCCCTTTAAGGCAGGGTATTCCAGCGAACGGAAGTCCTATCGGGATCTTACCTTGAAGCGCTTCACGGCAGAAAACGCCGAGTACATGTTGCTTCCGTTCCTGAATCCCGAATGCTTTCTTAGGAACGGAATCAAACGTGTTGCCGTCACAATGTTTAAATTTAGTTTGCGCACCCTCTTCACAAGCCCAGGATTTCTTTGAAGAACGTTGAAAAGGGCTTCTAGTCGACGCAGCTCCCTTCTTCTCTGGCCCAATAATCCGGGATACGGAGTGAAACCAACGTCTCGAAACAAGATTTCTTGAGCACACTTGGCGAACTTCCTAGATACTTGGGAGAAACGAGCTAGATCATTTCTGTCTTCCAAAGCCGAAGGGTTGTCCGCATTCAATAGTTTACAGGCTTCGTAGTAGCGCTCACACCGACACCTAAAGTTTGACAGGATGATGACCAGAATTTCATCCGGAAGATCTCCTAGACGAGTCGAATTTGGCGGTGCAACAGCTAGAATGCCCGCGGTTGAGGGCCGAGCATCATCCATATCGTGATCTGTGGCTGGTATCCAGGTCGTCTTGCCCCGAAAAAAGGTAGAGGCTAGCCAAAGTTGAAAGAATGCGAAGATGTCGACGGAAAGAATAGTTTTTCGAAGGTAGGATACTCCACATTTTGTTCTACAGGCTATGTATGTGTGGAGTGGTAGTGTTACCGTGGTTAGCCGTGCTGAAGGTATTATAGCGAGGAATACACACAATCATAATCTCATTACGGGCATGTGACCGACTTCGGTGCTACTAACCTTCTACTACATCAATCATTAGGGAGATATGAGCGGGGAAGTAAGCACCATTGTATGCACCATCAGGTCATAAGATTAGGCACATAATTATACCACTGCTCGGGCGCCAACTCCGCTCGCTCGACACCACTGTGAGAAGTAGTTCTAGCCTAGCTAGCAGGTAGTCGGTGGTTCAAAAGGCAACTTTCTTTCTACTGCATCGGGCCTGACATCGTATTTAGAGTCTCAAAAGCCCCAAGAGGCACCCCAAGTAGTGACAGCAGTAGTGCCCAAACTTATGTCCTAGTACTGCCAGGATGATACCACAAAGTCTACAAGGAAAAGGCTACGGAAGGGGGAAAATAATGGCCGAAGGTGAGATCTTCAGCCAAAAACACGATGTATTATCATAGGCTTTTCTCCAAGCTTCCATGTCTGGCATATATGAAGCCACAAACTAATTGTACGCCCGACAAATTTTACGATGGGAACAACTTCTTAGTAGCCTAATGAGTTCTAAAATGTGGTGATTCGATCTATTCTAGCCTGTCCCCCTCCGACAGGCATACTCGTTTCCTTGGAGAAGTCGTTGTCAGAGGCAGAGATGTCGTATCAAGGGAGAAGCTGAACTCCGGCTGCCTCAAACCTTTCTATCAACCCAAATCTCTCCATCTCCCGCCGACAATGCTCTTCGCACCTATGATAACGGTACCGAGGGGTATCTTTTTCGCGAATGTGTGCGAGAAGAATGCGCCGCAGATAGGGAAAGCGATCACCCGCAAGCTCTAAGGTGAACTCAGAGAGTAATACTTAGACCAAATGAGTCCCCGATTGGGCCAAGAAGCATCGTAGGGTAGTTGATAAGTTGAACAAATGTACTCCAGGGTCGGAACCATAACTGCTCGAGTGACCTAGGCAGTCTTTGCGCAAGTGCTTGCCCTACAAGCTCGCGGTTAGGCGGGTTTTCAACCCAGTTGATGAGACAGCTGCTGTCGACATCGAGGACGCGCAAACACTCGAAGTGAGCGAATGACGCCGGAGTATCGGCAAAGACATGTATCGTGATGTGCTGCAGTGTCTTGCTGCTCATCGCCAGGTCATCCACAGCCATCTGAGGGCTGATATCTCCGAGATGTCCGACATCCCGATCCAGGCTCAAAAAAAAAGCGCTGTAGCGCTTTGAAGCGGATGATGTCAGGCTCACAATAGGCATAATGATTCGCTCCCAGAATGCTAATTTCTGCGACATTTGAATCGTATCGCTTCCCGAGTATATGCCGCCCCGGATTTCCCTTATAGTAGCCATTGAAATCAAACTCGAGCCTCTGTAGGGAAGGGAGAGACATGAGTGATGCATTCGAGTCCAGCGCAGGTAACTGGAAATGAGAAGGAAGGCAAAGAAGGCTTTCCGAAATGCCATAAATATCGAGCACCTTCAATGATCACAGAATTGGTCTCGAGGGGAGCAAGGCAAGTGTAGAGAGTAGCGGTATTGCGCCGCAAAGACCCAATTCGAGTCTCCGCACGTTCGGTACCAAAGCCAAAAGGCCAGCACCTAAGGCCTCATACGCAATCTGAGAATTCGTTTCTCCGGTATGCGGATTTGATGCCTCCAGCCAAGCCAGCTTCGTCTCCCGTGGCAGGCTCAGCTCTTCCACAAGGTCCGACAAGACACGTTCGACGGTGGCGATTTCGGCGCGGTAATTATAGTCAAAGTGATCGAAAAGATTGAAGTGTAGGCTCTTGACCTTCCTAGCAAGTCCTGGATGCCGGTGTAGTACCATGAAGAGACGCGCTAGTCGAAGTGGCTCCTGTGAGGGCATGAATGGTGGAAAAAGACACGTAGTATTGTGCGGCGACAAAATTAAAGTTGGAGCCCAACCATGGTGCTGTGTCTCGCCACACACGTCTCTGCCACCGTTTATGGTGTCTCATGGTAATTTTATACTGCCGGTTCAGACGGAAGTCCGCCTTTTGAACAACTGATATACTCATCAAGCCGCCCCAGACAGCGGTAGAGAAGTGTACACACTGCAGAGATTAGAAGTGTCGACCAGGATTTCTGAAAATACTACGAGACACCACAAGCAGTGGCAGAATAGTGTGCGAATATCTATGACGAGCCACAATAGATCACGAGCAGAACATTCCCAAATATGGCGCTATCTGTATGAGAGCGGCAATTAATGACTAATTACACACTCGGTTTGGAAGAAGCATAGAAATTTTAAGGCGAAAACGGATAGATATGCGAAACAAAGCCATCCTTTCGGAAGATTAAAGAAACAGAGCCACCCTGCCAATTAACCAGAAGATGCTCTGATCCATTGCTACATTACGAGCGCCCCCAGTAAATATCGCTAGCGGGCTCGATAATGTTGCAGTCGGTGATGTTCCATTCATGCTGTGTGAAATGTGATATGTCGGGGATTCAAGCGCTGATACAGAGGGGACAGCTAGTGAATCCGAAGTCAAAGGCGAGGGCACTTCGCCGGCGCAGGTAGGGCACGGTCCATAGATTTCAGAAGCCGAGAATGCCTCTGGCGAAACGTTGGAGGCCGGGAACGTGGACACGGTCTCAGAAGGATACAGTGCGACTGCATTAGATTCAGTCCATTGGATGGCCGCGGTGGTAGAACAACCCGGTAGGCCTGCTATGCTTGTGCCCTCAACGGTCGTAGACGTCCCTCCATAAATACACTTTTCTCCGCCACAATGGGGCGTGATTACCGGGAGAGGCACGTGGCAGCCCGAATAACATGGAACGTGGATCGTGGTAGTGACAGTTGAAGTCGAGTATGATGTGCTATCCCCAGTAGTAATCGGGCACGAGGAGTAGTAGATAACAGTTCTGTAAACGGATGTTAGCAATAAAGTATCGGTATGTTAGTCTGCAGTTCATACCTTGTCAAAGTTGTCACCGCAGACTCATGGGTGGGAGCGGGCTGGGTTTTGTCACACGAAGAAGAAATCGGTGTGGGTGTAACATATAGTCCGGACGAGTTGTGATAAGACCGCGTACTGGCGGAGGGAGTGATCAGTGTAGGCGTCAGACCGCCCGTCGAGTTCGTAAAGGAAGCGTAACTGTTGGTACTGGTAGAGCTAGTTGGCAGTGTAAAATTGGTGAAAATATAGCTGCTAGTGCTCGTTTCACTATCATCGGGTGGCAGTGTCATGTTGGTTGAATTCGACACAGGGATACTGGTCAGTATTCCAGGGAGAACTCGTTGATAAGCGGCGCCGGATACGTCTTCTCCAGTGAGATAGACATTGAAGGGCACGGCTGGAATCGTTATGAAGCCGAAAAGATAATTCTTGGGAACATGATATTCGTCCTCTCCCGAACCAGCGTGGACGTCCACGATGTTAAGTACATCCCCAGTCAATGAGCGTACCTCAATACCGGCAGATTTGTAGTCTCCGGAGATCACAGCGCGCGAGATGATTGAAGATGCCCTAGTCGGAGTGTCTGCGAGAGGGAAGAGGCCAATGTGTCTGCTGCCGCGAAATTCAAGGAGCTCAAAAATCGCCATTCGTAGGTCGCTTTTCACGAAGACGGTCAAATCGACCGCCTCATCACCTTCAACTTCTACGGTCCATTCGCCAGCTGTGGGGTTGAGAACGGTGATGAAAACACCATTGGCAATAGATACGGATGACACTCCGGGATCTGTAAGCTTGAAATCCGATCCAGCAGGCACAGAAAGATTCAATGTCGAACCGCCGCTCATCGCAATAGTGATGCTCTCAGCTTCAGAGTCAACCGGAAAGCTATGCGTCAGCAATCGAGCTGCTTCCCTCTTCAGCGCCGGGGCCGACGCAGGGTGGTGAGCCGTTAGAATTTGGACAATGTTCTCCTGAATGATTGCCGTCGCGAGATCTGCCGTCCTCCCTGCATCAGCTGTACTGAGGAAGTTGACTAAGCGACCACCCGTCTGTGCCGTGACGAGATCAAATCCTTCTGGGGTCGAGCACTCGCTAATGAACTGGAAGACTGTAATCTGAGTGCTCTTGTCGCTGGCCATCTTTGCCACACCAGGTGCCGTGTCGGCGTCTTTTGCAGCAGCATCTGTCCACAGGAACATTTGGCCACTTCCTGGCATTCTTTGAATAGCGTTCATGAGCCCGCCCATCGCTAGCTCTGGGCAATCGTCACCGCCACTGCCCCAAGAGCTGAGATTGCTGCAATGAATTGATCTGCATCATCGAAAAAGTTGGCAACGGGGACGAAGGGGTCATTGAACGGAGCAAGTACAAAAACACTGGGTGCGTCGAGAGTGCCTCTTCGGTCGTTGACGATCTTGATAGTAGCATTACGGACACCAGCGATGACGCTGCCCATACTTCTAGTAGTGTCGATCACAAAGGCGAGAGTTGGCCCAAGGCCGTATAGTAACCGAAGTAGTGCGCAAACCTTCCGTTCCGTGTTGCCACACATGTCGTCTGCTAGCTCATCGAGATACTTGTCCGTTGCCTTTTCAGCTAGGTTTGCGGCGATCTTATGGTTGAACCAATGCGGACTGTAGAATGACGAGCTGGTGTCCTTGCATATCCCTTCAAGGCCAAAAGCGTCTCTGTCGAATGGACCTCCATGGCTACATTTGCCTCGTGGTTTGTGAGTGTGTATAGCTTCGTTGGAGCCAAAGTATCCGGTTGTGAGATATCCTCCGCCGCTGGCGAATGAGTCAAGAAGGTTCGCTCTGCATTCGGGATTCTTAACAGCGGGAGCGACGATCATGCACACCGCTGTCTTCTTCTTACTTGGTTGCGACATGGGGTCGTGAGCAACCACCTTAGCTCTGCATTTGTCCGCCTTCTCGGTTTGTTCCGCAGTGTTCGTCTTGAACAAGGTATCGTATGTACAGTTCTGGCACGTTTCGAGGTCACCCGCGAGAGGAATTCCGAACTCTCCCCCTTTCAACGGAAGCCCAATTGCTTCATTGATAGTATCGGTGTTTCCTAGTTCGACCCAGTTGGACTGCGAACAGAAGTCTTGGAGGGTATGTAGCACTCTGCCATGCTCTCGCGTGGCTATGAGGTTTCCGGCTTTGAGATAGACGATGACTTCCTGCTTTTTTGCTACCAGACGTTCGTTGCCTGCCTCAAAGGACTCGTCGTCGAAATGACAGTGTGGTTTTTCAGCTTCCTCCAGATAGTCGTTGTGATCATCCACAGCCATGGATCCATCGGTGATGGCCTTCCTCGCATCGTCCATGGATTTGGTGGATTTCTTCAGGTCAAAGTAGACGGGATACCTGCTCATGATAGCAGCAGCAGAAATGCCTTCGTGCGGTCTACCATATTCGCTGACATAGTTCTGCCCATCTACTCCCTTGAGCCAATCGTAGCCAGGCAAAGGGTGGCCTAGCACCAGCGACCACGAAGGGTTGAAGGTGGAGGAGAAATGAGCCAAGGAGAGTAAAATTGACCCTAAACGAGTGGCTTGCATTGATAGCATCTTGGCACTGATGCTCAAGCGAATGACTAGGAGAAAAAAATGAATAGAGATAGAATGCAATTTTAAACATGGACAGGAAGCTTATGTATAAAAGAGTAGTCGATCTAGCATCTGGAAGTTGAGTTCTCACCATCACCATGGCGCGCTCAATACGCCGTCGGTCCCCCCCATCTCCGTAATTGTTGATCGTGCGGCTGAAGTGGCAGATTCTGTGGTACCAACATTTAATTACTCTAAATCTTCATGAGACAGGTCTTGCCCTAAGAAGGCAGCAAGATCAGCGTGTGGCTTTCCGTGCGACTACTCAATGAATGCAGGTAGAACTTACGCCTGCGACTATACCGTATGAAACATCATATGACCCGACAGCGCGACTGGACACGAGCTCGCAACCATTGATGAACTTTGTTGATGAACTCTTCTCGTGTCTTAAGCCTCAGATTCCACGAGACGATTCAGCTGAAAGCATTTCTTGCGCAGCATATCTATAAACGAAGTCGCCGTTGCCCTTGAGGCTGAAATCCGGTGAAGGTCGCTGCGGAATGGCTTTCACCAAGGAATCTCCCAAGAAAGTGATCCGAATCTGGGCCAGTCCGGGCAAGGCGCGTCCTATCTAGAATCCTGCCAAGCTCGGCATACTCAGGCTTGCTGAAGGGTGCCAATATTTGCTCAGGATTGCATAGCTCCATGGCACACGGTGTGCCCACTTTCTCGCACCCAAGTCCTCCATAACCGGCCTCTAGAATAGCGGCCCCAATAGTGCATCCACAACCTCTCAAAGAAACCTCGCTCTCCCCTCCTCATCTTGTACAAGCTGGGCCGTCGTAGTCTTCGCAAGTCGCAGCATCTCCTCTCTCGTTAGCTCAAACCTCCCCGCGATCTTCATAGCGTCGTCCAGTGCGCAAAACAGAACGGCCAGGCTCGACGACTTCCAGGTTCTTTCCGCCATGCCGCCAGGGGACTGCAGTATGAGGATGACCAGGAATACCGTAGCTAAGCCGACCAGCACGGCCGGGAAAGAGAACCAAGCCCACCGTACCTGGACACACGTAAATCGGACCGTCACATCGCCTGGTGCCCAGCCCCCTGACCCTTCATTTCCGCGCTGCCTAATGGTCGAGGTCATGGTATCCGTGAGATCGCTCATGATCTGATTCACAGAGGAGAAGTTTGCATACCCATTCTCCCATAGCTTCCTAGCGTTCAACAGCCCTATTCCGGTTGTACCTCCTCCCTGTTGAATCGTTAGGTTGTCGAAATCCGCAATAAGCTGATCGCGGATGGCGCGGTCGGAATATAAGCCAAACTGCCAAACGCACTCTTTAGGCCACAGCGTACCATTGTCGACTACTAGAATCCGATTCGGAGCCGCATCAATATTCGCAGTCGAGACAACTACGAACTCGGAGTTTATTACATCGTAGGTATCTGTTGTATTGAACAGCATGGCAGGAACAGGAGTGCAGTTCTCCCGTTGGCCGTTTCGTAGCGTTTGCGTGGTTGCGAGCAGGTAGGACATGAATGATGGGTCGAACGTATCTGCTATCGCGTTGGCTCCCATGGGTGCTGTAGATAACACAGTTTCGTTCAATACGGTATTTGTCATCGAAGAGTTGTATGTCTTCACGCACGGAGTGATACGGCAGTCGACGGCGAAAGGGCTTTCCGTCAGGGGTATTTGTAGGACTACAACCTGGAGAATTGTGGAGTTGTCGCCGCGGGACACACTTGTCTGCAGTGATATCCCCCGCCCGACCTCTATGAAACGACTATCCGAAGATAAATCAGACAATGTGTAGTTGTAGTCGGATCCCGTGTCATGTTGTGACTGTATCATCGCCGATACATCTTGACAGGAATGGCAAATCCCAAGTGTTTGAAAGAGGCCAAATGTACAATTTCCAGATGTGCATTCAGCTTGCACAAGAGAGGATGCATCGATGGGTGGGTTGACTAGACCCGTGGTGATTGCAAAGGCCATAGGACCATCAATCTCAATCTTGCCTGTTTGTAGTTGATCCCCATACGCCGTGTATGTATTAGCTCTAGAGATCGCGCCGCGCAGTGTGGTGCTATTACGATCAGAGGCGAAAATACGATAACAGTCGACAAATTCCACCATTTGTTGCGTAAATGGGTCGGTTATGAATGCAAGAACGGCAAGGAGAGCGGCGAATTTTGCAAAGTATTTCCGAAAGTTCCTGCTGCTGATTAGAAACGTGTCCGTTTAACATGCCAACCGCTGTAACGCTACTTACTGCCTCTGCCATTCAAATGGAAACAATAGAACTCGCCAAGGGCGATGCCAGGAGTAGACTAATTCTGTGGTATCCATTTTAAAGATGAACCGGAAAGAGCCCCAGGCGTCCCGACTAGCTAAATCAAAATGCTCAAGATCAATGAGATCTTGTGGGCGTTCGCCAAACCATTGCCATTTTAACTGGCTGATACCTTTACTTCTCTGTTAGAATTATCGATAATAGACGTAGTACCCATGCATGGTATTTACCTTCAGTTATTGGGAGAGAAACGGCGGCTTTTAGGAGGCCAGTCAAGATAGAAATAAGCGCGTTTATTGAAATGTGAAGTGGCCAACGATGTAGAGGCTTTTGTTGGTTCATGCGAAGAGTCAAGCTGATAAGCATCAGCGAAAAAATAGCAATAACGCAGCTGCAGATCTCTGCGACGAAACCGTGATGCCACCGTTGTTTTGTTCGCTGCCAAACAGATAAGCTCCTTTTTGCCTTAGGCTTTATAGTGCTCGTGGTCGATATTAAGGTCGATTTTTCTGCTGCCGAAGTCTGTCGTTCCTCTGCATCTTCGTGGGACGGATTGCGCCGATCAGGTTCCCGAGGCGAACCCCCGTCGCTTGTTAACGTGCACGACGATGAATCCGCAGTGGAAGCTTGAGGCTGCTCATGATGTGACTCTCGGGAATCGGGGAACTCGTAGCTTTCCTCTACCGAAGAAACCGAAGAAGCAGAAGTAATCGATGAACACGAGGCGAGGCTAGCATTCATAAGACTTTCCATACTAGATGAGGCTATCAAGACGAGGTAGGAGTAAGAGTAGAAGACACTATAAACGTATGATTTAGATCGAACACATAGGGCGACGCTGTTCAATGTCATACACGAAGCACGAAGTAAACGCAAAACTAAAGAAGGAGAGAGCTCATGCATGAGAGGGGAAGCTTCCAGGATGAGGATCGGCCTTGATGCCGATAAGCCTGCAGGAAGGCTGTGATGCTGCATCGTATCTGCGGGCGTTTTCATCCCAAAAAGACCTATTTTAAGACCTGACTGCTCTGCATAGTGATAGGTTCTTTCATGCGGCAACGAGGGGGCTATAAGCTGCGGGGGACATGAAGGCTGAACACGTGGGGATGCTCTGGTGGCTGTCGGCTTTCTTGCGATGGCGATGGCTATGGCGAATGAGACAATGAGGGCAGTCCAGGCTGGAAGAAGCGACGAGGACTCTGCGGCATTGGAGCAGCAGATTCGAGGTCGCGAATCTTCTCAAACGGGACATGTTGGGCTTGCCGGTGATGTTCTGATTAAAGAAAGGTACAGAGGCGCGATGAAGGGATCGAGGTTGTGGTGCTGGGTGAGTACAGTACCACAGCTGGCATGAAAGAAGTGGCACACTAATCAAGTACTCTTCAAGTACTCTCCCCATCTGCCACTGCTTAAGTACTTCGGCAAGTCTCCACGTAGCCTAAGGTGAAGAGCTTCTATCTCGTTCGGATTCCTGAAAATGCATTGAAGCAACCCAAGCAGTGGCAGACAGGTGTACACACGAGACAGCTTGTTCTAGCATTAAAGCGCCACATTTCGAGAAGGAGGACTAGTCACGTGCAGCACGGACAAGCTCTGGCTAAACTGAATGCAGCTCATTCACAACATCCTCATTCACCAACAACAACAAACCAAATGTTGCGCAACGCCGGATCTCACCCGGAGATGGGGCCATGAACTAGGACTCACTGGAATGGCGTGAACTATTCTCAAATTGCTCTCACGACAACCGAATTACCACAAGCCGCGCGACCTCCACCACCTCGCATCAATCAACACCGCCCTTCACCATGGCGGCGCGCAACCAAAGCGTGCCCACATATGACTTCCTAACGGGCGCCTCGTCTCCGCCGCGAGTGCCTTTCCGAGGAGCTGAAACCCTTCGGACCTCTCACATTTCACGCCCAGGTCAGTCAACCCAGCACCCATACGCACGAATGCCATTGACACGCATGCAGACCTCGGAAACGAAGACCTCCGCGCGCAACTAAACACCCTCCAATATGAGCTCGACACGATCAAGCAAGAGCGCGAGATGGCGGCCCTGCACCACCAGCAGGAGCTGCGGGAAGCGCAGACCAAGGCCGAGGAGGACTTTCGCCGCGCGCAGGCCGCCGAGGCCTCGAACAATGCCACGACCGCCAAGTACACGAGTATGATGCGCGAACACCAGGAGGCGCAGGATCGGAACGCGAATGAGAAGAAAGAGCTCGAGCGAAAGGTGCGCGCGGCGCAGGAGAAGAGCCAGGATTTGCAGGAGGAGGTGGATGAGGCGCAGGCGGAGCTGTCGTCGATTGCACGGAGTAATAAGCATAAATATGACGGGCTGGAGACACAGTACAAGACGCTTAAGTCGACGGTGGAGGAGTTGAGGGCGGATCTGGATGCGAAGGTTGCGGCGCTTCAAACAGCACAGCAGAGGCTGTCCACACGCGAGGACGAGGTGGGCGAGCTGGAGGCCGAGATTTTGAGGCTGAAGGCGCAATCGGGGGATGTGGATACTTTGGCTGTGATTAAGAGGGAGCTTTCGGAGCAGGTGGCGCACATCAAGAAACTTGAGGCTACGAATCGGGAGCAGCACGCCGAGCTGAAACAGTACCGGAAAATCCACAAGAGTATCGAGCTTGTGGAGGAGGAGAAGCGGACGCTGGAGGGTAAGGTCCACATGATGAACGACCTTCGCCGAGAATTGAGCGAGTCGGAGGTGAAGAGGCAGGTCCTGGAAGACGAGAGGCAGTCGTGGACATCCTATCTCGAGAACATGTCGTCTACACAGGGAGAGCTACAATTCGACACCCCGGAGGATCTCGCCAAGGCCTTTATTCGGGAACGAGTCGAGACAGCTTCATTGATGGAGCGACTGGGTGCAATCCAGCCCGAACTGAGCGTCAAAGACGAGAACATCAGAGCATTGGAAGAGCAAAAAGCCAAGCTATTAGAAGAGGTCCAGAAACTACGCTCATCAGGCGGCGCACCAGATAACAAAGTCCGCGCGCGACTCGAGCGCCAAAAAGCCCTCGCCACAAAAGAAGTCGAGTACCTCCGCGCCCAACTAAAGACGTTCGACATCGAAGAAAGCGAAATGCAACCCGAAAACTACGACGCCCAGAAGACCCACCGAATCCAAGAACTCGAATCCCTCGTCGACGATTACCGCAAAGAATCCCAAACCCTCCAAAACGAGCTCTCCGCCGCCGAAGCCGTCCCCCGCTCTCCCCTCTCCATCGCCGCAGGCGCAGGCCAAAAGCGCGCCCTCGACGCCGACGACGACGAGCGCCTGGGCGAGCTCCGCCGCAAGAACCGTCAGCTCCAAGACGAAGCCACCCAGCTCGCCAAGCGCATCACAGTGCTCGAGTCCGAACTCAAAGCACAAACAAGCCAACTCAAGTCCCTAAAAGCCAGCTCACGGACTCGGATCCTTGAGCTCCGCTCCAACCCCACCGCCGACGCCGAAGCCCTCAAACTCAGCACCGTCACCACCCTCCGCGCCGCCAACGCCGCTCTCCTCGCCCGCCTCGAGGGCGCCACTCCACCCCCCGACTCCGTCCCCCTCGCCACGCTGCACGCGTCTCAGGACGAGATCATCGAGCTACAGCACACCGTCGCGGAGCGCGAGAAGCGCATCAAGCGGCTCAAGCAGATCTGGAGCGCCAAGTCGCAGGAGTTCCGGGAAGCCGTGGCGTCAGTGCTCGGCTGGAAGATGGACTTCATGCCCAACGGGCGGGTGCGGGTGACCTCCATGTTCTACCCCGGGGACGAGGAGACGGGGGAGAACAGCATTGTGTTCGATGGGGAAAACGGGACTATGAAGGTCAGCGGAGGCCCGCAGAGCGCGTTTGCGAGCGAGATCCGCGATCAGATTGCGTTTTGGGTTGAGGGAAAGAAGGAGATCCCCGGGTTTCTGGCGGCGCTAACGTTGGATTTTTTTGAGAGGGGGGAGAAGACGCAGAGGTTGTAGGAAGGTGAAGGGGGATGGAGTTGGGGCGATGTGGCTGTGCTGTACAGTATGGGAGGTTCTTCGGCGTAATTTGGGCTTCGGGCGCGTTTGAGCGCTGGATTTGTAGCGAATTCTGATTTGTTTGACTATCTACTTTTGGTCTTTGTGGAAGTGTTGCTGATACCGTTGGCGTGACCTACGCGCTCTATGTTTGCCTCATAAAGTACAGTAGGCTTCAATAAGCCTCACATTTCTGGACGCGAAAGGGGCCTCTGGGGTGCCTACAGGCTTGCACGCATTGCCCCGTCTTTTTACCAGTATTTACAGAATGAACGGCGAGAAATTATCTTTTGGTAGGCTTCCCGTAAATCCAGTTAGGCCATGTAGCCAGAGTATTATAAATCCCTCGAGACAACCACGCGGGGCATGGAAAAGGCGGCACACTAATTCCAGAACAAGCTGTCTCATGTACATCTGTCTGCCGCTGCTTGGGTGCCTTAGAGAATTTTCGGGAATTGGAACGAGATAAAAGCCCTTCACTTTGGACTATGTGGAAACTTTTTGAGATACTTCAGGCAATGGCAGACAGGTGTACACACGGGCTATACTTGACCATTGTGCCACTTTTTGCATGCCCAGCGTGACAACTTGGGTTGTTTTATTAGAAGTTTGTGCATGCAGAAACCAACTGCGTGGGTATTTTTCTTGAGGGTAATGCAATACGCGGCGTAGGTCACGCAGCAAACTCCCTCCCAGGACGACTTGGGTCATTTTGTTACAGTTCTCGACAAAATCAACTGCGCGGGTGACTTTCGAGAGACGGAGTAGAGGTAGTACTTTTCGCACAGATTGTATTGAACCTACCCATCAGAATGTCCAACCTAGACTTACAGCTACCCAAAGTTTCCATCACCTTCTCGCGCCTAGTACCCGCTCTGCTCCTTTCTCCCACTCCCCTCGCCCTCGCCAGCCCCATCTTCTCCGTCTCGCTTTCTCCCAGAACCCGACGCGCCACCCGCTGCATCCTTGATCCCATCTGCGTCACCCCTCAGCTTCTCAAAATAGGCCTTGATATCCTCAGCACCGACAGCCTGGCCGCTCTCCGCAAACGGCTGGAGGAAGGCTCTGACTTTGTCTTTGAGATGAGCGTAGACCATCGCGCCCTCTGCTCACCAGATTAGCAACTTATTTCGGAAAAGATTACACGCTTGAGGGCGCATGAACATACCAATAGCCTTCACACGATCCATATTGTTGAACACCGCTTCGCCTCGGTCCAGTATACTCCCCGTCCCCACACTCGCGCCGCCCTCGTTATCCCCGTCCTCAGAGATGGGCGGCTCGTATATTTCTTCTTCTTCGAGGAGTTGCGGGTGCGGTGTTAGGAGGGGAAAGCAGGAGGGGCAGCGGCAGAGGTGGTCGCGGAAGTCGGGGAGCATGAAGAGGGAGAAACGAGCTTCTGGGGCGGGCGGGAGAGTTTCGAAGTGGCATGATGATGTCGTGGTGGGTTTCTTGGGGGTGAGTGGGAGGGTGGTTGTTATGGGGGTGGGTTCTGTGAGGGGGGCTTCACTCTTTTGGCGTTTTGGAGGGGCCATGGATGGGTCTGCTGAGTCCTCGGGCTCTTCATCAGAGGCTTTGCGCTTCTTTGAGGCGGGCTCTGAGATCATAGATGGTACTTCAATGGCCGTGCTGTTCTCTGCGGCGGCGTCGATGCTGTTCTCTGGTTTGAAGTAGACAGCTGGGAGGAAGCCCGGAGTGCCCGCATATCTCCGGATCCAAGGGAAGGCTTCAACACACTTGTAGCAGATGAAAGTTTCGAAGTCGTCTTCCTTAGGGAATCCTGGGGGCAAAGGCGGGTCATCGTCTTCAACCGCTTCATCTCCACCGTTCGCGGAAAGATCATTGCCGTCAACGCCGCCTGTGACACTGGTCTGGACCGCAGGGACATGAGCTTCTGTTGTTCCGTTGGCTGGCTCCTCTTCCAAGATGACATCCATGGCCACGGAGATGCCGTTCTGGGGTGCTTGTACGGCAGCGTCTGTCTTCACGGACTTCAACTCCTCGATGCTCTTCAGGTACGCGTCGCGGTCGAGTCCAACGACGCACTCAGGATGCCACCAGTCCTCGCCACATCCCCCCTCTTCCACAGTTCCCAGCCCTAAGCACTGAAACATGGTCCCTTTCTCCTGATGGGCGTCATAGTCCTGCTCGCAGCCGCAGAACCTGTTCCTAAAGTTCTGATTGTACTTGTTGTCTTGCGCCGGCTTTTCTGAGTGCACTCCTCCCTTGGTCCCGGTGTCTTCATTCAATCGGAGCGAGCATGGCGAAGTATCCGGAATGCGCGTCGTGCCGCAATCGCATTCGAAGTTGCGCTTTCCAAAGAGCTCAACGAGGGTATGGTCGCAGTGGCAGGAGATAGAGCACGAGTAGCAGACGCCGGCTGGAGTGTACTGCTGTGCCGGCGAGGCGGGTGGGGGGTTGCAAGTCAGACAGGCGTATAGAGCTTGTCGCAAGGCACCGAGTGGTTTTGTGCATGTGTCGAATTGCTATGTATCATGTCAGATATATGCGCGCCTTGAAACGGGTTGTAGACGAACATATGGGAGGGCCTCACGCGCGTCGGCCTCGAGTTGGAGTTGGCTGCTGATGAACCTGGGAGTTGCAATTAGATACGCCCGTGCTATGTAGGACTCTTTAACTCACTCGGCAGCAGTCTGCGAGCTTTCAGAATGCTGCGAAAAGCTGTTGGAACGAGAGACGGGCGCTGGCGGGTGAGCTGCTTCACTTCGGTAGGTGGTGGTGACTTCGGCCATGGCAGCGTTGTGAAGTGCCAATGAATGCGCGGCAATTTCAGATGAAGAAATGAGGCAAACGGCACACAGAACAGAAAAAGGCAGGATAGAGGTTGAGTTGGTGGTGTTGTTGCTGTGAAGCTTTCCAGTCGCCGTGTTATTCTCCAGTCCGCGATGACGGCCCTAGGCCCGATCAAGGTGTAAGTGGTTTTTACCCCTTGTATAGCTGGCCTGCTGGCCTACAAACAAGTGGCACACTCAGAAAGTCATCTCCTGTCTACACCTGTCGGCCACTGCTTGGACCGCGTCAACGACTTTTGTAATCGCCCAAGGTGAAGAGCTTCCGCCATGCTCAGGTTTCTGAGAATCCATGGAAGCAACCCCAGCAGTGGCACACAGGTGTGCGCACTCACCGCGCGGTTTGTTTAATCTAAGAGTGCCACTTTTTCTCTGCCCCGCGCGGCTTTTCGCGTTTCTTCCGCGTCGAACGCGTTTCCGAGCCCCCTCCCCTCTCTACCCTCCCGCAATCACTTGCATTCACCCCAACTGCTTCCCCCCAGCTCACCATAGACTACTCCAAGAAGACTTGCCCCAACACTCCCTTCATTGAGGCCAGATGAGGTTTGTGCTCCTTCGTCCCTCGGAATCCTCTACAGCACAAGCGCCCGCTTTCTCGCGACTGTTCTACCTTTCCTGACCCTCTCAAGTTCTCCGCTACGACCAAGTATGTCGTCCGCAAACCGTGGTGCTCGGGCCGGAGCCAGTGGCCGAAAGCGATCCAGGGAACCGGATGACCTCCCATCCTCCAACGCGCATCCGCCTTCCAGTCGTAAGTATTTCGAATTGAAGGACCTGTTCCAGCCGCTGAGTTTTCTTAGCAATCGCCTCGTCTCCGCCCCTCCCTTTGATGGACGATGACGATATCGAGGAAGACAACCGCATTGATGACGACGAGGACCTCATCGGTGACTTCCTTGACGAAATGGACGAGAATGCTGAAGAAGAGGAGGGCATCAATCTATTCGGGAACAACTTCGACCGAGATGAGCGCGAACGCGAGCCCGACGACTACGAAGACATTGACATTGACGATGAAGAGTATGAGGGGCTCGATGCTGCCCAGCGTGCTGAGCTCGAGAGGCGTTTGGACCGCCGTGACCGAGAGCTCAGGCGCCAGCGCGGTATGCCCGCGGCCTTCATGCCCGACGAGGATGAAGATGGCATTGCTGGACTTGCCAAACAGCCTCGCAGGCACAGACGCCGTTATGACGAAGACCAGGACGATCTGGACATGGACCAAGATATTATGAACGAGGAGCTAAGCCTGGAGCAACTGCAAGACGTCAAGGCTTCAAGTGTCACCGACTGGGTTGCTCAGCCCGCAGTGCACCGAACCATTGCGAGGGAGTTCAGAGCATTCCTGACTGAATATACGGACGAAAACATGACTTCCGTCTACGGTACACGAGTCCGAACGCTCGGCGAGATCAACGCGGAATCTCTTGAAGTCTCATTCGATCATCTTGCTTCATCCAAGGCTGCGCTGGCGTACTTCTTGGCCAACTCTCCTTCTGAGATCCTACAGATCTTCGACCAGGTGGCGATGGACGTTGTCATGATTCATTATCCGGACTACCAGCGTATACATTCGGAAATCCACGTTCGAATCACCGATCTCCCGTATCCATACACGCTACGCCAACTGCGTCAAACACATCTAAACTGCCTGGTGCGGGTTAGTGGGGTCGTCACGCGCCGTAGTGGAGTCTTCCCACAGCTCAAAGAGATCAAATTCGATTGCGGGAAGTGCGGTATCACTCTAGGTCCCTTCCACCAGGAGTCCAACGTGGAAGTCAAGATCTCTTTTTGCCAGAACTGCCAATCTCGTGGCCCGTTCACGCTCAATTCGGAGAAGACACTCTACCGCAACTTCCAAAAGCTGACTCTTCAAGAGTCCCCCGGTACTGTTCCAGCCGGTCGTCTACCACGCCACCGTGAAGTCATTCTGCTCTGGGATCTAATAGACTCTGCAAAGCCAGGAGAGGAGGTCGAGGTAACAGGTATCTACCGCAACAACTACGACGCACAACTGAACAACAAGAACGGTTTCCCTGTGTTTGCGACTATCCTCGAAGCAAACTACGTAGTTAAATCGCACGATCAGCTTGCCGGTTTCCGTCTTACAGAAGAAGATGAGCGCGAGATCCGTCAACTTTCCAAAGACCCCAAAATCGTTGACAAGATCATCAACTCCATCGCCCCAAGTATTTACGGCCATACTGATATCAAGACTGCTATTGCCCTTTCGCTTTTCGGAGGCGTCAGCAAAGAGGCTCCCGGAAGGATGGCCATCCGTGGTGATATCAACATCCTGCTTCTCGGTGACCCAGGAACCGCCAAATCACAAGTTCTGAAGTACGTCGAAAAGACGGCTCACCGCGCCGTCTTCGCCACTGGTCAAGGTGCCTCAGCCGTCGGTCTCACCGCATCCGTCCGTCGGGATCCAATGACTAGCGAATGGACGCTCGAAGGCGGTGCGCTCGTCCTAGCTGACAAGGGTACCTGTCTCATCGACGAATTCGACAAAATGAACGACCAGGACCGAACTTCCATTCACGAGGCTATGGAACAACAGACCATTTCCATCTCAAAAGCAGGTATCGTGACCACGCTCCAGGCCCGCTGCGCCATCGTAGCCGCAGCGAATCCCATCGGCGGCCGTTATAACTCCACCATCCCGTTCTCCCAGAATGTGGAGCTTACCGAACCCATCTTGTCTCGTTTCGACATCTTGGTCGTTGTCCGTGACACCGTAGATCCGCGCGAAGACGAGCGCCTCGCAAAATTCGTCGTGAATTCCCACGGCCGCGCGCATCCGATCTCAGGAGCTGGCAACGAGGCGCCTACTACAATCCCAGAGCGCGAAACCATGGACATCGACGAAGGCGACGACAGCGAGCTAATGCCGAAGCAGGAGGGCGAGATCCCGCAGGAGCTGCTGCGGAAGTACATCCTCTACGCCCGCGAGAAGTGCAGGCCAAAGCTGTACCAGATCGACCAGGATAAGGTGGCGAAGTTGTTTGCGGATATGAGGAAGGAGAGTTTGGCTACTGGAGCTTATCCCATTACCGTAAGTCACGAATACCCCTAATATCCTCTTTCTTGAGGTTCTGTGTGGTTGCTAATCTTATTGTTCAGGTCCGTCATCTTGAAGCCATCATGCGTATCAGCGAGGCTTTCTCTAAGATGCGTCTTTCCGAGTATTGCTCTTCGATCGACATCGACCGTGCTATTGCGGTTGCGGTTGATTCGTTTGTGGGATCACAGAAGAATAGCTGTAAGAAGGCGCTTGCGAGGGCGTTTGCGAAGTACACCCTCGCGAGGCCGGGCGCTGTACGGAATCCGGGTAGGGGTGCGGGTGCGAGTAGGGCAAGAGCTCAAGGAACGAGAGTGGGTGCTTGAAGGCGCTGATGTATGCATGATTGTATGTGATGATGACGGTTGCATGGGGGCTGTGGGTTAGGTTGGAATTGTGCGTAGGATGGGGGGTGCATGGTGCATGGTGCATGTGGCTGTTCCCGTGGGTTCATATTACAGGCGTTTTTCTAGACTTTTGAGTGTCTTTTGTGTACTTCCATAATACCACTGCTTGTCGTATGACCTCTAGAAAGCTTCCTTGTTGACCCAGATAGTGTCTAGCTTTGCCGAGGCGATAACGAGGCGAAGAAGAGATGTGTGGCTTTCTTGAAGTATCACGTTGCAAATCCTGAGCAAGAGTTTCCTATGCGTGTGCTGCTGGAGGACACGGGAATGGAGAGAGTCGAGAGACAAGGCTGCCAAGGGGGGCTGCGTAAAATGGCGGCTGCAACCTCAGGTAATGCAGCGCTTCATTTTCTCTCATCACCCATCCTGATTCATCTTCGCTTTCCCATCATCCTCCATCGAAACCTTCACTGCAGGGCAGCCGCCTGAGAGAGCGTGATTTAGGTAATCGCTGAGCAACGAGAGCTGTTCCCCTCGCTTCACAGGTGTAGCCTAGTCTTCGCATCCTCAGCTTGCTTCTTCTTTTCTTTACCAGTTGCTTTCACTCTGCCATTCTGTTCCTGTTCTCTCAATCCTCCTTATGGGTTCTATAAGACATCCGTCGCAAAGTGCAGCTGATGCTTCTGGACTCGGGGCCAATGCCACCATTCTCTACAATCGTCGTTCCGCTTTCAGCCTCAGCCAAGGTGATATGACTCCAGATGACCAGCTATGCGAGCGGTGCGCTCGTTTTGATCTGGACACCATTTCCTCCCGTGACACAGTCCATCGAATGTGCGGCGAAATGATTGCCATTCTTGGACTCGTGGATAAGAGTTGGAAAGAGCGAGCATGTGCCTTTTGCAGGCTAATCGGATCACTCATGGTCAATTATCCGTCCAAAAAAACTCTAGGGGTATCGGCAATGCCGGTGCAATGGATGGTAGCTTACGCTGTCCCTGGTGTCGGAGCAGCCTTTCTTGGACTGCACGAATATGGATCTGGTGTGGGCTCATCGCACTGGCAGCCCTGTTCGATTGGCCGTATTACGCCTCAGGATCAGCTATCAGAGATTCGCAGTGATCTGATGCAACGAATGGTTGATCCTCTTCAGATTAATTACTATGCAATCAAACGATAGCTTATGCATTGCTCACTGAATCACCGCGTGTCTTGCAGCCTTAGTCGCCAGGATATCGATCGCGGGATACCATTCCTCAGTCTCATAGACTGCCGAAACAGGACCATTGTCACTCCGAATCTCATGCCTATGCCGCGGTTCACGGCGCTAAGCTACGTATGGGGGTCCTCAGGCTCAGGGCCATCTCAGCCACGCGACTACACTCAGCTTGGTAACGCAGATCAAGTCATTAAGGATGCCATCAGCGCGACTCTCCGTCTAGGCTACGATTACCTTTGGGTAGATCGTTACTGCATTACGCAAGAGGGCAACGAGCACAAGCATGAACAAATACAGAACATGCATCGTGTGTATCGACAAGCGGAAGTCACCTTGATAGCCGCCGCGGGTAAGGATTCGCATCATGGGTTACCAAGTGTCAGTCTTACACCGAGGGCTCCACAGCCGTGCGCGAGAATTAATGGTGCAGTCTACGTTTCGACTCTTCGGCCCCCTCCTGAACTGATCGATAAATCCGTTTGGGCTACAAGAGGCTGGGCATACCAGGAGGCCATTCTTTTAAGACGACGGCTGTATTTCACCGACGAGCAAGTTTATTTCGATTGCAAAGCCATGGCCTGCCGCGAAGCCATTGTGCCAAATCTATGTACCCGGCCTCGCGAAATCAGCGTACATGATGCACAATATCCCCATAGCTTATTTCGTCATATCAAAGCATACAACCTTGTCATACGACCATGACATCTTGAACGGACTCTCTGGCATATTGCAACTTTTCTCGGAACAGCGCACAGCCTTTCATCATTGGGGTTTGCCCATTGCCCCCCCACATTTTACGAATACCTTCATATCTGCGAAGACAGCGGGAGGGGCATCCCCAGTTAACCGTTTCACATTTGAGCTTCTGTGGACTCCATTACATGGGCCCATCCAAGCTCGCTCGGGATTTCCCAGCTGGTCTTGGACAGGATGGAAAGGCCCGTATGTTGGTCCAACGACTTGCTCAACATCACGGCAATATGGTCAGTCGAAGTGCGCATTGTCCTCGAGAACAACAGGTCACTGGATTGGGCAGATTACGAACTTCTGGACGCAGAAAGAAAGGATGACCTGAAGGCAACGCAGTTCCTCGATACGAGCGTCAACAATCAAAGTTGGGGTCCGAAAATATGAAAACTACAAAGACAGGGAAGGCCCGTGGCGATCTGTCATTCTCCACAAGCCTAAAGACTTTACCTCAACCTTGTTATTGACTCAACAGTGTAAGAGTGGAAGCTTGTTCGAACAGAGACTTCAGCGTGAAGAGTGGCTTGGAATCATTCTAATGGGAGGAGAATGGCAATGGCCTGGGAGGGATGGCCTCTCTTATTATTATGGTGAAAGCTCATTATTTGGGTTGAGCGGAACAGTCGTGTTGTTGATTGACCAAGTTGGCAAGGTGATGAAGAGGGTGGGTTTATTTGGAACACATGAGCCAATTCCCCGAGAACTCACTGAGGAACGGTGGATACGACTTGGATGAGAAACATGGAACGCCTTAAAGAACAGTCCCGGACTTTGCAGCGAGCTTTATATGATCTGGCCTTCTTTAGAATAATGAATATGTACTTATTACTACTTTGATTCCCATTTCAGTTGCTAGAGACGCCCTATCAGTTAGTTGATAGCTTTTCAAGACTGGCTCCGCACGTTCGAGACACACTTTTGGCTGCTGAGTGTAGAAAAGGGGAAGCTGTCTCTTAGCACCTGCATATTGAGCTGTCTCTTGAGAAACGCCAAGAGACAGAATTTCGCTCTGTATTCAAGACTTTTGCACACTCCCTTACGCCAAGCCTTACCTATATAGGGAATATCTGTGTCCTGGCAACTCGATGGTGTCCAGCTACCACAGTCTCACATCCTCAAGACACAATGAAAGTCACGCGATCCTCAGTGCTCCTGATTCATACTCATTCTTCGTTTCCGTGTTCTTCATTTACATACACATCCCGCCCAAGCTAACTGTTCGGCCCCATCCCCACCCCACCCAAGCTTTTACTCCCCGTGTTCTTGAGATGCGCGCTACTCCCCCTGAACAGACTCTGCCAGATATAGGCCTCGCTGAGCAAAAGCTCGATGTCCTGTTCGGTCCAGTCGCGGGTAGGCAGAGCTTGCAGGAACATCATAACTTCCTGGAAGTCCATCTTCAGGAGACGGTCGGACCATTTCACCAAAAAGGCGGCGCAAACGTATAGATGAAAGGAGGAAAAGCCGTCGTCTTCGGCCTGTGGGATGTGGTTAGAAGATAGGGTATAAAGATAGTGTGGGTAGAGATGGAAGGGCTGAAGCATACCAAATACGTGTCCCACATCCTGATAGTGTTTTTGACCGTGATCTCGCGCATGAGGAGGCAGTTCATCCATCGGAAGCTGAATTGGATGAACTCCACACCTTCTTTCGCAAGATGATCCGCTAGATTTTTGTCGATTCGGGTGGTCAGGTCTCGGAGGTTTGAGACTTGGCGTTGTATTCCGGGTTGAGCGAAGATGTAGTTGTCCTGGATGCCGTCTAAGAGTTTCGTGAGACACCAGAAGGAATCTGCTTCGACTGCATCCAAGACGGGTTTAGGTAGCTGCCCGGGATCCATGCCGAATTCGATGTCTGGATCTGAGATGTAGGCGCCTAGGAATACTTGCCAGAAGGGCGTTACGAGATCGTTTATGCCCTGTACGTACCCAGAGGCGGGATGCCGAATGGCCCATACATACAAGATTCGTTCCAGTGACCTTTGAGTCGCTTCGTAGCTGTACAATTCCAAATGCGGGTTCGTCCGGGGAACGTCGATGCTTATTTGATGCCATATCGATTCATCCAGACCTCGGCCGCGACCACGATTCGCAGAAGGTTTCGAAGATGCGCCTACAACACCCGCTGCAACTGGGTCACTGCTCCCCGAAGTTCCTCGCTCAAAAGCATTCCGAACACCGTCTAGGTATTCCTTTCTTTTCCTTTCGAGGGTTGCAACTCGGCGCTCGCTGCTTGTAGGGAGGTAGCCGAGGAGGACCTGCCAGGTCATGGCTCGTACTTCGGAGGGGATTCCAGACCAGGCGGCCGCGCGGAGTTCAGTGAGGGAGATGGTGCTTGTTTGTAGTATCCGTTTGAACTTGTTGATTCGCGTTATACGTGCGGCGTGTGCTTCTACATCTTTCGGTGCAGCGCCTGAGGCGAGAGGAGAATGGGATATTAGGTGTAACGAATTCGCAGGATCGCGGAGAATCTCTTGGTATTGTGGTCGTAGTATCTTGCCCTCGCTCTTCTTTGCCGTGGGGTAGTTTGGAATGCCGCGCTCTTCAGCAATGTCGCCGCTGAACATGGAAAACGGAGTATGCGTGGAGCCAGTTCGGACATGGCTTGGAGTCCCGCCGGGGTCGTATCTTTTGTTTGGTGGTTTCCGTTTTCCTTTCCGTCTCATGTTCGCTATACTAGGAAGGCCAAATTCGTCCTCGTCATCGTCATATGTGGTTTCCCCGACATCATCGTCATCGGCGTCTTCGTCGGCCTCCCAGTCGGGGTTGGTGTCGCTGAGGAATGCTCTATAGTTCTTTCGTGGCGGCGGTGATATACTGTTCAGAGGTCCGGATCGTGGGAGGCTTGGATCCCGGCTGCGGGAGGCGGAGGGTGGTGTTCTGGGACGAGGTGCGCCGGAGAGGGACCTGTTTCGGGGGATGAGACATATCCAAGGCAGGAGAAACAAGAGCCATCTCGGCGGGTCTTACAGAGAATCAAACTTGAGCAAGTCGGCGTGGGAGTAGGAGGCTCCAATGACCTTCTTGCTGTCGTACGATGTTGCCGTGTTCGAATTGGTGCGCCAGAACGGAGAGGAGGAGCTGGGAGAGCATCAATAAAAGGGGATGGTCCCCAAGGCGTGCAGCTGGACTTACGAGGAACGGTCTGGAGGAGGGCAGCCACAGGCATTAGCCGGACTGGTGGTGGTGAGGGAGGGCAGAGAGGGCGCAACGAACCGACCTGGACCATTTCCTAGACATACCGGATTAGCAGAGTAGCAGGCGAGGATGCAGAGGACAAAACATGCCTGCTGAAGCTTCTTGGAGGCCATTGCGCGGCGTGGGAGGCAAAGTCGCTATTCACTGCATGCATACGTGCCTACAAAGGTACCTGTGTATGCCTCGATGCCCTTGACGCCGGCAGCCTTGCCCAGTTTCGAGCCACGTGACGAAGAGTGGCCCCAGCTCACGCTAAACTTTATCACCCGCGACTCCTCATCTGCGGCTGTCTTGCCTTTGTAGACTCTCCACAACACAACACCGACAACCTCAGCTCCATCCGCCACTCTCTCTTGCTGGCACCTCCTGCAGTCGCCGGCTTCAACTGCACTCTGCCGTAGTCTCGCTCGCCAGCGTTTCCTTTGCTGCGACGAGTGCCACTACCGGCGCGTGACGACTCCTCTTTGTCGTGTCGCACGCCGTTTGACTGCTAACCTCCAGCGGCTTTTCCTCCCCTTCGCCTTCTTCCTTACGCCCACTCACCGTTACAGCGACAATGGCCGAGCCCGAGGAGCTCGAGGATGATCTCTTCGCCGATCTGTGAGTGCTCTCCACACCGTCCCGAACGGCGTCAGGCAACCAGCACGCGCATTTTCCTCGTGCGCCTTGTCACAGGCAGCAAGCTGACTGTCCGACTCAACAGCTACGAAGGAGACGACACCCCCGCCCAGCCCACTGAACCCACCAGTGCAGCGCCTGAATACAATGCCCCCAAACAAGACGAGTTCGAGCCCGTCGAGGAGCCCATGCAGGATCAGTCGCACATGAACGGCATGAATGGTGCTCTGATGAAGATGGAAGATCATGACGATAGAATGCAGGGTGGCTGGGATGCGAACCAGCACTATGATGGGGGTCCAGTCGAGAATGACGACAACTATGGTCCTGTTGGCATCAAGGAAGACGGGTGAGTCAGATACTTAGTTTCGTTTCAATAGCAGGCAATTCGTAAAGCAGCCTGGACGCATCCATGCTCAGAGGTAAGACGGCCAGATGGCACGGTGGCGACGGCAGTAAATCCCTGGATTTCAATCCTAGGCGACTTCAGAAAGAGACTTTCCTCAACAGCGCGTGTTGAAATACCATATATCAGCGTCACAGAGTCGTTCAATCAATCAACTTTGGTTTGGTTCAGAGCAAACCCGCATCTTCTCGATGCACACCTTCATTTTGCGATCCGCTTGGCAGCTATGCCTTGGTCGATCTCGGCTGCCTTTGAAGAAAACACGGCTTCCGACATATGGTGCCAATGTCACCAACTTGGCTCTTCAAGATCACGAGAATGGCAATGGGTCTGATTGGGCGGAGTGGTTACGACGTTTTTGATGGTTCGGACGAATCAATGGTTGTTGGTCTAGCTGAGCGCAGAGGCATTGGTGGATGAGCGTGTGGTCCTGGATTAGTTGCAGCCCAGATGCCTGGAAAAGAGTGCAGACGGCATTGATGGACGACAGCACTGGTATACCTACACCTCTCTCAGATACGCCTGACAGAAAGGACTCAGATCCTGCCACCTCTAAGGGGCATAGCTTCATGTCGATAAATTCTTCATAGAGCGTACCTGCACAGACTGAGGGTAGTCGTTCGAGAAGACGGTTAGCTTGGTCCATGACCATCTTATCTAGCTCTCGACTCCGTAGCAAAACACAGCCGCTTCAACCGAGATCCCCTGTGCCTTGCAAGGCCGTGTCTACGATGGTGGAAATGGTCTTGGAAAATCGACGTACTCGGAGGAGCTCTGTCGCTTGAGGCACTTGCTGGGACCGATTGCCCACGGCTTGCTCTCGTGTTTTGCCCTGCAGCAGCGTCACTCTCGTCAAAACTCGCTAGGCACATGGCAAGCGAACGAGGGCAGCCATCAACCAGCCCTACGACTCACCACGCAAGCAAAAAAGTCGGAGCAATGGTTCTTGAATTGTTTCTGTGGATACATACCCTGACGGATTGAGACTGATGGTCACATTACAACGTTTTCAATACATGTTACCATACCCTACGGAGCCCCACCTGGACGGATTCTGGACCTTGGACCATTACTGCTGTTGCCCGTTGCCCGGGACGTCCTGGCCACCGACTCCTGCTTTTTGTTTTCTACTTGCTGCCGCGATGCATTCTGATGTACGAGTCTTGGAGTTTGCTAACATTCAATCTATAGAAAAATGTTCATTGGCGGTCTGAATTGGGAGACGACGGAGGGTATGTCACAGCGTTCCCCTCTACTTGCAAATGCAATCTCGCCACGACTTTTCATTTTCAATTCCCATACTGGAAAGCAATATGCTCGCCTGCAAGGCTTTACTATATGCGCTGTATTATACTGTCCACCTACTTCTACACTTGCTCCAGCCATAGATATCGAGTAGGCACTAATCAAATTCTCCATAGAATCCTTGAAGAATTACTTCTCTCAGTTTGGTGAAGTCAGCGAATGTACCGTTATGCGCGACAGCGCTTCTGGTCGATCGCGAGGTTTCGGCTTCCTGACCTTCAGGGAGCCCAAATGTGTCAATACCGTCATGGTAAAAGAGCACTATCTGGACGGCAAGATTGTAAGAGGTTCTTTTGCTAGACCCCCTGGCTCATCAACTGTAAGCTAATTGTCCCACTAGATCGATCCGAAGCGCGCCATTCCTCGCGAAGAGCAAGAGCGTACTTCCAAGATCTTCGTCGGAGGTGTCAGCCAGGAGGCAACAGAGCAAGATTTCAAACATTTCTTCATGCAGTTCGGCCGCGTCATCGACGCCACTCTCATGATGGACAAGGACACGGGCCGTCCTCGCGGCTTCGGCTTCGTCACCTTTGATGGCGATGCCGCTGTCGATGCAACCCTCCAGGGACCTTTAGAGATCCTTGGCAAGCCAATCGAAGTCAAGCGAGCCCAGCCCCGTGGCAACATGCGGGATGGCGAAGAGGAAAAGAAGGGGTTTGGCAGACGAAATGGATCTGACACGAAGTTCGGAGGCCGCAACGAAGGCCAAAACGGAAATTTCGACGGATCAGGCAACAATGCACAGCAAGGAGCCCCAGGCATGACCGCTGGCATGTCTCCTGCAATGATGGCTCAGTACTGGCAGCGTATGCAGAGTTATTTCCAAATGATGCGACAAAACATGATGGCTGGCGGCATGGGAGGCCAAGGCATGACTGGCAACCCAATGGCAGCCATTGGTATGGGCGGTCCCCCTCAGATGAACCCAGCCATGATGTCCGCCATGATGGGCGGTATGGGCGGCCCACCACAGGGGATGTCACCAACCGGAAGTCCTCATCCCCAATCTCCCGGAAACCAAGGCGGCATGGGACAGATGAATCCGGCCATGATGGAACAAATGCGCCAAATGCAGATGCAGCAACAGCAAGGAGGTGGCGGTTTCAATGGGAACGCGGCCATGATGAACCAGATGGGTCCCGCCGCTGCAGGCGCTGCTCGCCCAGGATTCAATGCGCAGGAGCAACTCATCTTCGAACAGCAAAAGTACGAAGCCCAGCAAGCCCGTCGGATGCAGCAAGGAGGCGGATTCGGCAGCCAAGGCGGACCCACGAGCTGGGAGGGCATGTACGACGATGTTCCCCAGCCGCCTATGCCTCCTCAAGGTCCCGCCGCCCGCGTTGCCAACCAAGGCGGTTTCCGACAAGCCAGTCCTGCCAACGTCCGAGGATCACGACAAGGCTCTTCTGCTCCACCGATTCCGCCCAGCAATGCACCGGCAAATGCGCCTACAGGCCCGAAGAACGCTGGAAAGCCAGGTTCGAATTACCGTGGTGGTGGCAGACATGCTGGTGGTCGGACCAACTTCCATCCCTACAATCGTGGAAACTGATCTGAGTCCTCGCTTCGGTTCTCTTCGGTTTGCATGCTTACCGTCGTGGAGCTCAGGCTATGTCCTTCTGAGCTTTCACCCGATCCAGGCGCTGTCTTGTCTACTCTTTCCTCTTCTTCTCATGTCTGGGCAGGGCTTTTTGTTGTGTGTCGACTTATTCGGTACCCGACGTCTTGACGAAAATAATGGGCGTGATTCTCTTCTCTAGCTTCTATGGACAGGCGGTAATGGAAGAGAGGGCTATGAGCACGGTCATGATCACACTCTAATTGGGGGTCCTGGGTTTGGTTTCTTTTTGCTTCCTACTTTCACGATGATGGTGCTGGAGGGCTTTTCTTTCTCGGCGGGGGTCTAAGGAAGGTAGGTAATGGTTTGGCTTCAGCCTCAATGCCCGTAGCCAGTCATCAGTCGGGTTGAGGCTTCACCTTTTGTACAGTAGCGACAGTCCTCAGCTCAAGCCTCTCGATTCCCACAAAACGTGTATATTTTCTAATCAAACTCGTGAATGAACGTCTGCCTGAACTCCTCGGGCTACCCCCCATCTCCGCCTACCTTCTCCACGTAACATTTTCCCCTAATATCTCCTCCTACTATCTCCTAACAGCTTCTTCCCCCAACTCTCATTTCATCTCCTCTCGTCTCATCACCCTCTACACCTTCATCTCCTCCCACACACTCGCCTTATTCTCCTGCACCCACCCCTTCTCCTCCTCACTCCCATGCGGCGGCGGATACAACCCCTGTATGCGCCACAACCGCCGCTCCGTCTCATCAACATGATACTCCCAATCATATCCCTTATCCTCAATATGCGGTTTCAGCGCCTAATCATCACCGTCAGCCTCATCCCCACCCTACCCATCCCCCCTCCCCAATCCCCAATCCCTAATCCTCCGAATATCCCAACGAGCAAAACTCACCTCATTCAACCGCCCACAGAACTGCGCGTAATACGCGTCCTCGTCCGGCATCTTGACCGCAACGTGGTTGCCCACGAGGCGGATGAAAGGGCGCGCGAGGTCGGCGCCGGCGACGCCGCCGACGTAGGTGTCAGCGTCGGGGAGCGGGTGGAAGAGCACGACGACGTAGAAGGCAGGGAGGCCGATGGCCGTGTAGAGGGCGGTTAGGGCGGCGGCGAGGGGGGCGCGCGAGGCGGGGGTGGTGAAGGTGGTGGGCGGGTGGTAGATTTGCCAGAGAGGCATGGTGGGGGATTGTGGTGGGGTTGAAGGGGTTAGAGGAGCTGGTTTTGTGTGTGTAGGGGTAAAATGGGGAGGAGAGTGGTGAGGCAAGATGGGAGAATGGAACTCTAGAAGATGGGGGATTGGATGGGGTTGGATGGGGTCGTGTTTATGTTTTGTCGTGCTGATTAGTATTTACCTCCCGGCTGTGCGCATGTTTACTCAAAGGGCGTGCCAGGTAACTAGTGGAAGATTTCTGAGTATGCTATAGGATCGACGCACCGAGTGGTGGGTCTTCCCGCTATTGTACTACGTTGATTCACGATTAGCATTGCTGTGGGTGTAACTATAGGGCAGTTGCGAACAGATTGGTGTTTACTAATCTTTTGTAGTTAGCCTCTAGAGACCCTGATGATGAAGATGACGATTCGACACAATTTATGAGATTTTTATGCATAGTTCTTCTTAATTTCTTAGCCTTTTATGTGCAGAAATACCTATCTGTGTTATGTTATATATTGCTTTAGTGGATACTGGTAACGGCGACGTGACTTGGCCTTCTTCCCAAAGTTCGAGTAGATCGTTTCTTGGAGAACACGCTTGTCCGTGTAAGGGTGGGGATAGAGTGGAGTCAGCTAGATCTGCTCGCAAGGTCTGAATCGCAGGTGCGAGCATGTTACATCTTCTCCGCAAATCTTCAGGCCAATGGAGGACATCAAGCGGCGGCAAGTCCTCTTTAACCTATCCGTGAGGTGCTATTATGATTCCCGAGGTCGAGAATCCGATATCCCGGTATAACTCCTCCAAGTTTTTTGCATCTGGTCCCCAATTTTAGAATATTGTTGGAGCACTACAGACAGAAACATAGAGGTGGCGCACTCGGAGTCGACCTTGTGCTTCAGATGTAGCAGTATCGGCTTATACACTCAGGACACCGAGGACCAGGCTTGTCTTCTACGTCGCTAGTCAATTGTAGGAGCGCGTGGTGCCTGAGGTAGCCTGGCAATCTTGCCAGATGATTAAAATATCACACCTCCAGTTTTTGAAAATGCCTTGCGGCACCACAGACCGCGGTGAATGGTTGCACAGAATCCAAGAATAAGGCATGCCGAGCGAGAAAGGAAGGAAGAGAAGATGTCAGAGCACGCAAATAATTGTGAACACAATCCCTCAAATAATCATGGCCCGGTTCGGGGGCCAGCGTAAGTAGCGAGGGAGTTGTAACAGCGTCACGGCGAAGAGCAAGCCATCTCCGATGGTGGGCAATAAGACGACAAACACCGATCTTTTCGAAATGATTTTCAAGTGTGACTCATAGTCTGCGATGGCTAGCTTTTCGCTCCCTGTTCTCGGGAAGTCGTACTCCGGTACGGCGATGCATTGCATCTGAACCAGAATGACTATGTCACAGAACAAGGAGCTGTATGCCGTGTACGTGCTGTATTAAATGATGATGATATAGAAGAGAGAGACCTCTAGAGGAAGAGGCTACATAAAATGAATGCACATACATCCTATAACCCCCATTACTCCTCGCTAATATAAACAGCCTTTTGCGACCTCACCTTGCGTCAGCTCCCCATATCTCCACCACCCACCAACTTCTCCGCAGTCGCCCCAAACCTCTCCCAATCCCATCTCCACCCATTTCCAACCCCCATCTGCTCCTCCATCAACCGATTCTGCCCCTGAATCACCCACTCCTTGACCCCCTCCTCACACCACTCCCAGCTCACCAGCGAGCTCAACCCCGTGTGGAACGCGCCAATCGGCCGCCGCGCCCACGCATCCTCCCACATCTTGCAGATCTGGTGGCTCACGCGGCGGCACTCCTGCTCAAGGTCGAATACGTCCGGGAGCGAGCACGGATCCGCGGGGAGGAGTTGCAACAGGAGTTTGTTGGCCATGAGGAGCAAGGACCAGAAGCAGGAGTAGACGACGGCGACGCGCCAGGATGTGAAGTGGAAGGAGGTGGGGACAGGGGTGGTGGCGAGGATGGAGGGGAGCTCGATGGCGGCGCGGCCGTCGACAAGGCGGGCTGTGAGGTCGAGCTCGAGGCGGTAGAGCGCGCGTTTGAGGTGGAGGAGGCGGGCGAGGAGGGAGGCGCGGGCGGAGACGTGGGTGGAGAGGGGGTTTGGGTTGTGTGTTGGGAAGGAGGTGGTGGGCTCGAGGGCTTTGAAATCGCCGAGGAGAGAGGGGAATTGCGCCATTAGGAGGAGAACCTCGGCGTAGAGGGCGTCGTCGTCGGAGAGGCCGGTTGTGTCGAAGGCGACTGAGAGCCATTCGGGCTCTACGAGGAAGCAGGGGCGGCGTTGGCAGATTGCGTGGATTATCTGGGGTAGCGATTAGAGTTGGAGGGCGTCGAGATTGAGGGTGGCAGTGGAACTACTTACAACAGGACCGCGGTTGAATCTGAGGATGTCTTTCGCGAAGGAGTCCTGGAAGTTGTTTGGCCCTTGTAATTGTATGAGACGTCGAGCGCCTCCGGCGTGGGTGAGGTATCTGTTGCCTTGTCTCGGCCCGGCCATCGCCTGCATCGATACATTAGAGGTTATGCTCAAGGCTGATAATTTGTTTTAGATATCTTACTTCAACCATACTAAGCAAGACGGTGGCGCAAAGCGTGTTAGACGAGAGGCCCTCCACCGGGTCTTCCAATGACAACTGGAGATTCTGCACCGCAGTGAGATATAGCTTTGGGTCTGTGATTTCTTCGGCACTCCTCCTGCGAATCATGCACTCTTGAGCGCTCACTAGACACGCCACAGCAGCATCTAATGCACCGTTCTGGCCAAGGCGGCGGGGCACTTCGGTCATGAACGAACCAAAATGCGAGAGCTTGTAGCCATGGCTACCAGTCGACATGCCCGCCACTAGTGCCTGCGTTAAGATTTCTACGCTTGAGAGCGATGGCTGTTGTAGCATCAATGATCGTCGGGACTGTGACCCAGATTGGTTTTTTTGGGACAGCAGATGATCTCCACCAGCGCAAATCCTCCACTTGTGATACACACATCCATTGGCCCACTTCTCGTTTACCACGGTCAACTTCCGGCGCGACTTTGCGCTGTTCGAAATAGCAGATTCAACCTCAACTGGGTCTGAGCTGTCAGAACTACTCAAGGAGGATGTCTCTAGATCATCGGCGACGGATCCTTGGAGCTTTGGTCCTAGATCTCGAAACGTGTGACGTGCAGGAGGTCCGGGACAGCATTTTCTGTTCTTCTGGCAGTTCGCACATGCTGGCCAAGTCTCGTCGCACTACTCTTGTGTGTTAGATCTTCCTATTCAGGCACCGGCCTGGTGGCTCTGGACTACGAACCTTGATCTTTCTTTTCCTGCAAATGATACATCCGGTGCTTTTTGGCACGCCAACCATTTGGAATGCGACGATCGAGCCAATGTGAAGTATGTTATGTTCTGATATTCACGCAAAGACTAGTACGGGTCTCTGTACTAGGAAAAGAGGGGTTGCACGTGCGAGATTAAAGCACCGAAGGAGCTCCATGGACCGAAGGAAATGCATCTCGGAACCTTTTGTATTAGTATGAAGCTGCTGCTACGGTGCGATCGCCATGGCCATTGCAGCACTGGGACAGTGGTCGCTGCTGGGACTGCTGCCGGGGGCGCCAAGAAGTCGGCGATGCCAGGGCAAGGCTTGACGTGGAGCACACCGGGGCACGTGCTTCTCGCAGCATGGCGCCCGAAGCGGGAAAGATGACGGAGGTCGCTGCAGCATCCCTGCAGCCCTGCCATCGGTTATCCTCAGCCCTACTCCATACTAAGCCCAGACGGGAGCAGGCACTGGTGGCGAGGTCAAGCACCGCAACTCGAGCCGTCACCGCCTGCCCTTAAATAGCGTCGGACACTCCGATTTGGACACAGCCGCAAGCGTGGCCCTTACCCCGGAGAGCCGGCATATTACAGTATCTCCTTTTCTCTGACCTGTCCGCTGATCGATAAGCAGATTCGGGTGAATACCAGCGTGGTGCTATTGGAATCCGGTTGAAGATAAAAGGGGGGAAATGATCAATGCAAGTGACTGGATAGAAAGCACATGAGACGATAAAGAATGCGCACCATGTGTACTGCTTCTTGAGTTTGTCCAATTCGGTATCCAACTTGAGTAGTCAATCCATCGACAATGCGAAAGCTATGCTGTCGAACGAGCAAGCCCCACAGCTCGCTAAGTTTTGGGAATTATCGTTGTGCACTGCCATGAGCAGTGGCAAATGGGTATAGATAGAGAGGCCCTGGCACTGCTCACATGGCTGCGTAGTTTCCCAGGTATCCAAACCCTTGCTGTTTCGGGGTTGATGCTCTGCAGTGTGCTAGCTGCGCAGTTGTCCCCCTCTCAAATCCAATCATGGACTTTTCCATCATACGAGGCCGTCCCGCACAGACTTCCAATGCCTTTAAATCAACCTTGCAATGCTGATAACCAAAGCCAAAAATAACTCCTCCCAATGCATTGGACGAGACCGAATTGGTGGTCTCCATGGTAATGCTGGTGTTCCGAAAAAGCAGACATGGATAGATTGTTGAAGACTGATTAGGCGTATCCTTCCAAGGGAGCAGTTGGAATGAAAACCCAATGTTGCGTACTCGAAATATCGAGACGCTGCAGTATCCAACCATAGCTCGGTAACGAAACCATAGATCATCCAGACTCGCTCAAATCCTCTTCGTCATTAGCCTCGTTATTTTTAGACTTCTTCCCCTTTCCCTTGCCCTTCTTGCCTTCCTTCACTGCCTTGTCCTTCCTAGTGACTTGGTCCTGCACTCTTTCTCTCTCCTTCGCCCCTTGAGCATGGAGATTCTTTTCCAAGTCCAGAAATTCCTTTGATTCAACGTCCATTCCCACAAGACTCTCCAGGAGCTTGATTTCGCGGGCGTATATACCTTCGTCTTCGCTCTTCTTGCCGTCGCTAGTGACTACCTCAATCGGAGTTTCCAGCACCATTGGGAGTCCCCAGAGTCTTGGCTCGTTGACGAGATTATGGAAAGCGCGCAGGCCGAGGAAACCGGTACCAATGTTGGCATGGAGGTCCCGATAGCTTGCAAAAGGAGCCTTGGAGTCGTTGACGTGGAGAGCCTTGAGGTACTTGAAACCAACGGTTTGATCAAACTTCTCCACAGTCGCCTTAAAAGCCTCGAGAGTTCGGAGATCGTATCCCGCGGCAAAGACGTGGCACGTATCGATACAAATGCCAACACGGGATTTGTCTGTGATAAGGGCAATGATGGCGGCGAGATCTTCAAAGGTGCCACCTACCGTATTGCCCAAAGTCGCCATTGTCTCCAGGACAGTAATGACGGACCCTGTTGTCTCATCGGCATGGGCACGGTTCAGGTTTCCGGCGATATGAGCGATAGCTTCTTCTCGAGTTGAGCTGGCGCTATTGCCTGGATGGAAGTTGTACAGCTTGATACCAAGCTTGTGGCAGCGGGTAAGATCGTCAAGAAAGCAATTGTATGCCTGAGTCGTGCGATCTGCGTCGGTATGCGCCAGATTGACCAAGTAGGATCCATGGGGGACAGCAGTCTTGGAAGGTTCGATGTTGTGAGTCTTGCAGGCTCCCTGGAATAGCTTAAGATGTTCCTCCGAGAGTGGAGGATTGTTCCATTTCCTCTGCGATTTGAGAAACAGGGCGAATGCATTTCCACTGGACAATGTTAGAAAGGATCCACCGGAGCCGGATTTAGGTAGACCAGAAATTGTGCGCCGCTTACCCAATGCGAACGCAGTTTGCAATCGTATTTTGGACGCCTATGGACGACATCTTAGTGTCAAAGTTCCATGAAAGATACGGTGCCTACGTACCTCCCGCAGCACTGACGTGTGCACCGACTAGCAGCTGAGATCCTACGGTCCTCGCTGCTAATGGCATAGCCTCAGCTGCCTTCTCTTCTTTAGTCTTGCGCTTGCGTTGGATTTTGGGTGCGGCTTTGCCGTTGGGCTCCTCGTTCTCTGCCCGAGCTGGTTCATCCACAGGACTTTTGGTCGCAGCAGGAGCTTTGACCCTGGTCTTTCGGGCTTTCTTTGGGGTGGTCTCTGGTGATGCCTCCACGTCTTCCTCTTGAGTGGTAGTTCTGGTGTTGACAGCCTTCTTGGCACGTTTGGCTGACTGAGTTGACGCTGCGGCTTTGCGTTTCTTCCCCTTCGCGATTACCTCAGTAGAGGTCTCGACCGTTGTCTTGATTGTTCTCTTAGCTATCGCCTTGCGCTTTGCAGTGGCAGGTGGTATCCCAGTCGACGGAGGCTCCGACAAGGGGTCTGGAGAGTGGCGGCTCAGCATTGTTGCTGCGGTGTGCATCAAGAGAGTGTGATAAGGTTACAGAGCGTCTACTCACTGCTGCATGGCAGGGATTTAAAAATGCGGGTGTATGGTACAAGGCAGGTGAGGTGGATGAGAGGAGGTGAAATTTGGTCGGAGGCTGGAGACGCGATCGATCAACGCATCACGAGTGCACGTGACTTTTGAAGCAATGGACCAATCAGATGCGAGTCATTTAAGTGAAGGTACCAACTTCTATTGTATTCCGTATATTCCTAGCCTTTGGAGGATCTGTATGCTATGCATGCCAAATGGCATAGAGCCAAATAGCATAGAGAAGAGAAATGCAATGCTTCCATTGTTGATGTCCTATCAAGACAAGATTACAAGGTACTATCTGGCATCTCTCGGCACTGGAATCCGCAGTATCCGTACTGTTCCTATGCGTCGTCATACGTAAGGGGCGCTGAGGCGGGTTGTGACTGTTGCATGACTGGCAGAGAGCTGGCAGTGACTTGGGCATGTCTGTCATGAGATGCTGCGACGTATTCATTCATGCCATCGGCCGGTCGGGATAGGGCTCGGCAAGCTGCCCGTTGCGCTCCCGAGTCCGCGCCGCCAAGAATGCCGCGATGTCTCGCGCGGTGACTCTGGAGGCCGATGCTGAGTGTCTCCCGCCGTTATTCGCCGCCGCTCTCGTCAGACCAGCTCCAGACGAACCTCATGGAACGCCGCAGCGGATGCCCACGGAGCCTCCACGGCCATGTGGTCCTCTGCCTTGCTCGGCCTCAGCAGTACATATTCGACCGTTGAGTCGCCCGAATCTGACGCCGATGTCGTCTTCTCCTGTTGGCAGCGCGCTACCCGTCCAACTCCTCAACCATCACGAACCCACCCACGACCCGCCCTGAAATGCCTCTGAGACCCGCAGTCTTATATTGATCATTTTGTCGACACCATTGCGACAGTCCCATGCCACTGCCTGGATCAGCGGAACAAACCCCTCCCCGAGCTGCGAACGGCGCAATGTCCGCCGCCGCCTCATTAACGAATGGCAAGCCTGCCATGGTATATGCCCTCAATGGCATCTCAAAGCGGAAAGGCGACGCAGGTGACTGGACCCCAGGGTCTCCTGCTTCCTCCGTATCCTCGGGAATGACGGAAGACTACGACACCTTGCAACTCGACCCCGAGACCCTAATGCGAGGCAGCCATGGCGGCGGAGTTGAAGAAAAGGACACGCACTCGGACGAGGGCTCCACGAGCGTTGAGAGCAGCGTCAATGGCGACAAAGCCTACGAACCAATCCACAAGCGCTCTTCCATTCCCGTTCCCTCCCATGCGGTACCTTCGCCCAAAGAGAAAGGACATGGCCGGCCAAAGAGCATACAGGTCATATTGGAGAAAACAAACAAAAAGGGGCGATACACGTTGACGGCAGATGATCCAGATATACGGGAGATACTCCGTCACAGGATCGAGCAAGACGCTTCGGACGGGAAAGGCAAGAGGAGATCGCGATTCCGGGATCTGGTATTCACTCGCCAATTCACGACATTCGATCGCCAGAACCCTCTCAGCTCTCAGTCTCCGTTCCACGGTTTCTTCACCCTCTTCTGGCTGGCCATGGGTCTTCTTCTCATGCGTGTCGCAATGCAGAACCTCAAGGCGCAAGGCAGCATTTTTGGCGGTGCCGAGATCCTGCATATGATGGTTGATCGTGATCTTTTCGTCATGGGCGTTACCGATGGTGCCATGGCTTTTGCCACGATGCTGTGCTGGGGTCTTCAAAAGATAATTTCGAAGGGGTATTTGACCTGGAATGGCTCTGGTTGGATCATCCAGTCGTTGTTCGAAATCGGCTTCATTGGCGGTGTTATCGAGTGGACGTTTTATCGCGACTGGCCGTGAGTACCCATAGGTCAAGTCCAATGAAGCATGCTAACGATACATAGTTGGACCCATACTGTATTCATTGTACTTCACGCGTTTGTATTTTTAATGAAGATTCACAGTTACTCGTTCTATAATGGATACTGTAAGTCATTTTAATCTTCTTACTTATGAAACTTCTAACATCTCTCGAGTATCACAGGTTTACCGCCGGAGATCTCTCCTCGAGCAAAAACTACAGCAACTCGAAGACATGGAGACTATCGACAGCCCCTCGGGAGTCTCTAGCCCTCGTGTCACTTTCCAGTCCACTGCTGTCGATCACTCCAACCCTAATGACGCATTTCAACGACGCCGCTCTGTCGGCTCCAAAGCCTCTACAAATTTCCAAACAGAGCAGTCTGAGATCGCTGTTATGGCTTCCACTATCGAATCCGGCGAACCTCTCGACGCCGACCAAGTCCTCGCATTCGGCCGTGTCATAAAATCAGAGATTGCTGGCCTCACCGATGAACTCAAAGGCAAATGCACACACACAGTCAACTATTATCCTAATAATCTCACACTGTCCAACTTTGCGGACTGGACCTGTCTCCCCACCCTCGTCTACGAACTGGAGTACCCGCGTCAAGACCACATAAATTGGTGGTACGTTGCCGAAAAAGGCAGCGCGACCCTCGGGGTCATCTGGGTCATGATAATCATCTCCCAAGCCTACATCTATCCCGTCGTCGCAGAGACAGTCCACGCCAAGGAGGCAGGCATGAGTCTGCAACAGCGGTGGCGCGACTTCCCGTGGGTCGTATCGGATATGCTGTTCCCGCTCCTCCTCGAACAGCTGCTGTCCTGGTATGTCATCTGGGAATGCCTACTCAACGTCCTCGCCGAGGTCACCTGCTTCGCGGACCGCGGGTTCTACGGGGACTGGTGGAACAGCGTGTCCTGGGACCAGTACGCCCGCGACTGGAATCGGCCAGTGCACAATTTTCTCCTTCGCCATGTGTACCATTCGAGTATCTCAGCGTTCCATCTCAGCAAGAGTAGCGCGACCTTTGTGACATTCCTGTTGAGCGCGGTCGTCCACGAGGTACTCATGTTTTGTCTTTTCAAGAAAGTGCGGGGGTATCTTTTCGCTATGCAGTTGAGCCAGATTCCGCTTGCGGCGATGAGTAGGACTAAGTTCATGAAGGGGCGGGATACGCTTGGGAATCTGATCTTCTGGATCGGGTTGTTTGTGGGACCGAGTTTGATTACGAGTTTGTATCTTGTCGTTTAGAGTGGGGCGTCATATCTCCGTATTTTGGTAATGGTAGGTAGGGCTTTGGACAAGAGTTGGGAAAGGATTAATACCCCGAATCGCGTGGTTCATGAAAATATGTGGGTAATTGGTAGGGCTGCAAAGATAACTCGTTACCGTTGTGCAACGATTGTATATTTTTGTCTATACACATGGTATCTCGAGAAAAATGCCACCACAAAGCTTACGATCGGAGGAAACATAGCCATACTTTCCAGACTTGGTGGACTGTACCCGACTCGCGACCATGTCTTTCTTGGTCGTCGTGTCTGTGAACGACAATTTTTTTTTCTGGAAGCCGCAAAGTCCTGTCGCCAGAGCGGTCGGCGAAGAAGCGCTGCAATGCTGTGTAATTTAAGCTCTCAGTCTCTTGTTTAATGAGCTCCCACGCCTCATGGCCGTTTCTTATCCTTGTTATGGAGTCCGGGCTCGATTCCAGTAAAAGAAAGCAGAAATGTAAAACTTAGGACCCCGTGGTCCCAGCGGGAATCGATTTTGGATCCAACTAACCCAGTTAGCAAAAAAGAAAATGGCAAAAACGAAACCACCCAGCTACCACTGCGCTAACTACACTGTAGAGTCGCAATTTTCTACGGGATCGCTGAGTGGCTACGCCTCTCTGTTGGTTAGTATGGATGGTGTTCAGAAATAAGAGTTATATGAGGTTATCGGTTGAGGTAGGACCCTAAGAAATCTGGAAATCATAGCAAACGCCCGCAGGTCTCTCGCGCACGAGCCTCACCCACATCTTGAGTTCATCTCTTTTTTGAATGTTTCCTTCAAATTTCGAAGCACATTTTCGAAGAGCGGAGTTACGTATTTGAAATGTGTCTGATAATCCGGAGGGTGGCATTTCGCGCTGACGATGGTCGCACGAGTATTCGTGTTGTCGCAATCTTGACATGTCTATACTTCATCGTGGTCCCAGGAATCGTTGTGTTCCTCACTACTATTATGATTGAGGATCTTCATAGTGTTCAGGGAAGTTGTGACGTATTGTTGGTCGCTTGGGATGTCCGCAAGTAAAGGAAGACGGTTGGCATGAACCAAACGGCCCTTCCTTCAACGGGTGTAGTGAGTGATCTTGCAGCCTAATGAGCGTGCGGAGACGCTGAGCCTCAGCCTTCTCCTGAAGAGGAGCTGGAAGCTAATCGCACGAGAGGCCGCCTGAACCATCTCAGCGTGGTATATACGCTATGAGGTCAATCGAGTGTTTGCCCCAGTTTTATAAGAATAGAAAGATGGATCGATGTAGATGTCACAAGAAAAAGATGATGTTATGACAGGGGATGTGATACCCAGTCTTAATTTGGAGTCACGTGACTAACCACATGACAGTGGCTCGATCAGCTCTCCCTTCTCGCACTCCCGCTCTGTGAGCTCATAGCTCCTCCATGATACATTTCCCCTTGAAAATATTCGATACCTCTATTGCGGCATTCGATCTCGTTAAGATGGGAATGAGAGGCGCTGACGTCATCTCCACGTTCCTCCCACTCCACCAGTGCGAACCTGACCTGACCACCCTTGCTATACCTGTAGCTACTGCTCCCACGACAACGTGTTGACGAAGTATGCCAACGACAAGATTAGGAATGCACTAATAGGAAAAGCAGCGAGAACGACCTGTTCACCCAATCTATCACCATACTCTGTTAACACACAGATCAGGAATACAAGGAATGTACCGAAAAGAACAGTAACGAGAGGTAGCTGTCTACCATTAGACTTGGTCAGAGTTTTCTTAGGCTCCGTCGTATCTTCCTTGAGATGAAACGGCGGTGCGTTCAAGCCTTCCAAACAGTCAACATCTTTCGGGGGCCGCAGAGTCTTATCCACAGAGCTGTCGGTGAGAAAAGATCGCAAGCTTGGGTAACCTGCACCTTCGATGGCGAGATTTATGAACTCCCAAATGTTCCCATCCTTTGCGAAGATGTCCTTTAGACTCCGAAGTGCGTACTCGAAGAGGGGCGTTGGACTTTCCATATGGCCCTGACAGTCCGGGGAATCGCACAAGTCCAACTCTTCAAGTTCAAGTCGTGCTGAATTTGAACTCGTTAAGTCAGCTTTCTCTGGAGAAGAAGTCGATTGAATATTTGCAAATAATGATAAGGTGCGGTTGAAAATGCCACTGGACCGGGAAGAAGATGGTTGTTGAGCTATGTATCACGTGACTCGTCAGTACTAGAAGTCAGAATGGGCTGATTCTAAAAAGCTCTATCATTTACGAAGCTTCTCATGTCGCCACGTTGCCATCAGCTGAGGCGGATGCAGTCATGTCCTCTGAACTGAACTCGAGCAGTGACGTAACACCACGTGATCGTTAGCTTCCTCCACTCCACCACGTTTCGTCCGACATCATCATTCCCCACCTGGAGCTCTCGGCCAAGAAGTGACAGGATGTAACCCTGCAAAAGCCGGCAAGCTTGCGCAACCCGCCGTGCCCGCTTCCTCGTGCATATATGTGCCAATGGTCCCCGCTCCAAGCTGCAGCACCCCGCTGCCTTCCAAGCTCTCTCTCATTCTTCCAGCTCCTGAATTCACGTCTTCCGACCACAGCGTGCTTGCAGTCCTCAGAACATTTCATGGAAATCCTTCTCCTCTTCCTGGTCTTAGTTTTTGTAGCTAGACTAGACAAGATATTCTTCTACCGGCTTGGATTCAGTCGGTCTTGAGCTCAAGCCTCTCGCGAGCGACACTCATACGTCAAACGAAGCACCAGGACGAACCTTCAGCAGAAGTCAAAACGCAATGTCTCTCAGCAATGGCAACGCGACACAGAATGGCACTACAGGATTTCTAAGCTTCAATGCCAAACCGCCGCTGGTCTGGATCACCGGCGACGAAGAGGAGTTCGACGAGACGACGCTTAGGTATTGGAAGGAAGAAGGTGCGTTGGTTTAGAGTAACTAGAACTATCCTATCCAATGGGCCCAAGACATAATCACTGACCTATACACTAAGGCTTCACAACAAAATACCTCCCCTACAGTCCTACAGCTGACCCTAATGCCTACCTCGCCAAACTCAAGACCCTCCATAATGAGCTTCCCCTCGGTGTTTCGTATGCTCTCATCGCCTACGGCACAGCTGCCTCTCTAGTTCTCCGCGCCGCTCTCAAGCCGATGCCGAGATTGTGCGCTTTGGTCGCCTACTACCCGTCAGCGGTCCCGAATCCGCGAGCGAGCTATCCCTCACAGCTACAGCTGGTGGTGCATCTTGCCGGAAGACAGGTCGTGCCGCCGACCGAGTTCAAGTCCTATAGATACTCAAGAACGGCGCCGGGTTTTGCAGAGCATGCGAAGCCTGAGTTTGAGGGAGTGGAAGCGGGGTTGGCGTGGGGAAGGACACTGGGGTGCGTGCAGAAGGGTTTCAAACTGGACTCGAGAACGCAGGTCGAAAACACCTGGGATAGGAGTCTACAACGTGAGATACATCTCCACGAAGGCCAACAACGACAAAACTGATAATAATGCTTCCCAGTGAAATTCACTACCGAATTATATGATGATGAGTATGGGTCCGAGATGGTGAACATGATGGTTCCGGAGAACCCACATGTCACTCATGGTCCTACTCTCACCGGAGGCATCGGCGCCCAAGACCTTGAAGTCTTTTACCGGGACTACTTCGACCCATCCATAACCCCAGACTCTAAGATTCGCCTGGTTTCCCGGACGATAGGTGTAGATCGCGTAGTCGACGAAATGGTTGTGTCCTTCACCCACACCAACGAAGTCGATTGGATCCTACCGGACGTACCGCCAACGAACAAGAAAGTCGAGATAGCAATGGTCAGCATTGTCGGAGTGCGAGGCGGCAAGTTGACACATGAGCATGTGTACTGGGACCAAGCCTCTGTGCTGCTTCAGGTCGGGCTTCTCGATCCAGAAAATGTACCGGAGGACCTGAAGGAGGAAGGGTTGAAAAGGCTTCCTGTAGCCGGAGCATGGCAAGCGAGGCAGATTCTAGACCCGCAGAAGAGCCGATACAACGCCTTTCTTCCGTTGATTTGAGCGGCAGGAGAGCTTGATTTCTTGCTTCGTTTAAGCGTTGGTGTTTTGGTGTACTTCGTAGCTGCCTCGGTTCGTTCAACCAATGAAAGTGCAAGTTGGTAGCCTGTATTTGTCGAGTGCCCAGTAGCTTCTTTTCACACCTTCCCATTCGCCGGAATCCTGAAGGTCGGGGACGGCGATTTCCTCCCATTCGACATCGAATCCAGCTTCGAAGAGTTCCATCTCAACAATCTGATAGAATTTAGTTTAAACATTTCACGAAAACGGCCACGTAAACTTACCTTGTGGTACACATCATAGCACACTTGTCGATCCGCACCCATACCATTGAAGAACCCAAACCTCCCGCCTTCTCCACTGCCTTCTTTGGGAGCTAACAACCCAATAACGTGTTCCGTGAAGAACTCTTTGAGTGCCTTGTACTCCTCAGCGAACGTGTCGAAGTATATAGCGTCGAATATCTCCCCTTTCTCTACGAGCGCTGGCACCACATCCTGCCATCGTCCCTCGTGAACGACTAAACCTGGCTTCTCATACCATCCTTCTTCCTTCATTCGTTTTAGCACATCAGGGTGTGCTTCGACAACATGATGAGCAGACGGATTGAGCGATTGGAAGATGCCGTCTATAATCCCCATGCCGTGCCCAATGTTCAGGACGCGGAGACCACTCGACGGCAACAGAAGCTCCGCCGAGCGCTTCATGAGCGTCGTCTCCCAGGCCATCATAACCCCATTCGCAGAGTCGTCCAGTATCCTTGTTTCCGTAAACGTAAGCTGCGAAGCCAAATAATTCGGATTCGTAGTCGAAACATCCTCCCCGTTCGTCTGGTCTTCCACTTCCACTACAGCCTCAGCCGATTGCACCTCTTTGCTGCCTTCCGTCTCACCCTCGGCCTCAATGATTTCAAACCCGTCATCCTCCTCCTCCTCTTCTTCTTCTTCAGAATCTCCTTGGTCACCGAGAATCTGATACTGGTCCAGCCGCGCCAACAACAACTCCGCCCGCACCCCCGCATCCACCACAATCTCATACATCTCACTCAGCCCCAGCCGCCGAGCCACGCACCCTGGCGTCTCGTTTTTGCTATCCAAATCGTTCCAGATAGCCCCGTTCTGGAACAAGAACTTCACCGTGCGCGCTGCTGCGTCAAGTTCGTTCTTGCGCTCTTCGCTTTCCTCGTCGTCGTTGGTGTGACCATTTGTAGGCTTTGGCCCTCCCTCTTCATAGGGCTCACACGCGGCGATGGCGGCGTGGAGGGGTGTGAAGCCCGTCTCGGCGTCTTGCACGTTGGCGGAGGTGTTGCGGAGGAGGTCGCGCAGGGCGGGGATGTCGTGGTGCGCGGCGGCGAGGAGGATGCTTTGGGTTGTGAGGGCTGTTTCGTCGAGGGCGACGGAGAAGGCGGGGTCGGTGGTTGGGTCCATTTTCCGGGGTCGAGGTGTGGAATTGGAGAAGATGGTGCTTGGAGCTGTGAGTCGGAGATGAAAATATTGTGGTGGTTGGCGAGTCATGCAGGTGTTTTGGTTGAGGGGCATGACTCTTGTGGATCATATTCTACCCTCCTACCGTATCTCGTTGACCATATCTCGTATCAGCATGAACTGAAGTTTTACATCAACATAAATCCAGCTTAGCTGTATTCTGGCGTGGCTCGTGTTCCATCTCACAAGAAAGCACGAGTCACTAAGAGGCTGTCCAGCACAACGCCGTCTAGGGTACGGAAGATCAGAGAGGTGTCAGCTTGGTCAGGACCGTCGCTCTACATCTGATTTGGATTTCTGCAAGGAATTGATCTTCAATAGTGAGAGATAAGTGGACACTGTACACAAGCTAACAAAGAGTTCATAACTAAGCCAGTGTCTGCTCAATTCGGGGGATGTCAATATGAAGGAGATTCGAAATTCACGTCGGGCAACGGGATCCGGGACACGCAACTATCACAGACTCCCTGTGATATCACGGTGGTTCAGTAGTTTGCAAAGCCATAGAAAAGAGTTCAATTTGATGTCCTCTCCTGAGTCCACTAGCAAACTCCCGCAATCTCAGAATCTATTCTCGCCATGTAAGGCAGGGTATTACCATTTCAAGCAGCCGTCCAGATCAATCTCCTACTTCTTCTCCTTCTTCTCGTCCAAGGCAATAACCATGGCCACCATCAACGCCATGTCGGCTCCCTTAGCAATCGTAAGGGCATAAGTCTGCTGCCCGAAGAAGATGTCCTTGCCCGAGAGCAGCGTACGATCAATCTTGGCAACCACCTCGCCTGTGCTCAAGTCGACAATGTTTGCAGAAACCTCGAGCCAGTCGCCCTTCATTTCCAGCTCCTTGGCCTTGCCATCAAAGGAGGTAAATGTGGCGACGGCCTTGCTGCCCAGAGGTGAGAACTTCGAACCGACCTCGAAGATCTTTTTTCCCGAGGGGTCTTCGCAGTAGTAGGTCGTGTGGAAAGTCAAGTGCTGTAGGAGGTTAGTTCAAGGAGTTTGTCAGATCTGGCTTTTGGGAGCTTGCCTCCTTGCGGATGTCGAAAATGGGTTCGCCTTTCTCGTCCATGAGGTGCTTTCGGCCGGAAAGAGACAAGACATCCCCCTTAACCTGGAAGACTGGACGTCCATCGGCAGTTTTGATGGAGAATGAGTCGCCGGAGAGGGACATGACATGTTCTAATTGGGATACTGTTAGCAGATGTCACCCGTACTTCAACAACCATCACAGCTGACCCACCCTTGAGAACCAATGTCTCCGTCCCCCCTGCAATGTGCTGGGGGAAAAAGCCAATTTTTTCTCTAAGTGGAGGAAGTGCCATCTTTCCAATGCGAGGTATGTGAATGTCAAGAGCTAAGATTGGATGTGAAGAAAACAAGCGTCAGAATCCTTGGTCGAACTTTCGGGAATTAGTTTTTCCAGAGTGGTGGAAAGATCAGGTATGGCGGAGGGAAGATGGTCATGAGATATATAGAGTTTCTTCGACGTCAGATGGGGGCTTCAAACGAGGCAGTGCTAGGCTCAGGGCTGCCTAAGAATAGCCGCGACAATCGGTGACCAACACCCCGTCTCGCACGATTGGGCATTTCGTTTGAGCAGGCGCTCGGTAGCATCAAAACCCGGCAAGTTGTGTGTCGACTGATTACTGCTAGGCTCCATTCGCAGAAAGGTCCACTATTAAAGTGCTTATGAGACCCAGCCTGGCCGTTAGCATATTGTACACAGTAGCCCCGCCGCTGACTGTAGTGAGAACCTAATTGGGACCGCACGACGAGGCATGAACGCAGGAGTTATCATGCCATTGGAGAGAAACTGAGATGTCAGAAGAACTTTGATTGCCATCTGCAAAACTCTGCCCAGTGCGTAGTTCTAGCTGCCCAGTACGTAGCTACCCAGGTGAAGTTGCAGAAAGAAGCTTCCAAGCCGAGAAACGGTGCCCTTAGCATCATATTGAGAACCTTATTAGAAGCATAGCTCCGTAAGAATAGCATAATCAGTGAATACAGATTACGGAGGCATGCTATACAGCCCTTGACTAGAGTCTCCTTAAAGTCAATCTTTCCTGCGTATGCATGTTGACATGGTTTTCCGCAATAATACCTTCAATTGCAGAATTCAAAGGCCGTGATTGGCCGTTTGCATGCCAAGTGCTGTTTGTTCAGCCCCCAATCCACTTCACAACTGTGCCTCCATCAGATCACCACATCACCCTGGATGCCGTCTCAGAACTGGCCATTAGTAGCCACAGAGCTCCTCATCATCGAACCATTTCGAGACTCCTCGTCCCACGCAGCCGCCTTCGTTCCTCGCCGCTTCCCACCTCCGCAGATCATCCGCATCGCCACAATTATAGTCGGACCTATTAGCGCGAGCCGGTTCCGCAATGATCTATGATCTCATACACATCCAATGCCTTTGAGGTAGCAACGAGGCTGTCGGTGCCACCTTACTACGATCCGTACACGTGGATCAGTCGGTAAAGGACCTGAACGATTATTGCGGCAGAATTGGAGGTTAGAGTGGCTTTGTCTGTAGCTTTCGGACTCCTCGTAATTTGTCTAGTTCATGATCCCGTTATCCCTTGAAATCATCAACACTGCATTTTGTCTGTACCACTTTGGAGACGGCGGCGACATATTCTTCTTTACCGCAATGATTGGCCGAGTTTTGAGAGGATCGCAGATTAGGCCCTTGAATTGCCCAATATTCTGCACGTCTTTTGAAGCTATAGAACGGGCTTTCCGGGATATTCCCGCCCCCCCTGAATATGTAAGCTCGCCCCTGTCACTTCGCCAAAATTTGGGCTGTGCAGCCAGGCTATTACATTGTAGTACGGAAATCGGGCGCTCACACGAATGCCTCATCGAGGCTGTCCAAACCAGCTTCTTCCAACCAGTTTCGCCTCTAGAAAACAGTTTTGTTTGTCCTCATTTTGCGTCTACACCTGTTGACCTCGATACGCAGCGAGAGGGGTGGATTCAGATTCACTGAAAAGTTGGTTGGCGACGACCGGGCCCTCCTTATGGCATACTTTCGCATACATGGGGACTGGATACTGAGGAATTTACCTTCGAGGATATGATAAATGGCACGGGCGAGAAGAAGCCTGGATACGAGAAGATCCGGTTCTGTGGAGAACAGGCGAGACAGGATGGCCTGCAATACATTTGGGTCGACAACTGCTGCATCAATAAGAAGGATTTCCCCGAACTCGTGAATGCTATCAACTCGATGTATCTCTGGTACCATAACGCGACTCGATGCTACGTGTACTTGTCCGATGTTTCAACAAAGAAGAAGGAAAGGGATGGGCACTCAAGAGACACTTGGGAATCGGATTTCCGGAGGACTCAGGTTGAAAATTGATGTGAACTCTGTCTTATTTCGGGGGCCCGAAGGCCAAACTATATACTACGTAGGAAGTGACTGTATGCATAGGCAGAAGCACTAATTGGAGGCAGCAGTAGGCAGCATTAGGCAGGGTAGGCCACCGTACCCCAACCCCTCTCTGTAGAAGTTGTAACTGGCTAGGCATGTAGGCAGCTACTATGCCAGCAACTCCAAGTCTGTACGTAGGTGACCGTGAACCGTATGAGTTGTTGATCCTAGGTTGTAGCTGTTACAACCCGAGTTCGTAGGTGTACAGATGACGGAAATCTATTTCAGAATCTCTCCTGTGTTGCATGCACCGCATGTACGCATTTGAGAAAGCTGGGAAGAGCATGAAGAACCAGTGCTATTTGGGTATCCCTCGCTGGCAATGTAATATCCTGATTTCGAACCCTAAATATGCTCAATCCATTGACTGCGAGGAGCCTAGTGACTCTCACTTTGAGGACTCTCCAAGAGAGGTTACTTGAGAGGCGGGCTGGATGTTCATCATGTTACTGCGTCGAGTAATGGTGTTGAAACAATTAGCCCGGCTAGGCGTATTTAGGTACTCCCGGCAAGGTTGCAAGCTTCGCGGCAAGAATGTTTCAAAGAACAACGAGGATGAGGCGGAGCCGCCGAAGCGCAAGTCCGACCGTTTGGATAGCTAGACTTCGAGGGCTCAGCATGGTGTAATGTTGCGTAGGATGCGAGTAGGCGCCCAAGGGAGAGTAGTTGTTAACACTCGTCCAAAGGCAGACGTCGCACGAACTTGAGTTATTTAGTCAGATGATGCGATTCATTAGTATTGGCACTCTTACAACTGTAGCCGTAAAAGAGCTAGACGCTACTTCCATCATGATCTTGAGCAAGATGTTTGCCGTAAGGTAGATGATGGCACGGCGTAGAATATTCTACATATGTCGTGAGGGGAAGAGTGTACAAACTGTTTTGCGCGTAAGACAAAGGCAGACGCGACATCACCTGCATCTGCTGCTGGAGTGAGTTGTGATGGAGGACTGAGGTCAAAACGCTTGCTGACTTAGCTAAGATACCCAATCAGATTAGAATACGGGACCAGTTTCACCCAGTGCAACCGCCCAGAGAGCAAACATCCTTCTAAAACGCGGGTGATCCGTGTCGCAGACCCTTCCGAAGTATTGCAGCGAAGGGGCTCCGCAAATACTTCATGTAACCGCCGTTCAATACAAGATATCATCACGTCCGGTGACCTAGCGCGGAAACTGAGTCGACCCCGGTAAACTACCTTTTCTGGGCTAATGTTGAGCTAGCTTGAAGATTGATTGACTAAGAGGCTGCTATTCCCCCTTAAAGGCGTCCGGAAATGCTACCTTATACGGTAATTTTGTGGCTTCAATTCTACAAATAAGTTCCGCGCCGCATGCGCCTCCTAAGAATAGAATCGAAAACACAAACACATTGAACACCGCAAGCTCTCGATGCCTTGAACCAACACATCATCTTCCATTCGTATGGTTTAGAGATATCCTCCCAAATTGCTATTTCACGTTTAACAGCGACCAGTTTTTGTCAATACAAAAGAAAGGACGAGAAAGAAATATGGGCGACCACTCTCAGACCACAGCCGGTGATGCAATCATTGATATCCCTACTGTATGCCTCTCCAATCTATCTCTCCAGCAACCTCTAAACTAACGCCCTTTCTCCAAATTCCAAAGTCCACCGACACCATCGTACACCACCACCATCCAGACCACCACCCGCCTCCATACCACGAAGACCCTCTTCCCGACATGGCAAACGACGCGGCTGTGATGGCACCTTTAAACCGAATCTATCAACAGTATGGTACTATTCTAGTTGAGAGTCCACGAGACCGACGCCGACGATCGCAAGAAGAGAGTCCTGCGTGGCAATGTTTCAGTTTTACAGTTGGCTGCGCTATGACTGGATTCACTATCTTTGTACTGTATCGCCTCTTTGAGGCTCCGCACCCCTGGTGATACGATAGTCAAAATCAACAACTCTCACTATCACTCTCAAACCCAGTTCTCATGTATCATCGCTTCGTTGACTGGTTTAAGCTTTGAAACCCGGCAAAACTAGGCCGCCTCGACCTACCCCTACTCCTCCTCCCATCCCCCAACCTGCGCCTAACCCCCCCAACCCCCCTCTTCCACCCCTTCACAGCCCCCTTAACCTTAACCCTCCTCCCCACATCCCCAACCTTCCGCTTCACCCCCCACCAAACCAACCGCCTCACCTGCCTACTCCTCAGCGACTCCCGTATCAGCCGCCGCCCCACCCGCTGCTTCACCCACAGCCTGGGATGGACCACCCGTTTCCATTTCCCGAGCTTGAACTTCAGTTTCCGAGGCATGAGACGCAGAATGTAGAATCGCGGCATCAGGCCCATGGGACGATGGAGCGGCCGGGAATGGTGCCGTGGCGCCGGTACTGGAGACGGGGGCGCGGGTCAGATGCGGGGGCGGCGCCGGTGTTCACGCCGTCTTCTGTGACGAGCTGGCGGCGGCGCCGGTGGGGACCTCGACGGTGGGGACGATGGGGATTGACGACGGGATCAGACGGGCCACGCGGGCTGGTGGGGAGCGTGTGGACTGCTTCTGGGTTTCCATTTTCGTTGGCCGGCTTGAAGTACAGAGCGAGTGCCCGGCGCGCAGATAAGGAAACGCGGCGGCGGCGGCGGTGGTAGCTACTACTACTCCCGTGCCCGCTCTTGTGATCGCCGCCGGGGTAGTTTAGGATCTTGCTCCAGCAGGCTTGAGCGTTGGAGAGAGAGCCAGAGGCGTGGAGCGTTGGGAGGGTGGTGTTGCCGGTTAGGAGGTCGCGTTCAAGGAGGTCGGAGGAGTAGGCCTGGGGATCGTCAGTGAAATGCGGTAGTGGAGAATAGCTGGGTAAGGGGGAGTATTGTACGAACAAAAAGGCTCTCAGATAGCGCGTCAATGGCTTTGTAGATAGGGGCGTTGAGTTCGGTGTGCCAGGAGCGGCCAAGGGCGATGAGGGCCATGGAGAGAGTTGGGATGGATTCGATGTACTAGGGCTGTTAGTGTTTGGAGCGAGGGTTTGAGGATGAGAAGGTGGAGTACGTTGAGGTATTCGTCGTTCATCGGCACGGGGCTCTGATTTACGAAGCTAACCTAGGTTTATGTCAGCGGGTTGCGGTGGTCATCTAGACTTTTTTTTTGGGAGATGTTCTGCTAGAAAGATCCAAATGAATGGTGCTAGTGTCTCACTCTAAACATCTCGTTAGACCAATATCTTACCTGATCAGTGTCCAAGTTGAATTTCGACCGTAGCACCGATCCTGTAACATTTCCCAGCAAATCCGCGGTACTCTGTAGAGCCAAGTCAGCACCTCCCCTTCACCCTCCCTTCTTCCGCTGCATCATAGCATCCCGGACGCTGGCTTACCATAGTACTACGCAGAATAGCAAGAGAATCTTCGCCATTTGGACCGGAGGTGGTGTAGTTTGTGCCGTTTAGCGGTGCCCAGATAGTATTGGCGGCGTTGGTTATGATAGCGGACAGGTCTCGCATATCTTGGGTCCCATCGGCGAGAGTAGCTGGAATCGAGAGCAGGCACACTAGCGCGGCGGTCAGGCCGGAGAGTTTGACGCATGGTTTGTTGATGTTCCACATCGTTGTGGAACGGAACGCCTAGGAGAGAGGTAGAGCGGCGTGGTGAGGTAGAAAAGTGGTTTAGATTATGAGGTAATTCTGCAAGGGTAAAAGTTGTGAGAAGAAGGCTGAGAAAGTTGGTGCGTTAAGGTCGTGAAAAGGAAGAGGAGGTTCGTGGAAGATGAGTTGGGTGGTATTACTCGAAGGAGGAAGTCGCAGCAACCAACATACCTAGCCTAGATGGACGGAGAAGGAGCGGGTTGCCTTGTTCCTCGTGGATGTCGCGATGAGCTGCTTCTTCTCAAACCCGACAAGGCTTCTTGACAACGACGTTTCGAAAATGAGCAAGATCGGCCTTTCAGGAAGATCAATGAAAACACAAGGAAGAGGAATCGAGATCCTTATAGAAGCTTGTGCGCTAGCCAACTTGAGCAATCTACCTCCCGTATAAGAGTAGAAGAGCGGCATCGATGCAGTCGTAAGCTCCCTGTCACTACTGTCTCTCTCCTCCAAAAAATGCCACTAGCCTACCACCCTCCGTCCACTCTTCACTCTGAAATACGAGCAATGCACGACTGGATCCACCTTGAGCGACCATCCCAACGCCTCCGCTTCACCCTCGACCTCCTCTCCCTCGACATACTGAAAGAAGGTCTCCGCTACCTCAGAACTCTAATCGCAAACGGTATTGCCAGAGATATTTCCCTCTACAGCATATGGCGATCGAGGATTCTGCCGTTGGATGAGAGACAGCAAGGCTTTGCATATGCTGGGTGGTCATGGCACCCGCCTCCACAGGAGTGTATTGAGAAATTAGACAGAGAGGCAGTGATGACGTTCTTGATTGTAGATGTGACAGTCTACGATAGTATAATGGACAGTGTCAGGAGATGGGAGAGGGAAACTAGGCCAAGAGACGATATCTGGCATTTTGATCACGTAGAAGAAGTTTGGCGAAATGAAGAGGGAGAGGAGATGGATAGTGTTTGGGATGACTATTGATTGATGGTTATGCGAGATATCTATTCCAGTCTTTCTGCTGAGACCCACAACTTCGGAACGTAAAGAGATGGACGTTGAAATGAGCAAACCAAGAACCCACCCTTTCAACCTTACTTCGCTCACTCCGTTGAAATACTAAAATAAAGCTGACTTAACCATTCAGACAGTAACATAGTAGACAAGACTGTATTCACCCCCCTCTAATCCCTCCGGCGATTCTGGGGCAATTCTCTCGTCGAAATGCTCCGAGGCAGCTGGGCTACACCTACTTAGGGAACACAATAAGGCCGCACATCCGAGCGGAATCAGACCGAGAGCGCGTTCCGCCCTACGAACTCCTCGATGCACCGAAGCATTCCGAGAGTCATAAGCACGATCCGGGCCGCGACTGGCACGTCTGCTGCAAAGGAGCGATTCAGGACGACGTCTTATATGCGGACTGGAGGTAGTAGATGGTAGTTTTGCACCGGGAGAAGGCTTAACCGGAGCGATTCACGAAGGTTCAAGCTCTGTCGCTTATGGTAGAAGACTTCTCCGTAGAAGAATGCTTGGGCTGGAGGCGCTGTAGAAAATGTAGACGCGTGACAGTGATGAAAGGTTCGTAGACAAGAAGAAGTCGTGCAGAAGACGGTGTCAAAGAGGTCCCCTCTCGAGCTGCCGAAATGGGCTCCCGCCGATGTGTGGGGTTAACGCAGGGGCCATCTGAAGTGTGGAGAGCTCCATCAACCCTCACTCATAAAACACGGCCCGTCTCCCAGCCATGCGTGACTTGCTACTTCTCCGTTTCTTTCCGCCCCTCGGTTCTTTCTCTTACATTTCCTTCTCCTGGTGATTGTCTCCCTCTCTTGTTGAACAGGACCCAAACTAGAGCTGTGATTGACCTGGGGAGCTTCATTCACACATCAATTCGCTATGCCGTCAATAACCCTCTCCGTGCGGACAGCCGCTCACTTCTCGCGATCTGCCTCAAAAGTAATACCATCTAGATATACCATTTCTAGCTACTGCCCCATTACTCTCAGACATCAAAAAAAACTAACCGCCATCTCAAGACCTACCTCCCCCTCGCCCGCCTCTTTTCCACCACCCGCGCCCGCCATGAAATCAACAAAGTGCTCCCCTCGGCCTCAGCCGCCATCGCCGACATGAAGTCCGACTCGACCCTGCTGTGCGGCGGCTTCGGCCTCTGCGGCGTCGCCGACACCCTCATCAACCAGGTCGAAGCGACCCCCGCCATCACAGGCCTGACGGCCGTCTCCAACAACGCCGGCATCGACGGCTCCGGGCTCGGCCTGCTCATCGCCTCCGGCCAGGTCAAGAAAATGGTCGCCAGCTACGTCGGCAACAACAAGACGCTCGAGAAGAAGTATCTCGGCGGCGAGATCGAGATGGAGCTCACGCCGCAAGGCACGCTCGCGGAGCGGTGTAGGGCGGGTGGGGCGGGAATACCTGCGTTTTATACGCCTGCGGCGTTTGGGACGGTGGTGCAGACCGGGGAGCTGGCGGTGAAATATCGCGCTGATAAGAGTGTGGAGAGCTACGGTGTGGCGCGGGATGTCAAGGTGTTTGATGGGAAGAGCTATGTGATGGAGGAGGCCATCAAGGGGGACTATGCCTTTATCAAGGCGTGGAAGGCGGATAGGTTGGGGAACACGCAGTTCAGGTTCGCGGCGCACAACTTCAATGGCGCCATGGCGCGGAACGCGACGACGACGATTGTGGAGGCCGAGAATATTGTTGAGCCGGGCGAGATTGATCCCGAAGCTGTCCATGTGCCGGGGATTTATGTGGATCGTGTGATCCAGGCGACTCAAGAGAAGCGGATTGAGAGGGTGGTGAATGCGAAAGATCCCAAGGACGAGATGGCGGCGCTCGGCAGTGGAGATGCGGCGAACAAGAGGGAGAGGATCGTAAGGAGAGCCGCGAAGGAGTTCAAGAACGGGATGTATGCGAATCTCGGAATCGGCATGCCCATGCTGGCCCCTAGCTTCGTCGACCCATCCGTGGAAGTTCAACTGCAGTCCGAAAACGGTATTCTAGGCCTCGGACCCTACCCGGCGAAGGGTGAAGAAGACCCCGATCTGATCAACGCGGGTAAGGAGACCGTCACGCTGCTCCCGGGCGCGTCGTGCTTCGGATCTGAAGAGTCGTTCGGCATGATCAGGGCGGGCAAGATCGATCTCACAATCCTCGGTGCCATGCAAGTGAGCGCAAAGGGAGATTTGGCCAACTGGATGTTGCCAGGCAAGGTCATGGGATTCGGAGGAGCCATGGATCTTGTCTCGAATCCGCAAAACACGAAGGTGGTGGTGACGATGGAGCACACGGATAAGAAGGGCCGGCCCAAGATCTTGAAGCAGTGCGAGTTCCCGCTTACGGGCAAGGCTTGTGTTTCGAGAATTATTACTGAGTTGGTAAGTTGTAATCGTCCCCTAGGTTTTGAAATCATGGTTAACATCAAGCACAGGGCGTGTTCGATGTCGACTGGGCTGAAGGCCTCACGCTTATCGAGCTTGCGGACGGTGTTACCGTTGACGAAGTTAAGGCGAAGACGGAGGCACCGTTCAAGGTTGCCGATGATGTGAAGCCAATGTTGTAACGCGCTCATGTCTCACTCATGAAATCTTCCCGTAAAATCTTTCTAGCCAAGCGTTGTATATATTTCCATAGTCTGCATTCGAGGGGAAAATAGATCAAAACCCACGCACCAAGAGATTGTGCATCCATGAATATTCATTATCCACGTATATTTGGCTTTGAACCTCTAAACCAGATTCGTCGATCCATCTAGACGCCCTGACGCCAGACGCTGTCAAATATCTTACAGACGTACCTCCCTACCGTGTATCCAGAACGAGAGGGGTTATGGTACAGTACACCATCCACTTTAACGAGTACTTTTGATAAATCTCTCGAAACGCAAGCGAGCTATTCAGAGATACTTCTTGGGTGCACTGTTCCTCCGCTTCTTATAGACCTGCCACGCCCCAATAATCATAATCTGAACAGCCACGAACACGCAAATGATCAGGCCCATCCTTGGCTTTGCTCCAGTAACGACTGTAGGGTTCAGTTAGCATTCCATCTGTAAAGTAAAACCAGCTGATATCAAACTCACTATTTGACATAGCCAACGGCAACCCCTCCGTTAGACTTGTCTGGGTAACCTTAATCGCATTCTGCAATTCCGTCAAATGCTGCTGATAATCCTTGCCCTCGACATCCCTCTGGATCGCCATCACAATTCTTTCAATCTTCTCCACATTCCTGCTGATCCCATCCACACGGTCGTTCGTGGGAATAACGCGGTTCACGACCTCCTGGTGCCAGTTGTCCTGGTTCTTCGCGAGGTTCTCGAGCAGCCGGAAGATGTTGTTGACTTGGTGGTTCACGATCTGTAGACGGTTGTGTAGGTCGGCGAACTGGTCTTGCTGGTTCTTGATGTTGGTGGCGAGCTGGTCGGAGAGTTGTTGGGGGATCTCGCCAGATTGGGGAGCTTGATTTTGTTGCTGCTGTTGCTGTTGCTGCTGGGGCGGTTGATATTGTTGATATTGCTCTTGTGGGGGAGGGGGCTCGGTGCGGCCCTGTTGCTGCTGAGCACCGCTGGGGACGGAGACTTCGAAAGATTTGGCTTCGAAGGAGTCGGGGTTCTCCGCTGAGGCGGCGGACACGCCGAAGTAGTAGCCTGCTGGGAGTCTGACCTGTTTGTGAGGTTAGTGGAGTTCGTCTTCCTGCCGGACCTGCCGGACCTGCCCGGGATTTCTTACCTTGTCGGTCCTGAAGCATGGGTTCTTGTCTATTGTGACCTGGAAGTAATCCGCGGTTTGCTTCAACTGGATGGTCGAGAACCGCCCCATATTCCGGTAGGGGTAGTTGCATTGCCCAAACGACAGCGAGTCAACACTGTGGTGGTCCTTGTATGACACAGTTCCATCGTTTAAGAAGCCTCGCACAGTGCCTCCCATTCCCTTGTACTGATCCACCACCATCACGAGCCCATCAAACGCCGGCGCCGTATACAGACTCGACATGCCCACACTCTGCTGCCCATCCTTGCTATACCAAATCTGCAAGTTCCCTCCTCCGCGCTCTGGCCCCGAGGCACGGTACTTGAACTCTGCTGTCCATTCTGAGTAAGGGGTCGGGTTGTCGGACCACAGTGCTCCTCGCATATTTCCAGGGTATGGCGGTGTTAATATGACACGATCTGACATCAGATTAGGCGTGTGGCCTTCGCCAGACACACTCCAGCCTGGGATTCCGCGGCCATTGGGCGATAGTTGGCCTCCTTTGTTGCCGAAGCTGAGTTGGTCGAGCACGTTCTGGGCTTGCACTGCTGATAGTGCTATGGCCGAGTATGCAGCTGCTGCCCGTAGGCTCTGTAGCGATATGTACATCGTGGCGGAAGAATGGTTGAGGTTGGGGCAAGCGGGCTGGATATGGATGCGCGAAGTGTGATGCGGTGGAGGTCTTTAGGTAAGGTGTACGGTATGTAGGACGATCGCTATTGTAGATGATCAGCATCCAATTCACACATGAAGTTTCAGTGCTCCTGGACGCTTCCATACCTTTAACTTCAATGCGCACTTCTCCGTCGCGAGTCCACAATTGAGACAATGCTCCACGCGACAATTAGAACCAGGGCGACGTTGCGGACGTTCTTCACTACCTTGGTCGCCTCGGGGGTAATGTCCAATGTATGCTTGATAGTGATTTGGTTAGTGAAGTCGACAAGATGCTTAACGCCCACGTCGGAAAAGTCCATTGACTTGTCCTTCTGGCCAGTTGTCTGCTTTGTCCGCACTCTATCACTTGATTGGCCGTCGTCCGTGCGCCTTGATGTGCTGCTCTATCCAGGCAAACGGGCAGCAAAAGAACGGTGGAAAGATGGTTATGTAGGGCGTAGAGACTCTTGCATGACATTCAGACATAGATTAGCTATGAAACCAAAGACATGACAAAAAACAGAGCCAATAGCTCCATCATTGACTCTGGCACAAAACACTGACGATGACATTTCCTTGCCTCTCCGGCCGGAGCTTTGACCCGTTTTGCCGACTTCTTTCATCACCACCACCGGCGCATCTCCACCTGCACTCGACATCTGCTCATCCCAGGACTCTCGCAACCCTCGAACACCGGACCCTAATTCCCCCATCTCCCTCGCACCATGGCCGGCGACCCCCAGGAAACGTGGAGGCGGCTGCAGATGTCGCTGAAGAATGCGCAGCAGTCGGGCAGGCAATTCGGCGGAGGTCCTGGCAAAAACGCTCTTGGAGGCGTTGCGGGATTGGTTATATTGGGAGGGCTGGGCATAGTAGCGAGCAATGCGCTCTTCAACGGTACAACTGCCTCTTCGCCATCGTCAACTTAATCGAAGCCGTAGCTTGAGATGGAACCACACGGAGATGGAATATCAGATCACTAATGCTTTCTTACAGTCGACGGTGGTCACCGAGCAATCAAGTACACCCGGATAGGCGGTGTTGGCAAAGAAATCTACAGCGAAGGTACCTATACAATCCCCTCTCTAAGCATGTCCCACAGCATTCCTAATTACCCCCAGGTACCCACATCAAGATCCCCTGGTTCGAGACCCCCATCACCTACGACGTGCGCGCAAAGCCCCGAAACGTCGCCTCCCTCACCGGCACCAAGGACCTGCAGATGGTCAACATAACCTGCCGTGTGCTATCCCGCCCGCGGGTCGACGCTCTGCCCCAGATCTACCGAACCCTGGGCACCGACTACGACGAGCGCGTGCTGCCGTCCATCGTGAACGAGGTGCTCAAGAGCGTAGTAGCGCAGTTCAACGCCAGCCAGCTCATCACCCAGCGTGAGAACGTCAGTAGGCTAGTGCGGGAAAACTTGGTGCGGAGAGCGGCGAGGTTCAATATCATGCTCGACGATGTGTCTTTAACTGTAAGCATTCTCCCCATCCCTCAGATCTGCCTTCACACACGAGATAGATGCTAACATGAGCGACAGCACCTCGCTTTCTCCCCCGAGTTCACCGCCGCCGTCGAAGCCAAGCAAGTCGCCCAGCAAGAAGCCCAGCGCGCGGCCTTTGTCGTCGACAAAGCCAGACAGGAGAAGCAGGCCACGATTGTGCGCGCACAGGGTGAAGCCCGCTCCGCCGAGCTGATCGGTGACGCCATCAAGAAATCGCGGTCGTATGTCGATCTGCGGGAGTTCGAGAACGCGAGGAACGTCGCGCAGATATTGCAGACAAGCCAGAACAAGGTGTACCTCGACTCGACGAACTTGGGCCTCAACATCAGCCAGACGGCCGTGGACAAGGCTTCGAGGGCCCAGAAATAGGGAGGAGAAGATGGCTGAGCTGAGGCTGGGTGGTTAATGGCGGACTTGTGCACGTTGAGAGACCTGCGTGAGCGGGAAAGCGTTGCGGAGATTGCGCTACAGTGCGCTCTGTGTATATTTACAAAAATATGGGAGGCTGGAGCATTGACTGGGCTTGTAAGCTGGGATGGGCGAGTTCGAGCAGTGTAGTAAAATTCCGCTCTTGTCTGAATAGGAAGCATAAATTTCTCCAACTTGTATTCCAAATCCATCAAGATATATGCGATGGGCTGAGCTCTATCAGACGGCAACTTGTAAAAGTCATGGTTTCAAGGTACATGTAAAAGTGTTCAGCATTCTACATCTTCGGTGTCACTAGATACCCGCCATACCCGTTGACTTTAATTCGTCCCCTGCTCCAAACATTGCCTGGAAGAGGCAACTCTTGGCGTGCTAGAAAATGTCGAGTATAGGACATGTGGAAAGTTGTCGATGTCTAAAGATGACAGCTTCCCTAAGCCAGAAACCCGAGACTGGATTTTGGGTCTAGGTCAAAAGGGTTGTGATCTGAGCCCGAGATCAGCATGCCATTGCCGAGAGGGTGAGAGTCACACCCGGCGTTCATGGGAGCTGGAGTTCGGAATGGGGCCTTGAATTGATTCGAATGGGTGAAGACGTGGCTAGATTTCACGGTATTCACGAACAAACAGACGCAAAATATAGCTATAGCTTGATTTTTAGTATACCACCACATGGATTGACTGATTCTTGTCTGACTACGGTGCGTGTCGTGTATCCACCATGTCTCTGTCACCCTTCACATTCCCCATTCATCTCACATCGTAGATCCGGCAAGGTCGTTTACTTGGACTCATCGAAGACGTAGGTGAGATGGCATCGGCCGCAGTACTGGCGGTTGTGCATGGCAGCCATGAAGACACCAGCGCCACACTATCAATCAATATGTCAGCATTCGCCCCACTCGCAGAATTCATCGAAATTCGGAACGTACCTCAGGCGTGGGGCACTCCCTCCGTAGACGCTCAATCTTGCCATCGCCGTCGACCTTGTAGTACTTGAGGACCGCGAGTTTGGTCTTCTTCCTCTTGTGCTTGATCTTCTTGGGGGTGGTGTACACCTTCTTCTTGCGCTTCTTGGCCATGCCGCCACGCAGACGGAGCACCAAGTGGAGGGTCGACTCCTTCTGGATGTTGTAGTCCGAAAGGGTGCGGCCGTCCTCGAGCTGCTTGCCGGCGAAGATCAGACGTTGCTGGTCGGGGGGGATCCCTTCCTTGTCTGCGGAGGGAGTTAGTGGGATGCAGCGCGATTATGAGGCTGGGGTGCGACAAACCTTGGATCTTGGTTTTGACATTGTCGATGGTGTCCGAAGACTCCACCTCAAGGGTGATAGTCTTGCCCGTTAGGGTCTTTACGAAGATCTGCATGGCGTCCTGTGGGCTGTTAGCAATCAGGACACGTTCGAGAAGGGGATGTGCGGCGGCGGGGAAAATGCGAGTGTCCAGAAGGGCTGCTTAGGGTTGCTGGGGGGTTTGAAATGTGCTTGGGATATGCTGATATGCACGCAAATGATGGGGGGGCTCACCTAGACAATGCGAATTGTCTTCCTCAGTCGTCGAAGATGCAGAGTTGAGGTTGTGGCGGGCGAAGTGTATAGCTAGCGAGAATTGAAATGTGCGCTGACTAAGAGCCGAAGTGCGAGCGATGCCGAAGTTCAGACGGTTGCCCGTCTCAACGGCCTTGGCGCTTGTTGATGGACGAAGACCTCGGCCGCTCTCCCGATCAGCCATCTCCATCCACCATCCACTGCACATCTCAATCCCCACAACTCTCCATTGATACTTCACAGTACTCTACTGTACAACCAACCTTCCATCTCGACCGTCTTTCGGGGAGCCACACCTTCCACAGCTCCTGCACAAACCACCCACTCGGCTTCGGCCCATCACATCACCTTTCAGAGGCAGTTTGAGGAGACTGCACCTGTTCTGAGGAGACTTTAGCGACACAACCGCCCGGCGCGGAAGCTGCTTGCACTGCGTGAGGTATGATATGCCCCGTCCTCAGGGAGAGCTGGATGCTAACGGCCGCAGTTTCGGAACCAGAAGAATATCCAGTATTCTCGACCATTCACCCTCCGGACTCGACGAGCATTTCAATATGCTGTCCAACACTAACATGACCTCGATTCAACGGCGGCGAACCCAGCACCGACGACAAAATTCAACTCCCGCTGCATTCGAGGCACCCACAGTACGCCCATTACCTGCCAATATACGACAACACAGCCGTCACCGCACCGGCATGAGTCTGGACCTTCGAGGCCTCAATCTCGATCCCATACTCAGGTCTGCGCGGGGGCCAATCCCGGAACCATTCACGCCCGTGAAATTGGAATCATACCAGCAGGACGACAGTACAGTAAGTATCACTAACCTAGGACAACCACAACAGCATCACTTGCAAGTAGCGCAGACGCACAGCACAGCCCAGCCGGGCTCCCCGGTTCAATATTTGCACTCCTCAGAACAACAATATCCTCCTTCTCCTCAAACACCTCACCGGTCGTTACATCAGCAACAGCCGGCTCAACCTCAACCTCCTACCGAGCAACAGCTCAAGGAGCTTCACGAACATATCAGCAAAGTCTACGGCTCCTACGGCCAGGTCTTTGTAAACATCCTCCCAACCCCTATCACCACTCCACAAAAGCCAGCTCGGCTACCCAGCCACGAACCACTCGACACGGCGCCGATGCCGTCAAACCTAAGTGACATGGCTGAAATCAATCTCGACCCCCCTACAGGGACTGAGCTAAATTTCACCTTCGAGAACCCAGAGAGTGACATGGGGTATGAATCCTCATCTTACTATACCTCCGACGCGCTCTCTCCAGGCCGTTCTCCTTGCTCTTCCCCTCGCCAAAAGTCCACGAAGACTTTCTTGGAAGACGTTGAGGAGTACGCGGACGAAATGGCGTTCTCTCAACCGCCTCCCCTCTTCCTATCCAACGACCGCGACATGAACGGACATCCCGACTCAACCGCAGACTACCCTCGGTCATCGTCAATCGTAGAGCTAGACGTTGACGCCAGTATCGAGTACACCGGCATTGCGCCGGAAGACGTTCAGCGTTTCATCAGTGAACAAGATCCAAACGATGGCCGATGGAGCTGCCTATACCCCGAATGTGACAAGACTTTCGGCAGGCGGGAAAACATTCGCTCCCACGTCCAGACTCATCTGGGCGATCGCCAGTTCCGCTGCAATGGATGCGGCAAATGCTTCGTCCGGCAGCATGATCTCAAGCGCCACTCGAAGATCCACACTGGTACCAAACCATACAAGTGCCCTTGCAGCGCTGGATTCGCTCGACAAGACGCTCTCACTCGCCATCGCCAGCGCGGTATGTGCGTCGGTGGCTTCCCAGATGCCGTTCGGCGAGAAGTAAAGCGTGGGCGACCAAAGAAGAGCCGACCAGACTTCGATGAGCGGGTGAAGAAATCAGGTAGGACTCGGCGACGAGCTCTTGCCTCAGCAGCCTCTTCATCTGCCGGTGGTTCGCCGCCTTCCGATTACAGTTCGCCTCATCACCACACACCACAGACTTATTCGATGGCAAGTGGACCGGTCAACTCGGGTTCCAGTAGCGATAGCTTCGGGGGGCCGCTAAGCGCTTCAAGTGATCCGTTCAGGTTAGAGATTTTCCTATGATAGGATTGAAGCATCGTACTAATTCTACTCACAGTTTCGATAACACGTCGAGTCCATACAGCCACTCTTCCCCAGCCAACGCCAAATACCAACCATCCAGTCCCTTCGAGGAAGACGAGACATCAATGAACCTCCTCCGCCAGCTCTCCGCAGAGGGATTCACTCAGACCCCTCCGATGTCTCCTAGCGACCATGCCTCGCCCTCAGAAGGAGATCATGGTAGCGAAACGTCACACTCCACAAATAAGAGCCAAAAGACATCCTCAACCCCATCTGACGCTTCTCTTTCCAACCAGTTCACGACACCTCCGACATCTCCAGTCGAGCCTATCCAAGACAGTCTTGATGACTTGTTCAACGATTTCGACCAGGGCCTGTCATCGTGCTCGCAATACGATCTCGAGATGAAGGCTATGACCGACTTTACTTCATTCGACAACAACGAACCGTATGAGATGCTCGACTTTATGTAGGTATATTTCGACGCCGCACACAAAGATCGACATCAAGTCCGCCGGTCTCTTCTATGGTTCTTTCTGCGAGGGGTGCTTTGTACAAATTTGTTAATGGATGGAATCTGGATGGCTGAAACGAATTTGGCGTATCTGGTTCTGGGTTTGGGATCTGGCTTGGGAGTAATAATGGGCTGGATGGACAGACAACGGAAACACGGAACTGAAACGGCTTTTCACGACAGAATGAACTACTCTTTCTTGCTTGTTATTACATAGGTGGATGCTGGGTGTACCACGCTCCTTCAAGACTCTTTGGATAGCGAAGGAATCTTCTCCAGGTGGAGAGAGATTGCATCACTAGAGTGGAACAAGGTCGAGGAATGTGTATGCTAGGTAGATATTCGCGCACCAGGCAGAGTTCTGTGCTTCCTCTTGTGCTGGAGACTTTGACTCTCTTCGTTGGATTACATCTGACGTTGGGTTGAGTTGGTTTCGCATAGAGGGGCATGGTCGACTCTCTGGTCCTAGATCCTGGTCCATAGATGGGATAGTTAGAAACGGAGCGCTTGGCAGAGAATACCAAATGCAAACATCAAAGACAGTTGACTCCTCTCAGCGTGACTGATGAAGCTGAACCCGTGAGAGAGGATGTGTACATATACAAATTCCGAGTCGTCTTCCAGCTACTCGAATCCAACCTCGGCTGAACTAGAAAGTGTCCCCCTGTAGAACTAACCATTCACGCTATTCTATGTAATCAGACCGACCCCCTCTTCACGACAGCTACATCATCTCCGCTCAACATACATATATATTCCAAAAAAAAAAGCCCCCCAATCCATCAATCCTCCTTTATCGAGCCCAACATGCCACCAAACAAGCTCCTCCTCGCCGCCTCTGTGCTGCACACCCTGCTATCCGCGGGGCATACCGTACGTTCGTTCGCGCCCATGCAATGACCAATCAACTATCCAGCACTCCCAACCACACATGATCGTCCCTTTTTTTTTCAAACCTCATTCATCAGATTCCTCACATCGCATCACAAATTGTCAGTTACTCGAATGCAACACTGATACAAGCCCACAGGCCAAAGGGCTCGAAATGTTCAAAGACCCCGCCTTCGCGCGCCTGCCCGCGCTCCTGACCAAAGCCGTGCAAGCGGGGTGGTTTGAGGGGAGTGTGTTCTTTGCTATTCTAGGTACGGACTCTCCCATTTTTAATTTTCCAAACACAGATCCCTTTTTGATTTCCTTAGAGTATGTCTTTTAAATACAGGTTTCAATCTCCCATGTCACATGTCCCAATACACTCTCTCCTTTCCTCTCTCACATCTTCCTTCTACCCCTTTCTTATCTCTCCTTCCCCCAATCGACCTTCCCCTCAAACCCTCTCCCTCACTCACACCCAAATCAGGCCTAATAAACTACCGCTGGGCGCACTCCGGCCTCGCCGACTCCACCGAGCTCGGCGTCGCGGGCCTAATCAGCCTCCTCTGCTTCGGCGCTGGGGGGTGGTACGCCAAATCGGGCGACAAGCAGACGGGTGTGCTGCTCGCAGCTGCCGGGGTGTTGCAGGCGGTGGGTGTGCGAAGCGTCTTGTAAAATATGAAGAATCGGGGTGGTGCGTCTGGGTGCTTTGCGGGGGAGGGGTTGCGTGGGGAGGGCGTGATGTGGTGGAGGCTGTGAGGTAGTAGAGGAGCTTGTGCATGATTTAGGAGGAGAGGGGTTGCGCTTGGGAAGGCGAGCTGCGGAGCCTGTGATGTTAGGATCCAAAGGCTGGCGAAGACTTACCTTGACAGTCAAGGGCTGGACGGACGGGTGAGTGCAGCGACGACGCGTGGCAAGTTGAAAACTTTCAAGAAAACCTTCTTGCATTACTGTTCAGTTCCCTTCCCAAGAAATGCACTCTGGATGATATGCCTATAACCCTAGAAGCCCAAACCGTGATGTCGACGGCCAGGACAAAGTCGTGGAACCGCAGGTATGCCGATTGCTGAACGCTGTAGGAGCAAATTCGTCGTTTTCCATGCCCATGCCACACAGCCCCAATCCAGACAGAAGCCGTGCAAACCGCCGCCGTGTACGCCATGCATGACCGCCGTGTCGCTACCCGCCCAACCAAACCGCCCATGTGAAGCAAAGAAATCAAACATTAAACAGTAGTGCAGTGGAGGAGGCAATTAGGCTTACCTTTTCAGTGTCGTCCCTTGGGCATAAGTGCCCGGTACCACAGTCGTAATCAGCAGGTAAGATGGCTTCCGGGATAATGGTATTTCCATCCAAGCCGATATGAAGACAAACTTTTAGTGTTCCATATCCCGAATTCTCGGCTACTCAGCCTCCGTGTTTGCCGATGTACTGCTTCATGAGCTCTTCGAAGGTCTTGCTCAACTTGTCTATCTCGGTGTCCTTCTTTCCCGTGTGTGCGAGCAAGCCAGAGAAGACGCTCTGGATATCGTGAACCTTAGATCGTAGAACCTGAAACTCGTAGTTGGTGACCATGGCAGGTCGGATATCAGCGAGGTTTCCACGTTCGGCCATTGTAGCGGAAGGGATAGCCTCGCCGAGTTGGCTAATCACGTACCGCCGGTTGGAGTTGGAGATCAAGCGCAACAGGCGGCGGTGGTAGTGCTCGGCGGCAGTGACAGACGGGTCTTTCTGGAAGTCATCGTTCGCAAGGTTGGCGAGGCGGGTGAGATCCCGGTCTAGCTCCTCTTCAATGTTCTCGTGCCAATCGGTATTCTCCCTCACGCCTGGCATGTCCTGCGCCACGTGAGGCACGAAAGGGTCGACTGGCGTGAGGGGATTGTATGGAAGGGGGGAAAGAAGGGCCCGGGGAGTTGCTGCAATTTGTGAGCCAATGGACACCACTTCATCCAACTCTAAACATCGACCTCGTGGGCTCCCCAGGGCAATTGAGATCATCATCTGCTCACCTTGTCCTCTCTCACCCGTCAGGGAGGGAGGCGGAGAGCACGAAGTGACGCTCGCGTTGCTGTTGATAGCTGCGGGGAGGTTCTCAAGCTTCTCGTCGATGGTGGGCAGGTTCCGCATAGTGTAGCGGAAGGAGCTAGGAGAGCCGTGGCAGGGCGTGTTGTCCGGCACAGTGGGGCAGTGGAGCTCGTCATCGACCGTCTCGTTGTGGAGGTCCTGGACGGCGCTGAGGGTCGAGTCCACGCGGTGCAGACCGGGCTCGTCCAAGGCGACGTGCTTTCCGCCCGGGTGAGGCTGGTCGCCGAAGACGGAGCGGGTGACGGGCGTGTTGTAAGGGTCTGAGGGGTATGGAGAGACGCTCGCAAGGCTAGCAGCGCTGTCTCCACGAGAGCGCGATCCCAGCATCTGTCGAGGCAGCTGGACAGGCGACAGCGCGTCGACTGCAGCCGTGTCAGTTCACGGGTCGTCGAGCAAGCTGCTCAGGAGCCAGCTGAGCAGACATACCTGACCGAGGAGCCGATAGCATCTCCATTTCAGGGACTCGCGCGGTGGGGGTTGAAGAGATGGTGTGGTAGCGACTGCAGCGCGTGGAGTGGAGTGAGAGAAGCGTGGAGGCGGGGTGGCCGCAGAGTGTTGATGTGGGGTTGCGCAGAGGGCGTGCACAAACAGAGGGCCGAGCGAGAGACTGAGGAAGTCTGCTGCGGAGAGCGCAGGCGGGGGCGAGTGTGAGGAAGGTGCCAGACGTGCGGAGAAGGCGGGCAAGATATCGGCTTCAAGCAGTCGGCCAGCTCACCTGCAGCTGCCAGCGACCAGCGTCACGCGGGGCAACCCACGGTGAATGCTGGAGTCTGCTGGAGTCTGCCCTGGGGCTCCCGCAATCCGTGCTGTGGTGTCGTGGCCGGCACGCACCAGAGCCTCATCTGCACTGGCCGCACGTTTCCCCCACGCCCCGCTGTCCGTCCATGGCACTGCGTATCGGCAGGTCCTGAGACACCTGCCTAGGCGTATAGTTGGGACTGCTTACCCCTGACGCTATGCTTCTAGCTAGTCATATACCACGCTAGGAGCAGGATGGTCGCGATAGAAGAATGTTTCCATTACCTACCAGACATAGGTCTTTCGGCACAATCTGTCTCTATGCTGGCTCCTTCTGCCACTTACCCACCAGCACTTGGTTCATCTCCCACGCCATCGGTATTGCTTCTTCTTGGCCCTGTTCTGGCACGAGCAGTCCATATCTCAACCGAAGGCGTTCTGAACACACATGTTGACGACGGCAAGTTGTGCAACGCCATCGCTGCAGCGGGTGCACTGCTTTGGCTGCATCTACTGGGCGAGAGCGGCACCGTGTTAGGCCTGCTCGACGTCTTCTTCTTTATTTTTGCGTGCATCCAAGGGACTAGATTGAAGTAACCCCCGCAAGCGAAGACACCGAGCCGCAACACGAACTCGGTACCATAGATAATCAGCCCTAAGACGTCCATCTCGGGCTGGAACAACACCGAGACAAGGGAGATGGCGTCTCCGGCGGCGTCGATGCCAACGAAGATAAGGCATATCCCGCGCACCGTGCGATGGACGTAAATGTCCCAGTAATGGCCGAGTACACCGGCCGCGAGCAAGATGGCAGAGAGGATGGCCATCAGCGTAATGGGCCATTGGACATCTCTGGAGTGGGAAATTCGTAGGGCAATGATGAGGGCAGCTTCTAAGCCGCCCATGAACAGAGCAATGGGTACGACTACAGCGAGCGCACGCAATACGGACCATTTCTACGCAAAGTTAACAGCGTCCAACACCATTGGCCGAACTAAGAGAGCCTACTCTCTCATAATAGAAACATTGGATCCATGTTGACAAGCTTAAGGAAAGTTAGGATCTGGGGCTGGACCTGGAGGGCCGTGTTGGAGTTCTTCACAACATTATACACCCCGAGAGGCACTCCAGCCCATGCCCACATCATCATCATCGTGGGCTGTAGGCCGGTAGCATTGTGCCTTCGATAGTTGATCACGGTTTGCGGAATCAACTACAAGATCTTTCAGCAATCGGTTTGCTTGACTGATTTCTGGGCCCGTACTTGAACCGACCAGCATATCTAGCATGAGAGTCAGTGCCTGTAGGTGGTTTGAGGGCCAGTACGTACGGCTCCAATCGTACCCAACACATTCGCAGCAACAGGAGCATCCATTTCTCCAGGTGTTCCCTTTTCAGACGATACTGATGAAGAACATCATCAAATGATGAAGTTGGCGACGGGCCGATGACGGAGGACGTTCCCGAGCCGTTCCTGCATGCCAAGCAGTGCACAGACGGGCATTTACTCATCTCGAGATGGCGAAGTTGAAGACATCACCAACTCTCGCTCCACACAGCCATGGCCGCCTCAGAGTCTTTACTACAAGAGGCGCAGAAGTCCGACTCACGCGATGAACACACTCGCACATTCTCCAAAGGCGTAGAGCTAGGTCCGGACGGCAAACCGTAAGTAGTACGGCTCCAAAACCGCATTACCAAGCTCACCCACACCTACCAAACCCCCAACTAAAACCCTCTCCAGCTGCCGCACCTGCACATCTTCCTCAGAATGGAAAGCCATGTTCAAATCCACTAAAATCCCCTCCAAAACTGCCGCCACCACCCTCACCCCTACACCCGCCGTCGCCGAACGCACCGACTGCCCTCCCGACATCGAGCAACTCGGCCGCGCCTCCTGGACCCTCCTACATTCTATCACCGCCGCCTACCCCTCTAGCCCTTCCCTAGCCAAGCAAACCGAGACGCGCAACTTCCTCTCGCTCTTATCGAAGCTGTACCCGTGCCACACCTGCGCGTCTGATTTCCAGACCTGGCTGAAAGAGGATCAGAATGCGCCGCGGGTTAGTTCAAGAGAGGAGTTTGGGCGGTGGATGTGCGAGGCGCATAATGCGGTCAATGTGAAGCTGGGGAAGGAGAGGTTTGATTGCGATCGGTGGGAAGAGAGGTGGCGGACGGGGTGGAGGGAGGGGGGGTGTGATTGAACCATGTTCAGCAGCATATGTGTATATGTATGATTATTAGTGTTTGATGCATAACGGGTTCACGGACAGGCATGGGTCATCCGCTCTGGATGTTACAAGGCGTTTAGAGCTCTATACTCCACGTTCAGATGTAAAATCATGTAGTTATATCTACGTAACCAGTAATAATGTAAATCATCCAAACTCCATCCCCATCCCAATCCTCATCTCTGATTGCGTACCACTCTCCCTCCTCAAATATGTGGGTACCTCTACCCAATCAACCCAATAACTACCTCAACCACCACAGCCAAGCATTAATCAAGCATAACCGTACCAAACCTCCACGTTCTAGCCAACGTCATGAAACTAGAGCTTCTTTATACCGCAGATCCCCCTCACTCCCTACCTTTCTCTCTTCCCACTCCCCTCTCTCCCTCTCTAAAGTTCCACTACGGCAACCAGCTACAATGATAGAATAACAAAACGCTCGCGCGTGGCAGATTTCCGCCATATCCAACATCCCCTCAGAACCCCCCAATACAAGCCACCCAGCCCAGCACACACCGCTCTCCAGCCTACCTACCCTCGCTAGTTAGCTCCCTTTCACACACACACAACCCAACATCTCCACCATGGCCCCCACTGTCGTCCTCATCCCCCCCGCAAAAGAAAAGCCCCACCACCCCCACTGGCGCGCCGAAGTCATCGCCGGCGCTTTCGCCGCGAGTACGTCCCGTCTCCCCCTCGCCTCCCCTTCCCATTTGTCGCAGCTTCAACGTATTCCCTAACATATACCACCACTTCCAGTCCTCCTCATCGCCCTCGCCACAATCGGCCTGCACGCCTACTACACCCGCCGCCGCCGCCTCGCCCACCGCTCCCCCTCCTCCATCTCCCCCAACTCCCGCAGCTGGCCCGGCCACCACCCCTCCTCCCCTGACACGAACGGCTGGGTCACGGCCGGCACCGGCATGTCCGAAAAGCGCTACTGGAGCTCCGTCGCGCAGAGCGGGTGCGCCGAGGTCGCGGAGCGGAAGCTGAGTGCGCAGGGGTACGGCGGGGTGCGGGAGGGGGGGAGGAGCGGGAGCGGGATGAGCGGGACGACGGTTGGGAGTGCGGGAGGGGTGCGGGTTAGCTATCGGCGGGCGGATGAGGCACCGTTTGGGGGGTTTGGGAGGGTGGCGAAGAGAGAGCGCGGGTATGGAGTGAAGGGGAGGGAGAGAGAGGGAGGTAGGGAGGGAGGGAGAAGATGAGGGGCATGAGCTAGAAAGAGAGATGAAGGAGGAGCTGCGGAAAGATAGGGAAAAGTAGAAGAGGGGGCGGGGAAAGGATGTGCAGAACGCGGAGAGGGAGATAAGGGAGGAGCAGGGGCTGATGATGATAGCAGTGGATCGGAGGTAATAAAGGAACGTAAGAAACGAGAGACGAGTACAGGGGAATATTTCGATTCAAGTATTCAAACCACACCATCATTTCAAAGACCTCATTCATTCACAAATCTATTCCTTTTGACTGAAAGAAAATGAAACACATCTTCTCATAATAGCCACCCATCGTCGTCCCTATCCTAATCCCAGCCCACGTCAAAATAGGGACCCGCTTATCCGACAAGACCGCCACGTAGAGCGCTCATCCTCTCATGAAAGGAACAAGGACAGAATTCAATGAAAGAGGGGGTAACCGAGACCGAAGTATGATAAAGCGGGGAGACAAGAATGACTCCTCAAATCCATGGGCCATTGTGCTAATGCAAGAGATGTGTTCGTGAACTTTGCTACAAAGCCCTTTACTAATAGTAGCCAGATTCGGCTCTGTCGACTGTAAAGCAATTCGACATTCGCGCTAGAAAGGGAGAATAGAAGAATTGCAGCCAAGGTGAGCATGAATGATGGCGTCCTAGCATCCCAAAGTATTACCAATCAAGCTCAAGTTGATGCCAAAAAGTCGTAGTGTTGGTAGTTACCAAAGATGAGCATGTAAAGCGGACCTTTACCGCATGATCTCCTGGTAGATGAGGACTATTGCCATGTCAGTTGCGACCTCCACCACTAAGAATGTGAATACTAACGCTTCAGCTGCTCCTTGGTCAGGTTATCCTTGTTTTTATCAAAGTCGAAGAACTCCTCTGGAATTGGATCCGCAGTTGGCTCGTCATCCGGGTCGTGGTACGGTTCCAGGTATGGGTGCTTCAGAGCATCCTCAACAGTAATGCGCTTCACAGGGTTGAACGCAAGAAGTCTCTCTAGCAGGTCAAGAGCGAGGTCCGAAGTCTTTGGGAACATGGCTTTCCACGGAATCTTCTTCTTGAAAGGTAGCGATCGGATGTACTCGCGAGCGCGGCGAGACTTGATGCCGTAGTAATCTTCCATGGTTGGTGTGCCTAGCACGTCAAGAATCAAGGTAAGTTGGTGGTGGTCTGCAATGTTTATTAGCTTTCGTTTTATCGCTGCCATGTTCTTGCTCGCACTCACAATCCTTTCCGGGGAAAAGCGGCTTTCCGCTCAGCATCTCTGCCAGAATGCATCCCACGCTCCACACGTCAATGGCCTTTGTGTACTCTTTGAAGGTGAGCATGATCTCGGGCGCACGGTACCAACGAGTGGCAACGTATTCGGTCATGAAACCGGAGTTGTCCTCCGTTGAAGCTGCAGATCGCGCGAGACCAAAGTCGCAGACCTTGAGATCGCAATTGGCATTGAGGAGGAGGTTGGAGGGCTTGAGATCGCGATGTAGCACGTTGGCGGAGTGCATGGCCTTCAAGGCTCGCAGTGTCTGGTAGATGAAGTATTGGCAGTGGTCGTCGGAAAGCTCTTGAGTGCGGATAACGCGATGCATGTCCGTCTCCATCAGCTCCTACACTTTGTTAGGTTATGTTTAATTCCGCTTTCAATTGCTCTCTTACCTGGATGAGATAGACCTCTGTAAACGTCTCGTAGTTTCGAGGCTTCTGGATATCAAGGATGGAGATGATGTTCTCGTGGTTGAAGTACCTCAAGAGCTTCATCTCTCGCAGTGTTCTTAGACAGAACATGGAGTGGTCGAATGGCGTGATCTTCTTGATCGCAACCTTCTGGCTAGACGGCTTGTGTAGTGCCGAGCTATGTTGTATGAGCCATGGTCTCCTGACTGGGAGACTTCAATTAGACTCACCATACTACTCCGTATGCTCCCTCTCCGACGACGTCCTGAATGTCGTACTGTTCCGAGACATTGAAGGAGATCTTCCTTGAGCTGCCCGTCGCGGAGGCGGTTGGTGCGCGAGACATGGCGCTTGATTTCTGGGGTATAGGTGCGCGGATGCGCTGATAATGAGTCGAACCGAGTTTGTGACTCTTGTGGTTTGTGTTTGGTCAGAGAGAAGACAATCGGTGTGAGGCGAAGAGGTGTGGAGGATGAATCTCGGCAAATCTGCGTTCCATTGTCTCGTCAGTCGAGTTTCAGACAACGAGGCTGAATAATGAAATCTCTCAATGGACGGAGGAATGCAACACGGCCAACTGTCGCGCGCATTCGCAAGGGTCTTGGCCAGAGAAATTCTCAACATCGACTCCAGGGCTTGCGGAAGTAGCAGCGCACGACACCCGTCCTCGACATGACCTCGACGGGCACATTGGCAGATGCAACCTTGGTCATAGCGAAAGCAAATATGCAGCTCCCCACAGCCGGTCCCCTCCTGCGACGCACAGTATCAAGGAGAAAGTCCACCTACCAGGTCGACGCTTATTGTGAGATGCGACCCTGCTTCAACGACTGGTATTGCAGGCTACGATGTACAAACAAGCCGATTCTCCACGGTTGAGGTGGAGGCGGCGCACGGGTGAGCTGGATGCAGGAACAGTGGCTCGCTCGGGGCTTCGTTGCTCTCGACAGGGCGGACCAGATTTCCAGACACGCAAGCGGGCGTGGTCGAGGATTGTGGGGTGCGATGCGGCCAGCCACCGGTCGATGGGGGACAACTTGGCTGCGTAAAAGGCGGTGCTGCCAGGGCAAGCGGTGCTCTGGCGGGGGATGTCTTCTGAAGGACAATGCGGTCAGCGTCGGACAGCTGGCACGGCACGCGGGCGATTCGTGGCCGGCGACAGCAGCGGCTTACCGTGGTGTTGCGGTGGATGGCAGGAGGCAGAGGCTATCGTGAGTGCGGGATGGCGGGGTTGAGCAGGCCGGGCTGGGAGCTCGTCGGTCGGGGCTGTTCGCGCTGCAGGGCGTCGGGATGCACGTTGCGGGCGGGACGACGGGCAATGGCGGCGGGACGAGAGAGATATGAAGGACAGCGGGGCGCCGCAGTGGTTTTGGGCTCTTGGGGAGGTTCCAGGTCGAATTGAGGCCCGTCTGCGCCGCTCTGCTGCTAAGCGCCGGGGTGCTTTGCATGCTTTGCAGAGTCAAGAGTGCGGACCAGCCGTGCCAGCCCATTGGTGACAGACGTGATGTCTCGACACCACCCTGGCCGTCTCCGCTGCATGCTCCTCTGCGACAGCGCCTACTGCGCCAGCTTCATTCATCACGCCCGCCATCCCAACACTGCCCCCTCTGCCGCCTGCTATGCATCTCCGCGCACGAATCGCAGCGAGGGGACCATGCCGCCAACAGCCCCCAAGCGCGGGAAGCTTCAATGCGCAGGCCAAGCTTTGTAGGGCCATGTCTGAAACCAAAGGGCCCCCGTAGAGTCCTGTTTGACCTTTGTCCCTCAATCTTAGCTGGCCTGTAGAGACGTTGCCCTGGGCCATGCGGATATAGACCATCCGAAGCCAGTGGTCTATGACTGAAGGTCCTAGTGCCGAGCAACACCCTATCAATCGACTCACAAACCTGTCCAGCCCTAGATATCGCAGACTATCACGGCCCAATCTCAGCAAGACAGCAAGGACAGACTTTTCAGCATCTCCAAGTCAGGTCAACGTCCCGACTACCATGGCTCCACTGGACGACCACCCAGTTTCAGCCTCTCAACCCGTCATCGAAAGGGCCCACTTCCCAGACGAGAGCTCTCATCTCAGAATCAATGCTCTTATGATATAGCGACCACTGCTTTAGGATCTTCCCTTACCTCAATACTAATCCACCAATGTCCATTTCTGTTTCTGAACCTAAACATAGTTAACTACATGATTTAAAACCGAGTTATGACTAAGCGAACCTCGCCGCAGCCATGACCCCACTGCTGCGTACTCTGCTTCTTCGCCGTTTGCAGACATGGTCTCATTTTCTTGATCAACTATCAATTAGCTACACTACATCAAACTCATGTTTCTGTTCTTCACGTCCAAAGTCATGTCCAACTTCACTCCCCAACACCGAGAACACATCTCTATTGGGGTTCTTGGAGCACCGTGGACCGGCAAGCACTCCTAGTTCACCGCGTAAACATAGTTTCCTCGACCATCACATCGACAACGACGTAGTATCTGCTATCACTTTCAGATACCCTAACACCATCCGTAGTACGTTGCCAACTTATTTGCCCCATATATCGGGGACTCATCAGATTTCGACCCCACAGATTCAAGAAGCGAGACCGACTACCACGAAGTTAGTATTGCAGGAATTTCATGCGCTCTCGAAATTGAACGGATCGAGAATATTCGTTGGAAAACAGGCCCCGAGAGCAATTCCGAGCACGACTTATTGATCTGGAAAGCCTGGTGCGATAAAGTGCAAGCTATTATGCTTGTCTACGCTATTGACAGCGCGCCCTCGTTTGTAGCACTCGAGAACATGTATCGCGCTCTTATTAGGACCTTCCTAAGATGAAAGAGCTCCATGTCTCGAAGTCGTAGCCACAAAATCGGATGTGCCAGAGGAGGCTCGAGAGGTTAAGACAGATGAAGGCACGGGGCTGGCCAGTAGACTTGGTGCTTACAGTTCCCGCAGGGAATGCTCGGCGGTGGATGGAAAAGGCGTACAGGAGGCGTTCGATGAATTAGTCACTACTGTGCTGGATGAGAGGGAACGGGCGTGGTTGCGCGGCATAGCTCTTATGAAGGAGTCCAAAAAGGGAGAGAAGATTAGTGCAGTGAGGAAGATACTAAAGACGGTTACAGGACTGCCAAAGCTGAGCAGTCGAGTACAAGACCAGAGCGCATAGATCACGTCCGGGCAGGCGGCCGGCAACACTCGAACGTCGACATCACAGTGAGTGAATTTATCTCTATTATACGCAGATACTTGAATTTCTCTTATTCGCACTTCCACCTAAAGCAGTCTCAATACATAGCTCCCAAGAGCGCTCTACTTGATGTCCGGAATAACACCCGCCTCCTTCATCTCATCGAATATCCTCGCCAACTCCGCATTCGTATCCACCGTCTCCGTCCAGCCCGCCTTAATCGCCTTGTCCATGCTAACATCCGCACCCCACTCGCCAGCCTGTGCCCACGCCAGCGTCTCCCAGGTGGCATACTTCAACGCCTCCTTGCTGCCCCCGTACTTCTCCACCACCGCGTCCCACTCCCCAGCTGCAAGCCTCCTCTCAACATCCGTAATCAGGTCGAACCCCGGCTCGTTAGATACAGGCACCCCAAAGTACTTCCCCGTGCCCTCCCAGACATCCGCAAATGTCGTCTTCGTATCATCCACAATATTGAACCACTCGTTCCCCACGCCCTCGTTCTCAGCCACCCACTCGGTGAACCTGGCGATGTGGCGCGCGCTGCTCATGTGCTGCGGCTTCATGTACTTGCTCACAGACGCATCAGTCGCGGACGCCGGGAACACAGCCGGCAAGCCCGCCGCCTTCTGCAGCGTGAAGTAGACGGCGACCGTCGTCGCGTAGCTCATGCCGTTGCCCTTCGTGAAGCCGTTGATCCAGAAGGGCACCGTGACGTTCCACGTCCAGCGCCGCTTCGCCGCAAGCGCCAGCATGAAGTCCTCCTGGCCGTAGTAGAAGAGCGGCAGCGCGGCAGCCTCGCTGACGCGCGGGTGCACGGGGTGCTCGGGCGTGGGCTCGATGAGCGCGGCGCGGAAGTAGACGCCGTACGTCTTGCCGCCGGTCTGCAGGATGACGCGCTGCAGCGTCGCGCGCGAGGTGTCGTCGACGGCGGTCAGCGTGTTGGCGAACATGGGCACGTTGGCGTCGACGAGCTCTTGGAGGCCCGAGTGGTGCTTGTACGCGAAGTGGAAGAAGTGCGTTACGCCGGTTGCGTGCTGGGCGGTGAGAGAGGCGGCGATTTCGGAGGCGGGCGCGCTGAGGTCGACGAGGGCAATTGAGAGGCGAGGGTCGCGGGGGATGTCTTTGGGGGTGGTTCGGTAGACGGCGATGATGCGGCTCCAGGAAGGTGAAGACAGGAGTTGGTTCACCATGGCTGCGCCGGTGATGCCATTGGAGCCAGTGATGAGGGCGACTTTGGGAGTAGAGGTCATGGTGAGGTCTTTGGTAATTGTTGGGGTTTGAAGGTGGTTTTCGAGAGCTTTGAGATTGCGTTGACAAGACAGTTTTATATATCAAGAAAGGGACGGGGTGTGATTGAGCTGAGTGTAGTGTTACCTCTGTCAAGCGAAACGTGAGCGGAGGACCCAATTTATACTGGAGGAGAGAAATGGAGACCACAGGGTAGCTGAGAAGCTTGATTCTTGACAAATGAAGATTTGAGTGGCTACCGATGGGATGAAGTTGTATGCAGCTAATGTGGCGACGGCGTCGAGGGTTAGAACGAGTTGACAGTAGGTCTTCACATTTTCCAAGTGTGGAAAACGCACCACTGCTAGTTGAGTAAACCCTAACGGCGATGCCAAATGCTACTTATCCTGATGTAAGCTAACCACTCTACCCTTTACGACTTCAAAGTGGCACCATCCTGCGTGGCTGTATCACAAATATGCGAAGCCTTAGTAATACATTGCATGATTACTCCTCAGTACGGCAACAAAGACATGATTGGAAAACATGTTGAGTTAGCGCGGTTGGTGATTCGTCCAGCAGGCGATGACGTTCTTTGATCTTGACCTAGCAATCTGATTCAAATCATTTCGTCTTCACTCTCTTCATAGTTGCGACACTTTGTTAGTTGAGTTACTATCCTGAGATAGCCTATAGAGCCAGGCACGTGACATATCAGCAGGTGAGCTCAATGCGATACACATTCGAGAGATCCATCACCGCTTCGAAGAGCTGAACCCAGGAAGCGGGCAGAAGTGATATAATGCGGCGTCTACTCCGTGACGTTGCGTGTTTTTGAATGAGGGTCCAAGGTTCGAGGCAAAGGAACGACATGAGGAATTCGGCGCTTGCCGACTATAGTTAGGCCTCACGAGCAGACGCCCGCCCTGCCGCCCACGTGCCACCCTCCCCAGATCCTCCATCTTCATTCCAATCCACTCTTTGCTCACAGTCAACGCCGCATCGTCCCGCATCGCAGATCATTTATTTATCTTATAGGTGCCAATAGTTTCATGAATACCCCAACCTTGATGTGGCTTGCACAGACTGGTTCACACTGCTCCGCAAAGAATATGCCAACAATGTTTATCGATGATGGATTCATCCAAGTTGGCCGATTGCCAATATGCGCCCAGATAGTATGTCAGCTCTCAGGCATCAACAGATACTACATCCCTCTATTCCCTCTGGAGGTAGAAGCTGCTCCTAGTTGGTGTCCTAAGTCCTTTTTGTCGCCATACCCTCCAGTACTCTCCTCATATTCCATTTTTGTTGCCAGAGTCGAATCTCAGCCGCGCGTCACATTCAGTCAAAGGCGAACGATATTGAGCAAGGATTTGTATTCGATTGTAACCCCAAACCTGCCATGTTATATCGCTTTCCATGGAGTTCACAATCATTCGTCCCGGTTACTAAGCATATGAGCCAAATCGAGGGTACACAGCCCAACACTACCTAGGTAACACTAGACTTTGAAATGACGCTAATCTCTCAACTACCATGATTTCCTATCTCTACTGGCGAGCGTGCCTCCTTAGAAGCCAATTCTTGAGCTATGCTGTGGCTGTGAAGCTCATAAATGGGATTATCATGTTGAGCATATTGCTGCGGGGCGTCGTGGAATGTGCTGACGGGTTTATTCCCACTCTCATAGACTGATGCTGCTGCGTTAGAGTCATTTGACTTCTTTTCGCTTCGACGCCGAAGCATGATCGTTGCGATGACCAGAGCAGCGATACCAATCGCCCCAAGAGCGACACCCAGTCCAATTCCTACTTTTATGCCTGTTGACATTCCGTCATCTGGAGTGGTGGCTTGAGTGGTGGCTTGAGTAGGGGAAGATATCGGAGGGTTGACACCATTCGAAAGAGCTGGAGATGGAGATGCTGTCGAAGAAGCTAGAGAGTGAGACACAGTCGAAGAAGCCGGAGATGGAGACGCCGTCGAAGACGTTGGAGACCGAGATGCAGACCGAGAGCTTGTAGAACTCCCGAAAGGGCTTGATGCAGAGGTTACGCTCGCGCGTGCGGCGTTGTAGCCTGCTACGGCGATAGCTCCAACGTGTGTAGAAGCGGTCAAAGTTGTCGTAACTATCTGCCAATCCGTGGTGTCGGCCAAAGCCGTTGAGGCGTAGGTCAAAACGATACCTTTGGATACGCCAGAAATGCAGTCGCCGTTAACGGGGCCAGTGGTGGCAGGCATCGTCCACGGAGTAACCTCTGTGAGTTCAGATCAGCTAGTAAACAGGAAAAGTTGAGTAGTGCTGGCTTACGAGGGGCAACACATGATCTGTGTCGTGGACACGTCTTCCTTGTATGATGCAACAGTCGTCCACAGATGTGGGCATGTCAGAGGCTGAATACTAATAGCAGTGTGATCTCCCCTCCAACACCCAGTCGAGCTGGTTCCCACCACGTAGTCACGGCTGAAGGTGCGCACTTGACCGTGGTGTCGATGTCGAGCCCATAGCCTGGGTCGAAAGCTACCAGGCTAGGCCCATCGAGTCAAGAAATGGACTCACAGCCAGATGATGGGGTAAAAACGCTTGCTACAGGGATCCAGGAGGTTACGCCGCCGCTGTTGGCCTCTGCCGGAATGGACATGGAAGAGAAATATTTTGAAAAGGCAGTGCTCCCCGGGTTGGTTAACAAATAGTGATGATAGTAAGGCTGGAAAGATCAGTACTTAGTACCAAACGCAAACGCTCGCGCGATATCAGTCTGCGGCATGTGGCACAGCAAAGGAGGCGGCTCCAGCCGCATTTTCACTCCATACAGCAGCGAAAGCTGCGGGAATTGTGGTAACTCGCGGACTGGGTAGCTGGTAAAGATATGGATTCCACTGTGCCACATTAAGCGCGTGGGCAAAAGGGGGATTGACATGCTGTGCCGCAGTGCTACAGCAGCGCGAAGAGACAGGATATACACTTGTCACCGCTGTCCAAATAAAAATCGGCGTTCTCTCGCTATCCAAAGTTCTAATATCGTATTCGTACGAAGGAGTTAGTATTTTGGTTGGTCAACGACCCAGCGAACATCAACAATCTTCACACCGCTGCGCAGGTCCACCACAACTTAAAACATATTCTAGCTTGGCTGACACAGCACAGTTTTACACGCTTGAGAAATCACACTCCTTTCATTGTATTGCTTAGAGCTGTCGTCGGTGTTGTCAGCTAGTCGTGAGGTTCTCGCCTCTAGCTCAAGAGAAACGAACCCCTTCATAACATGGCTGGCTCCGAGTGCAATCGTAAACATGGGGCGAGCCGACACCTTCGAGCGAAGACAGTGCGCCCACCGATTTATGCTCCCTCGGTCGCTCGCAAAAATCTGTCTGTCGCAGTGGCGATAACCTTTGCCGTTTCCCTCGTACTTTGGCTTTACAGCCAAACCATCCCCTCAAGCTTGAAGTGGACATGGCTGCGCACGCCTCCGGAAGAGTGGGAAGACCGGAGGCAGCAGGTGAAAGATGCTTTTGTCACTAGTTGGGACGCATATTCGAAATATGCCTGGGGTTAGTTGAGCCTGTCTGAAACTTTTACAGACTCTAACTGTGCCCCCTAGGCTATGACCAATTCCACCCCATCTCCAAGAAGGGCTCGATGATGAGCCCGAAGGGCTTAGGTTGGATCATCGTCGATAGTCTCGATACAATGATGATTATGAATCTTACCTCCCAGCTCACCCATGCCCGACTTTGGCTGCATCGGAAACTCGACTACGACCAAGACCAGGATGTGAACACCTTCGAGACTACCATCCGCATGCTTGGCGGGCTTCTTTCTGCTCACTACCTGTCCACGTTGCTGCCCGGAGTCTCTTCGCGGAGGGACAATATTTATCTTTCCAAGGCCGTGGATTTGGCTGATAGACTGCTCAGTGCATACGACTCACCTTCCGGGATCCCATACGCAAGCATTCACTTGGCATCCCGCAGGGGCATTCGATCGCATGCCGACGGCGGTGCCTCATCTACGGCTGAGGCAACGACGTTACAACTCGAGATGAAGCACTTATCAAACATTACTGGCAACGATATATACTGGCGCAAAGCTGCAAAGGTGATGGAAGTTTTGGATGGCATTGGCATACCCGATGGCCTGGTACCCATATTTGTGGAGCCGCATTCGGGCAGTTTTACAACCAGAGAGATTCGTCTTGGAAGTCGGGGTGATTCGTACTATGGTATCCGTTCCGAGACATTCAACGCATCTGTCAAATACTAACTACTGCAGAGTACCTCATTAAACAGTACTTGCAAACCTCAGAGACAATATACCTTGATATGTGGGAGGAGGCTCTGGCAGGAATTCAGAAGCATCTGATCATCCCCACTAAGCACGCGAAGCTCAATATTGTTGCCGAACTACCCAGTGGAATTGGCGGTGCTCTGTCTCCGAAAATGGACCACCTCGTGTGCTTCCTGCCGGGCTCCATCGCACTCGGCGTCACTGACGGACTGACCGAGGCTGAGGCGCGGCGCCTGCCTAGCTGGAGTGCCGAAAAAGCCCAGCAAATGAAACTGGCGAGAGAGCTGACGAAGACGTGCTGGGGTATGTACAAAGTCACGGAAACTGGCATTGCGCCCGAGATTGTCTGGTTCCGCACTGACGAGGCGTCGTTGCAATCGAGAAGCAACAAGCCTCCATCGCTGGCTCGGAGCTCCAATTCCGAGGCCATTTGGAAGGAAGACTACGACATCAAACCGCTTGATGCGCACAACCTACAGCGTCCAGAGACGGTAGAAAGCTTGTTCGTAATGTGGCGAATCACGAAGGATCCTATTTACCGGGAGTGGGGTTGGGAAATCTTCAAAGCTTTCCAGAAACACTCAATCGTTGGGCTCGGAGAAGGGTATTCATCTCTCAACAACGTGAATGCGATTCCGCCACCTCGACGGGACAACATGGAGAGCTTTTGGCTGGTAAGTCAGCTTCTTCAATATATCGAACAACCTCGTACTAACTTGTCGTGTTAGGCCGAAACGCTCAAGTACCTTTATCTATTGTTCTCGCCGGACGATGTTCTGCCGCTTACTGAAGTCGTCTTCAATACAGAAGCGCATGTGCTCCCCAGAATCAGCTTAGGGAAATTCAAGACTGGATGGGAACGGAAGCGCGAGAAGAGAAACTAAATTTGATCTATGCACGATTGATGTCAATACCTTGAAGGTTGAAATATCAGAAACATGAATAGATAGGGTTTAGCGGTATTCAGTCATAAAACTTTCAAAAGATTAGAGGTCGGGATTTACTTAAATTTAAGAAAGCTTTGATCTCCCAATAGAGCTGATAACGTGCAGTATTCCTCACTAAATACTGAAGCCTTCGTCCGTTGCCCGTTCGTTACACCAGGATTACGGTACACCATTCAGGATTGCACTGCTCCCACCTCTGCATCTCCACAGTACCAATACCAAGCCTTCGAGCAACACCATGCGCATCCCGCCAAATAAGCATCACATGCAAGTACCAAGGGGTTCACCCGTAGTTGGAACCCGCATGTCTCCCAAGATATGAAGTATAGAATGGGTCTGCGCGTACCTCGATTGCTCCGCGAGGATGCCAGCAGAGAAGACAATAATCCCGTGCGATGGACCCGTGTCGAGAATTTTCTTTATCCATGTACGATGCAGTCTTGAGGTTTGGCCGATTGAAGTCCCGCTTTGATCAACAATATCAAGATATTCCATGTCGTCTTCCGTTCTTACGTGCTGGGATCGTAAAGTGACGGTTGCTAGAGTTGTACTGATCACAAGGCTCCCGGGATACTTCAAGGCGTGTTCCACGATGGATCGATCCGGCTCGTGAGAGGATATCGCCCAAGGATTGTGTGGACACTTCCGCCACGCCGTTTCTGAGCCTCCAGATATAGGCATGAATCGCATCTCAGGATGCTCGTTGTCAACAGCCGGTAAATCCTGGAAATCCTCGAGCCGCACAGCCTTGAAGAACCAGAAATCGTTCGTTTCAACTCTTCGCAGACCGTTTATTGGATCCCGGAAGTAGAATCGGACCAGAGTGCCAACCTTAAGCTTTTCGACTCGTGAGTTCAAATCGCATCTCGCACGACCTCTCCAAGCGGCCCAACTCCAACTCGGGATCCCGGGAGCCTCGTCCCTTCGCTGATTTTCAGTAGTGCTTTCCCAGAGGAGAGCCTGTGACAGGAATCGCTCAGGTAGCCCGTAGATCAATGGGGCATCTTGCTCTTTCGCGAGAATGTTCCCGATGCCGGCAAACGCATTCAAGATATTGCTTCCAAACGACAGGTTCCGCGATGTATAATCCACCACAGTACTGAAATATTGTGCTGGTGAGCGGAAGTTCCAAGGAAATAGGTTTGATATTCTGTGATGTATATCGCTCGGCGGGATAAAATACGTTCTTGGTATGTCCATCCACGGGTATTCCAGAAGGAACCTATGACGGTATGTTTGAAGTTGTCGACAATGAAGCGGAGTTTGGGATGAAACCTTCTCGAGTGATTCCATAAAGGGGATCGCCGGGGACGGCCGGTTACACCAGGTAGGCCAGTGCCGGGAGGAGTTGCTGCAATAATGGTGAACAATGCGATGTTGTATATTCGGTCCATAGCTTGGATTTGAGAATGCTTGGATGCGGGGTCGTCTTGGACGATGCAGAGTCTATCGACCCAGAGATACTGCTCGTTGAGGCTTTGGCAGAGGGTTATTGCGTCTAGGATAACGGAGGGATTCCACCGAGCTTCGCCAGCGAACCTTCTATTTGCAGGGGCTCAATGTTCGATCGTTCCAGTTGGAGTTCCGGAGTTCCAGACGGCCCTCCCCACGTGTAACTCAAAGCAGCGTAACTGGTAACGGGTTGGGTAGGTAGATCAACGACACAGAGGCGCTGGGTGTCTATCGCTTTGAACCCCCTAGGTAATGATGTCTGGCTGCAATCTAGATCACACTTAGATCCGTGGTTGGCTTGACATTTTCGAATCCACTTCGAGACAAGATCAATATTGATATATGAACTCTCCCACCGCTTTAAAGACAATAGTTGGCTCGTTGATTGCGCGTAGTAAAGTTCGACTTGAAGTCCAATCGTGGGCTAATGTAGGCCAGGTCCACCATCGGGAGGCGTCCTATGACACCCGAGCACGGGTGTTTCCTGGGAAGAATCAGTCGTGTCATTCACAGATTCGTACCCGTCAAGTTCTGGGAAGGTTTGACGTAATGTCGAGCCTCGGGAGACTGTGACAACCAGATAGAGTACCATGGAAACCGGTTTTCATTAGTTTCTATCTTCCGCTTGGAAACTTCAAGTTGGTGCGGTAATCGAAGGTCACTAGGATCAATACTGTGTCTTCCGGATTTTTGAAGAGCGGTGGGGTCGAGCGAGTTAACTCAGGTTGCAGCACTACAACCTAGGATCAACAACTCATATGCCAGAAAGCTACTCTCCGAACATCAGCTGTAGAGAACCCAGCTGAAATCTCAGCTGTAGAGAACCGAGCTGAAGCCTCAGCTGTGCAGGGCTCATCTGAACTTACTAGCGCGCCACCCTGGGGGTGGCCCCCTTCCTTCCCCTAGTATATATACAACTAGCTAGACGTCTATAGAAATCAGAGTTCACATCAATTTCAACCTGAGTAGTTAAGTGCTGCCTCCCCCAGGTAGTAACGTAGGTGATGGGGTTATTACGTTTGAGGTAGTTATTACGTTTGAGGTAGTTATTACGTTTAAGGTAGTTAATACGTTTTTTAGCGTTAAAGTGCGGGCCGATGCCTCCGGGTCTAGAATTTGTATAGCAGCAGCATTATACATCATAATCGCGCTGCACCCAGATAACTTTTAAGGCTGTATTTTCCTATAAGCTCTATAATATAGGCCGTTCTCTTAGTGTTAAACTTACTCCTCTACAGCCTTATAACCGCTCTCTGCACTCTTATACTCGGGTTGTAACAGCTACAACCTAGGATCAACAACTTATACGGTTCACGGTCACCTACGTACAGGCACTCCCCCCCTTTTCTCTCTCCTTAATTCTCGGTCTTTGATTAGTTGCTACTAGCACGCACTCAGCGTGGCGAGGCCCTCTGTTCAGCTACACCAGGGTCCTCTCAGCTGTGTCCATTCCTTTCAAATGGCCTCTATTCAGCTAAGCTGATAAGACCTAGGGGGTGGGCTATTTCCTATTAGTATATATTCGGCCCGTACGGCCACTATAATACAAGCAGAGTTTACATCAATTTTCAACCTAAGTCTTATCCTTATTACCGTTCTTATTATTGCTACTACCTTTTTTTACTACTTTCTTTACATCCTTAATTACTTATATAGCTACCTCTAGCTTTTTAAGGTTTTAAATAGCCTTATTTAACGCCTGCTTAGCAGCCTTAAATGTATTATTCTTCTCCCGGAGAATTTCCTAGGCAGAACTGTTAGTTTCCTTTACCTGCTAGGCCGCTGCTATAGCCTTAAAAGTCTATTTATTCTATATAATAGCGTTCGCAGTATTAAATATATATTTAGCGTACTTAGCGGCCTTACCTGCCTTACCTGCTATATACTTAGTATTATTAAATAAAATCTTTATATTCTTTATAACAGCTTAAGTATCCTTTTTTTTCTATAGTTAAATAGCTTTCTTTTTCCTTAAAAGCGTATAGACAGTTTTAGTAGTCTTCTTAGCTCGTTTTATAGCAGCCTTAGCCTTTTCTATTACTTATTTTATAGCTTTAAGGGCCTGTATTATTTTAAGTAATAAAACTAGGGGATAGATAATTATACACCCCCTTTCGAGTAATTATATACCTCCTTTACCCCTATTATTTCACCGCCTTCTAATTAGCTCGGAGCAGCGCGGAGCTTCCTCCGGGCATTTACCTTTACGTCTCTATACACGTATTGCTATACGCAAGGCCGTATATAAGCTCGTACGTGTTACTATATATAAGGCTATACGAATTAATATAGCTATACAGCCTCTCCGTTTTACGGCGTATTCTTTCCGATTTATATAGCCTTACGTACGGCCTTACGTACGGCTATATAGCCTTTCCAATTTGCATAGCCTTACGTATAGCCTTATATATAAGCTGTATATACAGTTGTATAAATCGGGCAGGATATACTGTAAAATAGAAGGCTATATAGCTATACTAATTTATATAGCCTTGCGTATAAGCTAATATATAAGCTTATATACGGCCGTATATACAGCTATATAAATTAGATAGAGTACTTAAGTAGGTTATTATATATAAGGGTGTTATTATATAGCCCGTGCGATTAGTAAGTAGGAATATTAAATTACTTCGAGATGCGTATTTACGCGGGAAATAAGCTATATAACCACGTTTAAATAACAAATCTAATATGCCTAGAATTCGCTGTAGGCCTAGTAAAGGCGAGAGAATACAGCAAGCTATTAAGTCGTATAGAAATTATTACTATCCAAGCGCTATAGATACCGCAAATGCGTATGCTATCCACCTATAAACTATTCTTAATCGGCTCTCTGGCAAGCGTATAACCTTACGGCTATTATACTAAAAAGATTAGAAATTAACCCTAGCTTTAGAGGCAGTAGTTAAGCGCTATTATATAATACTAATTAAGAATAGCTTTCTATTAAAGAAGGTTTAGATTTATTAAATTGCGCTTACGGTGTATAAGAAACAGCTGCGTAAAGATAGTAAAAATAATTCTAATACTATACTAGGTATTAGATAGGTGGATTAGTACTTAAAACGCCATCTAAACTTCCAAATTCGATACGCCCGCTATCTGGAAATAGATAGATCTATAGCTAATAATAATACTGTAGTATATAAAAGGTTCTTTAACAAGTTAGAGAACACTTTTATAAAATATAATATTAAAGAATTGGACCTCTGGAATATAGATAAAACGGGCTATTAGATAGGCTACGCATATAATTACAAGAAGGTAATACTCTATAGCAGCCAAAAGTATCCTCCTTTATTACCTGGCAATAGAAAATAGGTTATAGAGATAGGTGCTATATCCGCTAGCGGTATTTCTATTCCCTTTTACTTTATCTTTAAGGGGAAAGTAATAACTAAGAATATAGGTATAGAAGCTCTTAATTCTGTTCCAGATTTAGAGATTAGAGTTTCTATTAATAGTTAGAGTAATTAGCAACACGCTGCTGCGTGGATTAACTATTTTAATATATGGACTCGACGAGAGGATTATTAGGAGGATATCCGTGAAGATAGAGAATCCGCAGGAGAATAATATAGTTACCGGCTTCTTCTAATAGATAGCTATATTTCTTACCTCTCTCTAGAATTTATTACCAAATGCGAAGAGGCTAGGATTATCCTATTCTATTTGCCACCCTATACTACTTATAATATCTAACCGCTAGATTATTATCTCTTTTCTATCTTAAAAAAACAATATTTAGATAAGATTAACGAGTATATTAGCCTTTAGCAACGTGGCATCGACCGTATAGTATTCCTAGAGCTCTACGGGCAGATTCGTAATAATATATACACCTTATAATACATTAAAACAAGCTTCTTAGCAGCAGGAATATAGCCTTTTAATGCCTAAAGAATTCTACAGAAATTAAAGAAGCCTAATTAATCTAAGCGCTATACAACTCAGCAAATTCGGATTAGAACGCTAGCTTTTCTTTCGTCGCCAATATATCTAAGAACTCCGTTAACACAAGATAATATATTACGTTACCGAACATTAATTTCTTATACCTCAGCTACGCAGGCCACACGTAATGCAGCCACTAATAAGCTATACGCTATAATTAATTCTCTATAAGCAGAACTACAGCTTATTAACAATCGAAATCGCGAGCTTAAAACAGCTACAGCTATATAGAAATATAAGTAATTGAAAAAGAACTTAGTGCTTACAAAATTATACTATATTTCTACAACCGAAATCCGGAGAATTTTTAATGCCCAGGCTATTGCTGCAGCTAAGAAACAATATGCTAAGGAGCTTTGAGAGGCCGCTAAGTTACTTAAGAAGGAAGCTAAGATAGATAAAGATAAGAATAAGCAGAAGAGGAAGGAAGCCGTTGCTAAGCGTGTTAAATTGCGTGTGTATAAGCTAGCTAAGGAGAAAGAATATAAAGCTATACAACGTTAACGTAAACAAGTGCAAAAGAAGTACAATAACGCTATTATAGCCGACAGCTAGAACGGCAGCCAAATTACGAAAAACGCTGTTAAGAAGCTTTATAAGGCTTTGTTAATTGCTTTAAGTGCTAATGCAATTGCTAAAACAGCTATTAATAAAGCTATATTAGTATAGCAGCATGCCTGCGTGCATATAGCCTTCCTATAGAACTTAACACAGAACTTAACATAGAATACAGGGGCTAATAAGATGGAAATTAATTAATTCGATAAACAATTTAATAAACAATTTAATAAGGAATTTAATAAGGAAATAGATAAGGAAATTAATAAGAATAGGGAAATAGATAAAAATCGCGTGCTAGAAAGTGTTAAGAAGGGCTACTATTAAGTAAACAAAGTAATATTATAGGTGAACGAGTTAGAATAAGTTTTAATACTATATTAAAGCTTATATAGATAGATATTATATTAATTTCCAGCTTTAAAACGGTATAGATATTGTTACGTGTTGATTTGCATAAGAAATCGCTGCAAAACGGCAATCTCCGTTACTTTTAATATTCCTGCTTACTAATCGCACGGGCTATACAATAACACCCTTATATATAATAACCTACTTAAGTACTCTAGGCTGCGTTGGAGGCTACGTGGCCGCATTTAGAGATAGTATTCGGAATTAGCGAGCAAGTAAAGCAAGCTAATCGGAAGCTCTAGAGCAACCCTCTAAGCCAATTAGAAGGCGGTGAAATAATAGGGGTGGAAAGGGTGTATAATTACTTAAAAAGGGGTGTACGATTATCTATCCCCTTAAAGAAATCTTTAGCTAGTATTATCTATTTTAAGTAGGGTGGAAAAGGGTAAGTTACTTTTTATAGAGCAAAGTGCACTTTTAATAGGCGTATAACGGTGTAGGATTTGCTGCGGATAAAGTAGGCTACGGCATAAGTAGGGTGCAAAGCTGTGCTAGTAGAGGAATAGCTTATATTATAGCTTAAGCAACTAGGGAGCTGCGCTAACCTTTTTAAGTATTTAATAAAGGGATTTTTAGAAGGGCAATAGCAGAATTGCGCTTCTAAGGCCCTGCGGATAAGCTTTAGAAGGTTTAGGAATAGAGACACGCGCTGAAAATATAAGTGTTGCTGGCTAATTGCAGTATTCACGACCAGTTGCATGGGCAGCTTAAAAGTAGCTAGAGAATAATACGGTTTTAGTGTCCTATACGCGCCGTCGGCCGCATTTAAGCTAATTCTAGATAAAGCGTTCCAAATCTCGTATACGGACGGCGAGATGCTAAGCGGGGGGTTTAGAACTAAAATAATAAATATAGAAGAGTTAAGTATTATGCAGGCGATTAGAGTAGTTAACGCGGCGGTATAGATAGGTAATAACTAGAGTAGTGGACTAGTAGGGCTAGCGCTTATATATCCGAGTTTTATTTATAATAGTATAGGCGACCCGGAGTTAACAGATTAATATACGCCTTTCTTTACTATACTATAAGTCTATTCTCTATACCCGCGCTTCTTCTTCTATAACTCTTAGACCTAATTAGTACTAGCTATACTAGCCTCTCTATCCCCTAAGTATTTAGCCTGGCTATTAATCGCGCTACTGTAAATAATATTACTAGCAGAGGCGGCCTGCTCGCCCTAGGGGAATTCCTAGACAGTACGTAGATTCTCTATATATATCTTATCCTCTTTAGTCTTAGTCTTCCTTAAATTAACTTTTATGCCCTTATTTAAGCTACCCACTTAAGTATATCCTAACTAAAAGACCGCCCAATTCTATATACTAGTCCATCTATTACCCCTTTCTATAGGTTTAGCTAGAGCATCTATATATTAACACTCCCCCGCAGTCCCCCTTACCACCCCCTTTACCACCAGCCCTATCCAACACATATCTTAAGCCTACGCCTCCACAACCTACTAATTCTACGCCACAACCATTGACGGCCTCTCCCTCACCCGTAACACCTTGCATCCAGCCCACCCACGCCTGTCCCCCGCTACAACACCAAGCTCTAAGTAATCATTAATAGTGGCACTACACTCATCTACCTGCCCGATAAAATAGCAGACTACTAGAATAGGTTATTTATACCCCCGGCCCGTTTCAATACATATATAGGACTGTGGACTGTGGACTATAATGCGGACATGCCGGAGTTCGCGGTACTTCTTAGGGGCGAGAAATTCCCAATTAACCCTAGGGATTTAGTGCAGAGGACGGGCGCGGGAGGCTGTATCAGTGCGGTGTAGGAGAGCGGGGCGGGACTAACGGTATTGGGGGATGCGTGGCTAAAGAATGTGCTTGTGGTCTTTGATATCGGAGGAGAAGAGCTAAGAGTTGCGGCGAGGGGCAAGTATTAAGGCGAGTTTGGAGGCTATGTAGAGTATGGAAGTGGATAGTGGGCATGCGCCTTAGGGGTTGGGCAATGGATAGAGGGATTTTGATGGACTGGAGAGGATATAAGGAAAATATGCGTTGTTCTCTTAGCTTAGAACTCATCTTAACAGATTTTGTTTCCACTTTCGAGTTTAAGTTTGTGGTTGTAGCTCCGAGCATACTAAGATTGGCTAGAATCTAGGACAATTGATTAGCGGCCCATATCTTGACATCGTTGGCCTAGATCTTGATATAAAGTAAATGGCGTTTGCGCTGTGTGGTGACGAGGTGGCAAGACTGGGCCTAATTAAGGGAGGTCGAAGAAGAGCAGCATAGAGGCGCTTGCGGGCGGGCGGTATCTTAAAATCTTAACTGAGAATAACATAAGTAACTACGCGGCAAGATGAATTATTATCAACTTCAATATCGTGATTCTAACTCCTGGCTTCTTACTCGTTATTTGGTTACTTTACGGCTTATAACATAGTATTCACAGCCACCGCTAGACACCCGCCTCCGTCTTCAAAGGATGAACTAAGTATTCGATAAATACCGGTTGACCAATAATGCCAGTACTACTTCACACATATATCGCCAAAGACTGGACCCGCCAAGCTCGGAGCATCACCCTGGTTCTCCGTTCAACTAATTGTTTCAACTAATTGTTTGGATTGGGTGCCAAGCCTCCAATCAATTCAATCAATCATTACCCCATTAATAGAGAGAGGTCACTTGAATCAATTGATTGAACGGAGATCTTGCGCATAACTATCTCACTCTTTGTCCTCCACATGTCCATCTACCATAGCCTTTGCTTTGGTGGTCAAACCTCCCGACGTTGGAAGCACCTCTCGTTTCAGCCACTTCAGCAAGGAGCGGATGCGACGTGAATTTGGATGGGTCTCATTCCAGGCGCACCACGGAGCTGATTTCCACCCTTCAACTGGTTCGAGAAGATCGTATTGAAGTCTTCCCTTTAGGCCTTTGGTATTGCTTCGACTATAATGAAAAAGGCCACCGGACTCAGGCTCGCAGTTACAGAGTTCTTTGTATGGATTAGGAGTAAGACCGGTGTTGCTCGGCTTGCAGTTGCAAGAGGGACTGGACCAGTAAGTTGAGATGCCTTCTAACGTTCCATGGCGCAAATACCTGAGTTTTGGATCCCAATTAATGATGTCAATCAGCACCTCATCGATAAGTGGCGTTACCCTAGCCCATATATTATTCCTAATAACCTGGCCCTAAACTTCTGTGCATTAGATTAAGTAAGGGTCAGCTTGAGGTATTTATGACTTATAACGAGAATCTGTATCTTGCGTTCCGAGGATCACAGGTCGCCTACCTTGAATATCTAGGCCTCCTTCCACTGACGATGCGAAGGGGTATTCGTCAGCGATCTTGAAATCAGGCCGTACTTTCTTAAGGTTGTAGAGATTCACTCTCTTTCCAAATGGCTGACGGTTAACTCCTCCTTCGGTTCGATGTTTTTTAACGTCTTTATGCCGTATAGGTTTTCTTTATAGGTGGGTAGTTTGTGTCTGTAGTTTGAACGTTAACCGAGTGTTAAATTATAGCACGTGGCTCTTTGGACTTACAGGCGCTGTGGATATCCCCTGCAATACATTGCAAAGCAGGCTGATACCGATTATTAAAGATTCTTGCTTCGGAGCTAACGGCCTTTCTGTACTTACCATTCTCGCAGGACTGATAGGTCTCACGGCCGGGTTTTTGGCAGTCCCATTGGCGTATGTATTGCACACAGTTGGCTAGCTCGAGATACGACAGGAAACATAGTAAAGCAATAAAAAAGGAGCGAAGGTGGAACGGAGCCTTGATGGTGGAAGAAATCATATTTTAGAAGTTAAGAAGATGTCGTGTAGAGAACACTGAACACAGATAATAAAAGATGACTCGAGGTAGTAGTTCGAGCACACTATAATATATACAGCAAAGGTCAAACTGCCTGAACAATAAGGATAAGGTGGCTTCAGCAGTATCTACAAGGAAGTGATCCTCGGAAAGACGCCGCATGTTTTTTTTAGCATCAAATTTGTTTGATCAACGTATGCACAGGATCGCACAGTGATGGGTATAGCCACTGCTATCGCTCCGCCTCATCCTTTCCAACGATATGACTCCGATGTATTGTCGAATGAGCGTCTGCAACTCCAACAACATATAAGGCGAGAGTGCGGCGCGTACTTCAAAACTGCAAAGCCACGGTGAGAGAAATCGTTATACTTTAGTCAAACTTGCAGTGCCCTCTTATCAGGACACTTTACAGTTTACTATTCAGCAAAATCTCAAACACGACTTCCATAAGTCACCATGTCGTGCGATCCCGTTGAAGAGAGCCTTGGAATCCTCCACGGCGGGGCAGACACGACGCTGGATATGAAACATAATGGGAGATATAGTCACCTATCCGACAAAAAAGAGAGTGTCCTCTCAGGAAATAAGACATTAAAAGCGTGCGATGGACGATTTTTTTGGATTAACAGTTCAAAGATTATACTTATCGATTTTCTACGTTCCCGGCCAATCCAACTTTAGTTCTTTCGATCTCTATCAACTCTCTGAGCAGACAGTCACCCTGTCCCGGTTTGAGCTTGTTCTGAACATGCCAGCTGCCCGAATCTTTGTTGCACTTGCGTTACTTGTTTCCGCAAGCATAGCAGTCAAAGTAGAATGCGGAGAGCGAGGTGAATACTCGTATGTTCCTAGGACTGATTTCAAAGAATATGCAGAGCTGTTCTGTGAGCTTAGAGATGGACTAGACATTCCCTATGGTCGGGAGTATGCAGACACCTATGGGGTGCACTTGGTAGGTCGACATCAAGTCCAAGGGCATAAACCTGTACTAACACGTTTCAGACCAACCGAAACCATCCCAGTCAGCTAGGCGATGTCGGATACATAATCACTTAGGTTGAAATTGATGTGAACTCTGCCTGTATTGTAGTGGCCGTACGGGCCGAATATATACTAATAGGAAATGGCCCACCCCCTAGGTCTTATCAGCTCAGCTGAATAGAGGCCAGTTGAAAGGAATGGACACAGCTGAGAGGACCCTGGTGTAGCTGAACAGAGGGCCTCGCCACGCTGAGTGCGCGCTAGTAGCAACCAATCAAAGAACGAGAATCAAGGAGAGAGAAAAAGGGGGGGGGGGTGCCTGTACGTAGGTGACCGTGAACCGTATGAGTTGTTGATCCTAGGTTCTAGCTGTTACAACCCGAGTTAATCTGTGAGTAGGATTCCTGTCTTTTAGTCGAAGTTGGTTGCAGTTCTTAAGCCAAATTGCTAACTGAATGCCAAGTTTCTGTGAAGAACACCGATCACAAGAACTCATGGGCATTCGATGTTGATATCTGCAACAATGCCTTGGACAAGCTCTCGGATACAGACAGCGATTTTTACGGCAAAGGTAATCAGGACACAAGAGGTGGAGTTGTTTCGGAGTTGGACGACGCGGGTGCGAATGGCATTCAGTTCGAAGGCAGTACGTTTCACGGACAGCCATATGACGACTATGCCCTTTGAAGGAGAGATGCCGCCGAGGGGGATATGCGACGATGGACTACGTACTGGTCAGGTGCTTCGGCATCTCTTCATCACCATTTGTTACCAAATATACTAGATCTCAGAAGTTCCTGTGTAATAACGTCGTGAACACTGCGCAAAACATTCCTTTAAGACCTCCATACTTGCTACTCTTCTTTAAACATATCGGAGTCATCCATTATTCCATCTTCGGTGATCTCTGTCTCACCCTCGACAAGAAATATGTTGCGATCGCGGACCCAGCGGATGAAAGCACTGGCGGATCTGATACGAAAACGGACAGATTTCCACTTTTCTACCTCATCTGACCCATCTGACCCGTCGTACATATCCGGATCTTCGTCCTCTTCCCGCCGCTCCCAACATTCCAGGTTATAGAACACAACCGTTTGATCTTCCAGGGTTCGTTCGTCCATTACCACGAAGCAGTCGACACAAATCTGAGCGCCATATCCTGGAAGAAAGTATTGCTTGTCGAAGCTAACTAGATCTTCAAATGGTGCACCAATAAAACCGTTGGTGAAGGGTTCGACTGGCGGTACAGTGGGTATGTCGAAGGTTTCCTGCTCAGGCGATCTGACAAGCGTCCATAGTGGGGCTTCTTGCATAGCGTCTGCACTTAAGAACTCGTTAACCATCTATAAGCTCTTGTCAGCCTACACAAACTAAGGCCGTCAGTCCTAGTCCACACAAAGTGGGGAGGCTTACATCGATCGGGATATCTGCCGTGCAGAGCACGGGAAATAGGTCATACTCAGGCTCCAATGTGGCATCTGCCATTTCGAAGAAAGACACAAATGCAAGTTATGGTAAGATAATTCCAGGTAAACGCATAAGGCACATATGACGGCATCTTTAGATGATTTGTAAGATGTGGCCAACTTGTTGCTGTGCCGCACGCGCCGTAATCGCTATAGCGCCCGTCACTTTAATATGACCCATCCTATTTTTGATACAAAGGTCATCTTTTCGATGGAACGCCTTACTGCAGATGCTTGTAAGGGATTCGGCTGCCATTTTTGCACATTAAATGAGGCGTTTTCTCCAGCCAAACATTGTTCCAATCCATTCTCGGATGTTCTAGTGTCTTGTGCTATCTTGCAGCATCGTGCCCGAAGCCTTAAATCACTTGACAGGGGTACTAAGTTCTGGGTGTCAACTTAGCACCGCAGGGACCACTGCAGCAACCACCGGCGGCCACGGCCCTAACGCCTTATCCCTCCCCTGGGGTTCATACTCTAGACTCTGACTCTGCCTCATCCTGTTAACCGTCTCCTCCGCTAATTTTCCTTGGACGAGCTTAATTACCACCCCCCCTTTCTCTCCGTAGCCCCCCATTTTCTCTTCCTAGCCCCCCCCCCTACATTAATCCTAGCTCCGGCCCGTATAAATATTGTTCCACTAATCAAACTCACTCGCTTAACTGCTCGTGCTCAATGAAGAATTTACATCACCAGCGCACACTCTCTCGATGCATCAACACCACGTCCTCTACATCACTACCCTCACCACCGTGCCCCTCCGGCCGCCCCCTGGGGCCGCCACGCGTCCGTAGAGGAAGAGGACCAGGCACGTGGAGGAACATCGCATCTCCGGCGAGCTCGTAAGACTACTGCTCGTGCAAATTGCGACACCGACTAGCCAAATTACTATGGCAGGTGTCTCCACAGGCACGCCGGCGGTCGAGCGGACCATTGTAGTGTTGAACAATCCTATACAGTTCACAGGTACAGCTCCAGATCGCTCCACCGGACAAGCAGGCACTCCAATAGCTACTCAGGGCTCTATTTCCTTAGTCCCCGACAGCCAACCAGCCCCTGAGGATGCCCCTATGTCCACGCCTGAGGAGAGGCTGCTCGTGGTAAAGGATATTCGGGTGTGAGGCCATGGTATACAGGCCTAGTTGGCGTTCCTTTCAGTTAGCAATTGGAAGGTGGCCATCTAGGCGCTTTCCGCTTCTAGACTAGCTACAATAGATAGAGTGAATAGACTCCTGTTGGCCTAGATAATGCATCCTTTCCGTTTCGTGTATATATACTCTCCATTTTACGCAGCCTATACAGAGGCAAGCAAGTGAGTTTAATTAGTGGAACAATATTTATACGGGCCGGAGCTAGGCTTAATATAGGGGGGGGGCTAGGAAGAGAAAAGGGGGGGGCTACGGAGAGAAAGGGGGGGTGGTAATTAAGCTCGTCCTTTTCCTTTCTATAAATTGTTTAAGCGTCCCTAGTAAAGATCTTAAAGCTTAGGCAGAATCTATACATCCTGTACCGCATACAACACCAGTTCTTTAGCTAAGGGCCGCTTATCCCAGGCATCATAGCTGCCTTCTATGTCTAGATTCCACGCCTCCGACACTTTATCCTTGGCAGCTAGCTATGCCTGCTTCTCTGATAGCGTTTTTGGTAAGTCTCTATCCACGCACTTAGCTAGGCCAGAGAGTAGGCGTTTCGAGGTGCGACGGGCTGCGTTTTCTATAAGTTAGATATCGTGAACGCCTTACAATTTAATCCCGAAGTGAGAATACAAGGCGTTGGAGTTGTTGCGGACGTTAAAGAAACATTTGGGAATTGACGGGTCTTCTAATGTAGAAGTGATCACCAACTCGTGCACGGCCACCACCTCGTGCACGGATTCCGAAAATCAATTCGAATCTTATCTCAGGTGCCTCAGACCCTCTACGAGGATATTGCCCTGCCTGAGTGCGTGTGGTTGGTGTTGGGCGTTGTGCACGTTGTGCACGTTGTGCAGATAATTCTGCCAAAAAGGCGGTTCACGTGACGGGCAGGCCAATTCCTCGTAGAGGGTCTGAGGACTTTTGGGCGCGGTTAATAAGGGCGACCATCTAGGACCTTTTGCGGTCGCATTCCACCACCACAGCTTGCCTTATTCTAAAACTTTGGGAGCTGTTTCCTTACACCTTTAAGATCTAGCTCCTAGGTTCTTAGGGTAAGGTAAGCTGTAGTGGTGAAATTCCATCTTAAAAGCAGATCGAAATGGCGGGTGAACCAGTTACAAAAATGAACACAATTTTTTTGGCGCTGTAGTTCGCCCCCTAATACTCTAGGTAGTAGGGTATAAAGATATAAATTAAGTATAAGAGTACCTGAATATTCTATTGCATCGACAACCAAGAGCGTGGCTGGTTAAGAATACCATATTCTCGTCCACTGAAGAAAGCTGACCTGTTGAAAAAAAACCAGCTTACACCAAGCCCGTGCCCAAATGTCCTCAGACGCTCCGCAGAGGAATTTAGGGTGTGCAGGGGGGTAGGTGGCAGGGGGGTGAGGGCGGTGTAGGGGGTAAAGTTGTGCACGCCTCAAATTCCTCAAGGGGCGGCTGAGGTTCCTGAGATAATTCGAATCACGACTTGAAGCTTTGCAACACAACACAACACAACGTCCTATATACACAAAAATTAAGGAGGTAAGGCAACTAAGGCTGCTCTTTTATTCTATATACACAACGTCATCGTCAAATCGAAGAGGAAGCCTTTTTTAACGCTGTGGTCGGCCTAAAGCTGTAGTGGCCTCTTCCTCCTCCAAATTAATTATCACCTTTTGTTCTGCCTTCCTTAAGCCCTTCTTTATTAGTGTAAATAGCTTCTTAGCTTTACTTTTGCCAATTAATTGCCTAGATACCTTCTGGGCTTCCTTCTTCTTATATGCATTCTCTTTCTGCTAAGCAATATAAGCAGCCGTTTAAGCCTACTTTTCTGGCTTCTCTTTCTCTTTCAAAAGCTTCCTTTCCTCTGCTTCTTCCTTTTAGGCACCTTTTTAAAGCTGCGCTTAAAACTTAGTATTCTTTTGAGCGGCCTTTAGGCGGGCTTTTTCCTCTTCTTCTAGATATAGGGCTTCTTTCTATACTTGCACCTTATAGAGGCTATAAAAAGTAGCACTATCTATATTATTCTGGTGAAAAAAAGGCTTATAATACTTATGCTATAATTGCTTAACTTGAATAGCTGCTTAATAGCCTTAGATATAGGGCGCTGCTAATACCACACCCCCTAATTCCTACACGTACACCCCCTTTTCACTGCGCGTACACCCCCTCCCCCCCCTGTCGTTTCACCACCTTTTGATTGGCTCGGAGGGCTACTCCGCAGCTGTCACGGTGACGATGTATCGGGCATTTAAACGCGAGATAGACAAGTATCAGATTCAAAGAAGGATAACTACGTGCTATTACCGTGGTTGGTTACAAGACGTCAAGATGCCGAGTTGAATTAGGGACGGGAGCCAGGCTATATACAAGACGAGAAAAGGGGCTCGCACATAGCGCGTGGCCCTAACAGAATCGGGAATCAGGTGGCAGGCGCGTGGCGCACGCGTGCGCACGTATGCGGGAACAAGGTGTCAGGGGATTGATGCTTAGAGGGAGGCCATAATCAATACCGTGACAGCAGCCTCCAATTCGCTCGCTTAACTTGCTCACTAATTCCGAATGCTCTCTCCAAATGCGGCCTTAATCACAATCGATTACATCCTCTTCTTCTCCATCCACAATATAGCAGTGCATACAGCAGTGCATACAGCAGCGCATACAGCAGCGCATACAGCAGCGCATACAGCAACACCTACGGCTACACCTACGGCTGCACTTACGGCTTGCACTTACGGCTGCACCTGCAGCTAAAAAGTGCGGCCGGCCGCCTGGTGCAAAGGATAAGGTACCACGGAAAAAGGCACGAGCTCAGAGGCAAGATAGTACTCAGCCTACGCCTCAGCCTCAGCCTCAGCCTCATCCTCAGGCACAGAGGCTTAGCCGAGAGGAGCTTCTACGTCAGCTTGCGACGTATGATGAAGATATTGAGGCGGAAATTGACCGAGATATTAAGGCAGAGGCGGTGATGCGAGGGGGCTAGGCTCGATGCAAAGGAGTCGTAATAAGGTGAGGTTTTGACAGGTTTGGCATGCTTGTAGACACGTAGGCACTTCTAGAATAGAATTTCTATTCTATACTTAGACTTAGACTTATACTTATACTACGTGAGCTCGTACGTGAGGCTACACGAATCGGTGAGGTTACAGAAGAGCAGAATGCTGCCAACCTATTTCACGCCGATTCGTATAGCCGTACGTGAGCTCGTACGTGAGGCTATACAAATCGGCGAGGCTGCACGAATCGGAAAGGCTGCACGCCGATTCGTATAGCCCCGCGTATAGCATCACGTGATGTATAGGTGAATGCCCGGAGCTCCGGCGTAGTGCTCCGAGCCAATCAGAAGGTGGTGAAACGACAGGGGGGGGAGGGGGTGTACGCGCAGTGAAAAGGGGGTGTACGTGTAGGAATTAGGGGGTGTGGTATTAGCAGCGCCCATTTATTAAACTTTTACTAAATTAACTTAAAATACTGCGTATAGTATTCTATAGAGTCTGCCTTCTTCCTCTCTATATTAAGCATTGAAAGATACCCAGAATTAAGCACTACTTATACTGTGCGTAGAAATCCACCTAGTGGCCTAATTCTTGCCTGGCACATAGCCTATGATCTCGGCGGCTATATTCCTTAGCATTTCGATGGTAGGAGGTAATCCTCTCTCTGTGAGGCTTTCAATATAGCCAAGAAGCGCAGCCGATTGCGCAGCGTCGAGGTTTCGTTGATTTTCGTGCGCATCCAATCGAGATACTGTCTTTCCATGGTAGCGGCGAGAAAGGGTACTCCGGTTAATCCCGTGTTCCCTAGCAACCTTTGCAATGTTCTTGCCCTCGCTGATACGAAGCTCCGCGATCGCGGCTTCCATTTGCTCCATGTTTGAAGCAATTTGGTAGAAAATTGATGAAGCTGTGAATTTTTGAAGATGGTGGTGGTGGCGCTCGGTAACCGTGCATTAGCTGGTGGCCGTGCACGAGTTGGTGATCACTTCTAGTCAAAGCTCAGTTTTATATCCTGTATGCTCAGGTTCAAAGGCGGAAAAGGAGATACAGTATTAAACTCAAACACTGCATCACACAAGCTTTTGGAGATGGAACTCCAGGCAATTATGGGCGAGGAGAAGAGCTATCATCTGAGCAGTGTTTAAAATTCGAAAGAATATTCGCCAACTATCTTTATCAGGCATCAGAAACAGCATCCCATCACATTGCCACACGCTCCATAATGGTTTGAACAAAATCAGAAAGACAATAGCCTCAGGCATCAGCGGTATAGATATCATACTATGAAACGAATTTACAAAATCTGGTCGCGGGTCGTGATAAAATCCTTGTACCTCCTCAACGTCCATCTCCTCGCCGCCTTGCCCCATACTATCATCGGCACAGCCGTCAAGATGAAAACGCAGCTCAAAGCGCCAATCTCACACATCACGTCCGTGACAGACTGCGCATCAAGCCAGCTGCCAGTCGCAAACGTGAAAATCATTCCGAGGGTATTGTTGACGACGGCGACGCCGACCATGCCCTCCAATCTAGGGACATTTTAGTTTAGTATCCGGGAAGCGGGTTGGAAAAACTTACACCATGTCCGGATAGCAATCCATGAGATACGCCATGGATAAATCTCCTGCGCAGCCCCATCCAAAGCCAATGAAGCCCAACCCAACATACGGCACTCGCCAGGACCAGCCATTGTTGGTTCCTATGCCAAAGAGGATGAGCCCAAGTGGGCTGATGATGGCGGCGGGAAGCATGAGCCAGAGCCTATGCTCAGCCTCCGCAATGCCGCCATGCCGCCTGGCCATCCATCGCACAAACACGTCGGAGAAGTAGCCACCATAGATACAGCCGATGAAGGAGCCAATGATACAAGGAACATTCATAACGGCGTCTTGTGCGTCAGTATAGTTCCATGGCGGGCCGTACCAGTTGTCTTCTTCGAGCGTGAGGTAAAAGGTCAACCACGCATCTTGCGCGCCCCATTGCAATCCGGCAAAGAGAACAGCGGGAAATGTAAAGACGCGAAGCATGTGCCACAGCCGCAGGCCATATTGTTTGAAACCGACACCTTTGAGATTGGGAGCGGGCGTGATAAGAGCGATGCGCTTCCAGTAAGGCTTGCGAGAAGGAAGAGACTCGAGCTCGCCGACGTGTACGAGAGAGGCTCTGCGCTCTTGCAGTGGCTCTTGTAGTGGTGATCCCTTCTTTTCTGTATCACCTTCAGCACTAAAAGCTGGTGGTTCGGGCGATTCGCCAGACTGACCATCGAGTATGTGGCGACGGTCAAAGGTCGTTTCTTCGAGACCGAAATAGAGGACTACGAGGGTTCCGCCTGAGATGATGACTGCGAACCAACCAATCCAACGCCAACCCAACGTGCTATCAGCGATGTAGCCGCCGATCAGAGGTCCCAGGTATGTGCCAATGTTTGTAGACAAGACGTAAAAGCCTAGGACGGTGCCGCGTTGGTGCTGGAAGAAGACGTCGGAGAGCGACGTCTGTACTAACGCCTCGGCGCAAGACTCGGATGCGCCGACGAAGAATTGACTTCCAATTGAGTCGCTGCTGCTCTGGATGCGGGCAAACCAGATGGCCCCGCCAAGGCCCATGAGAATGCAGATGAGGTAGTTCAGCCTGCGACCGTACAGCGTGACCATGGGAGCCAGCAGCAGCGTCATGTATCCGATTGCAATGAAGAGCACGCCGGCCGCGTTATTGATCTGGTCGTATGAAATCCCAAGCTCTGCATTCTGCCCGTCCGCGGCAGACCCGGCGTCGTTGGAGGTGGCCGCGGTCAGGGCTGCTATGAAGCACACGAGCGTTGCGTGCCAGTATCTGCGCGCCGGACTCCATCGCAGCGGGTCGTCTGGGTTGGAGCTGGGCTGGGGAATGAGGGTGATTTCGCTCGCGTCAAGAGCCCCGTCCGCCTGTTGGTCATAGAGCCGAACGGTCCCTGGTAAGCTGGGGGAGGAGTTTTCCATAATTACCTGTCACCCTGTGCGTGTATCCATGAAAGAGAGAGGACTGGTACTCACTTCTGGGAGCTGACGAGGTGTAGCTCAAGTATACCCCACACCCTACCTCATCGCTTACTCTTACTTAATGCTGCTGCGGCTGCGCTACCTTATCTTTACAGCCCAACAGGCCATCCCACGGTGGCGTGTCTTAGTCATGTGATTTTTGCAGCAATCTACCCTGAAAAACAGGTTGCATTCGATATGACGGTAGTTTGTTTCGTTGCTGCTAGCTTGTACACGGATCTCTCTCTGACACCAAAACCCTCGAGGATAGTCCCAATTCGGAAGGTCGTTTGACAACTTGTGATACCTGCCAGACAAACTTGGAAATATTTTCCTGCTTATGGTCCCATCTTTTTGACGCGGCTTCTGCAGCTCTATCGAGGCTTTACAACCTCAAATACACATTAAAGTATATACGCGGAGGAGCGATCGTAAATCGTCGAGATGGCTGGCATCTTTGAGCCGAAGCTCGCACCAGCTCTACGGACTCATCTCGAAGGCATTGATCTTCAAGCACTCTCCCGCATCGACTCCTCCCGGCTCGCGAGCAGAGCGATACCCAATATCGGCTCGATTGAGCTTGTTGACTCAAAAGACTTCGACAAAAAGTACGATGCTCTCTACGTCAAAGAATTCCCCAAAACCGCTGAACGTGAGCGCTCTGACCTCATCTCCGCGCGTCTCTCCGCACAATTTGCCGGGGAAAGAAACAGCCTAGCGCCGTATCGGATCGTTGGCATCAGAGACGCTGAAGATGAAGCTATTGGGGCCGCTCAGTTTTCTGTCCTTCCGATCAAGGGCGGCGAGTTTGCTGTGCCGTATTTGCAGTACATCTATGTAAGAGGCGAGAACAGACGCCAAGATATGAGCGAAGTGCTGCATACCATGACACTCGCAGTTGCGGTGGCCGATGCCAGGCAAATGGGCAACAGGAGTATCCCGTTCACGCTGTTTGAGACGGAGCCACCGGGGTATGGGGACGATGAAGAGAGTAGAGCATTCAGTGTGACGAGAGCGCAAGTACATGTGAAAGGGGGTGCTATGGCTGTAGTCCTGGAGAGGGATGGGAAGGCAATCAGTCCGCATGTGCAGCCTGGATTAGAGGTTGGGGATTTGCCATTGAGCTTGGTGTGGGCTGTGAGACAAAGTCCCTTGCCGGGGAGAGAGTGGAAGATAGAGGATCTTGGGGGAGATCTCATGGCCGCGTATTATCAAAGCTTAAGGGATGAAGGCTTCCCGGAGGAAAACATCAGGCTTGCAGAGAGTATAGTGAAAGAGAGGTGTATGGAGAGTGAGTGGAGGCTGATCTCGTTAAATCAGGTCAAATTCCACTACACCTAATATAATGTTATGTCCTATATTGGTATTAGAAGGTTTTCGTAAGAGGAAAGTCACAGTAGTGCTGTTTTGCTGCGGCTGAACGTCAAGGGCCAGCTGGACGTGCTCCCACTTCTAACTACCACCTACAATGATCTCGATCCGTATCTTGAAACCTATCAATAGGGTATATGGGCGTTCAGCTTTGCACAAGGGCTCCTGTCATATGCTCGATATACAGAGGTCTCTGCTCCCCAACCGCTCAGCATCGAAGAAAAATACTAATTTCAGCCGCCTAGAACTTTTGTATTACACCTCCGCTCATCTTGCCCTGTAACACCTTTGTGTGCATGCATATAGATAAGCAAAGCAGGTATGACGTAGAAAAGGGCTCTCGAAGAAAGACTAAATTGTTTTAATGTAAGATCAATAACTACGATGCCCCATCCTCCTCAGGCTCACTAACATTATCACTTTCGGACTACAGCTCTTCCCATTTAACTAAGCACGCATACGCGGGAGCCGCAGCGTTGTTTCCGCAGCGAATGGCAGAAATATGTTCGACCTCAGGCCTCGGGTGTCCCTTGTGTCGGCCGGCCTTCATTCGTCCGATTGACTATCGTCTGGATTTGAAGGATTTGAAAACGTCAATTGAGGCTGGCTGCAACCTTTGCAAGATTTTGCGAGAAGGCATCGAATTCTGTTCCCCGGAGATGTTGCGTTTCTCGCCATTATTCATCAATATTTCTCGTGATCCCCGTGGGACGATGAATCTATCTTGCAGTGGACAGGGCGGAAGAGAAATCGAAGGATTTGTGGAATTTTTCATGGGAACTGGTACGTTGAGATTTACATCAACTGTAGTACGCGCTGTATTATTGACGTACCTCCAGACTCTCCGAACCCAGACAACGCGTTGTTCTCAAAACGCAAACTGCTCCCTAACACGACAAGCTCTGAGATAACATTCGCGACCATCAAAGAATGGATCGAACAATGTAATCGGAACCATGATTGCTGTGGATTAGATCCTTCTCAATGGCTACCCACTCGAGTACTTGATGTTAGCGGTAGCGGAGACTCGACGATTCGACTTCTTCAGAATGAGAGAGCAGAAGGCAAATACCTGGCATTATCTCACTGTTGGGGAGTGCCCAAACCGCACGCCTTAACCCTGGGAAACAACTTCGAAGAGATGAAACGAGGCGTACCCATTGCGTCTCTGCCAAAAACGTTCCAGGATGCTGTGGTTTTTACACGGGATATGGGGGTGCAATATCTGTGGATCGATTGTCTGTGTATCATACAAGATGTCAAAGATGATTGGAGGAGAGAATCGGCCCAGATGGCAGCAGTCTACCAAAATTCATACCTCACTATTACATCATCCCACGCGGCAAGTTCGGACGGGGGCCTCTTTCATGAAGTCCATTCACAGTATGCAGCAAAGGAGCTCAAAGTGGACAGCAATGATGGAAATTCTTACGCTATCTACGTACAGAGACTCTTGGAGCATGATATCCATTGGGATAATGGGGGCAGCAAAGCACTTTACGAGCAGTGTCCGTTGCTTAGCCGTGCGTGGGCTTTCCAAGAACGACTGATACCACCCCGCGTGCTACACTTTCGACGCAATGAGGTCATGTGGGAATGCAACGAACATACACGATGTCAGTGCGTATACGAAGCAAACCCCTGGACTCACGGGCCGAAGACGGATCTCTCAGGTTGTGAAGAAGCAGTTCTGTGTTGATTTGAAGAGGCATAAGGCCCGTATATATAGCCTATGAAAGGGGGGGGGTACTCCCCTGTTACGGATATGGAAGGGTGTAATGCCACTGACACGCTAGTAGTGGACTCAGGTTAAAATTGATGTGAACTCTGCTTGTATTGTAGTGGCCATACGGGCCGAATATATACTAATAGGAAATGGCCCACCCCCTAGGTCTTATCAGCTCAGCTGAATAGAGGCCATTTGAAAGGAATGGACACAGCTGAGAGGACCCTGGTGTAGCTGAACAGAGGGCCTCGCCACGCTGAGTGCGCGCTAGTAGCAACCAATCAAAGAACGAGAATCAAGGAGAGAGAAAAGGGGGGGAGTGCCTGTACGTAGGTGACCGTGAACCGTATGAGTTGTTGATCCTAGGTTGTAGCTGTTACAACCCGAGTAGTGGCAACCTGAGTGGATCACTCTCGAGCTATCACAACAGGTGACCGGCCCGAGCTGTTCGACAGCTGGCACCAAGTTGTAATGGCATATTCGGGCCTTCAGCTCTCGTTCAAAAGCGACAAACTTCCAGCCTTGTCTGGGGTAGCAAAACAAATGCAAGCTGCACTGCAGACTGATTACCTGGCAGGGCTGTGGCGGGAGAATCTGCTCGTCGATATGCTGTGGCACCTTAACACTAGTAAAAGGCTACTACCACGCTCGAGTTCATGGCGCGCTCCTTAGTTGGTCGTGGGCATCAGTGGATAAGCCCGTTTCGTATCATGTTATGTACCGCACTAAAAACGGCGAAAGACATGCTCACACTATCGCCAAATAGATGGAGTTCAAATCTCTCGCTTCCGTGCTAGACGCAAAGTCGAAATGTGCTGGTTCGGATAGCAGTGGAGAAGTTGCATCGGGCTTTGTTTGCCTGTCGGGTTCATTTCTGCGAATTGAGTCTCCTTTCGGGCCAAACTCTCACCTTCCGATTGAAGATGGCAACACTGCGGACGACGAACCCAATCTCTTTCATATGTACTGGGAATCGGAGTATGTTGGCGATTTGTACGCTGATGTTTCTGTTGGAGCCACAGAGATGGATACTAACGTCTATTGTTTAATGATTGCAGTATCAGTCCAAGACAATTATACCGTATGTCTCACCTTGGGACCTATAGACGACAAGGGAGGAGGCTACCAGAGGCTTGGACTTTGCTTTGTCAGTCACTCCTTCGTCACTCCTCGAAAAGTACCTCTTGAAGAGCTTCTAGATCGATTCGAAATGCGGACAGTCACAGTCTTGTAGTGCACGGATTGGAGAGTGAATTGAAGGCACGTTAGGAAGGTCTATGCGAGAAGATCATGCTACCATGAACGATCCAGCAATTTGAGACACATTGTGGTTATAAGCATGATGAGGTTCGGTCGTCAAGTTCCCGAAGGCATTTTCGCAAACTTATCGTCTACCTGTGCCGGTGTGAAAGCAGCCGTGGCCATCATAGGCAAAATTATGCCCATTCAGTCTCAATTACCCCCATTCCTCACCGCCAAAACATCAGCCCAGCTAGTCAATCCGCCGTCTTTCCCATGGGCGGATACTCCTTCCCCTCCTTTGTGACTTTCGGCTCGCAAGTGCACCTCTCAGATTCCGGAACAGAGTCCATGACGCCAGGGACGTGGTTGCCGCAGCCCCACCAAGTGAATTTTTCTTTGGGAGAGCTTAGCGAGAGCTTAGGAGAAAGGGTAGAGGGGCATGAAAAGGATAAGAGATGATATGAGGTGATTGGAACGGTTTGAATTGGAAGTGAAGGTATGAAATGCAACTGGAATGACGGAGTCGAACGGACGTACGGCAGGTGGAGCAAGTCGCTTTCTTGCACATGATGATCGCTTTCTTTCTTTCTTTCTAGGGTTTGAGTTTTGTTTCGTGATGTTGAAAAGTGCATGAAAGGTCAGGGCCGTGGTTTGATAAATACTCCCGGGATGTAGTGTCACCTCGCCGAGCCGATCAGGTCGCCGAGGCGGGCTTGCTTATCGGATTCGGGTGGGCTAAGGCAAGTGGCGAATTCAACTGTCGAACAACCAATACAGACAATTCAGGTTGGAGACTTGAAAAAATATTTAATGGCAGAAGTGAGTAGAATTGTGGTGGGATCAAGATATTCTATAAATGCTCTATCTACAAGCTCTCGCAGGCTATGCAAACCCTCACGATGACTCGATTTCGACCCGAATAGAAGCAACGACAAGCTTTTTAGACTCCACGGTCTTATCAAACTCCAATGCCCCCGTCAGAACGCCAATAACTTTAAAGAAGTCAGATCAATCAAACGTGATCTTCGTAGCTTTCTTCATGTCATCACCTGTATCCTTGTAAAATGCGCCATAGGCCTCATGGGCCTTCTTCTTAACCGTGGTACCGAACTTCATCAGTTCCTCAGGAACCGGCTGACCCGCAGCTTTCAGGACGTTGATCAACCTAGCAGAGCTATCAGCAAGTGTGATTGTTTGGAAAGTTGTGGGTCAAACTTACGCGCCAGACAACCCCTTATCCAGTTCCGTGAACAGCGTAATAGCCAGCCCCTCCTTACCCGCACGACCAGTGCGTCCAATCCGATGTACATAGTCTTCCGCGGTCAACGGGAAAGTGACGTTGATAACTACTTTCACCGCCGGAATATCTAGCCCTCTCGCCGCCACATCCGTGGCCACAAGAAGCGGCACGCTCCCGTTCTTGAAACTCTCCAAGCTCTTCGTGCGCTGCACTTGACTCAGATCGCCGTGGATACCCGCAACTCTGAAGCCCTTCTGCCTGATGAATCCCTCGACTCTCGTAGCCTCCTTCTTGTACAGGCAGAAGATAAGGATACGGTCATCCTTGTCTTTTCCGGATTGATATTTCTTGATTAGCTGGAGAAGTCTGTATTCCTTGTTGCGCGGCTCTACCACCTCCACGATCTGCTGGATACTTTTATTCGCGCGAAGTTCTCCGGATGGATTGTCGCCAATAGCGATCTTAACGGGGTCTTTCATGAAGGTGGCTGCGAGGTCGCGAACGGAGGTTGGCCAGGTGGCTGTGAACATGAGCGTTTGGCGGACACTTGCGGTGCCGCTGATGATCTGGCGGATGGCCTCCTCGAAACCTTTGTCCAGCATGCGGTCCGCTTCGTCGAGAACGACATAGCGAGCCTTTCCAAGGGGAGCAGCGTTATCGCTGACGAGGTCGTTGAGGCGACCAGGTGTAGCGACTACAATGTGAGCGGTCTTGAGAGCGTGGATTTGCGGGTCTCGGGGGACACCACCGTAGACGCAGACGACCTCCAATCCAGCAGGCGTAGCTAGCTTCACCAATTGCTCGTGAATCTGACTGGCTAGTTCTCGGGTAGGGGAGACAATGACAGCCTGTATGCCTTTGCGCTCGCTTTTCGGCAAAGAAGTGATGTATCGAATACAAGGAACACCAAAAGCCAGTGTTTTCCCGGACCCAGTCTCAGCCACTCCGATCATATCCCTCCCAGCGAAAAGCGCTGGCCATGAAGCCGCTTGTATAGGCGTAGGAGACGCGAACCCCGCGAAAGGCGCAAGCTGTGACTTGTCCTTGATAGGCAGATATGAGAATTTCAGGAGCGGTCGGAAGGTAGGGGTGCTCGACAGCGGGTCGGTGACGGTAATAAAGTTCGCTGTGAGGTAGTTGTCTACCTCCGATTGTGGAAGGGCGCTCAAGGCGGCATCCTCTGTATAGCTGCCCTCGCTTGCGCTGACACCTGCGGAGGGTGCTGCTTTAGACGGGGTGCTAGAGGAACCGTTCGACACTGCTTTAGCCGGTGTCAGTGCATCGCTGTCGGACTGTTCCTTGGCCTTCGCAAGCTTCTTCGCCTTCTTTTCAGCTTTTCTCGCAGCTTTCGCCGCCTTCTCTTGTGCCTCTGTGCCAATCTCGCCTTCGGGGGAGGCATCCACACCATTCTCCTCTTCTGTATCGTTATTCTTTCGTGCCTTCTTCGCTTCCCGCGCTTCCTTCTTCACCAGTTTCGCAGCCTTCCGCTCAGCCTTCGAAAGTTTTTTTTCCTCTTGTCCAGCCTCAATTGTGTCATTCAGCTCCAGAGGGGACTCCTCATTGCCCAACCCATTTGCTATATCCGCGACTGCGTTTCCATCTCCTGGTACATCTGCGGTGCTGAGCTTGTCGGTGTTGCGCTTGCTCTTGTCCTTTTTACTCTTCTTCCGTGCGGGTACTTCCGCATTGGTGTGCGAAGCGTCTTCTACGGCGGCGTCCTCGCGAATTCTTTTGCCCATGGTGAAATATTACGGGGATTAGTGAAGAAAAGTTGCGAACCACCACTCCGAAAAATGAGACCTGGATATTTTTCTGCCAAGATCGCCGAGATTAGTCCGATTGGTCGAATGATCTCACATCACGTGCTCTCAAGCTTTAATAGACGATTTTATATCTCCCATGTAGGTGTTAGGCTCGGCGTCATATATAGTGGGAGTCCATCAAAGCACCATCTGAGGTGGCTTAGAGAGTTTCCATGCTTATCAAAGAACTCTCCAGTGCCTTTCTAACACACTTTCCCATATCTCAGCCTCATACAGTACTAGGGAATAAAGGGTTCATTACACCTGCTTCACACCGCCTGTGGTGCTTCATCGGACCAATAGGAGCTAGAAGCAACGATTCACAGGTCTAATCTGTATGCACCCTTTCACCACTACCTGCGGTGGCCCGCAGAGGTTTCATACCTGTCAAAACCAGATCCTCACCTCCTTCAAATCGCCCATACCCCCTTAGATCACTCCAAGTAGCGTTAAAGTAGTGTACACAGACCAGTATCCCGTCGTACCTACCTCATCCACCCCTTCCTACCCAAACAAGCAAGAGCAAACAAGTCATCCGCAGCTCACCACTCCAACCTTTCTCTCCCCTTCCCTCCTCTCTTCCCCACCCATCCCACGCCAAACAACACCCACTACACAATCAATCAATCCATCGTCTACCCACCGCACACCATCACCAAGCACCAAAATGGTCAACCCAGCCATCAAAGAACTCATGGACGAGACCATGGCGCGCGGCAACATCCCGCCGCCCTCGAAGAAGCCCGAGGTGCGCACCCTCTCCACCCCGTTTCACCCCTTTACCCATTGCCCATCTCCTCCTCTCCCATCTCCCCTCCTTGCCCTCCCTCCTTCCCACCCCCCTAACCCCATCCCAGACCGACGTCGCCACCGACACCAAAGCGGCCACGCCACCCCCCACCCTCGCCGACTCCGTAACCGCAGCCGTGGGCCGCGCCAAAGAAGCCGTCGACGAAGTCACCTCATCCGCAGCCACGGCCGCACAGAAGGCGCTCGACAAGCTCGAGATCGGCGGTGAGGAGGGCGGGATCGTCGGGGGCGATGGCGTTATCGGTCAGTTTCCATTTACTCCCTCCTCCCCTTAGTTGGTATTCAGGCTGACGCTGAGGGGCGTTGTAGGAGCACCGCTGCAGGGGATTGGCAACAGTTCGAGCGAGACGGCTGCTGAAGAGAAGGGCGCGGGTAAGGGTAAGGCGAAGGCGAAGGCTGAGGAGGGCGATGGGGAGGAGAAGGGGGTTGGTGGGCAGGAGAATGTGGGGAGGCTTAGGGGTGGAGAGTGAAGCGGCTGCTGAGTGAGAGGGAAGAGGGAGGAGGGAGGAGGGAGTAGGGAACGGTGGGGATTGGGGGGGTTATGAGATGGTATTGGAACTCGAAGCCATGATACGGGTGTGAAAGGGATACAGATAATAAACGAACTTGCCAGTGGCCTGAGGTAGCCTCGTTCATTATGAAAGAAAGGAAGTGCTACGTCGTGAGTGTGCAATACTAGGCCTATAAGTATGGATACACGGGTATCCCACTGCTTGAGTGCTACATACTTTTGGAAGCCGGACGGCACTGTCAGGAGGACTCTCACCGGAAGGCAGCTGGCCAGTGAAGAGCCTGGACGTAGCCCAGATCCCGCTGCAAAGAACTTGACATCGCACCCGGATTTCTGAAGCCTCATGGGGGACACCCCAAGCAGTGTCAAAGCAATGTGCACAGAACCAATGACCTGCCTCTGCATGAGTACGTGTTAGCGCTTAAGCGCCCACGTGTCGGCAGCTCGGAACACTTATTCCATCATCGCTCGCGCTCTCCCGCTCACTTCGGCAAGTCTTGGCCGCCGCCAAGGCGGCTCAAAGGTGTTGAGTCGGGGAAACCTCAATTTTGAGACCTTGCAGCGCGACGACCACCTTTCTGGCTATAACTCAACAACCACAGTCCCTAGAACAGAAACAAAACCGGGAGGAGATTCGTCTAGCCCAGGAGTAATTTTGGGGGAAGTTTTAGGAAGAAATTATGTGGCCTCGTTGAGATAGAGGGGGTGCGGTGGCTTGCGCCTAGCAGAAATCGCACGATTTTACCTATGTTTTGGCACGCAGCGTGTGGATGTAGATGAGGATGAGTTTGAGGACGAGTACGAATATAAGGTTGAACATGAATATAAGTATGAGTATGAGCATGAGTATGATATCAAAGTATGAGTAGCGTTGTCGTAAAATCCGTCCGTCCCAAAGATGATAAGAAAAGGAAGAGAAACCCGCTCTACCTCTCCACAGCTTGCTCGAAAAGCACAAAAACGCCCGCTCTCCATTTAATCATCTACAATTATGCCTTCCTATATTGCCATCCCCAACAAACGCCTTCACTACTGCCATACACTTCACGCCTCGCCATACACCACACTCCCACTCCCCACGCTCCCGCTCATATCCCAGAAATTCCGGTTCCGTCCACTCCCGCCACTCCGTTTGCTCTTCTTCGTGCTCTGGCTCGCGCAACTGCTCCCAGTCCGCTGATTCCCGCTCGCACTCCGCAGCACCGGGTTGCGCAGCGCCAGACTCGGCGCCGCCGGCGTATGGCTATGGAGGTAGTGATGCCGGTGTAGCAGATCCCTTCGCCTGTTCCCCGACTGCTGGGACGCGGCAGCCCGAGAGACGAGGGGGTGGTGCTGGCGGATCAAGGCAGCCCGACGCGCGGAGACGAGTTCGGACGCCATGCCCGCCGGGTCTGCTGGGGCGGAGCTACTGCGTGGGCCTAAAGGGGCGCGGCGGGTGGGAATGGAGGGGCGGGAAGAAAAGCGGGTGGTGAGGTAGTTGAAGACCATTTTGACATCCAGCTCGCGCTCCCAGTACTCGCGGTCCTGCTGGGTGCGGACGAGGTCTTCGGCGGTGGTAGAAGTGGGGCGTTGGTGTTGGCGGAAGGACTCGAGGAGGTCGGTCTCTTCTTCCTCTTCGATTCCCCAGAGGGAGGCGTCGCTGTAGGTGGTTTGCTTTTGGAGAGTGGGGGCGAAGATGGCGGCTGTGGGTGAGGGTATGGAGGATTGAGTTGTTGTGAGTGGAGAGTTTTCAAGGTTTGCGGTTTGAAGAGGTGGGAGGGAGAGGCCGGCGTATGAGGGGGTTTCTTGGGTGCGGAGGTAGGTGCTGAATGCGCCTGGATGCTCTGAGAGCTGGTGGACGAGGACGCCGAGCTCGCGGGCTATTCGCTCTAGGAGCCGATGTTCCCATGGGTCCCCAGAGAATGGAGTATCTTGGATATCCGCAAGCACAGTCTCCGTGACACTCTTAGTGTCTGGAATAGAAGCTGATTCAGGGGTGGCCTCCAGGGGCAAGGATTCCCCAAAAATGACAGAGAGAATGTTTTCGTCGATGCCCATCAGATCGTGGATGATTCGCCTCGTAAAACGTTGCAGGAAAGAGAGATTTTCCGTGTTGTCTTCGGACGAATGCTGAACTTCTTGCTGTGCCCCTGATGTAGTAGACCTTGCCCGAGATGAAGCCTGCTCCTCTTGGGCTGTGCTACTCCTAGCGGCACTCACCAAGCTCATCCTCCTCCGCCGACGTGTCTCCCTCTCGATTTCTTCCAATAGAGCCTTACTTTGTTCTAACCTCCATTTCTCGATCCTCAGTCTCCGGTTATCTTCATGATCGAGCTCCTCGGTCTCCTCTAACGCGTCCAGCCTCCTCTGAACACTCGATCTCCGCCGCTGATGTGCCCGCCTCCGTGGACTCGATCGCTCAAATTGCCATAACTGCTCCTGGATAGTAGACCCATCTGCCTGGAATGTACCGAGGCCATCGTGAGTGGGCAACACCGTCTCTCCGCTTTGTATCAACCTCCTCGACGGGGCGCTATATTCCGACGGCTCATGAAAGGCGTGTAACCCATCATCCAGACTATCTAATTCGCCCTCCTCCTCCAAGTCGGTGCCCTGGCATGTGAAGTTGTCGTCATCTTGGTCGGAGCGAGCCGCAGTGTCGAGAGAGCCAAAGTCACTGAAGCGGGACAGGCCAAGGGTGCGAGGTGTTCGTTCGGTCGAAGTAGTTTGTGTACGCGCGGTAGTCGAAGGGGCGGTGGGGGAGAAAAGGACCCATTCCTCCGAGTCCTCTAGGGGCCGCTTGCGCTGCGGAGAGGGGGCGGTCTCGAGAGGAGCTGGCTGTTCAGGCTCATGGTAGGATAGCTGGCGCGACTGCTGCGGGCGGTGGTGCTGGCGAAAGGCCATGATTGTGTCTGCTGGAGCTGGAACGGGCCCAGTCCTTCTGAGGTCGCTGTCTCAGCGGGACTGAGATCGGGCGAGGGATGCGGAGAGGGGGAATGGATCGCCGAGAGCTGAGATATTAGTCCGGCCGCGCGACAGAGAGACGCGGTCAACAGCAAGCACAAGGCAGGGCGAAGGTCGTCGCAAAGGGCTGTTGGGACCGGATGTCGTCAGAATGCTAGCTGGTGGTGCCAGATGACTTGTACTTCGCAGGGATGCCCTCTCGGCAGGATGATGATGTCGTCGCGATAGGAGCGGGAAGGGAGTCGAAACAAAGGCAGCAAAGGAGGAATATCTAGGTGGGTAAAGATGTAGGTAGCAGGCAGGCAAATAACTGAGGCGGTCTATATTAGGAGGGTATGCAGGGAGGGTAAGACAGCCTCAGGGGTGGGCTTGACGCGCTGGACACAGAGCTGATGATGAGCCATATGCTGCACGATAAGGCCCTTATCTGACGCCCCGTCGTTGCGAGCGTCTCTCTTGACCTCCATCTATTGCTCATTATTACTCCGAGCACTATGCATTCATCGCATTACTCTTGCGACTAAAGGCCGCGGCAACGAGCAGAATCTTGCAAAGCCGACTCTTCGGCATTCTCTCGCAGTACCTATGAACATGTTATGTCGTATCAGCCTCTCGCGCCAAACACACCACATAAGGCCTCCCATGCACCCATGCTCCGATGCCGCTATCACTAAGCCTTACGACGCTGCACGACGCCTGATTACTTTAGTGTTTCGGCAGCCTTTCTGTGACGTTTAGCTTGCGGGAGAATCAGGAAGGAAGAGAAACAAACGCGAGCGGGACAGAAAGACAGTAGAGCATCAGAAGGGCTCGCACTGACGGCCATGTCTTGCCGTCAACTGAGACGCGATGCATCATTAACGATGCACCAGCTCTATCAAAGCACCGCCGAACAACGTTCCGAACGATTAGCTTTTAGATCGGTCAGACGTCCTTTAAGCGTATACCCCTTCATGCTGGCGTCCTAGAACTTAATCCTTGCTCTCTTAGCATGCCAAATTCGAGACGCTCTGAATTAGAGCATAGAATGAGGGCAAGTTACGATGTGTGAAGAACCATGGATAAGAGTAAGGCCGTGCGGTTTACGACTCTGGTATACTATTGCAAGACACTTCAACCAGACTATGTGACATTCAGATCCTAGATCCACCCTGATTTGAGACCGTCTATTTGTCGCAGTTCTAATTCCCAGCTTAAAGTCAAAGTCCTATAATGCTCTATATCACAGCGTCTGGACAACGAGCTTTGTTAATCGGGCAACCTCTCGTGGAAGCTCTTCAATACACTCTGTACTCAACACCGTTCTCAACACCGTTCTCACTACAAAATTCGCTAAAGGCTAGCGTTCACGTGAGAGTCGATTGGATGCCAGCATGTTTGAGTATAGAAAAGGGGTATCGTATCTGCAATTCTGTCTTTCTAGGTATACACTCGAAACGCCTTCTGGGTATCCTGGTATCCGTAGCGAGGTATTTGTTCAGTCTGTAATCTGTCGGTAGGAACAAAGCAATGCTCACGCGCCTGGCGCCACCTGCCACGAACACCAATTCCAACCCGCGCCCGCTAAAGGAGTGTCATGAAAAATCGTCCACGATTCATCATCCATCAGGTCTCGTGCTCAAGCTCTTCAGGCCCGACGAACCTCTTCACGTCCTCTTCGCTCATCTCCTCACCCTCGCCCACGCCTTCAAATCGCTTCAGCCGTCGATTATCCGACGGCCCGATATAGCTCTTGACCAAGCATTCGTTGTTCCCCTGGCATATCCTCGTGCGGCCGAGGTTCTTGAATCGCGGACCCAGAGGGCCGTTGACATAGTGATATTGCCCCACAAAGCGATATTGGCGCGGGTCGTCAAGGGGGTAGAACTTGTCCCCCCAGTGACCGATGAAATAAAACCACTCCGTCGGCGCGAGGGGCGTGACGTTGGAGCTTCGGAGAGTGTCGTTGACGTAGTCGTAGGTATAGGCGTGAGAGTTCAGAAGGGGGTCCCAGAGGGGACCACGGTCAGTCACGTCGTGGAGGAGGCCACCAGGGAGGACGTAGGGGTGGGTGCCGGCGGTGGCGTACATGGCGTGGGTTCCAGTTGCAGAGTAGGCGACTGGCTATGGTTTGGGTTAGCTTTCTGTCTGTCCATAGCCCGAATAATGGCGAAAGTTGCAACATACCCTCTTTCCGATCTTTTCAACTGCTTCGTAGCTGTAAGCGTCGCCAAAATTGTGCTCGCTGAAAAAGACCGCCTTTGGCTTGCCGTTGTGAAATCGGATAACTGTGTGCTCCCAATCACCGACATGGTTCCCGAACCGCACGTTGAGCACTACGTTGCCGAGATTGTAGCTGTAGAAGAAGAACCAGAAGGCGTCGACCACGCCCTCGCCTTTGTCGACTACGACGAGCACAGCAGGCGCATCGCTACGACCACCAACCGTCCGCTTGCCCCGGCGGCGAAGAGCCTCGGGGCGCAAGTCCTCACTCTCATCCTCATCCTCGTCGTCTACTAGCTCTTCGCCTTCCGGCGTCTCGACTGGCACTTTGGATGACTCCCCTCCCGATTTCGGGGCAGGCCTTATGCCACCTTGGTCCCTTGTGCTTCCGATGCCGACATCGTACCACTTCTCACGCTCATCATTAGGGACCTCGCCGTCGATTCGGCCGTCCCATTCTGCCCAAGGCTGTGCCTGCTCGTCAGGGTCTCCCGGTCGGTTGGGGATGTTGATGGCACTCCCCAGCCATTCCGGGCGCTCTTCGACGTTGTCGTCGCTCTGAAGGTAGACAAATCGACCCCAGGCGTTCAATTCGTCAAGGTTCGTCAGAGTTGGGTGGTCAGATTTCGCTTGTAATGGCGTATAGTTAAGATGAGGCGTGGTGTGAATAAGGTGTTCCGCTATGTCACTAGGCCAGAACTGCTCTCCCGAGTAGAGGTATACATATGGTGCATACTCTAGGACGTATTGGGGCACCTCGCGTAGCACACGCTCGTCGTCGGACCAGTCCTCAGGGCGCGATTTGCCGCTCGTCCAAAAGGAGCTGAGGTCGTCCGCGTCGACAACTGGCGCCTGCTGCTTCCTGGAAGCTTTCACGTTATGACCAACCCATCCGGCTTTGTTGAGATGGGCCAGCCCGCAGAACCCAAACCAGTTGCATGCCTTTCTGTCCAGCCAGGAATGAGACGATGCAACCCACTGCTTCTCATCCAAACGTTCGGAATATGGTGTGAGCTTCTCGAAGAGCGAGCGCTGGTAGAATTGGGAAAAGGTGAATAGACTTAGCAAAGTCGAGACGATAGCGATTGGCGCTCTCCGACCCTTCATCTGGGAATCAGAGCAGTCGGATGGCCCGCCGACTGAGAGAGCTTGTGGCGGGGGGGCTTGCCCAGGTACTTTACGCAAATAATCGTGTACGGGTACGTCTATAGTCGGTTGGAGAGATGCCTGGGAGGCGGCCGGCGCAACAATGTCGTTGTAAGGCGCAGGAGGAGAGAGAGGCGCTACCGGAGCGAATGTTGGCAGAACTGCGGAAGCAATGGAGGTCGGTGGGGTGGGGAGGAGCTCATGGAGCGGCGCCTGGCCGAGGCCATGGTGGTAAGGCACGAGAGGCACTGGACAAGCAGCAGCATGTGGTTAGCACAATGACCAATTCGACACGATGGGGCAGCATGACAAGTACTCGGTGAAGAAAGTGCTAGGCCGACGCTTCCGGAGTGGATGACAAAAGCTTATCGCCGATGCCAGCGAGGCGAAGGCACGGGAATCTGTGTTGCTAGTGGAAGCGCCGGAAGATCGACGGCCAGGAAGAGCGGGCAGCAGCAGCACTATTGACAGCCTCTCGGGCGAGAATCGGGCTGCAAAGGGTGCAGTCGGAACAGCTCCCAGGAGGGCGTGTGGGCGTGCGGGCGTGCGGGCGTGCAGGCGTGCAGGCGTGCAGAGAGTGCCCAGGTGATGATGGAGTGACGGCGAGAGGGGGGGTGGAGGGTGCCCAGAAGAGAGCTCCCGAGCAGAGCTCCCGAGCAGAGCTCCCGCGGGCGCTGTTTCGGAGACGGGCGGAAGAGCACTCACTGATATGTCACGTCCACGGGTTGGCCCCAGCGGAGTCCTGGGTGCGCCGCTGCGTTGGGCGGTGTATGGGGAGGAGGAATGGCGGTGTCGCGCGCATCTGCAGCAAGAATGAGATGATTTGTGTCTTGTCGCAGCTTGAGGGGGATGGCCAGCGAAGGCAGCTTATGATGTGGCGGGCTGAAACCAGCGGCTCTCCTCCGAGTGCCCAGCGATTCGTGGATTCCACGGCGGAGCAGTCACGTGCTTGGGCCGGGCAAGTTTGACGTCAGCGGCACTCGCGGAATGTTCAGGCGGGTAAACCTTCATGGTGCAGAGTCCTAGGAGCTCTTCACTGACAAAAAGGAGGCGAATAGCTTCATGGCTGACGAGATGAATCGCCAGCGGGAACAGTCGGGTTGCAACTGTGACATTACCTCCGTAACAGCACCGCATCCACCGGCAAACTCTGAATTCTGACTCTCAAGCTTCCACACACTCACTAATCAATATCTACCGTAAAACCGACAATGGATACCCCCGACGACGATGAATGGGAGTATGAGTACGATGAGAACGAGACGGAGGAGTTCTACGTGACCCTCGACCTGTCCGGCATCCTCCCCACAGGCCAGGAAGGCATCGATCCAGCATACATCCCGTCCGAGGACCGACCCCGCACAGGCCGTCCCTCGTACAAGAAGACTAAGTCAAAAACAACAGTGACGGCAGCCAGCCGGCTAGCAGCACAGGCCTCAGCTCCCGAACTAGCTCCACAGAGCGAGACAGACACTCTCGACTCAAGCCGCATCCAGATAGTAGATCTGCACACCTCAACTCCCCTCATCGCGTACCAAGGCCAGCTCCTGAGCTGCCACTGGGCTTCTACCGTTGGAACCGACATGCTATTCGCAAAGCAGGACCCAGATGCAGACTCGCACCACGCTCCGTTAAGGACGGTAGCTCCGTTCGATCTCCTTGGGCTTAGCTCCACCAAGCTGATGGCATCTACCGCTCAGCTGCGGTCTCGAGATAACCGTCCAGTGATTGAGAAAGATCCATCTCCGTTTCCGGACCAGGCGGCGCGTAGGAGGTCATCGGGTACCCTTAGCACGAGCGGCGCTAATCGTCAACTCAAAACCTCGAAAGCGAGGATCAATCAACAAAACTTCCTGAGTCGGCTGGGCGCTGCCAATGCGAAGAGGAAGAGGGATGATGAATCGACCATGGGCTTGCCGATGAGGAGCGGTAGACATGCTTTCGTGAGAGAAGGCGAATCGCCGGAAGATACGTCAAGCTCAGACGCAATTTTTTCAATGCCAGATGGAAATACGGCTGTAGCAGAAACGGAACTAGCCGAAAGCAGGTCAATTTCAGGCCCACACCCCTTGGTAACCGGTGGAGACGTGGTAGAGGTCGAATCAGTAGAGGACAGGCCACTCTCAGTTCCAACGCCTTCAGTAGCCGACGGAGATACGATCATGACAGAAGTCGAATCGGCGAGGGCTGCCTGGACAGCAGATACTCAGCCGCCACTACCTGTCCAGCAAGAAGGAAGTTCCTGATTGTGTACCGTTTCTGTAAAAAAAAATCGTGTATAACAGAATATGCTTAGAAGCAACCGTGTGTTAAAAGCGAAACTCCAAGCTTAATCACGTCAATCCACAACACCAGTGCATTATTCTGACCTCCCAGTTCCCACCCCTCCTACGCCTTTCATTCGAATCTCAACTCTTAAACCCAACATCCCTCCTAAACGTCCACGTCCCCCCATCCCCAGAAACAAGCGCATACCCCAACACCCCCTCCACAAAACTCATCAGCAGCGTCGGACTCAACACGAAAGTCATCCGCGAGCCCTGAGTACTGATCGTCAACCTATCCTGCAGGATCCCAAGGCCGAAGGGCGATTCGTGGAGCGTTAAGGTCGCGGCAGGGGGCTATACAACAAACCCTATCAGCGAAAAAAAGCTCCTTGAATGTAGTTTGTGGGACAAGGGGGTAGAATACACATACCCTATTCACAGTATTATTATCCCGCTTCGTCCATCGCTCCAAATACCCCTCCACCACCTTCAGCGACGGCGGGTGCGAGCACTGGATGCTCATCTCTTTCGCGTGCGGCGAGTGCGTGATGATCATGTGGTACGGTGGTTTGAGGGCCAGATACTCAGGGCGCGGGAGGGTGGCTACGTCGGGCAGGGTGTCCAATTCAGCCGCAGCCGCAGCCGGTCCCTTGTTCTGGGCGTTAGTTATTGATGGGGCGGTGTCGCGAGTGGAAATGGTTCCGCTGGTGCTGTCTACTTCTATGTCTGCCCATGAGTCGTCTGGTACTTGGCGCTGGGAAAGAGGGGTTGGATCAACGGGGGGATCGAGGCAGGCGAGGAGATCTTCGCTGAAGCCGCTGGAGAGGGCTGAGGTGAGGGCGAGGGGGCCTTTGGGGAGGTAGATTGTGAAGGCGGACTGGGGAGCGGTCCAGGTTGCGGTTGGCCGGGGGGTGGTGGGGTTGGGTAGGACCTGGGGTGGTTAGAGAGATACACGAGGGTTGAGAAAGAGGTGTAAAGATGAAGGTTGACGCTGATGAGGTATTGGTTCGGGGTTATGGGAGACAAGTAAAGAAAATTGGACAACGCCCCAATGCATGATGTAAACGAGTCACGATGTTAATAGACGTATGAACTTAATTTCGTGCTCACCTCAAGCCTGATTTTCACCCTATTCGTCTTACTTAACTCTTCCAGTACTTTGTCAGCCCATTTCTCATTCTTTTCATCATCGAGCAGAGTCGTCAGCGCGTCACACCAAGCGCTCACGATCGCGCATACGCTTGGGATGAAGGTTGATGTGTCAGGGCAGTGCGGCTGCATTTCTGCCCACAGCATGTGCCATTCGGGCTCGCAGTTGATCTTATAGCCGACTAAATCTGAAAGAGCTTTTTGGGACTTCTGGAGCTTCGTGTCATCTTTGGACCAATTGTCGCGGATGTCTATCTTGAGGCGGGTGGGGCTAGGAGAGACTGTCAGAGGGAGTTGCAAATTGAGGAATGAAAGACTTACAGAGACATTCTCAACTGTAGTGGCCTTTGCTGTCGTTTTGAAGCTCTTTGTATTTTGGAAGCTCAAGGTCGACGGAACAATTATCTTCACCAATCCCACCAGGCATAGAACTATCTCGCACGAGGAGTGCTCTCAACCACCTCTTTTATCCCCCACATCTCCAGCACCCCTCAGCACAGCCACCCCGCCTCATTTCATTCTGGTAGGAATGCCCCCCGCATTGCTGGTGCCTGAGATAGCTCCTACAGGGCGAAGCGAACACGCCCGTGCCAAGAGAGGCACGATCCCGCATTGCGGCTGGTGTTCCAGGCTGTATCTTTGTGGCGTTCAACATCGCAATTACTTCAACATGTGCAGGAAAGGGAAATACGAGCAGGAGCTGAAAGAACCCCCCGCGTGGAACTTGACGTTCAGGGGGAAAGCAAGCAGATGTCGGCACCAAATGCGTGAAATTGCCTGAAGCCGAAGCTGCACGCTACGCACATCAGCCACATCTAGGCCTGCGAGCCCCTGAGTTGGCTCGAAACTATTTACGAAAGCTTTGACAGCGGGCGTTTTATAGTGTTCAGCTGAACAAGCTTCAAGGGCCGATGGCGGTGGCAGCCTTGAGGAGCGAGGGGGGCGTTTGGTGCTATGTTGGTGGGAATTGTATAAAATGTAGGTACAGCCGCGGAAGAGGGGATTTCTAGCTCTCAAAGTTCGCTCAAGGATTTCAATTGATCATTTTCTACTCTTCATCGTCCTGTCTTTCAAAATACTATTAGTCAAATCAACCACCATCATGCCTACTGTCCTTGAACCCGCTGCGAAGCTCCCTCTAGCCGTTCGCAAGAATGGTGAACATATCCCCATCTCCTCATACATGTCTAGGACTTAGAACTGATGTGTGGTAGTGCGTGACAATTTCGAAAGCAAGAAGGAAGGTCTGGAAAAGCAACTGACCGATATCCTCGGCGAAACCTGGAAGATTGACATCAACCCCAACGCCATCTGGGCGTATGCCGAAGACGACAGCTACGGCAAAGACAATCTAGGAGCTTGCTTGCACTCGTAAGACCAACCCACTCCGCATACCTTCCATTCTCCCATTCTCGCACCACCACCCTCCCAACCCTCCCACTAAGCAATCCCCCAGCTACATCGCCGACACAATCTGGAACCTAAAATACTTCCTCGAAAAGCACGGTGACCTCGGCAAGACCGAGCTCAACACCGTCGCCACCGCCCACACCCTAACCCTCGCCCTCGACACCACCGGCAGCGTGAGCTACGCCTCCTGCGACATCCACGACGGGACGCTGCGCCTGCTCTTCCAAGAAGGTAACCTCGGCACCAACATCAGCCAGACGACCAAGATCGAGACGCTCGAAGCCGCCCTGTGCGCCGCCAACCCCGACGCCGCCGCGCTCTCCTACTCCGCCCGCCTCAACATCGCCCAGGTCTGGGACGCCAAGCTGCCCGACCTCCAGAAGAAGATCGCCGCGCAGCTCGCCAACGACAAGATCGTGCTCGACCCCAACTTCGCCGCCGTCTACGCCACGCTCAAGGCCGCGCCGGGCGTCGCGAAGGAGCGCCCGGATTGGGAGAAGTCGCTGGGGTACATCATGCACCAGTACTTCAGCGGGCTGCTGCATACGCTGGAGTACCAGAAGTTTGAAAAGGACGACATGCTGCAAGAAGGTTTTGCGGAGGCGGTGGAGAAGGGGGAGATCAGGTTCCGGGTGGTGGAGAAGCTGGGGCGGACGTATAATGAGAGTGTGGTTGAGGACGGGGTGTTTTGGCTGCAGACGAAGCCGGACATGTGGGGCACGAATTGCGGGGATGTGGCGAGCGATGTTGTGAATTTGTTGTAGGTCTGATGCATGAGCAGGAAACGTGAAGAACTCCCTTCTATACTGTCTAACTTGATCCCAGTTCCATAGTTTAATCTAGCCTCTTGGATATTATATACTGAAAAAGGGGCGTGGTTGAGCGATGAAATGCTGTAAAATGCCGGGACCCACTCAGTAGATTGACCCAGGACCAAAACGATGGACTGGCTCTCGGTCATGCTTCTCAACTGTATGCAGATCATTAGCTTTTTCGGGAGTCTGATTTAAAGGCTTGCGAGCTTCACATCGGAAAAAGCACTTGAAATCAGGTCTGTTAAGGCTCCAAATTTTCAGATGTGCCAAGTTGCGGACTAGCTCCCGTTTATGCTTCTCGACGCTGTGTAAATTGTTACGATTTCCAATGGTCTGATCTGGACTCTTGTGCAATTGACGTTGATAAATGAGACCAGATTAGGGCAATCAGAGCTGAGGATTTCCTGGTGACCTGGAGTCCGTACTGGCTCCCGTTTACACAGCCCAAACATCAATCTACTGCCTTGGCCTGATTTGTCCACTTGGGAGACTCATATCATCAGTGCTAGGGCAACTTCGTATCCATTCATCAGCAAAGTATACAGCAAGAAGGTCAAATTACCTGATGACGCTCCAACCCATGGTATCAACCCTACACCGACTCCTAATCGTAAACCTTGGACACTACAATCCCATACGGATCCCTATCCCTCTCACTAACCTCCACCCCCACATACCCATCCTCCAATGCCTCCAACACCTCCTCCCCGACCCCCTCCCTCTCCCTCTCTTCTTTCCGCACAACCTCCCACTCCGCCTTTACAGCCTCCAGCAACTGCTGCCTCATCACACTATGCAAAAATCCCCTCTCACTATTACTATGGAAAAGCGTGACCACACACTGCCCCTTCTCGATCGCCGCCAGCGCCTCGTGATGCGACATCTCGCCTGTGAAAAGCAGATCGACGTCTAAGCCTGAGAGTAGGTCGCCCCCGGATCCTGCGCAGATGCCGACAGAAGAGATGGACATGTCGGATATTTGTTTGCCCTGCGGTATAGCGATGGGGAAGCCTTTTGGGTTACCCAGCCCGCGGCCGATACGTTCGATAAGGGATGGGAGGGATTGGGGTTTGGAGAAGCGCACGATGCGGCCCATGCCGGCGCCGGGGTGGGCGGGGAGGTCGAGAGGGCGGATTGGGTGGCGGGTGTGAGCTGTTGAGGCGCTATTACACATATCCATCAGTTCTGACTTGTACGAGCGGGGGTAGGGGAGCGCGTACAGTTTCAGATCGCCATCTTGGAGGTTTGCGGTAGAGGGGTGGTGTTGCAGCAGGTATATCGGGCGCTTGGGCTCTAGAAATGGGTCGTCCTCGGGTGGTTGGGGTGTCGAAGGCTTCGAGGATTTTGAGGACGTCTCGTCTGTGATCATGGCGCCCTCTTCTGGTGCTGTAGCTGGTTCACCGGTGATGATATCTGCGAGCCAATCCCCAAGCCCTCCGGGGGCGGCGTCAATGGCTGAGTGAGGGCTGTATACCTGGAATTGCTCAGCGAGAGTCCGAGTATGACTCAAGAGTTCCATACGCTTATCCCTTCAGCGGCTAATCGAAGTAGCGACTGCTGCTGGCTGTTGGCGAGGGTGATTGACTTGAGGCCTCTGAAGATAATGGGGTCTATGCTTGGAGCTTTGTTAGGTCTTGGGATGTTCAGAGAGGGGGCTGAGGCGTACGGTAGGCTACGATTACGGAGTCGTTTCGTTCAATTGCTTCGTCTGCGACTGCCTTTGTGAGGTCAACGGTGAGAAGGACCGAGTTCATCTGCCGCCGTAGAGGGTCGAAGGGAGACTCTAGGAGTACTAGAATTGTTGTTAGCCTTCCTGTTGTAGTACTTGGTGGCAGAAATGATCGTACACCCAGTGTTGTCCCAGCTCTTGTCTGCCAACGCTTCTGGATAGCTATGCTCGTCAGCGAGAGCTCTGCGGTACGCGCTCGTAGAACTTACAGTTTCCGCATAGCATTAACCACCGCCTTCGAAAAGGGTGCCGAAGCCGTAGGAGAAGTCATCATGAACGACCTTGCAACCGTCTTGAACATGAAGCTGCTCCAGAATATCCAGAATGGTGTTGTATGAAAAAGCAATGCCGATCAACGAACTTGGAAGAAAACACGCTAAACCCCCCATCACGTGCGTCCAAAACTGAGGCCGAGCACGTCATCATCCGAGATTCGGCGTGAAGGCACGGCGACATCAGATAAGATTGATAAAATTTATAAAGTCAGCCATGGACCCGCGCTTGCCTCAAACCCTCAGCAACCTCAACATCAACGAGTCGACTCCCGCAACTATGGCTTCGACGACCGACGAGCCTGCTGAGATGCAGCGCATCACACCAGAGGTGCTAAAGAGCAAGTTGATTGAGAAGCTAGAGGCTACGCACGTGGAAATTGATGATAAAGGTACTATATTTGATTGTGGAAGATGAGGGTGTTATGTCGTCCTTTTATTAAGTATCTGTTAAACATATCTATGGGCCCACAGGTTCCTCCCAGATTGTTCAGCCGCTAACCGCAAATGCCAATCTAGACGGATGTGGACAAATGATTGAAGCTATCATTGTCTCGCCACAGTTCACGAAGAAGACGACGCTGGCAAGGCACCGACTTGTGAATGCCGCGCTGAAGGAGGAGATTGCTGCGATACACGCATGGTCACCCAAGTGTCATACGCCTGAGGAGTGGGAGAAGAAGAAACCGCAGACTTGAGCATTTTGCGGACACGGTTCGAATTACTCAGCAGACGTGAGGTCTCATTTGGCTATCCGGAGTCGCATTCACTAGGGACAATTTGAAGTATGAACCAAATAGGGGTGCATTCTACCTTACAAGCTTCGTGCGATGGCTTCAAGAAGAAACGTCGTCCAGCCTATTCCTTCTAGCTTAGAAGAACCCGAATTTCATCGCTCGTGCGAGGGAAAATATCCCTTAGCCTCACCACTGCCTGATCTTCCGATTCACTTTCGTCATCCAGCAACTCATCCGCTGCTATAATCTTACTTTCCAGGAACTCGAAATCCTCGCAGAACTTGTCTGCTGCTTCCTCCGTGATTTTCTGAACCATTCTCGAGTTCCTCAGCCTTTTGATATTTTCTGCCGCGTCCATAAGCGCCGAGGGAAGGAAGTCATCTAGCTGCTGGCTTGTGGCAATCAGGTGTTCGGGCTTAAAAGGCTCCAGTGAAGCAAGAGATGATATGTCTTCCGCTGAGTCAGACATTTCGCTGACTGCGTTGAGCAAGACGTCAATGCCAGATTCGTATGTCAAGTATCGATGCTGAGACTCTACCAGCTTAGCGGAGTGCTCGCCGATAGTATCTTCTATCTCGCTGATGCGATCACTCGCGAATGAGTAAGGTGCAAGGATGTTCTTAGCCGCTAATAAACAGTTAATGGCAAATATGTCGTTCTTCGGGTCGGCGAGTCTTTTGTATAGGTTCTCGCAGCCACTCAGGAACGGGTCAAGGGCTTCGGACAGTACGGCTTGGAACCCGTTGTCTCGTTCGTCGGTTGCGGCAATGGATGTATCGTAGCTCTTTGCCAATGTCTTGAGCATTTGAAGTGCATCTTCAAGGAATTCTGGCGGTGACAAGTCATCCGGAGCAACTGCAAGGTCGCTCTGAACAGCAGCAACATGGTCTCTCATGTTTGCACGGAATTGCCTCATTGCCGATTCCTCCAGTCCGGTAAAGACATCGAGGACCTCGGAGTCATTGCCGAGTAGCCGTGAGAAGGTGTTCTTATAAAAAGCAATGAGATTCGCAATTTTGTACGCAAGAGTTGCATCTTCGTGACTCTGTATGACTTGTTCGGTTCGTTGTCGCAACAGTCGTGCAACTCCTGTAAGATCGCGACTGACAAGTTGGTTTAAGGCTTTGCGGCCGTCGAATATTTCCTCGTCGCCTTCCAGTCGGGACCAAGGTTCGCTTTCTAGACCTGCTTGAATTCCGCGGGCAATCTCATCGCCCTCCGAGATAAACAAGACCTCGAGTGCTTCTCTCTCTGAGACAGTGGCTGAATGTGCCCAAGCAAGCATGTCCCCCACATATCGGAGGGGGTCGTGAGCATGGAACTCGATTGGCTTCATGGACGACAAGCTCTGCAAATCCGCAGCGGAGCCGGTGAGGGCGGTGTAAAATGAATCTGATAGTATATTTTCCCGCGCTTCGGCGAAGAAGTCCAAACAGCTTTGGAATAGCGTTGGCCGCTCTGCCAGCACTCGCAGAGACCTTCGTATGGAGGCATTGATCTGAGGATTCTCTAGGTCCAGGGTCTTGAACTCACGCTGAATCCAGCGGTACAACTTTTGAAAGGCTGAATTCAGCTGCTTGGAGCTTTGCTCGAGAATCTCAAGGCCAAGTCGCTGATCCTCGGTCCCCAAAAGCACTTGGCAGTCGTAATGAATCTTCTTTGCCCTGGTAAGGGTCTGGAAAAATTCCTCGTCCACAGGCTCGGCGGTGGAGGTCAATGCGGTAGCTTCCTCTTCGGTTATGACAAAGTGCGAACTGAATGCATCCAGCACACGCTGCTTCATCTCAACTTGCTTTCTTTGATTCATAAGGCTGGTTGCCTCCTCCAGAACAGGGCCAGTCTCCTGATTTGCCGCAGAAATGTGCCCACGAAGGTCCGCACAGCTCTGGTTCAGATTCGAGATCGCCGCCCCAATTCTTTTCAGTTGCTTCATCGAAAGTCAACAACGGCACGAGTGATAATATGATTGACTAACCTCTGCGACTTGACCGAAATCTTTCACGATGTCACCGTTGCATTGGATAACCTCTTTCTGGACATCTAGCCTCAACTGCCGCCTTGTCTCGGCGGTATTGCGAATGCCCCTGCCATTGAGCGTCTCCAAGGCATCTCGAATATCGAGGTCAGCATATGATGCCGACAGGACGCTGGTGATCCTGCTGGATAGAGCATTGGAGGTTCGGGACGAGACCCCGATAGAGGGCGTGGCCGGCGACAGGAGGTCTGGCGAAGCGGGAGTGGACCTCTCCTGGAAGTAACTGCTCGCCATTCCGAGTATTATAGTTCGAGTCCAGTGCATCGAGTTTGTCGACAGGTTGGTGATGGGCGAGTGTTTTTCCGATCCGCTGCACGTGGACAAGTTCAGCAGCCTGCATACCCGCGGGCCGTCGCCGCAAACGGGGCGATGACCAGCTGCATCACACGTCAGGCACGCCTGGAGACGGGACGAATGCCAGAGTCAACTCGCCAGGCGACCACGATTCGGGACTCTTCCACCTGACCACAAACACCCTCCCCGACACTTATCACGGCGATTGCTGAGGCCATGTACTAATGACCCGGGATCCATGGATGCGAGCCTGGACATGCGTGGATCTCTCACTGATCCCCTCTCCACCTCCATCCCCCGCCTTCGCGTCTACGACAGCTCCCTTCACCTCCCGCAGCGGCCGCAGGCTTCTGCACAACCCGCCACCTCTTCTCCACCATGATGGCCTCCAATATACTCTCGAGGCTCCTGCCTTCTGCCTCCGATGAACACTCCAACTACGACCATCGACACCGACGCAACCCCTCCGACCCCTCTGATATCGAAGACGGACTTAGTATGGACATTGACGAAGAGAATCTTGGAGAACGGTTTCAGGAGCAGGACCTAGACCACCTGTTGGCCGACGCCACGAGCAGTCATATCACAACTGAGAGCACCGCCTTCCTCAACAAAGAACGAAGGACGAGCGGACCGCACGCAGGTTCTAGGGCGAATCCTGGACGGGGGCCGTCTGCTACACGGAGAGGAGCACACTCCGATGACGACGACGATGTTCCGGAGTCCCTGCTTCTTGAAGGGGCGGATGAGCCTCCACGCCAAAGCATTCCAGCAAACCGCCGACCTGATCCCTACCTCCCTCCTCCTGTGCCAGGACTTGCTAGTCGTCAGGCTAGAACACAGTGGGAGACTGCCCAAGCACAACAACGGCTTCATAACGATGATCGACACTTACCACGCGCCGCTAGGGGCCCTCTTCCAGCGGGTGCTGGTCAGCTTTCAAACGATCCAAAAGAGAGAGCAATGTGGATGTGGGTCAACGTCCAGGACCTTGATGACTTTCTCCGAAAGGTGTACCATTACTATCTTGGCCATGGCATTTGGTCGATCCTTCTTTCTAGAGTTTTGGCGCTTCTGTAAGGAGTTCCTGATGTCCGCATTCATGTGTCTCTACTGACAAGATCTAGTCAATCTGCATTTATTACGGGATTTCTAACGTTTCTTGTTTTCTGCATCAACTTTCAGAATCTCTCGAGTAGCAAAACCATGGAAGAAGTCCTCGTGCCGAAATGCACTCAGCAGTAAGCGATGCTTTCTCAATTTGCATTGCTCGTGGCTGACCAATAAACAGAATCCACGGATTTTGGAAACTCTTCATTTATATATTCATCGTCACCTGGTTCGTTCAGCTCGCTGGCCTTCTAAGGGAAATCCCTGCCTTGTGGAACATGTACAATTTCTACCATTACCTGCTGGACGTCCCGGATCGAAATATTCAGTCTGCTAGCTGGCAATTGATTGTCAGTCGCTTGATGGCTCTTAGAGATTCTAACTATTCAACAGCACAGAATATATCGCCTCGAGCCCGCAGGATTCTTCAAGACAAGTCACGACAACGGATGGATGCTCATGACATTGCTAACCGGGTCATGCGACGCGATAACTACCTTATCGCCATATTCAACAAGGACGTCATGGATCTAGGCGTTCAAATACCTTTCTTGGGAACACGTCAATTCTTCTCACGGACTACGGAATGGCATGTGGGACTCTCGGTGATCGACTTTGCCTTTGGTCAGAACAACGAGATAGACCCAAAGTTCCTCAAAGAATCCAACCGGCGAGAGCTGGTTGACAAGCTGAATGCAAGGTTTCGGACTACAGCTATGATAAGCGTAGTCTGTGCGCCGGTGGCTGTCCTGTTCTTCATAGCGTCGTTACTTTTCAAATATTTCACAGTAAGTTTGAATGAGGTTGCTATCAAGAATTTGGAGCTTACATGTACGAACAGGAGTACCACAAAGACCCCTCTCAACTGGGGACCCGAATGTTCACACCCTTAGCGCAGTGGAAATTCCGCGAATTCAATGAGTTGCCGCACCAGTTTGAACGACGGGAAAAAATGGCATATCCTTTTGCGGACCGATACCTCGCCATGTTTCCTAAGGATAAGACGGAGCAACTTGCCGGTTTTGTGGCCTTCGTTGCTGGCGCATTCGCCGCTGTTCTCGGCATGATCACGCTATATGACTCCGAGTTGTTCCTCGGATTCGAGATTACGCCTGGTAGAAACGTCATTTTCTATCTTGGAATCTTCGGTGTCATTTACGGGATAGCACGAAGCAGCAGTAGGAAAGATGAATTAGTCGTCGACGCCGGCTACGCAATAAAGCAGGTCATCGAGTACACCCGCTACGAGCCAGCTTCCTGGAAAGGCCGACTTAATACCGACGAAGTTCGCAATGAGTTCTCTTCGCTTTATCAACTCAAAGTCGTCATCTTCATTGAAGAGCTTTTGAGCATACTCATCACGCCTTATATCCTCGCCTTCAAACTGACAAATAGCACTGAGCGCATCGTCGACTTTTTCCGCGAATTTACCGTCCATGTAGATGGCCTGGGCTCTGTCTGCTCCTTCGCCGTTTTCGACTTCAAACGCGGCGGAGAGAACAATCACGCAAATGATCGCGAAGACTCCGGGCTACGGGAAGACTACTATACAACCAAAGATAACAAGATGCTCGCGTCTTATTACGGATTCCTAGACAACTATGCACCAGCCGGCCGCGGCCACAACGCCAGACGTCTGCAAAACCGACGGAACTTCCACCCTCCCCCAGTCTTCCCCAGCGCTCTCGCCGGCGCTTCCACACAGGCCCCGCCGCCTGAAATGGCAGCCCGCTCCACAAGTAGAGGCACCACAGGCCGTCAATCTACCCAGCGCCGCACCTCGAGAAACATACCCGCGCCCGGCCGCGCATCACCCATGAACTCCATCCTCTTAGACCCCCACCACCAGCCCCGCAACTCCCCACTCCAAAAGGCGCAAGCAAAATACCGCAACCCCCTCACCGGTCTCGAAGACCCCGACGAGCTCGACGAAGCCGACCTCCCTACGCGGAACTCGAGCCGCATCATGGAGGAAGATAGCAGCTTTGGAGATTCGTGGAAAACGACGAAGCTCGCACAGGCGGATGATGAGGCGGAAGCGGAGGCGCAGGAGGAGGCGAGAAAGGGGGGACAGGGTGGCGTTCTGGGCATTTTGGCGCAGTTTGGGGGTGCACATACACAGGGAAGGGGCGCCGGGGTTGGGATTTGAGGGGTTGAGCTCTTCGTTCTCTTAGGATTACAGCACGGGAAGGGCGTTTTGTCGTCGCATAGGGATCTCTGAGATATCATGGGTTTGGGTGTGGATATATAGGGGATAGGTAGCAACAATATTACATAGGACGCGAATATAGTCTATTCTACAAAGCGTGGGCATAAGTGTATCTGTGTGCTTGAGAGAAGAGAGAACAGTGCAAGTCTCTTACAAAGGTAGTGAAAAACATATATGTGATTTTGGGCAGGCCGCAAGAAAGCTGCTGAATTTGCACAAGTAGGCAGGGCTGGGCGTGATTAAGGTGGGAAATGTGTTGGAATACAGAGACAAATGGAATCTTGGCGTATTTTTGATAGAGAAGCTACGCCACTTCAAGCGACCAATGTCTTCAGGCATCTTTCCCACGTGACTGAGATCACCTAAGACTTGGCAGTGAGAAAAGTGTGGAAGGCCGAGGATGAGCAGTGCCAAGACATACATGATTAGTAAGGATGCAGGATGTCTTGGCAGTGCTCATCATCTGCATTCCACACATTTCCGATCCGCCAAGCCTTGCCCATGTAGAGATTACCTATTTGGAACCTTGCAAGACAGGCGCCAAGGTGTGGAGTTTTGTTGTAATTTCCGCAAAGGGATTTGTCCACGTAACCTCGAGCTTGTACGAGCGACACCTTTTCACTCTGCCGGGATAGTATTGGGCCGCTCAAATATCGTGGCGGAAAAAGTGTCGAGCAAAGATGTCAAGAAACCCAAATGTTACGCCCAGAAGCCTCCCGACCTAGTGGTTAAAGGATGTATGTAGAGGCCATATGCTTCGAATTGAGATGAACAAACGCAGAGTTGCATTCATTACATGCTAATCTATCGTATCAAAATACGCCCCTTATCCAGAAGGCCCTGACCGCCTCATAATCCACTAATACCCGAACGCCTTAACCATGCAACTCCATATCACCATCCGTCCCTCTCTCTCACCATCCCCTCCTCGCACCTCTAGCCTCACTCCCCTTCTCCTTCCGCTTAACCCTCTTGACATCCTGCCGTCTCCTCTTCTCCCTTCCAAACTCCTCTGGCTTAGATATAGCCTCAACCCTCCTTTTCGCCCTCCTCCCTTCCCGCCTCTCACGGATTCCCCGCTGCACCTCCCCTACTACTGCCACGTATGCCGTCGTCCCCAGTCTCTTCTGCAGCGTCGATAGAATCTCTTGCGCTTTATCCGTAAGTGCTTTGTATGCGTCGTTGAACGCGGGATCTGTAGACCGCGGCACGGTAGTCGCGGGATCGACGAGGGTGAGCAGTGGAGAAAGAAGGAGTGGTAAAGAAGGCGTTAGAGATTCAGTGGGTAAGGACGAGCATAGTGAGAAGAGCAGAGCCAGGGTGGCGGTCTTGGGGAACAGCGCTTCGAGGCGCATGATCTTGGTTTCGGCGCGGAGGAGATGCGCGAGGCGGGCCAGGAGGATGTGAAGGGCTGTTGGGAGAGCCTCTGGCTCGGGGGAGAAGCCGGCGAAGTCGTCGTCAGAGGCCTGGGCTGGGCCTTCTTCTTCCTCGTCCTCATTGTCGTCGCTTGCGACTTTGCGGCGGTTATATTTGAGTCCGTTGGCGGCGAAGCAGCGCGCGAGGAAGGCGATGTTGCGGATGCTGTCTGCGCAGAGCTCCTCGGATACGCGCGAGAGTTCGTCGGTGGATTTGGGGACTCGGAGGACTTTTAGGGTGCCGTTCATGATGTCGAGCATTTCCCCGCCATGGAGCTCCAGGTCACCGGAGCCGATGAGAGGGAGCGAATCCAGTCCGGTCTCGGCGTTTGTGGAGGCGAAGTCGCCGAAGTATCGCTGGATTAGTCGGGCAGCTGTGACTTTGACCCATACGTGTGGGAAGGATATGCATCTGCGGACCGAAGTCCATAGACCTTCCATACCCACAGCGAACGTCTTGCTGGGGGCGTATTTGCAAAGTTTCGAGAAAGTATTCAGGGAATAGAAGATAAGCTCCCAAGATCCATCCTCGTCGAGGTCGGCGTGCTCTGCGATGTTTTGCTCGACATGATCGAGAACGTACGCGATTTCCTTCGACTGGCCCTCTGTAACTTCAACGAACAGTCCAAAGCTCTGCATCGCTAGTCGTTTGAGGCCCTTGTTGTCCTGGTCCATCCATCTCTTGAGTTGCTCAATGATCCGTTTTGTCTGCTCACCATCCGTGCGTTCGAAAACCTTTTTCAAGAGAGCACTCGCCATCTCCCGACACTCCTTGGACTCATCATTGAACATTTGAACCGCTAGCGGTATGAAGACCAACTTGAGGATCTCCTGGATTTTGTTGTCGCCGACCTTGGTGACCAGAAGATTGACAACCTCCATTACAGATTGTCTTCCCTCAACATATTTGTAGCTCAAGTTTTTGATCAAGAATTCGAGCTGCTTTTCAAATCTCTTCTCAGCTTGAGGATACTCCATGAAGAACTGGAAATACACACTCCGCGCTGCATCTCTCGAACTTCTTGTCTGATTTGTGACCATCATGGCAGCAACCACATCGATGACCTCGTAAACCTCCGGTATCGCTATTTTACGCGCCATCACTGCTCTAAGAAAATTGAAAGTTACACCTTGACGGTCTGGCTCGTCGAGATCAGGCTTCAGTTGCTTGAGCAGATAGGCAATGTTCTTTTCCTTGACCTTGACATCTCGCCTCTCGCGAAGGATTGCAGAGATCAGTTTCAAGGCTGCCTGCGCTAGTTCCGTGTTGCTTGACGGCGAGTTCTTGATGCTTTGAACAGCTTCGGCGACGTAGAGGGGAGCATTTTTGTCGATTAGAGGAAGAGGCACCTTGATGATGGTCGTGAGAAGGCGCATGGCTGAAACTTGGACTTCTTCTTGTCCCTGAATGAGGAAGTTGCTGATGATCGGTATGAAGCCTGCAACATTCTGTGGCGTTTGGAGTGACTCCTGCTTGCGAAGAACGGATTGAAGAATGTCCATGGAGAACCGCGTCATCTTGTAGAAATGAGAGGCCTTTGCGCCCTTTCCAGAACCACGGGACGACTTCATAGTGATGAGATACTTCTTCGTCCGCTCATCATCGTCTGGTGCACTAGATTGGGACTGCATGCCATTGACTTCTTGAATCAGCTGATAGCAGAATACTAAGATGTCTCGATTCTTAACAGCGTCGTTGAGCTGTATGCCCAAGCCGATGCGGCGGAGCAGCTCGTCAATTTTTCGGGCCATCTTGATGTTCAGCTTCTCGAGAAGCAGCGCCATGATCGGCCGAACAAGGTCAACGAGATGATTCAGGGTTGTTCCCTTTGCAATGAGCTCCATAGAGTCGAAGCTTTTGCTGCTTTTCACTTCTCGCATCTTGCTGATGTATTCTTCTGCATCCTTCTCTTGTCCAGTGACACCAAAAATGTCGTCCATGATGATTGCCACAATATCTCGTAGGCAGTAGTCGAGGTCTCCAGGAGCCAGGTGATAAGCGAGGTCATCAGTAGGTGATGATATCTTGTTCAAAAGTGTATGCATCGTGAAGGAGAGAACGTGAAGCTGATAGCCCCGTTGAAGAGCAGCCCGCAAGGCTTTGAGTATAAATCCAAAGTAACTGGACCCAATCAAAGTCGAGATTTCGCCCAGAGTGTTTCTCGTCATGTCTCGTGCGTCCTGCGATTTACTCTTCAAGATTTGACAAACATCCAAAAGAACGGAATGCAACTTCTCCGCAAATTGATCTGGAGGCAACACACGGAGAACCTTGGTTACCGCAACAGCGATCGGGACACGAAGGCTGACAGTGGACTCATCTTTCTTGTTCAGAAAATCCATCAGGGCTGGGAGAATGTTGGAGATGAGATCATGCGAGAGCTTTCCCTGAGCTGGAAGGGTCATTGCTAGTTTGGTCTGAGGTAGACTGGGCGGCACAGTCATCTCGGCATCAACTGAGGATATTTCAGCGCCATTGACAGAACGCGCGTCTGTAGTAATCGCAGCATCTAATTCTTTGGCTTTATTTGTTGATCGAGGCTCGATGTATCCCTTAGAAATTCCGGCATGGCTAAGCGCATCCATGATACCTCCAACGAGTCTTATGACTGTCTTCTCCATATCCTCTTTGCTTTTGATGTAGCTGGTAAATCGGACTAGAAGCGCTCTGTACTGCGGCCACTCAAGATATTGGGCAAGTAAGCTGATGGTTCGTATCGCCTCTCCTGCAAGGTTGTGGGCACTTTCATCATCCGACTTATCGAAAATGAAATGCTCTATGAGCGGTATGAAAAGGTGTGCTAAGTTGCCACTATCAATTTGGCCGGTCTGTGTTTCAGCTGCAAGCCTTCGAAGTGCCCTGGAACGTCGGTGCTGCTGAATATGAAGCACATTTGTGAAAAAAGAAGCCTCATCATCATCTCCTGCCAGAAGAATGTGGAGATCGGAAACCGGAGACCAAGTAGGGAAGCGTCGCACTAGCTGTGCAAGGACCGAGAGGTACTCTGACCTGACTAGTTCGGAATGCTCACGAAACCCCTGTTGAAATCCTGGAAGGATAGTTTCCGATATCAGAGCTTTGAACTCATCGACAGAGCTACTGTCGCTGTCTGTGGAAGCGGCTTCAATGAATCGTCGAAGGGAGTATGACGCGTTAACCCGAATACTCAGTTCCTCGCTGTCTTTGATATAGTAGAGCATGTTGAAAACCAGAGGGCGCCATTGCCTGAGATTATAAAAGAGATAATTATCTTCGTTAATGACGCCGAAGGCTCGAGATCGTCGTTCAAAGTCCGGTTCATCGAGTCTGTCTATGGAGAAAGAGTTAAGCCCTGAACAGATATCTGCAACCTCCTGCAGATCGACATGGCTTTCGGATAGATCTTTGATAATAGCGCAAAGAACTTGTCTGTTTGGACGATCCTTGAAGAAGGCGAACAGCGAGCTTGTGACACTGAATATGTCGTCGAATATACCTGTAGCCCCAAGATCACATCGAGGAATGAATTCGTGGAGAATCTTTAGGAGGTTTCCTTTGGTTTGTGGATTGACACGCTTCGTAGGTTGCCGTAATAGGAAAGTTGCTATCTCGATCAAGTTCTGTGACTCGGAGGAACCGACGACGAATGGTGCTAGATCTGCGACACAGCCAACGGCAGTCTCCAAAAGATCCTTGCTAGGGCCTTTGCGCAGTAGATTTCCGATCTGCGTCAAGAACATGTTGGAATATGGTTCCAGAATTTGGCTTCGGACCTCGTCCCTCAGCTCGTCCGCGTTGGCAGTGGATACCTCGTTGCCGATGTGGACAAGCTTAACAATACTTCGCAAGATATCGTTCAACACGAATAGCTTTACCTCGTCTTTTGCAGAAGGGACCTCGAGGCATTTCAAAATCTTAGTCAAGATATCAGGGTTGCAAGTTACGAGAAACAATGCGGTCGAGAGCGACTTGGCCCATACCGAAAATAATCTGAGAAGCCCAGAAATGGAATGGGCTGTCTCGTTAGGTAGTCGTTCCAGTCTTGGTTCGGCCAGCTCCCGGATAATGACAGGTACATAGGGTTTCCAAGCAAATTCTGGGCAGCTTTCGAAAAACATATTCAGTGAGTGAAATCCTACTTGTCTGATAGATTTCAGCAGTGACAATGGAGCATTTTGCGGAAGGGAAGCTCCGGCATCGTGTTCGCTGATACCGCGGCTAGCCCGAATCAAGCAGTATAGCAGAGGATCCACTATTCTTGGGACATATGGCAGAACTGTGGCCTGAAGAGTGTTGATGAAGTCTTCGAACATGTTGAGGAGGCCGAAATGCTTTCTGGGTTCCAGAATATCTTGTCTTACAAGATCCTCGTTGAGACTTTTGTTCTGGATAATCGAGATGTCTTTGAGCTGCCCAAGAGCAATGTCTAGGAACTGAGCGGTGGCGCCCTCTCCTAATCTTGTCAACGCGATAAAGACGGCCTTTCGTCGGGATTCCTGGCCTCGTTTCCCACTTGCTGACCCAGATCGACTAACGACTCTGCCGTAGAGCAGTCGTAGTATGATTGGTAAAAGCGCTTCACGATGGTCTTCTTGGATATTATCCTCGTCGTCGCCAATGTCTAGAAACACAGATATCTGCTCCCGGAATCGAGCCTCGTCAAGGAGATTGAAGAGATTCTCCTCGTATCGATTAACCGCAGCGTTCTTCCACGTCAGAATAGCCTTGAGGGCGGACTTTTGGATTTCGACATCTCCATTTTCGAGAAGAGAAAGCAGCGTCGAGTAGACTTCGGTCGACTTGTACAAGACCTTGGGATTAACGAATTGCGCGAACAGCGAAAGCATAGCCTTCTGTTCTTTTCGAGCCCACCGAAGGGGCTGCGCTTCTTCAGCATCTACGGCGTCGTCCTCGGAAGCTTCTTGGTTGGTATTGATATCCGTCTTTGATACCCAATCGAGAAGTACCGGCACTAGAAGTCGCGACCGTTTCTCAGCGACGTGTGGAATTGCATTGAGAACACGAAGTGCTTGAGTTCTGTTGGCAGAAGAAATTAGATGGGCTGGCTGATGCTGAGATTCGAAAAGGTCTTTCAGCTGCGAGGAAGCTTCGTCGTTGACTTTCTGCGTATCTTCGATGACAACGATTAGATGATTGACATTGCTGCATTCGAACTCAGACATGCGCTCTGTAGACTTGGCCTCATCGTTTTTCGGAGCTTGTATTTCTGGATGGTCCGGAATGCTTTCCAGCCAAGCAAACGCAATCTGCGAAACTGCCGCTTCCCCTTCGCTGGTTGCACATATTTCTTTTAGGGCTGAGCATGAATCATCCCAGAGCTGGGCAAATCTGACATGCAGAAGCCCAAAGCAGAATTGCGGGATTGCTGTTGAAAGCCAAGGATCCGAAGCTACGGATTTATAGCTGGTAGCTAGCTTTCTCATATTCATAGAAAGTGAGCGTGATGTTTCTATGCCGATGGGACTCTCTTCGATCAGAATGGCCGTGGATAGGATCTGACATATCTCGCCTTGCAGAGTAGAAACAATAACACTGAGTACTTCCAGTGCTGCCAGCCGTAGACCGTGCGACGGTGACCCGAGACATGGCAACAGGGCAGCTTTCAATGTTTCCATGTGCGGTCCTCTGAAGTCAAAAGCCTGCGGTCCCTTAGTTATCAAGGAGAGAAGTGCCTGCCAATAATGTATATGATGTCCATAGTTCGTGGATGCGAGACATAAAGATTGCCATTGGCCTTGGAGTGATTCAAAATTGTGTCCGCTTTTGATCAAATACGAGAAGCCAGTACCGAAAGCGAATATGTTCCTAGGTGAATCGGTACTAGACTGAGGCGATTGTAACACTTTGTCGAAAAGACTCGAAATGCTCTTCAGCATATTTTCTTTGTGAGAAGGATCTATTGCAAGGGTCTGACTTGCGGAAATGAAGCCGTTACACTTGTAAATTAGCGCATCCTTGCGACTATGAGTCGTCTCGGCAATTGTATTGAATAGTGTGACAGCTTGTTCTTGCCATTCGACGGGGCACTTCAAACTTTGAGATGGGATGGCCGAGTTTTGGGATAGGCGAGGCAATACGACACAAAGTTCGTCACCGTGGGTCTGCCATTTTGAAGCAATGAATCTATTTTCGCATTAGTTCATACTCGTGGTTAGATTCATCAACACATACCTTCTAAAATGCGGCAAAAGCAAGGTCCCAAATCGCTCGGAGCCCAAGCTTGCAAAGAACATGCAAAATGGCAAAAAATGAGACTCCCAAGGTTCAGTGGTGAAGCGTTCAAGAACTCTGAGGTGAGATATTGATGCTTCTAGAGGGCAACTCTGAAAAACAACCGCATATGCACTTAGCACGTTGGCGTAGGCTGTCGAATAACGACTTCCCTCAATGCCAGCGGTGACAGAATCTAGGGTCTCTAGAACGTCTTTCCAATCCTCAACACGATTGCCTTTCCGCACACCAGAGACCAAGAAGATCAGCTGGGCGGAGAGTCGGATACCGTCCTCTCTCTCAGGGGAGTTATGGAGTCTTATCTGCTTGAGAATTGCGGTAAGAAGTGGTTTGAAAGTAGTGGAATTGGTGTGATGAATCAGCGCAGTCACCACGCCTTTCAGAACATCCTCAATAGCAGAAGATGGCTCTTGATATTCGCGAGATTTGAGAGAAGCGTAGGTCTGAGCCATCAGTTCCTGCACGATGACTTGTCCACCAGAATGTACGCCGTTCTGTACACCTTTTATAGACTCTGTGATGAGGACCATCAGGCCTTGCTTGTACTGATCGATGTTCTTCTGGTCCGAAAAGCCCTGCAAATCTTTGACGATGTGCTCGAAGATGTTTTCCAGTGGGGTTTTATCCCTGTGGTATGACGCTGTTGCTTTCCGGAATAGAAAGCTGAGAGATTCTGCGGCGAACCTCATAACGAAGTACTTTTGTTGCCGTTTCCCCAGAAGTGGTGCCATCAGATCGAAAAGTGGTCGCAGATCTGGTACGAGGAGTTTCGATAGATACTTGAAGAGCCATGCTAGGCAAGTAAAGCTCCATTCGATAATCTCAGGTTCTTGCCTAGTAGCAGCGAGCTGGGAAACAATCGACACTGTTCGCGCAAAGTGTTTCTCGAATCGCACACCCAGATCGTGCGCGAAATGGCCCACAAGGTTCAAGAGCGGTTCCAAGCTCCAGATATCCCCCTTCTCAATATATTCCAGCAGTATGTCCAGGATGCGGTCGCCATGGTGGAGGATTTGGGGGAGGCTTTCGCAAAGAGAGTTGACTTCTCGGGAGAATTTGGTGAAGTCTTCGGAGATATTGCGGTCCCTCCAATCGTCTAAGGAGGTCTTGAAGTATGAGAAGTTCGCGGTAACGTCTCCGTCGTCGTCGGTGGGGCGGCGAACTCGGCGTACTGGGTCGATGCTAAGCTTTGCGATGCGCTGGGAGAAGGATTCGAAGTGGTGTTTTCGGGAGGAGGGGGTTCCGCCTTTTGTATTCTTTGGCCGGAAGGGCTTTTCTGGCCGGCCTCGAGACATTATGGCCATGTTTGCGGTTTGGCTGTCAAGCAAGGTTCATGCGTGGGAAGTCTAAAAAAAATGATGGATGCCAAGATTTCACGCTATCCCCAATCGGGGATCCTTGCTAGCGCGCTTCGACCACCAGAAAACTCGACGTTGATTCACCACAACACCGCATCTTAGATATGCACTTAGCGTGCGGTCACTTATCTTCCCTTCTTTCACCATTACAATGTCACAGATGAGCAACTGACTAGCCTTGCTGAAGCCTCACTCGCTGGCCTCAATTTAAGATTCAGCATGGCCTCGAAAATGTAAGTGCAACCATTCCCAATCTATTTCCCGTTTCGATATACATCATTTCAATCTTATATCCGTATTGTTCTGTTCAAAAGGGAAATCTGAAAGTGAGCTTTCTAATTAAAGACAGTCTCGTGGTTGGTGGTGTTTACGGCCAATTCCCTGCCGTGTTCAGCAAGATATCGGCACTGCATGCTAAGAATGCCTTCGCGCTTGCAATCATCGTAGGGGACCTATTTGCGGATCCCGTGACGGCGACATCGCAAGACAAAGACAACGTGAAATCCCTCATTCACGGAAACATTGATATCCCGCTCCCAATCTACTTTGCTCTTAGCAAACAAGGACTCCCCGAAGATGTCATTGAGAAGCTAGAAAGCTCTGCTGGTGAACTGTGTTCCAATCTCTATTTCCTCGGAAAACGAACTACCATCAAGACCTCTGAAGGCATCCGTATTGTTGCCCTTGGCGGGAACCTAGATCCTAACATCACTGGTGGTGCGTCGAAAGACAAATACCCACCATTCTATGGCGAAGGGGATGCGAGAGCCTTACGCGGAGCCAACACAGCCGACATCCTAGTGACAAGCGAATGGCCAGCAGGCATCAGGACGGGCTCAAAAGTCGAGTTCCAGTCAGATCTAGGAGAGCCACCATCTCAGCAATGCATTGCCGATCTAAGCTCGACTCTAAAGCCTCGCTACCATTTCTCCACTTCTACGGACACTTTCTTCGAGCGCGAACCTTTCTTCCACGCACCAACTGAGGAATCACCAGACACGTTCCCAATCACCCGATTCATCAGTATGGCTTCATTCGGAAATCCAAAGAAGCAGAAGTGGATATATGCCTTCTCGCTAGATCCAACTGCCGCATCACCCGTCGCCGTCCCTGTCGGGGCAACTGCCTCGCCGTTGTCTATGGCGGGCAAAAAGCGACCCGCGCAGCCGAGTCAAGCGTCGTCTTTTCGTTTTGCTGGCAGCGGCCATGGCCGAGGAAATAAGCGTCGTCGCGCACCTCCTACAGCTGGCGAATGTTTCTTCTGTCTCTCGAATCCCAACCTGGCAACTCATCTCATAACCTCAATCGGAGACAACGCATATCTAACGACCGCCAAGGGACCACTTAGCACCGGACAGACATTCCCCAAATTGGCGTTCCCATGTCACATACTCATCATTCCACTGACCCACGAAGCTACCCTGGCGTCTATCGAAGAAGAGTCTCGCCATGCACTATACGAAGAGATGAACAAATATCGAAGCGCCATCCATAGCATGCTCATCTCCCTCGCCGGATCAGAGCTAGGGTCAGTCACTTGGGAAGTCAGTCGATCCGGCGGCGTCCATACCCATTGGCAATTCCTTCCGATATCAGCAGATCTTATTCGCCAAGGGCTAGTAGAGGCCGCCTTCAAAGTGGAAGCTGAGAATCAGAAATATCCGAAGTTCGAAGCCAGGGATGTCGGTGATGGCTCCGAAGAATCCAATGACTTCTTCAGAGTCGTCATCTGGTCCAGTCCGGAAAATGATGATAGCGAGGGCAAGGAAACGAGCCTCGTCCTTCCCCTGGATGCATCATTCAGGTTCGACTTGCAGTTCGGACGGAGGGTTCTAGCCAAGCTTCTAGGGTTGGAGCAGCGTATCGACTGGCACGACTGTGGGCAGACGCATGAGCAGGAGGAAGCGGATGTTGCGGCATTCAAGTCCGCATTCAGCGACTATGATTTCACTTTAAGCGACGAGTAGTGGCAGGCTCTAGCAGGAGCATCGAGGTTGATTCAATCAATGAAAAACGCTATCAGGAGCACCTGGCGTATTGGAAAGACATCCGGGCAGGATCATGTAGGATTACTAGGTACCCAAACCCCACCCACGAGATGCTTTTAGTCATGCCAAGTTTAATAGCAAGATTGTGAGGGGAAAATGTAGCAGCCTTGAACCCCGTGACGAGGTGGAATGGGCGACAGCCGCCGAATCGGAGGATTGAGCCCTTTCGAACCAGGCACATGTCTGCATCTATCAAGCCTACCCGACACTCTCAACAGATCGCGGCATCGGCCTGTCGGCGGACAGGGCGCACTTGTTCTAGCGCGCATCGCGAAGCTTGTGTTTCGGCCAGGGACCATAAAATAAGACCCGACAGGCGATCTGCACCCCAGAACGAATGATAAGAGATCCCCACCCATCGTGTTGCCTGCCACGCTCTCCACTCCAATCTTTCGCCTTTGCACCCCTCCAACGATCTCGCCAAGCACGCTGTCCTTGCATAAAGGGCGGCCCCATACACCAAATGAAGCAGCTCCATTCACTGCTCAGGAACGCGGCCTCTACGCGCTTTGCATATCACTCTTGGCACTTCCCTTGACCTTCCACTTTGATCTCGTTGTCGCTATAATGGAAACTGTTTATGAGGATGCGACTAGGCGTGTTGTTATCGTTAGCTTGCGACTACTAACATTCACTCAAACATCGCGGGAGCCTCCGACAGTGAAGAGATACTTAAAAGGTGGCGAAGATCGCGGAGTCTCCCTCCTCTAGCTAGCTAGGACCAGCATCTGATTAACGGTTGCATCAATTGCCAAAACTTCTCCGCAAACATGAAAATGCTTCTTGCCATTGGCCTTCTTGTAGCCTCGTCCGTAGTCCACGCACTACCCGCCCCTGCTCCAGCTCCATCACCACCAGGTGTCCCTACCACGGCGACGGCTAAGAGCAATTTAGCTGCCTTGACCGTTGCAGCTCAGGGCTCCCAGGACGGCTACTCCCGAGATCTGTTCCCTCACTGGATCACTCAGAGCGGGTAATGCATTCAATTCCCCAATTGCATCAAATTAACTGACAATTCAGTACGTGCAACACGCGCGAGGTTGTTCTCAAGCGCGATGGCACCAATGTCGTTACAAATTCCGCCTGTGCTTCCACAAGTGGCTCATGGTATTCTCCCTATGATGGAGCTACTTGGACCGCTGCCAGTGATCTTGATATAGGTGATTATTACAATCCAACATGCAGTGATTGCTCTAAACCAACAACATAGATCATTTGGTGCCTCTCTCGAACGCTTGGAAGGTGAGCTTAGTTCTACCCGCTTTCATTGAGGATACCTTGGACTTATACTTATTTTCAGTCTGGTGCCGCTTCATGGACTACCGCGCATCGTCAGGCGTTCGCCAACGACCTGACAAACCCGCAACTGCTTGCTGTAACAGACAACGTCAACGAAGCAAAGGGTGATAGTGGACCTGAGGACTGGAAGCCCCCTCTTAGTAAGTTCTTTTGTTCATTAATCTATAGCCAGAGCACCCAAAGCTAACAACATATCCTTTCAGCCTCGTATTACTGCACATACGCAAAGATGTGGGTCAAGGTCAAGTACGTCTACGACCTGACTATCACATCGGCAGAGAAGAGCGCACTGACGAGCATGTTGAACACGTGCTGAGTGTTGCATCCGCATAATCTCAAAAGGGCGACAAGATCACCCAGCTGGTAGAAAACAAGATTTCGTTACGCTTTTACATCCGTCGTCTTTGATACTAGGTGGACACGATTTCATTGCTTATTTCTATAGTCAATGCTTTTCCTCCATTTTGGGTTTGGCCGACCCACCCTCAAGCTATCTCTTCGTGTGCCGTTGTCATCTACTCATCGCAATTTGAAATAAACCATGCTTATGTCTCATGAGGGAAAAGAAGAGAGAGCAGCACGCCGCCGATACATAGGTCAGAGTCTCGCTCTGCTCAAGCTTACTTTGGCTCCGGCTGCTCTTTCCTTAGACACGAATGCCACCTGATATTCCCCCACACCACGTGTCTACCTTACCATCTACAAACCCTATGACTCTTCTCCAGAACCTATATATCATCATCAACATCAGCCCGCAAGCCTAGAAGGAACCCCCCTCCCCAACCTACCGATGCTAGACGGCCCCGCCGTGTCGCGCGCGCTGCCCATCCGGGGACGGAAACCCTCCCTAACCCCCTCCACCACCTCCAGCCTCGACGACGGCTGTCTCGCATTGTGCAGCTTCGCGAAAGCAAAAGACAAGACCGCAACCCTGCACCGCTCGATCCAAGCAACCCCAACGGCATCACCACCCCCATCTCGACCTCACCTGCCGCCGCAAGCCGACAGCGCCGCCACGCCTCCACAGCCATCCACCAGCACCCGAACCTCGACCTCCCCCTCCACCATCCGAACCTCGTCAACCCGAACCTCAACACCAACCCCCAAAGCGCACACCCTCGCCCACCCCGGCTCCCTCGCTCCCATCTCCCACTTGACCGTCTACCCGCCCCTCCCCTCGCCCACCCCCCTTCGCCACCCCTCCGCCCCCCACACCCCTCCCCTCCCCCTCTTCCCCCCCGGCTACTACACGATCCCCGAGATCCGCCGCATCTCCGCGACGACCGTCGACTCGGACAACGACATGTTCACGGCGCAGGAGTTCCTGGACACGACGCGGCTGTTGCCGACGTACTTGCCGCTGAGGACGCAGTATCATGAGCGTGTGAGGACGGTGGAGGAGGTGTGGGAGGAAGGGCTGCCGCGGGAGAGGAGGGGGAGTGAGGGGGATACTGGGACACAGGCTAGGTTTGCGGAGGTGCCGCTGGAGGAGGATTGGAGGAAGGGGAGTATATTGGGGAGGAGGGAGAGGATGAGGAGTGTGGCGTGGTGACGGGCGCTTCGAGAGAAAACGTTTTTGACTATGCACACCTCAGAAGCAGGACTTCTCCGAACGCTGCTATCTGTGTTCCTGTTCGCGAACAACCCGGATTGATAAGCGGGCTTGGAATTAGATACCCTAAATCTCGAGTGTGGTTACTGTGGTGCTAGATATATCCTTCACTGCGATTCTCTAGAACCACATTATGATAAGCAGCACGAAGAAAGTATGAGTTGTGTGCCGAGCACTACTGATCTTTTTGATTCATGCAAGCTAATTCGCTGACGCAGAGCAGGATATTTCCTCTGTCCGCACGCAAGCTGGCGCCTCGAACGCCGCTGGTCGTTTCAGCCGAGCCACGAAAATACCTAGAACCAGTCCCAATCATCGTCCATCTCACATTTATGCGGTGCTCGTGCTCAGGATGTCGGAGTCACCTATGCCCGCATTAGTACCAGCCCAAACCCAGGAATCGCTACAGGTTCAATAACTCACCAGCATCCAAGATAGCCATGGTCGAGCAGCGGAAGAGTTTACCGCAGGCAGTGCCCAATTCGATCTTTATCACCGAAACGCGTTAGTATGATGCATAGCCCTCCGAAGTCTCTATGGGGAGAGACATCTTCTCAGGGCTTGCCCTCGGGGACCGGCCATGACGGCGGCCCCGTCGTTAGGCCGTGAGGTAGGATAGGGGTTGTAGACGTACGTTGTTGCCGGAGAAGTGATGCACAGAGGTCTTCGAGAGCATGCTATAGTCTGGAAAGAGGTCAGCAATTGCATCACATGTTTCGATTCACCCTAGTATCACGTACATTCAAGCTCGCTCTTCCTCAGTGGGGGGCTGTTGCCCGCGATGATGACAAGCTTGGCCTTTCCAGATCGAAGCCTAGACGGGTGTTAGAGATTTAGGTGATGTACACAGCTGACGAGTATTCGAGATTCGTATGCGGGGAGGTATGGCGCAGTTTTGCCATGTGTTCAGGCAATGTAGAGGGATGAAGTGGAGGCGTGTCGTAGATTCAAATTGGACATAGCGGCGGAGGGGACGGATATTGCACATTCAACGGGACAGAGAGGTTGAAACGTACGACTTGAGGGTTGACTTGTAGCCCAAAGTAACCCTGCGAATCATGTCAGCAACTGTACGAGGATAATTTGTGTCTTCGAGGAGGGGCTTTCTTACTTTCCAGACTTCATCACAAGCGCAAGGCGCGAGTTGATCCTTTTTGACGAGTTAGGATCGAACCGATTATGCTTTCGGGACAAGAGAGCGCTTACGAGTCGGCGGTCTTCTTGTTCTTTTTTGGGGCCATTGTGAGTGAAAAAGGGTGGGTTGCGGATTGAGAGGGTGGTATAGGTTGACGATGGCGAGTGACGACGGGGTTCGAGGACAATTCCAAAGTTTCGTGGGAGTGCGAAAATGTCTTGGCAATGAAGCGAGGAGCTAACTACGTTTGGGCTCCACGTGATGACCACCCCCTCACTGAATCAGTTGAATGAAGTTACCCTATATCCTGTGAAGATTCAGTGAAACCAAGTCTATCAACATGAGCACTAAGTGATAACGATGTTTGAGGTGGCTTGGCGATTTCACAGCATGTTGTTTAACTGCCTTGAAAATGTAGTTATCGTATGACTTTGAATGAAGACACCCAAATACGACAAACGTTTATAACGTGCATTGAAATCTTGGCTGCATTAGAGCTGGTATCTACCTGAGACGAACGCGCAAGTTCCAGAGCCTATTCAACAATACATATTGGGAACAATGATAGGAAGAAAAGCCCAATGCACTCCCCATCAAAGGCCTACTTAAGACCAGCCGCAACTCCCGTATCAAATAGCCCAGATAAGGCTAGAAGTCCGCCAACTCCAACTTCCAATCCCTCATAATAAAACTTCAAGCTCGTCCAATTCAATGAGCAGTTCTTGAGAGCCCATTTTACGCTGCAGCCTCGACAGCCGCAGCAATCTCCCCACCAGCCTCCGCCTCGGCCCAATCTCCCCAAAGACCGCGCTGGGCTCTGAACCGCAGCGGGCCACCAAGTTGGTCTACTGGCTGTTCGACCTTGATAGCAGACTTAGTAGCTAGCACCAACATCTCGAAGAACATCCGTGTCGCATCGGCCTTAGTTGTGTTTCTCTCCGGTAGCATATCTTGGAATAGCACACTGGTCTTCAGCCTCTCGGCCTCGCTTTCCGCAGCAGCTGGTCCGAACCTCTCGCGTAGTAGATGAACGGCATTCTTCGTGCCTAATGAGATGGGGCCGCTGTCGGCCGGGTGCAAGAACGGGGCAGTGGTGTCGTCAAAATTGTCGGGAATTGGGGATAACGCTTCCTCTTCATCCAGTTCGAGCGGGGGTGGTGCTGGTGCATCTTCAGGGAGTTCGATTATATCATCCTGAATGCCACTGACGCTGTCGTTGATGGCTGCCATTGTTTCGTCGTTATCATCGAGATTGATGTCCACAGCACCGTCGTCTTCCTCGTTCTTTCGTTTCCGCTTGAGCTCTCCGGATCGTTTTACGACTTCCAGTGACAAGAGGTCCCTGAGTTCCGGCGCCCAACCGATGTTGCGACCCTCCCCTAAGATACTGGAGACGAACCCTCCCGTTTTTTGCATGGTCATGAGCGCGAGAAGCATGGGATCCCGCGGTAAGAAGGAGGCCGCTTTCAGGATTTTCGATCGATCGTTCTGCTGTGCCCTGATCTGATTAGAGTGGATTTCGGTGTCCGCATCAGCGTGCAAGACTTTGCGCCGCTTGGCCTTATGCGCCTGGTGAATGGTCTCATCTTCGTCTTCCTGGGGTTCAAAAAGGGTGGCATTTTGATCGCCGTTGACGGTCTTCTCCAGCTCTCGTTCCGCACTGGAACGAATTGAAGATAGTGGCGATAGCGTGTCCCGTTGGCGGCGGTTCGCACCCTCCGCACCCAAGTCAGGAAAGCTAGGTGAATTAGGCGTGTCCAGGTCATTGCGATCCAAAGCTCCTTGGAATAGAGAGGTATCCTCTACGATGAGGTCTTCGTCTCCAAAATTGAGCTGCACATCGTCGTCCAGTGGCTTCGCACTACCGCCAAATTCTTCCGAGGCGTTTCGCTCAAGTGGTGCGTCTCGAGCCATTTCAATTCCCAAACTCGTTCCTTCCAGAAGGTCATCGTCAAAGTTGAGATCGATGTCGTTGTCCAGAGCTTCAACAGCGTCCTCAGTATGCTCCTCAATGCTTCCAGACAGAACCTGCTGGCTGTAGATCAAGTAGTTCGGGTCTTGCGCAGCGCTTAGGTCGCCCCGTAATTGTGGTTGAGATTGAAGCATAAAGGGATCTGGCGGCGCCAAAAAGAGGTCCATATCGGTGACTTGGTCGACAAGCAATAGAGACTTCGGATTCGCGGCATGGGTCTGGTTGGCGGGAATATCGACATCATTGCTAGATCTGAAAGCCTGTTCAATCGTTAGAAAATACGAACGGCGCAAAGTCGCAAAGTGACGCGACTGACCATCTTGAGCTTCAACAACGCTTCATTGCAGTCTTCCAACAGATAGCGCGCCTTCCTGCTGTAGATGCGCACGACGCCGAGCAGCAGCTGGCCACTGAGTCGAAGGGCGATTGGCGCCTGGTCCTTCGCGACGATTGTGTTGACGTTCTTCGGGATGTTTGACTGCAGGATGTTGTTTTTCGAGAGCTTGCGCTCCATGTTGGCGGCCAGCCAAACACGGGCCAGCGGCCCCTCTCTGGACAGCAGGCGCTCGGAGTAGAACATGGCGGGGTGGTGTCGATGGGTTGGTGTTGATGAAAGAGAGGGACGCGTTGGTGTGGCTGGGTCTTGTTGATGACAGAGGCGCGAGCAGAGACCGACATTCACCCGGCGAATGTCACGTGATACGTATTGAGTCCACTAGATCCCCAGAAACACCTCCAGGGGCCGTCCAACCAGGCAACTTTTTCTTATTGTAGCTCTTTGAAGGCTCTTTCAGTAAAAGTTTAATGGGAGACATGGGATATGTTAGAGAACATGAATACTCGCCAAGAACTGATCTTTTTACATCAAGTCGATTCAATCAAGTCAAGAAGTCGACATCATGTTGGTCCTGAAATGAAAGCGAACAGTGGCAATGCAGTGCCTAGTCATAGATATTCGTAGACTCCTGATTGACAGAGAAGTGGGGCATTTTGGACAAGTAGGAAACTCGGGTCTAGACAGCGTCAACATGCTATACGCATATTAGAAGTATACCCGGTGCTCCACAAACAGTGGCAGGAAATGCTGGAAATCCTGTAAGGCTCCTCATACAGCGGTAAACGAGTGCACGGATATCAATGACAAGGCATTGTATGTAAAGGGTTCATTCGCAAGGCCTCTAAGAGCAGCTACTTTAATCAAACAGAATTGTCTTCAACACCTTCTTGAGAGTTGTCCGTGTAGCCTGGGTCCACCGCCGTGCTCTGTGCCTCTTCTCGCTGCAGCTGGGTTTCGAGATCAGCAGCCCAGAGGGCCGACCCTGCAGCTGTCGTCATCAGAAAGAACATCGAAAGCACTGGAATAAGTTGTAGCATCAGTGCCACAGTTCCAAACCTATATATAGTCAGTACGGATTAGGTCCCGAAGATAGATCTCCCGTTTCACTCACCAGGTGTACTGCCATCGCCGCCCTCTGACGAAAGCGTTCCTCTGCTTCTTGTTCAAGTCGTGCAGCTGGAAGTATCGCCAATGCTGCAACGGCCCCGCACGGTATCCGGTAAGAATCAAGAATAGGGGTACCCCCACAAACGGTATGAAGTTGAGGGGTAGCAGGACGATGAACTCCACGATCTGCCGCAGCGAGAAAGGGCCATACACCGAAGACCGAGTTGGCTTCCCTAGTCTTTTCAACGGGTTCTCGCCCTCAATCGAAACCGGCCTCCGGGTAGCCACCAAGTCATCCCAGCCTTTATGAACCAATATAGAGTCGAAGGTATCAAGCTGTGACTCATCCTAACACTAGTCAGAAGTGAACAGCCGGCGCAAGTCCCCTGACGGTATCATACCACGAGAAAAGCTTCAAAGAGTAATGCCACAATCGCCGCACCCTCCCCGAGCACTAGAAACGTCCCATTGACCCATGCGCCCGCATGGTGGAAGATGGCGAGGAAAGCGACTTGAGGTAGGTAGGTCCAGAAGAAGAGGTTAAACAGTACAAAGATACTGAGCAGGAAGGCAGGGAGCAAACGGGCTCGCAGTAAGGGCCATAGGAATGAGTGACCTGCAAAATAGACGATGCCCTGTTCAAGTCAGACAGAGCATTACAGTACGTACTCGACTATTCCGAGGTTAGAGGGACATACCTTCAGTGGGTAGAGCCACGATGCTGTTACCACAACTTTAGCTGGGTTTATGAAGACGGTCCGCGCCAGCCCCGAGGACGGTGCCATGATGTACTCGCAACTGGATGCTCCCGTTGAATGTTCGTGAAGTCGTGCCTAGAGGCGAGGACTGCATGGCGCTTTGGCCAGGATCCGACCAGTGCTTTGTAGTTACGTGAGGGTATCTTCAACATCTCCTCGGGTCTTCAACTCTCGTGAGAGACCTCGGGCCTTTACATTGCTTCGTTCTTCACACTATCCTGTTCCATACCTTGTGTCTCTTGTACAAGCTTGTGGGAAATTGTGTTCTCCGTAATGACTGCCTCAAGAGATCAGAAAAGTATCGTCAACACAGCCGGAGTGGATAAGACTTCTGTATCTCGGCGGCCCTCCCGAACGGCAAAAACGGCAACGGCCTTATTCCCGATGTACTGCACACAGCATCGGCCGCGGAAAGGACCCGCAGATCGACTAGGCTTACGCCCTTTGGTGACAGTGCCTCGATCTCCAATAATCAAATGCCATGGTTCTCCGCCATCGGACTGCTACGAAGCAAAAGCCGGTGAAGATGTGTCATAGCTGCTATTACCATTTTGTGTTAATATAGCATACACTTTCTTTGCCCTCAGAGTTTTATTGCATGCATACTTCAATGCACATATCAGACCTTACTCATTGCCCACAATTCCCAACATCATGACTGAGAAGCAGCATCAAAGCGGGGTAGAAACTCCAGAGCTTGAAGACAAAGAACGTGACTGGTCAGAGAAAGACGATATCAACGTGGACCGCGAGCAGTCAGTAGGAGTGCCCTCTCAATCGGTTCAACCGTTGGAGACCAAGACGGCAGAGACGAGCAATGGCGGCGTACTTGATCGTCTCAGGTCCAACGTCTCCTTGCATAAAGATCCCGGACCACCACTAGATGGAGGGAAAGCATGGATTCAAGCCGCAGTGGCCCATCTCGTGATATGTGAAACCTGGGGACAGATCAGCTCTTACGGCGTGTTCCAAAGCTACTACTCGGGCACGCTCGGGCATCCACCATCCGATATCTCCTGGGTCGGATCTGTTCAAATCTTCCTCCTCTTCTTCATCGGGACATTCTCAGGTAGAGCAACCGATGCTGGTCTCTTCCGTCCAGTATTCATACTAGGAGTATTCTTCCAGGTCTTCGGTATCTTCATGACATCTCTTTCGACAAAGTACTGGCAGCTGTTCCTAGCACAAGGGATTTGCACCGGAATTGGGAATGGGCTTCAATTCTGTCCTACAATGTCCCTCCTGTCCACATATTTTAGCAAGAACAAGTCGTTAGCTATTGGCATAGCCGCTTCTGGGTCAGCTACAGGTGGATTGGTCAGTTCTGCCTTCACCGTTTTACCTCTATTGCTAACTCTATGTAGATCTACCCAGCAATTGCAACACAACTACTTGGCCAAATCGGGTTCGGTTGGACAATGCGAGTTATAGGGTTCGTCACCATTGCTCAAGGCGCTGTTGCCGCTGCGTTTTTGAAACCACGATTACCTCCCCGAAAAGCAGGCCCGCTGGTTGAGTGGGCTGCTCTGAAAGAACCTACTTACGTACTCTACTGCATTGGGATGTTTCTCAATTTCTGGGCGCTTTACTTTGCTTTCTATTACGTATGTACTTTGCTATGTCAATAAGACAACGAGTGCAATGCTGATAAGCTTCACAGGTTGGCGCATACGGAAGAGACATCAGGGGTATGAGCAACAAAGATTCCATATATCTCCTGATGATCATGAACGGAGTCGGATACATCGGCCGCCTTGCACCAAACGCTTTCGCCGATCGTGTTGGCCCTTTGAACATGATCACCCCTTTCGCCTTCCTCTCCGGAGTTCTGATATACTCATGGGCTGGCGTTACCTCTACTGGCGGCCTTTACGCTTTTTCGGTCATATATGGCCTGTTTGCGGCTGCGATACAAAGTATGTTCCCCGCAGCACTGTCGAGCTTGACAACGGACCTCAGCAAAGCCGGAGTACGCATGGGCATGGGGTTTTCCATCGTCTCAGTAGCTTGTCTCACAGGACCGCCTCTTGCTGGTGCACTGATCCAGTCTAACCACGGCAACTACCTACATGCCCAGATGTTTGCTGGTAGTTGTTTGATCTGTGGAGGATTAACACTAGTGGCGGCAAGAGTTGTGAAGACTGGATGGAAGATAAAGGCGATATTATAAGAATAGGAAGACAAGAACTTGAGACAATCAAGGATGAATTGTCCTCCCATGTAGGGCTCTACACCGCCTCACGGAAAACTTGAGTATTGTCGTCTTGGGCTATCAAAAAAACAGCTCTCGCCTTTATCCCAAGCACGGGTAGATGGCCAAACTAATTCTAAGCTGGTAATGCACCGTGAAGGCTACATATATGGTGAGAAGTATGTGTCCAAGTAGCATGCAGCAAAGTCTCTTTTTCCGACTTCAAGCGCAGAATGTTCGCATATGTTTCTGGCTTCTGAAGAACTCCCGGATTCTTCAATCATGATACCACATTTACGATGTACATATATTAAGAGCGTTCAACTCTCCCCTCAAAAGGATCATACCAATAACACAGGACTGTCCCATTAAAACGGTCTCCCCACAATGCCCTCAGATGATTGTTCCAGACCTTGTTTCACAAAAAGTTGCAGTCGGTGAAGATGTCGCTATCAACGAACCTACAACCCTTACCAAGTCTTCAACGCACAATCTGTCCCCTCCATCTCCTCTCTTAGATCTCTGAATTATCGGTCGTCCCAAACACTCAACCTCATCACTAAAGATATCATCTCTCCGACCCATAAATACTGCTACATTCCGCGGCCGCCCTCGGGCCCGCTCCCCCATAAACCTAGCGACAACATATCGCAACCGTCAGCAAATGCCCGCCCTATCCTAATCTACTACAAAATCACTCACTTGCCCAGTACTCCGCCGTCAGACCCGACCCATAAGCCTTCACGAAAAATAACGCGGCGAAACCAACATTACCTACAGTCGCATGACCTCCGACACTCGGAAGCTCATGACGGGCGATGTTGACGTCTGCTGCCGGGGCCTAGGCATTTTTTCCCACCCGTGGAGCGACAGCTTTGGTCGATACGGACCGTTTGACAAGCCTCGCAGTGACGACACGGCGAGGATTCAGTACGATGGGACGGAGATAGAGAAGCTGCGGAAGGAGATTGATGCTTTGAGCGGGCGATATGAGAAGATGGAGCAGGTAGTGCGGGAGCGTCTGAGAGATGCGCGGGAGCAGACTGAGGCTCTGAGTGAGTGCAATGTGAAGTTACAGAAGGCGGTAAGGAATATGAGAGTTGCGAGGCGGAGGTGGGTGAGTGGGGGTGGGAGAAGTGGGTTTGGTGAAGATGATTGGGCTAGTAATACGGCGGGATCTAGGAGGGCTGGGAAGACCGCTGCCCAAAATTGGATACTGGTGGGAACTCGGGTGGTGTACTGCGCTTTAGGATCTTTCGTGGTGTGGCACTGCTGCTTGAAAGCAGAGAAAGCAAAGGAGAAACAGGAAAACAGAGTAGATTTCAATCTTGGACGTTGCATTAGAGTTTGGGACCTCTGTAATTAGTGCTGTAGGGAAAAATAGCATATAGAGAGGTCATAAAATGTCATCAATCGTGTCTTTCTTCGGTCACCACAATCTATGTGGGCGGAGTGTATCATTCTACGAACAAGTAGTCACATCTCTTACAGAACAGATCTCACCTATCATTCGGTGTTCTCTTAGCCTCTATATTCCGCTCGAAGTGTTCTTCACACACATCCAATCACGTCGGAATCACATACTCTCTCGCCCCCTCTGTGCTAAACAACACAACCACGGAATTCTTCCCCAACCCCACCCTCTCCTTCTCCTCTTTACAAAGCCTACTCAGCGCCCCCAAAGTCGCCGCGCCACACGGCCCGACCATCACTCCCCTTTCATGCAAATATTGCACGGACTGATGCGCCTCAGGATCTGTAATTGCTACACTCACGTCCACGCCATCGCGTAGTACGGGCCACGCGGTCGTAGAAACAGTGCCACAGTTCATCCCGCACATGATGCTCTCAGCCGTGTCTACCGTCGTAATCTTGCCTGCCTGGAGAGAGGCTTGCAAACACGCGGCTGTATCTGGCTCTACGGTAGCGACGGTTGCTCGCGCGGACTCGGTCTTGTAGTGCACGACAACGGCCTGAGCCCAGGACCCGACGCCGACAGAGGCGATGGCGAAGGTGGCTGGTTTCCCAGTAAGCTCTTGAACTTGCCGGTCCGTTTCTGTGAGCATGGTGGAGTAGCCTTCGACGACCCACTATGGATGATTAGATGTCAGTACAGTGGAAGCGCACAAGAAGTGGGTTAGGGGGCTAGCAACGGGAGTAATGGCGGTAAGGCGTACACAAGGAATGAAGTGCCTCCTTACCTGCGGAATTTCCTCATATCCCTCCCAACTCGTATCCATTACCAACAATTGCCCCTGCTTCTCCGCCGCCTCCCTCGCCGCCACGATAGAATCATCGTAATTCCCCTGCACCACCTCCACCGTCGCTCCCTCACTCCCAATCTTTCCACGCGTGGCCAGATCCATGAATTTCGGCACGAAAATAGTCGCTGGGATGCCTAGATAGTTCGCCATCCGGGCTACTGCACGTCCCCAGTTCCCCTCCGAACACGTCACGAGCTTAATTCCTGCCTCTTTCGCTGCTGTGCTCATAGTCTCGATTGAAGTAGAGAGGTCGAAAGCTAATTGGGCGGCTATGGCACGGTGGATTGCCCAAGACGCGCCTAGGATCTTGAATGCGGGCAGCCCGAAGCGATCGGATTCATCCTTCAGGGCAACATGGCCGAGGCCTAATTCCTTGGCAACATCGGGGAGAGGGACGAGGCGTGTAGAATTGTATCCTGGGAGGCGGCGGTGGAAGGGAGAGACGGCGGGATTGAGGTGGGTAGTGGTCTGGTAGGTGGCGGCGGAGGAGTTGAAGTACATGATGGATGGGTATTGGCTAGACGAGGTTGTATAGCTGCTTATAAGGAAGTCTGTTGAGAAGGCATATGAAATGAAGAGGGTTTTGTATCCACGATAAGGTACAGACACAAAAAGGAGAAGTTGGCCAAGCCTAGTTTCTACTTCGTACGCCCTTCGAACGACAAGTGGATAGATGATCAAGCCTAGAGCGGATCATGCACCTGTGTTGGGTCACGGAAAGAGGTCAGAGGCCCAGAGTAGAAGTCGGAGGAGCATCGGATAGATGTCCACTAACGCAATTAGGTATACCGTCCAGAAACACCTTCGTCGAGCCGTATTTCGAATGTCTGATTAAGCTTAAGTATGCTCGATTATCTATTTGAGTGAGGAGTATCCTTGGGGCATCGCTGTATCCTCAATGTATTCTGAATCTGTTGCGTCAGTTGATAAGTGTGATATTGTACTCTGTTTCCTATGGCTCGAGAGTGTTGAGGGAAGACTGCCGCCAGGCCACCCGGTGAGATAAAGTTTAGCTTCCATATCACGTGACGTACTCTCATCCTCATGCCGCTACCAGATCTCTAGGGCCTTAGGAATTGTGTACATACATTTGTTCATACAGTGCATGCTGTACTGATTCCTCAAACTTACCATCTGCTCTTTCAAACCTCGACACGTGGACCCCGGAACTACACCCAGGGGAGATTGACCAATGAAGGACGTACTGAGGTTAAAGGTATAAATATATTGATAGATCCCTACGCGATCATCACCCTTACATCTGACCATTCGCTTTCTCACCGCCCCCATCATGGCTACACCAAAGGATCTTCTGCGACACCATAAACTCCCAATGCGGCGAGCAAGATGGCAGATGACCGCGAGGATCAGCCTGCAAGGCTGACTCCCAGCACGCCGGTGTTTATCGGCCCCCAAACATCGCGCACGTAAAGGAAACCGCCTCCCGCTGCGCTACCTAGATCGATACTTCTCCTTCCTATCGCATATACGTAGCCTTATACACGCAGCGTAATACACACAGCCTTGCTGTCAGCATGCTAGCGCGCAATTCACTCCGTCACGACGCGTGCGGTTCTTGCAGTGCCTTTTCTACTTGTTCTTTCGCGTTACCTTTTGCGCTCGTCCACTGATTGGTGAAGCTGGGACAGCCTGTGTTTGTTTAATCCTCCTCAGTCAATCCAGCATGGCGAGCTTGAAGCCGGGTCCGCATCCCGCCTCCCCACCTCTACCGCCTCCACCATCGAACTCGAAACGCTCCAAGTCGGATCCCCCGCCGATTACTGTCGAAGATACCACCACGGGGGCGGTACCGAGGAGGGAGAGCGTGAGGCCTGAAGGTGGGTTGTTCCAACAGCTATCCCCCAACGCTACGCTTGCTCAGGCTTCAAGCTTCATGAAAAGACATGTTACTGATTCTCTCTTTCTCGTAGACTCCGGTCCCTCTGCTACTTCTGCCTCAGCTTCCGCCTCCACCACTGGCTTTCGAAGCAACTTCCAATTTCCGCAAGAACACGCGCAAGGCCCTCCGGACTCAGACCCTGCGAACCTACGCGCACGGCGCACTTCAACGTGGCATAGACGAAGACACAGTCCTGGTATTGAATGGAAGGAAAAGTGGACACAGGATAGCTGGAAGAATGGGCGTGTGTTGTTGATTGATTATGTGGCTAGAGGTGCGTTCTTGTCGTTAATAGGGCGCAAAGCGTTAATAAAACCGACACGAAGGGGCTGCTTATGGTGGGAAAGATTCATGACTGGAGCTAATTGTCGACAGAACATACACAGAATGGACGACGGAAGATTGTTGCACAAGAATTTGGAGACGTGGACGGGTTGAGGAGGTTCTATGCGAATGTATATCGAGTACCTTCTTTGCGCTACAAGGGCAGTACTGACATTGGAATAGCAAGACTTATCTCACCAAGCTGCGCTTAGGGTTATGTATGTTTCATTTCTCTCTTCTCTCCCCATCAATTCTCTATATTCCGGGTTTTCTAGCGCTAACATGCCCAAAGACACGTCCAAAACGCCTCCTGGGCCACCCGCTTTCTCCTTCGCAAATTCAATATTGACCACCACGATGACCTAGTAGGCACCACATTCGGTCGCTGGGCGAAGTATGAACGGCCCCAACGCCGTGGCGGAAAACCTGTCCTCAACGGGAAAACCTTTCGCACTCAGCGTGACCCGTGGCGTGGCATTTCACGTGCAGCGTTCGGCCTCGACTACCTGCGTCATTACGACAAAGGGCGCTTCAACAAGAATGCTGCTCTCATGAAATTTCAAGAACTTAATCACTATGACTCGTTTGATGCCCCAGCCTACGGTTATGACTCTTTTGTGCAGCGACTGAGCGTGTATATACAGCGAAGCGAAGGAGAAGCGGCTCTTCCAATGGATCCGGACATCAGAAATCCATATAACGAGAATGAAGTAAAGGAGTATCAGAGATTGCGGAGGCAGTACAGCAATGAAAAAGGCACGAATGGACACGACAACTATATCCCAAGGCTACAGTCACTTGACAATGGTACCTTATTCCTTTTCTTATTTGCTTACCACGATCTTCGCTTTGCTATCTTTTTAGTTGAGTTGAACGCAGCATGTTCATGTATTGACTTGTGGTTCTTAGGCAGCACGATCATCATTTTTGAGCACTCCCAATCCGGGTGCGTAGAGGACACCCTGATTGGAGCTCGGCAGGAAATCGAAAGCAGATGGCGGCGGCTGACTTTCTACCTACCGCGCGAAGAAATCTCGAATGACGAGCGCTTGGCCCTCGAGTGCATGGATTTTATCTTGCGAGATATATTCAAGGCGCTAGCCTTCTCGTGGGAGAAGTACCTTAACATTTGCGAGACGCATACCAGTATCTTGGTAAGTTAGCCTGGTACCACAACCGTGAGACACACTAGTTGATGTATACTAGGAAGACAAAATCTACGAGAATCCCGCAGACGAATCCAGAGCACCTGAACTGTGGACCAATTCTAGTCTTTGGCTGAAAGTCGAGCGCCTCATGTACATCCACGTCAATATCATCAAGGAAATGAAAAATCACCTCAAGGAACTCGCGGACGAAGATCCACCACAACAAGAAACGTGGTTAGAGAACACAGCGGACGAATTCGACAAACTGTCAAACCTGATCGAAGAAGGCATCGTAAAGCCAACCAATAATCTGAGCGATCTAATGTACAAATCAGTCGGCATCCGTGACGCTCGTCACAGTCTCCAGCTCGGGACCTCCATGTGGCGTCTCTCTTGGATCACGTTTATTTTCCTCCCTCTCACGTTTGTGGTTGGCTTCTTCGGTATGAACGTGGACACATTCAGCAATGACCCCTCAATCAAATGGTTCTTCATCAGCGCCTTCCCACTCATGATAACTGTACTCATTTGCTGGTACGGCATCAAACACACGCTTGCATCCCAACGCCAGGATCCCCTCCGCCGCGGCGTCTACGAAACCCTCTTCCAAGAACTCAGCGCCAATCACCCATCCCTCTGGTCCCGTCGCGGCCCTCGTACCGACCTTGTCCCAGTTGGCTGGCTCTCTAGCATCCGCTGGCGCCTTGTCACGTCCTGGTTTGCACCTGAGCGCACTATTGCGGCTAAGGGCTACGATCCCGCTAACGAGGAACTCGGCGTCTGGAGCCGTGTTAAGCGCTTCTTGGTTCGGCAATGGCTAGGCCGCATACAGTTCATGCCGGCCACGCATGCTTCTGCCAGCGCCCCGGACTTGGAGAGCGCAGCGTTCGATGCCGATCTAGGGGCTGTAGGCGAGCTATTATCGCTCGCGACGCCAGTGGCAATGGCGGAGGTAGATCCAGGGGCGGCGACTCGCATTGGGCGGAGTATTCCATTAAAGAGGCTCAGGAGCCTTAGTCCCACACGGAGTGATGATGGGATTAGAAGTGGAAGTGGAAGCGGAAGTGGAAGACCTGCGAGTTTCGGCAGGTCTGCTAGTGGAGGGGGAGCGAGCGGGGTCATGGTTGATGAAAGAGGATTAAGTGAGGACGAGAGGAGCGATGCGAGTGGAGGAGAGGAAGAGCCGAGGAGGAGGCAGTTTATGCAGAGGTTGACTGTGCCGTTTGGTGCAAGCACTACGGCGGGCGGACTGTGAGTGCAATTGTCCGCATGAGCTTGGAAAGGAGTACACGAGGCTACCTGGATATCTTGTGGTGGATAATGGGGGATAATGGGGGATTTGAAGATAATCGTAGGTATAGTATGCACATACCTGAACAGTCAGTTGGTTACACTCATAGGTACACATATCCATCAGCGTAAATAGCGTAAAATAACAACGAACGATATCACTTTAGGCTTCCGTCTCCGCCACTCTTACAACAACCACGCCTCCCTCACCCACTCCAACCCCTCCTTCAACCACTCCTCCTTCTCCGGATCAACCTCTCCATCAAACCCATGATTACCCGGCTTCACCGTCAACCTCGCCTTCCCCGGAAACAGCCTGTCCAATTTCTCCACCAACTGCACCGAATAATCAACACTCACAACCTCATCGTCCGCCCCATGAATCACCCACGTCCTGGGGAACCACGTCGCATCATCCAGCCCCTCATACGGATTAAACCGCTTCCCCTCCCCGAGGAACTGCGTCCTCCGCCCGGGCTGCTGCATCAACGCCAGGCCCTCCAGCAGCCGCGCAGGCGGCGCCGCGCTGCTCACGACCACCCCCGGCTTGATGGCCGCGAGCCACGCCTCGACTGCCGCGGCATCCGGCAGCGACATCCCCATCATCTCCTTCTTGTTGCCGCCCGGCAGCGGCTGCGACATGGGGTACGGCAGGTGCATGGCCTTGATGGTGCCCGCGGGCAGCGAGTACACGGACTGCAGCGCCAGCCAGCCGCCCGCGCTCTCGCCCGCAACGAGCAGGCGGTCGAGGTCGGCGGTGACCCCCTCAGCCTTGGAGCTGAGCAGCGCGGGAAGGGCGCCGTGCAGCCAGGCCCAGAAGTCGGCGAGGTCGGCGAGGACGTCGGCGCCCGAGTGCTCGGGGAGGAGGCGGTAGTTGGGCGCGACGATGACGGCGGCGTTGGCCAGGGCGAAGGAGACCAGGTAGGGCGGGAACCAGTCGGCGTAGAGGGCTTTGCCGGTGAAGAGGCCGCCGCCGTGGAATTGGGCGACGAGGGGGTGCGGGCCTGGGGTGATGGCTTTGGGGATGAGGAGCTCGGCGTCGATGGGTTGGTTGTTGATGGTTTTGTAGGGGATGGTGTGGTGGTGGAAGGCGTCGAAGCGGGTTTCGGGGTTTGAGGCGACCATTGTAGGAGTTTTTGGGTTGGGGGTTTGGAGAATTGTGGTTGGAACTTGGAGAGGAGGGATGAGTGAGGTAGAAGAGGGTAGACTCTGCTGTGTTGATGAGATAGGAGGACTTCGTGATGGATGGCTTTCACCGGCCAAGGCTTGGCTTTATATAGACTTCCCTCAACCTACAAAGGTCCCTCAGCCCACTCGTTATCACAAGCCACATCCTCCCCCTCGGCGTCTCGCTCGCTGATTGCATAAGACTCATCCTCCTCCCCGGCACCTTTACAGACATAGTAATTTAAGGACGTGCACTCCTTCGCCCTTCCAAGTATTTGTAAGGCTCCAAAGGGCGGTCATGCAACACCTTCTGTAGGTAGTAATTTAAGGACGTGCGCTGCCTGCGACCTTGATAACGTTTCCAAGATTTCTGCACGCTGAGTTTGAAGCCTTCACGTATAAAGTAATAAAAGGACGTGCGCGTCCGAAAGAGGGAATCGGTGCTGATGCCATCCCGTGGACGCTCGGGTCGGCATTCGGACTGAGCGCGAGGCCGACGCTACCTAGGTACAACGCTAACTACTCGTAAGCGAGAACTTTGAGGGCTTTGGGGATGACGGTCGGCGTACTGGCTATTCGTGCGTGTATTGTCGTATCGTACAGCTACACGCATCTTACTTGATTGCCGTATTTCCCGGATACTTCCTCTCATTTCTATAGCTTTTGCATATCCCTCACGTTGACGCGACCTTTACTAGTCCCGAGGCGTGCGCGCTTGCTTCATTGTTCCCATATGAAATACACCTGGGCGCTGTTTTCTCCTCGACTTTTAGCTCTGCCTGTAGTTTTCGCCTTTACTGCGACTTAGCACTGGCGTAAAATATCGAGCACGACTTATCTCGAGCATGCTCCGCAGAGAGTTTCGCTCGAAGATCTGGACCTCGACAAAATAAGATAGGGACTGCAAGACGGCAGCTTCACGAGCGAAAAATTGGTAGATGTGCGTACTGTTTTCTACGTTTAAGTTGGGGACTGACGGCTTTGCCGTAGATCTATCTAGCACGAATCGCTCAAGTGGACCCAAAAATCCGCGCTATGGCCCACATCAACCCAGATGCCAAAAGCAATTGCTATCGAGCGTGATCAACAACACAAAGATGGAAAAACGTTGGGGTCAGTACCTCCAACGCAAATCCGAAGTCAAATGGAAAATTCAGCATGTATAGGGCGTTACATAGCATTCCACTCCTTGCGAAAGACATATTCGTCACGATGGATAAGATGGAGACCACTGGTTAGCAAACACCTTTAGTGGTATACGATGAACAAAGCTTACATGGTTTAGGAGGCTCTTCTGTCCTCATCGGCGCCAAATACGACAAAGAAGCTTTCATCATTTCTCGACTCCGACAAGCTGGAGCAATCATACTAGGGAAAACGAACTTGAGTCAATGGGGTATGGCTAGATCGCCCAAATGCCCAAGCGGTTGGACTGCTCTATTTGGTCAAGCAGTTGGAGGATTTCAAGAAAGTCAAGATCCCCAAGGATCATCATCTGGATCCGCCATTGCGGCTAGTCTGAATCTTGCGAGTGGCACAATAGGAGGCGAGGTAGGGCATACAATCTGCCTGCTGGCTGACAAAGTCTGATATTGTGTTAGACATGTGGGAGTATTCTTTATCCCGCACAACGTAATGGCGTTGTTGGATTGAAGCCAACGGTGGGCCTGACATCACGTTCTGGCGCAATACCACTCAATCCAGAGCAAGACTCTGTGGGCACATTGACCAGATGGGTTAAGGATAGTGCGCTCATTCTTCAGGTCATAGCTGGTGAGTATGGCGAACTTCGGACATTTCGGTTAGTACTGACTGTTCTAGGGAAGGATGAAGATGACTCGGCATCCGCGGACGTACCATTTGAGGATGTGCCTGATTATGTTGTGTCTTGCACAACCTCTGGATTAGAAGGACTTCAAATAGTGGTAAGCCCGCAATTAGTGAGAGCATTGTTAGGTTATACCTAACTGCTCACCATTAGGTTCCAAAATCGGCGTATGCAGTCGCAGACTCGGACCCTGAAGTGGGAGTTGCATTTCGGGATGCGATTGAAACCATTCGAGGCCTTGGGGCAACAATTATCGATGGCATGGACTTCGAACACTGGAGACCAAGCTTGGGTCTACGGGAAGATCTGTTCGGGGACGTCCTGCTTCGGGAAGGTACACTATGGCGTAGTCAAAGGCGACGATTAGAATGCTAACTGCGGCTCAGCATACGACAAGTTTTTCGGAGGTCTTGTCGAAAACCCGAAAGGCGTCAAAAACATCTCGGATCTCATCGAATACATCAAACGAGAGCCGGATGAACTTTACGAGAAGTTTGGAGCAGGTTGGTTCGAAAGTGCGAGGGATGCTCCCGGCAATTCATTATCTAAACAGGTTCTCGATGTCAAAGCGCGCATAGAGCACCTCGGGGCAGATATGGCTCGTCTTCTCGATAGTCAAAATAGGGACTTGCTCCTCGCCACTTCGTCGACAGACCTCCCGCTCGATCTCGGCCGATTGCCTGGCATTTCAGTTCCACTTGGATTCTATTCCAAGATCGAGAGGTAGTTCATAACTCCCAAGTCACGAAGGGTCCCAATATACCGTAAGTGGATTGGCCGAACCGCTAGATCATATTACTGAACCAACTTCTAGATTTACTATCACGTTCGCGGGAAAACGCTTCAGCGAAGAAAAGCTTATTACTGCCGTTTACTCTTTCGAGCAGGCAACTAAGGTTGTCTCCCAGAACAAGGAGAAGCTGATAGTGCAACCTGATCCCTCTTTGCTAGACTTTACAGAGCAAAGCGAGAACAAGCTTTAGGGCCGGTTCTCCAATTCGCTTCACACGCTGGTATCATAGAAAAGTGAATCTATTCTTAGCACCGTACATGATGAACGTGTCAGACAAATAACAAATACTATCAAATATCCCTTTCAACCCAACTCTGGATCAACGCCTCCTTTGTCGCCGGATACTCTCGCAAGTTTACTTCTTCATATTCCACGAATGTATTTGGTTGGACATACTGGATGCGAGGTGACTCTTTCGCCAGGACGATTAGGTGATACCTCGCGAAGGTGTCATCTACGTCGCTATAAGTGTCGAATCAGGGCGCTCCTTTTACAACATTCGCAGTCGATTTGTACATCTGCAGTTTTAGCAGGAACTTGCGCAATGTTGGCACAGCATGGGTCGTTATCTTTAATTCATTAAGCACGATCTTAATGTCGTCGTGCCGCTCCTTAATGCGGAGGATGTCCGGACCGCAGTTGAGGATGCATCTCAACAGCGCAAATTTGCCCGAAACATTGTTAGATAGTGGTGAAATTGGGATTCCCCTTACTTACTCGACGGTGAGATTGGCCCTATTTCTGCATAAATCTTATTAGTGATTTTTGCTATACTTTCTTCTAAGCGGGGAATAACATGCCTTCGTTTCTGGATTCCATCTGGATAGACCTTTGATAGCCCTATAGAGAAATATCGGGTAGCCGGCATAGATAACTAGTAATGCTGGTTCAGCGTGTTTTCTTTGCGTCACGAAGGCAGCATACCGTGTTTTGCGACCTCTCCGCTATACCAGAAAATTTTAAGGATACGTTCGTCAGTAAGCAAGACCAAGGACACCCCATCCGCACGGCACTCTTCCAGCGCGTTTACATCAGCACCAAATATGGCTGACCAAGTTTGGCCATGTTTGTACCATAATGTAACTCTTTCGCCCGTAATAGGGTTGATTGGGGGTTAGTTAATCGAGAAGTTGTATTGGCCAGGTGATTCTTCGATTAACAACCTTCCAGATCCATAACCGAGCAGCTCGTGGCAGGCGATTAGTACTTCGAACACCATCTCCCTATACTCGCGCATAAATTCAAGCTCTTCTTCGCGAATAAAGGGTATCTTTTCGTCGGGAGGATTGGCATTGTCCACGTTACCAAACTCGAGGTTCTTGGAGCCAACCGTTTGACAAATATCTTCAAACTAATAGGGTACATCAGCCATTGAATGTTTCTCATAGCAGAATGGTAAGTGCACTGAACGATACTCACGTTGGGAAGGTTGAGCCCTGCTGGACTTTCCGATTTAACGAACCCGATTGCTAGTGGGATCAGTCAAAGAAACAAGGTGATGATATGAGCATGGAATGGCGGCTTACTATCCAGGCTAGTGAAGTCGGGCTTGATAAACTCAGAAGTCTCAAAAGCACTCTTAGAGTTCTTTTCAAGGCCGACCGATTCACCACATCACGGAAGAGTGACGATAAACTCGGAGGATCTTTCTACTAACTCCGTGAACGACTTGCTTTGGATCTTATTGACAACAGCAATGATGCCTTCCCATGCCCCCCGGATTCCTTGTGGGTCTTGGTAGTTTTCGATGAATCCGATAACGGATTCAATGGCAGGCGATCGATCTTGCACCCAGTAAATCTGTGCCCTTTTGAACTCTTCATGATTCCCCGTCTTAAAGGAACTAATCAAGGCTGAGATCATGTTCTCCTGAGTATCATTACCAGCGTAGTTTTTAGCGTGCTCGAGCTCGCTTACCACCTTCTTGAGAGAGTCTGCATGATCGCCGGTTTGTAATTTTAGCACTTTGCCGCCCGGAAAGTCAAGATAGGGAGACGGTACAGAGGACGGTAGCCACGATGTTTCAGATGATGTAATGTGCAGCACAAAAGATGCCAGATTGGAACTTTCGGAGTCTTTTTTTGATATGCGCGTGTTCTCGAGAAGGATGCCATGTTTGAAAAGGGTCTCGTCTATTGCGTCGACTTCCTGCTTCGAGATGAGAGACTCGCTTGGGTAATAGCCACTGGAGGAGCTCCTGTCGGCAGAGAATCCGTACTGATACGGGCTCGTGGCATACACCCTTTTAGCAACAGCCTTGTAAAGGGTTTTCGTCTCATCATTTGCTTGACAGAGATTCTCGAGGGCCGCGGTGCTCAATCTTGGAACAAATTTTTGTATCACTGGTTGACTATGAAGAGATAAGTACGAGACTTCGCCAGAGTTCGAGTGCCCCACCCGATAATTCCCAACGTTTCCCAAAAACATGGATGCATATTCGAGGAAGTACTTGAGATCGTCACCGCTCACTCCTCTGCTGTTTGCAAACTGCCCCCATTGTCCTCCCGCAGCCTTGGACAAGGCTATGATGAGGTCGAATATTTCCTCTGATTCCTGAGATGTCTGTCGCAGAAGTACTCGGGCCCCATGGAATGATGCTCTGCACATGTGGTGCGTGTACAGTCTCTCCTGCTGATTCAGCTCTGAGAAGGCCGTCGCACATGGGATTTTACATATTGGCGCATCTGTATCTGCGAATAGCGTATCTCTGGAAACACCCATATCTGACTTTCAGGGATCTAGGAGCGTGACAGATGAATTTACGTTGTTGGTGAGGATTGGGAAGTTGCACTTTGCAAGATTAGGTGAAACCTTGGACGAGGCTGAGGTTCCGTGAATGAGGCTCTGTAGAATCCCTCGAATCACTCACCAGCCGTACTCAGCAGGTTTCTCGTAAAGCCATCAGTGACGTGTCAGCATCGGATGAAATACTCACCGTCTAATGCAGTCCGCGGCAGGTTGAGGGTAGAGGAGGTTGCATGAAGGACGGATGCAGAGGCCCAGCTTGCATGTAGCACAGGCGCGTAGGTCAGGAAAGCCAATCAGTGTTCTCGGGTCAGGGCTACCTGATCATCCCACGCGTCCAGCCCTTCAGCCTCGTTGCCCGACACCATCTGCCTTTCTCCTGTGCGACAAATGAAAGCAATCATAGCTAAAGCAGCAATGGGAGGGAGACGGGAACCGGGCTAGCGTTTAATCCTTCCATCTTCGCCAAGCCGAAAACAGGGCATTCGATATCGATCATAAGTTATGGATCGGCCCGCATCTTCCCACACATGCATGCGATGCAGATGAATACGAGACTCGATGTGACACAGGAGCGACGCCGGAGAGAGCGGGGTACGATAAGCTTGAGGATGGAGGTGAAACAATGCATTGAACGAGGTAAGTGATGTATTGGATGAGCGTCTATCTAGGCTACGTACGCCGTATATATACTCTGTGTGTGTGGGGGCTTACGTAGCCGTACCGTAGAACTGTGTGGGCTAAGTATAGGAACCGTGTTCTATATCAAGGTAGCCGAGCTAACCGTACCATACTCCGTAGGCTAGCTGGCTAAGAATACGTACTCCGTCAAAGCTTCTTCCATTTGGTTCGCTTTATGAGAATGTCAGCTTAAAAGCCATTCAACCGTGAATCCACTTTCTATCTCAGCCTTCCTCATTTGTTCCAAAATCTCAAGTACCCTCAAATCTACCAGAGCAATAGGCCTTGGAACACCATGGTTGAACACAACTACTCCTCCGCCTCGTCCGCTGATGAAAGCTACGAGGATCAGATCCTCAAGGCTGTGCTGGCAAGAAAATCTAACCAGAACGCAAAGAAGGCTCAACCATGGAAGGGTGCCTTTATCCCGAATGATGAAGACCTCCCAACCACCACCTCCCCACATGACAAGCCTTGGATTCGCAATGATGCGAAGAACGCCGAATGGGGTGGTGAGGAATATGACACTGACTCAGGAAAGACCTAGACGGTACGCATTTGATTATTCACGGCTACAATTTTTCCTTCGCTGACATGAACATTTGTGAAGTTGAAATGATCCAGAACTCCTTTACGTACGCCAACTTAGGCTGGTTCCACCTAGGGCAGTCGACTCCGACTAGTGGAGGAAATCATGAATGGTCGATGCTTCAATTGCACATGTTGGGTCATGGACATAGGGCGAAGCCCTCCGCACTGCGCTCTATTGGATTTGCCAGGTGGGAGATTTGAACACCTCATCAATTGTGCTGGCCAACATGTTTTGAGACTTTGTGTTTATTTGATGAGTATGATCAGTCAGTTGGTCCTGTATATCGCACGGTCTTTAGAAGAAGTACGGCAAATTACGCTTTGATTTAATGCTATACACTACCCAGCCAACGTGACGCTATCCCCTCCAACCAAGCAGCGGACTGCTAACATGATGTCAACTGTTTAATCACGATGTCGCGTGATGTTTCATGGGTGAAAAAGAACTTGTGCAAGGCCGATGAATAAGACGAGCATAACCTCTCGCGCAGCCTCTACTCTCGGCTTTGCTCACTAATTTCATCCTTTTCTTGGCTGACAGTGGAACGCTCCTCGCACTCACACCCTTCTTCATACCCCACACTTCTGTTCTTGATAACAGCTTGTCAATGATGCCTAACGTTGATGACAAGGTTGTCGCCGAAATTCAATATCTAAAGCCTAACCCACTTTACGATAATGAAAGACCCTATTCAATTGCGACTGTGCTACTACCTGGTGTCAAAAGGACGAACATTGAGCAGGCTGCTGTGCGAACGCCGATAAGCAGCGTCCGCGGGAAGGAAGATAGTTTCGCTCTCTATGTCCAGGGATTTGAATGGACTCGCCATGACCTGAACTATGAGCTCAGTATCGACACGAATGTGGATCGTTACATGGAAGAGATGGGTTCGTTCCTCCGAAAGCATCTAAATGCTTCTGAAGTCATCGTCTACGACTACGTGGTGAGCTCAGACCTCATAGAATGCAGCAGGAACTCTTACTCATCCAGTCCTTGTCAGTTTCGAGAGCAGCGCGAAAGCAATCAGCCACGAGCTCCAGGTGTCCCCCGAAAGGTCAAAAAACAAATCCTAGGAGCCCATCTTGGTAAGAGCTTCTTCAACACCATGACAGGTGCAATGAACGTTTTTGCTGAGCGCAATTACAGATATCAGTCGGGAAAGCGCGCTTACAAGGATACGCTACAAGTGTGGAGAGCGAACAGAGGAGCTGATCAAGAAGCGTTGGCATATCGTGAAGTACGAAGTACTTGCACCATTGTGATCAACGGCGAGCTGACAGTTCCAGTATCTGGCGCCCCCTCAACGGTCCAGTGAAAAGCATGCCCCTAGCTCTCTGCGACTCGCGCTCGCTAGCCCCAGATGACGCGATCGCATCCGACATTGTACTTCCCCATTTGCAGATACAAGCCTACGAGATTTGGTACAACCCTGACCAACGCTGGCATTATCTGAAAGACCAGACGACTAATGAGGTGACGTTGATGCTGAGCTCGGATTCAGACACCGATACTAGTAAGTGCTTGCCTCCATCCCACGAGTTCACTGAGCTTACGTATTCTAGGGTGTGCACATACCGCATTTGAAGATCCGAACACAAAGCCAACCGATCCTAAGCGTAACAGCATTGAACTCAGATGCATGGTTTTCTTATAACCTTGCTCGACCCGAGAACAATTTATGCTTTCCATCGTGTCTGGAAAGGCGGTGTGAGGTAAGGTTAGTATTTTCGAGATACAGAAGGCACTGGATCTTGACGTTCAACGTATTGCGATCGAATTATTATCCTACGGGTGCGATGAGTATTCAATTGACTCCAAGCCTACACAAGTATGATCTATAGAACTAGCCTGTCTTTGATGTTGGGAGGATGAATATAGCCTCAACTTCCTTCACAATGATAGATGCCCGCCAGAAGCGACCAAGCTCGGAAACTGCGGAAAGTCCATCATGTAAACGGATGTGCCGTAGAATCTGGTTTATAGCTTGGCAAATTCGCATACCTTGGGCTCGTTTATTCCAGGATAATCTTCGTCAGGCTTGCACAACCGTACAGATATCCAAATTTCGCCGAAACCTTTTCCCACGGTCTCATACAGCAATTCATGATATCCTTGTCTAAGTCCATTTCACATTCCGCAACCGTGATTATATTCATCAGCCATCCACCATGTCCTGAAGATGGCCGAAAACATCCACATTAAACTCCTCATGGGACGGCCCATCGAATACGTTCTCGGATACCTTTTTTAAAGCATCCTCATAAATTCGTATCTCTTGAAGAGAATAGAGATCCCCCACAGCCTCAATACAGTCGTTGCCACATCCATAGCCGCAACAATCTTCTCCTTGAACTGCCCACTGATCAAGCAGAAAGGAAGGTCTAACTGAATTCATTTCCCTATTCATAGTTCCAGATCCGTCAAGCGCTGTCCCAGCTCGCAGGCGTCGAGGTCGGGCGCTGCGATTTCGATCTCTTCGTAGTAGGTCCAAAAGTTCTTCATAAGAAGCATGATATGATGGATGAGTGTTAACAGTACGCCCCATCGGCGCTCCTCGGTACGCTCTTTGTTGGACTGATTAAGTATAGTGGTTCCTCACGAGCTTCATAGGGTCGAGGATTTCGGCGATGTCATTGTGTAGATATAAGGCGGCATGTCTTCCAATAGTCAGATCGTGAGCCATGATATTTTGCTGGAAGTGGGAGCTGTTTGCTCAAGAACTCTTTGACGGTGATTGGTAGTTCGAACGAAAAGATTGTCGGGAACTCGGAAAACAGGTTTGTCATGTGGACTCCCCGGGAGAAGTTCCGGGTCCATTACAAGTAAGCGCTATATTATAGTCAACTTGCAAGCCCGCAAAAAAGGGGCTCTTTGTAGATCGTGGACTTTACTCTTGAGCATCGTGTGAGAATTAGATCGATAAGCTAGTCTTTGTGGAGGTTTATCTCATGCCCCAAAACTGAGACAACAGCCTTTGAAAGGACCTTCAGTCCATCTCTAGTACTCACAGTCGTAATAGACCACAATCCATTTCTCCAAAAGGCTCGCTCGTTCGTAATGTCCAAACCAGTCCTCTACTTGCATCCCCAGCACCTACTTATAACGACCAGGGAGCCTCTCAGCAGAGTGACTGAGAGGAGGTGACAAAGGAGTTCGACGAAGTGGCAAGACAGCCCGTTGAAGAGAAAGAAAACGCCTGCTAACTCACCGGAGATAGCAAAGCTTCGACTGTGCGGGACCAATTTGGGAAGATTCATTAACATCTACTTAGTAGAAAGTTCCACCAATTCATTCCGATAAAGTACCTATGCAATCCAATCAAGAAAGCTCTTCTTCCACGTGTAAAAATCCAAACTTTCAATGTAAGGTGCGAAACCTCAAGCTAACGTTGAGAGTAGATACAGCTTCCAGTTACAGCTAAGTGAGTGGGAGGACTGATTATCACTCCCGAACTCTCAATCCAACATGCTTGAGGAATAGATTTGCACTTCCGACTAGCCGGTTACCAGAAGATGCCTCCGTGGAAGGGACTTTGCAGCCCCCTCACCAGGTTCCAGTAGGTGGTTTCGGATCAGGTTTCGGGTCGAGTCTATGATCGGACTCCGGTTGGTTTCCCCATGTCAATAGTGCCGGCCGGTACTTCAGATGCTTTGCTTTTCAAGTTTTGCAGCCAGGGCTGTGACCTTTTGTCATTGGTCTCGAATTGTACAGCCTGGCTAGCCCACGTCTCCGAGGATGGCATTGTCACTACGGATGGGCGTCAGCACTTCAGCGATACACTATCGAATGGTTCATTTTCCATACTTGATATAGAGAACTATTTGTTGCGACTTAAAGGTTGGTGCTTCGCGATGTTTTTGGAAGGTTCGATGGTGTTTAGTGGGAGAATATGACGACCGGAGGGTTTAAGAATGCCGGCCAAAGTTCACCTGAAGCACGCACACCGGATAAACCCAATTGCCTAGCGGATGACAAATTCATTCTAGTACGAAGGAGAACTAAGAGGCCGCATTTAGCGACTTGGCTGTACGGTGTCTGCACACCCCGGCTCTGCATGTCTGCACACCCCGGCTCTGCGTGTCTGCACACCCCGGCTCTGCGTGTCTGCCATTTCCAGTCAAAAGCATTCAGCTTATCTGTTAATTGCCTCCACACCACCTTTGTAAAGCCCAAAAAACAAAAAATCGCCGGAAATAGTATCTCCCGCAGTTGCGTGATTTTATGGGTGTCTTCTATTCACCCTTGATCCCATCTTCCGAGACTTGGCAACCATCACTGATCAGCCGGGTGCCCTGTTCAAGAACCTACAAACGAGTGCAGTTTACCGGCTTTCAAGGACTGTTGGGTAAGCAATATTAATAGTAACTCTACTGTTCTAGAGGGGCAGCTGGCTCACTCGTCGATACACGGCAAGAGAAGATAAACATGAATCAGTTGGTGTCATTCCAATATCTTGTTCATTTGCCAATCTATTCATACGAAAGGCCGTATTACATCTTTAATAATGTTCCGGAAGGTACCCCAAGCGGGAACCTCAAATCCGTGCATGGTCCTGAGCAGCTTGTCGAAGATGCACGTGGTTCGGAAAAGGACTTCGATCTGGATGTCCAAGGTTTCATTTTCGAAAGCCGCCCTCTTCCACCGGATATAGATTGGAATAGCAAGGAGGCGATTGAACAAAAATATATCCCAAGTGTCAAGGCGGTGTTGAGAGACGTACTTGGCGATGTACAACATTGTGAATCGTTTGACTGGAGAGTACGTCTGTTGGACTTATATACGCTTGGCCAAGAAAGAAATATGGAAAGAACACCCTTTCAGATGTTCTCTAGCTCACTTTATGTGTAGATAAGACATGCCGCGGCCGCGCAAGTTCTGAGGGAGCCGGATCCCAAGACAAATCCAGATGCGCGAACGACAAGAATTTCACCGGCTTTCAACGTTCACGTTGGTATGTAGTGATCTCAGCTGTTCACAGTATATGCCTATTCTGAACTTCTTGTTGCAAAATTTGAGAATAACCTTTTTCTAGATCAAACTCCACTGGGGGTCCTTGATCGAATGCGACAAATTTACGGCCACGAGGCTGATAGTTTAGCAGCGATGTACCGTGTACGCCTTATCAAGTACGTTCACTTGTAGTTGATAGCATATTGTACAGCCATAGGACCATACCTGGTCATGGCCAGTCATTGTTGATGTTTGAATCTTCTCCATCGAGGCTAACGCTCTGGCAAAAGCATCTGGCGCCCTCTTGTTGAGGTAGTCGAGGATTTGCCACTTGCATTATGCGATGCGCGTTCTGCAAGCTTAGATGACTTGTTAGAAGTATCGTTCGTAGATCACGGATACACTCGACATAATTTCATGGCCAAACATAGTCCCGACTTTCGTTTCTTCTATTTAGGCAAAATGCGGAGAGAAGAGGTCTGCGTCTTCAAAGTATTTGACTCGCAAGATAATGTGGCAAAGAGTGAGCATCTTTCTGGTTTACTCCTCGCTCAACAGGTTTCTTGACGAAGCTGAATTTGTGATTTCAGGGGTCCTTCACGGCGCTTTCGAATCGAAACTGGCTTCACCTGGCTCAGCCCCTCGCGAAAGCATCGAAGTTAGATTACTGGTTCTCTCCGGTGGTTAACATCGAAATGCAGGCATAGAAGTAACGGTACAGTCCAGTCATCTGTGGAGACTTGAAAGAAAGGAGCGTAAAACTTGGGCAGTTGAATCTTGCTTATGGAGACTGCCCTCAACGGTGAAGCTTTGAGGGGCAAATGGCGTGAGCAAGCTCAATAGACATTGAACTTCCAAAGTGCTAAAACTCACATCCATGAATGGAAGTCTAATGGTTTCATAGCTCTAATTATGAGTTCAACTTCGTTCACGTCGCGAATGTGTTCAGCTACTGTGGACTTAGACAACAGTGTATTCAATCCGAGAAATGTACGCAGTTTCATTCCTACGATATCCGATCAGCTGGCGTGTCTTTCTTCAATATCAGAATCATCCAAGGCACCTGTTACTCCCGATTCGAAATTTCTATAACGTACTTCACAAGCGAGTCGGCCACACAAGCGAGTCGGCCACACAAGCGAGTCGGCCACCTCATCACGAAAACGCGACGCGTCAACCAACAACCAATATGCGTCGACAACACAACGCGCAATCAATCCAAAAAGAAGGCAGGCTAGCCTTAGCTCTCCTAGCTATCCGACGAAATCAAATTCCAAGCGAACGACGCGCTGCAGGCATATACAATGTCCCCAAAAGCACGCTCCAAGACCGACGCGGCGGAAT